AATATGCCAATGAGCCACTTGTTCCATTTGAAAAAATTGGCATATGATGAAAAATACGATCTGGGCATTTTTTAACCGACCAGGACAAGACACGAAAAACATTAGATGATCAAATCTATTTTTCCAAAGTTCCTTGTTTAAAAATTAATGTTTTTAACACGGCCATGACACTATAGATTGAAATTTAAAATACAATTTTTTGAGCAAAAATGTCAAAAGTTGACATATGATATGTCATTCTACTAAGAGTGTCATTTTCTATCGAATAAACCAGAAATATACCGACGGTGCCATTTAAAAATCAATAATTCTTCGTTGAAACAGGAAGTGACCAAAAACAATTGAATATGTCAATCAATCCTAATTTATGTCATATACTAACATACCAAATTTCGTTTTTTATCTAAAAAAATAAAACTTTCAAGATGCACCCGGTATAGAAAAAACTACCGCGGACTAAGATTGAACAAAGAGAAGAATTTTGAAGTACCTATAAATGAAATTTTATTGTTAAAGTAGCATAAATATGCTTAGTTATTATGGTAACATGTTAACTATTGGGGGGGCGCCAGGTAGGGTATTCGGCCTGTCTCAATATTTCCCTTCCGCCGGCCCTGGGTAAGGTCGCAGTGATGAACCCCCCTCCCATGCATTCTACATTCTACTGATGGAGCCCCACGGCCTGATGCTACTTGGGGATATATCTTTCTTAATTTTTATGACAGTATTGGCAGGTCTGGAAAAAAATCGCGTCTATATGTCGTGCGCAAATTTCGACTGAGCTTTTTATCGCTCTGAGCTAAAAAGATGACCGGTTAATTATTCAAGCGGTGACCGTTGGCTGCGCGAACCTTTGAAGTTAAGCCCCCACTCGGAGGAGAAACGGGTAAATATTTGATGGCGGGTAAACGGGCAGTGCAGGTCACTTTTCGGGCCCGAGCCTCGTTCAAACCAAACAAAGAGAGGACAAACAGAAAGTCCCGAAGGACGTCAACGCGACCGCATCACGGACGCGACCAGAGAGATTATTGTCAAAACGCTCTGATTATCTGGCTAATGGATAATGGATGAGTCCATTGGAAATATCAACCTGATGAGTAAACTATACAGGGTGTTCCTTAATTAATTGAAAGGGGTGATTGTTGGGTGTATTCTAAGAAAAAACTTCATATCTGTACCCTAGAAGCAAACTATGTTAAGAGTCGATTTCACTAGTTCGAAAAAGTATCAAAATAAGCGTTCGGCATTTAACGTTTTATGTAAAGGTGGCTAGGTATTTTTTATACAGATGAAGAAGGGAATTAAAGATAAAGGATTATACTATACAGGGTGGTCCGAACTGTATTCCAGGAAACTTCAGCAGCATATTCTACAGATCAAAATAAGTAAAAAGTTCGTATAAATGTATGTCCTAAAATGCTTAGTTTCGGAGATATAGAGGTGTAGAAGTTTCATTTTTATTTCGATTTTCCAAATAATTTCTGAAGTAACGTCAATATTTGGATGAAAAATTGGTATCTGGGAGTTTTGTGACACGAGAAATTTGATTTTGATGTCAAAATTACTCCTATTTCTAGGGACGCCACCTACATGTGTTTTTAAGGGTAAGATTGAAGGAAAGAGAGGTCTCGGCAGGAAGAAACTATCTTGGTTGAGAAACATCAGAAACTGGACTCACCTAACTTTTGAAGAACTTATAAGGAAAGCCGAGAATCGTGAAGATTTTGCCAATGTGATCGCCAACCTCCACGAAAGAGACGGCACGTAAAGAAGAAGAAAAGCTGTCCCCTGGCTTCTTGCCATGATATCTCGGTTAATTTTGATTTGAGCAAAGAAGTATGTAACCATTTTTATGTAAAATTTGACGCTCCACAACGTTGAACTTGAACTGTTTTTCTAGTTGTTACCGTTTCTCCGAAATTTCGAAAAAATAATTTTATTTATTGAGTTCGCCCCTTCTCGGCGGTGAATTAAAAAAAATCTTTCACAATTCGTTTTTAGATCTTTCAAAGTAACTTATACAGGGTTGTTCACCACATACGACACGTAGCTAAACAATTAGATTTTTACAAATTGTAAGTTTTGGGTTCGTTGAAGGTACAATTTAAAAATATTTTTACAAAAAGCCTATTTTCTTGGATTATTAAATATTATTTAATGATAAAAGAAATGAGTGGTGAGTGGATATTATTAAACAACATAGGGTTGAATACAGAGGGGTTGGAATATGGATAAGGGCGGTATTACCGGAATTAGGCGAAGATTTGCGAGGTGTGAAACGCTGGTCAGTAGGGTTTACGGCCTGGAACCTTTGAGCATTTTAAATCAAAAGGATTTCAATTTGTACAGGCGTATGTCCGGTATATGTAGATTACGCAGGGCTCTCCCGAAACATCCCGGATTCCCAAATGGGAATAACATGGGAAGTCTAAATGGGGATATTTATGCGTAAAAGCATTTGGACAACAAAATAATTTTTCTTTACAGCATCAATCTTTTCATTTTCCTTTAAACCGCTCTCATTGAAAAAATACCGAAAAGTTTTCAAATCGTCCATTTTCAAAGTAATTATTGCTTATATTGTGAGTTAATTTAAATTTAATTTACTCAAAGCCGTGATAATTGTGAAAAAGTAGCATTAAAAACTTAAAAAGCTGAGTGAACTGCAAAAATAATCGTGGATCGTGGCACAACGTCGGTTTTCCAATGTTTCATAAGTATTTCATACATGTCCTTATATAAAATAAAGTGTCTTATATGCAACACACTGTATTTTATTTAAAAAAAATAAAATAAAATAATAATAAATTTAAATAAACAATATTTGGGGCGACATAATTCTGCAAAAAGCCGAACGGCTCCGAAATTATCAATGCTTTATTAAAAAGCTTTGGAGTTCTTATGGGCACTTTCCAATCTAAACTTGTTTCTTTTATCTGTGAACTAGCCTTTGTAAAACCGTCTCAGATTTGGGCTTTTGTCAAGCTGAGCTGCTTTTGTAGCACTGAGACTGTATGATGAGTTAAAGCTCAAGAAAGGAGGACACCATAGATCGGTAAGGTCGCAGTGATTAACCCCCCTCCCATGCATTCTACATTCTACTGATGGAGCTCCACGGCCTGATGCTAGATGGGGATATATCTTTCTTAATTTTTATGACAGTATTGGCAGGTCTGGAAAAAAATCGCGTCTATATGTCGTGCGCAAATTTCGACTGAACTTTTTATCGCTCTGAGCTAAAAGATGACCGGTTAATTATTCAAGCGGTGACCGTTGGCTGCGCGAACCTTTGAAGTTAAGCCCCCACTCGGAGGAGAAACGGGTAAATATTTGATGGCGGGTAAACGGGCAGTGCAGGTCACTTTTCGGGCCCGAGCCTCGTTCAAACCAAACAAAGAGAGGACAAACAGAAAGTCCCGAAGGACGTCAACGCGACCGCATCACGGACGCGACCAGAGAGATTATTGTCAAAACGCTCTGATTATCTGGCTAATGGATAATGGATGAGTCCATTGGAAATATCAACCTGATGAGTAAACTATACAGGGTGTTCCTTAATTAATTGAAAGGGGTGATTGTTGGGTGTATTCTAAGAAAAAAACTTCATATCTGTACCCTAGAAGCAAACTATGTTAAGAGTCGATTTCACTAGTTCGAAAAAGTATCAAAATAAGCGTTCGGCATTTAACGTTTTATGTAAAGGTGGCTAGGTATTTTTATACAGATGAAGAAGGGAATTAAAGATAAAGGATTATACTATACAGGGTGGTCCGAACTGTATTCCGGAAACTTCAGCAGCATATTCTACAGATCAAAATAAGTAAAAAGTTCGTATAAATGTATGTCCTAAAATGCTTAGTTTCGGAGATATAGGGTGTAGAAGTTTCATTTTTATTTCGATTTTTTCCAAATAATTTCTGAAGTAACGTCAATATTTGGATGAAAATTGGTATCTGGGAGTTTTGTGACACGAGAAATTTGATTTTGATGTCAAAATTACTCCTATTTCTAGGGGACGCCACCTACATGTGTTTTAACTGTTTTGAAGAGTAATAACTTTTCGACCGTACCTGTATAAAACCACTGACTAAAAAAATATACATTGCTACGAGCAACCGTTCTCAAGATATTTGGAATGGAAATAGTCAATACATGTCATTAGTGACAAAGAATAAGCACACGTTGAGTATAGTTATTTGACTGAAATAATAAATTTTTATTTTTTTAAATTAATCATAAGTTTTTCTATGAAAATATGATGATTAAACAGTTTCTCTTGAACTTTTGACACAAAAAGATTTCAAATTTATGATTTCAGTCTAATAACTATTGATATTTTTATAGTATTTTTATAGTATTGATAATTTCGATTCCAAATATCTCGAGAACCATTACTCGTAGCGATTTTTACCAAGAGACCTTTTTTATGTAAAAAAAGTCGTAAATCTATATTTTTTTACTCAGTAGTTAGTAGTAACAGGTACCGACGAAAAGTTATTACTCTTCAAAACAGTCAAAACACAGGTAGGTGGCGCCACCTACAAATGAGAGTCATACTGACATCAAAATCAAATTTCTCATGTCAAAAAACACCCATCCACCAATTTTCATCCAAATAAATCGAAATAAAAAATTAAACTTCCACACCCTGTATATCTTCGAAACTAAGCATTTCAGGACATACATTTATACGAACTTTTTTACTTATTTTAATTAGCAGAATATGTTGCCGAAGTTTTCGGAATACAGTTCAGACCACCTGTATTTTCCTTCAACCACACACCCACTTTACATGACCCCTGAGAGCGACCCGAACAGTACAGCGTAATAGACTCTTAATAAATCGAAGAATTCTGGCCATGAGTATTCCAAATTACCAACAGAATTCGAATTACCCTCATTTACTCTACATTTGCGGTGTTGCCAAGATGCTCTAATGTTCCTTAAACCTAAATAATTTTATTATATTAGCATTAAAATATATTTTTTCTTTTTTCCAGATTCTGGCTCGGAGAGCGGCTCCCACAAGGGCGGCGGACTCCGGGGCGGCAAAGGGTAACGTTTCCGCTTCGGGGGCGGCGGAGGAGGTGGTGGAGGCGACGGCAAGCCGACCCGGGTGCGGACGGTACTCAACGAGAAACAGTTACACACTTTGAGGAGTTGCTACGCGGCGAATCCCAGGCCGGACGCCTTGATGAAGGAACAACTGGTGGAGATGACGGGGTTGAGCCCTAGGGTGATAAGGGTGTGGTTCCAGAACAAGCGGTGTAAGGATAAGAAGAAGACGATACTGATGAAGCAGCAGATGCAACAGGAAAAGGTTGGTTTTTATTCGATATTTATTAGTAGAATGGTTGTACCATAAATACAAATATATAGAGCAAATTTATGAAATCACTCCAATACATTTATACAGGGTGTCCCACTAAGAATAGCTCTCGGCTGTATCTCGGAAAGTATAAGCCGTAGGGCCTACGGAATGAAATATTTATAACTAAAGAGACTATGAGAAATTGCTGGAAATTATTTTCAAGTTTGTGAAACGGCCGCTAGATGGCGCAACTGCTATGGAAAATAAGAAAATGGAATTTTTACAGAATTTTGCCTAGATAATGGGTACTGTAAATAATAGCTTCATAATCTTCAGTAAATTTTGGATTTTTTTTGTTAGAGCCATTATCCCCTATCTGCTAAAATAAAGTGGTGGGGGAAGGTTAGATCTGTCTTTATTTAACTGTTAATAACTCCGGACTCTGGATAATCAGAATCCAACAAACGAGGGCTCTTTTAAAAAAGCGTTTCTTACTCTATATTATACCATAAAAATAATAATAATAAAGTTTTGTACGTAGACGCTAGGGGGCGCTTTTTTACAACTTAACAAACAGCGCGTTTTTTCAAAAAAATTAAATACGATAGTATATGTAATTTTAGCTGATAGTAAAGAGTAGTATAAGCTTAAAAAGTCAGCGAAAACCGCATCTTGATATCTTCTTTCAAACCGAAGATATAAACATAATTATAATAAATACCAAAATTAAGCCCTAATTACCTTATTTTTACAACACGGTATCATGCAGTAGCCCTGTTGATTATGCCCATTCTAACAAAAAAACAAAAAATAGAAACAGTTAGTTTATTTTCAAATCAACGATATACCAGGATACCATAATACCAGATGCATTAATATCTAATAATTAAGATATTAATGAGAGTGAACACGAAACGATGCCTCAGTGAAGTCACGGTAGGCTTTGGAAAAAAGTTGCTTTTGACGTAAGAGTATAAACGTCAAATTGTTATTAGATCAACATTTTGATAGTCTTAGCAGCCTTTTTTATCTTTTAATTGCTTTTTCAAAATGCCTTTATTATTTTAAGTAGTTGAAATTGTTTTTTTGAAATTTAAATAAAGATAGATCTAACCTTCCCCCACCACTTCATTTTAGCAGATAGGGGAAAATGGTTCTAACAAAAACGGACAAAAAAATCCAAAATTTACTGAAGATTATGAAGCTATTATTTATAGTACCCATTATCTAGGCAAAATTCTGTAAACATTGTATTCTCTTATTTTCCATAGCAGTTGCGGTCTCTAGCGGCCGTTTTACAAACTTGAAAATAATTACCAGCAATTTCTCATAGTCCCTTTATTTATAAATATTTTTTTTCGTAGGCCCTACGGCTAATACTTTCCGAGTTACAGCCGAGAGCTATTGTTAGTGGGTCACCCTGTACAGAGTTATTCACCACATACGACACGAAGTATTGTAGCTAAACGATTAGATTTTTACAAACTGTAAGTTTTGGGTGCGTTGAAGGACTATTAGAGCTACAATTTAAAAATATTTTTACAAGGTACAGAGTGTCCCAAACAAATAAAAAATATCAAAGTTGTATTTTTTTAAATGGAACATCCTGTAAGTTTCTACGATTTAAATAAAGGTAAATTTGACTAAGGTTTATCACACTTAAACCTTGCCGTTTTTGAAATATTTTCAATTTTGTGAAATTGCAGTAGAAATTTTTAGGCTTCATATTTCTCCAATGGTATCAAAGATTTTAATACTAAATATTTACTGAAGTTTATTTATTGATCGGTTATTGTATTGCAATAATAAAAATAATACTAGTTCATACAGAGTGTCTGAAAATTTATTTTAAATAATTTCTAGCTTTAAACGGCAATAACTTGTTTAATTTAAATGGAACACCCTATATATTTTATGAGAATCAGATGCACAATTTAATTGTCTATCAAATTGTATTATACAATTTTTTACCTATCCCTTCAAGTTTTCGTAGAAAATGCATTTTCTTATAATTTAAACCTCATTTATCAATATACCCATGGAATATTGACATTGTAGATTTTAGAGAATACTTAGATGTAACATGTAACCTTTCACAAGCTAGTAATTTCACTGTTTTGCGTGCTTTAGTGCTGATTCGCTGGTATAACTAGACCTATAATACAGGGTGAATTGGTTTTCAAATAAGTCCAAAATGACCGAGTTGTTTTACTTTGAATATTTAAAAAAAATGATTTTTTGCTTAAATTTTGAGAACCACTGGATCTTTTCTAATCCAAATTAAAAACAAATCGCAAAAAAACTCATAGTCGTGTTTCTGGGGTCGAAATATACTACCCCTAAAAATATTTGCACTTATTTAAGACTCACCCAACTATAGATAATATAATATGGGCTAATATAAATTTGATACGGTATGATCGAAAAAAAAGTGTGTCATAGAGGGCTGGGAAATGACAATCGATGATAATTTTGGCTAGGTCATTCTCTAGACTTCATTTACTAAAAACTGACATCAAACTTGTTAAAAATGAATATTAATATTTCTTTTTGCCTATATGATACGATATCATGTCATTTAACTTCTAATATAATTATACATAAATGCTTTTGACGTCATTACAGGTATTTATATATTATTTAACACGCTTTTTGTGCTTTTATAAAGATCTTGAAACTACGTTAGTGACTTATGTATTATTATGGTCAAATCAAAATGTATAAATCTTTGAATAAAAAGGTATAAATAAACAAACGGTTTGTTTACATTTTGTTTATGATTATACCTATATTGAGACAAAACAAATCAATATAGGTAGTTATAATATATGGTTAGTCTCTCTTTTATACGTGACTATATACCTAAAACAAAGAAAGTAGATATACAAAAAAAATTATAATTATCATGTGTGTCAATGTCAGATTAAGATTACCTCATTTTAATTCGTAATACATCGTACTAATTCATAACAATCTAAAGAATTTATTATTACATGACATGGCAATAAAACATACATATTCATGAGCCTTTTTTATCATAATAATATTTTATTCAATAAGTACCTACAAAAAAAGGTGTTTCATACCATTTGAAATTATGAAATTTAAAACAGTTTCTAATACTTAATTACCTTTACATAAATTACTTTAAGTAAATAATGTATGTATTTAATCAATAACTAATGTTTTAACAATAATACCTAAGTTTTAAATGTTTTCTAATAATAGAAAATAGAAAACAAATAGGAAATTAGAAATTATCTATACTAATATATAAAATCCTTAAGTGACTCACTGATTAATCACGATCCTGCTCAAACCACTCAACGTAAGAAGCTCAATTTTGGCATACAGGTTGATTCTAGGGTGTAGAGGTTCTATAAGAAGGGATTTTTCGAAATTCCAGTTCCAAGGGGGTGAAACCACCCCTCAAATATTACAATGTTTTTTTATTTAAAAACGGTCAAGTTTCCGAAAAAACGCTTAAAACGTATATTTTATTTTGTTTTTTTACATATTTTAAGATTTTTTAAAATGTATACAGGGTGTAACCACCCCTCAAATATTGGAATATTTTTTATTTAAAAACCGGTGAGTTTTTCGGAAAAACTCTTAAACACGTATATTTTACTTTGTTGTTTTACATATTTTAAGACTTTTTAAAAAATTTTACAGGGTGTTTCATAAAATATGACCATTGAATAATCACGATTCTGCTTAAACTGCTTGACGTTTAAAGCTGATTTTTAGCAAACGGATTGACTGTGGGGTGTAAAGGTTCGATAAGGAGGGGTTTCTCGAATCTCAAATTCCAAGAGAGTATAACAATATTTGTTATTTAAAAAACGGTTTAGTCTTTCGGGAAAACGCTTGTACACGCATAATTTATTTTATTTTTTTTACATATTTTGAAATACAAATGATTAATTCGACGCGAACCAAGTCGCGGGTACACGCTAGTGATAGTATAAAGTGTTTTCTCTTTTTATTAAAATATTAAAAAAAAATATTGCGGGGTCATTGTGTCTGATATATTTAAAAAAATTAAGAATATTAATGAATTAATTGTTATATATTCAAAAATAATCTAAAATGTCAATATCCCATGGGTATATTGAAAAATGAGGTAGAAATTATAAGAAAATGCATTTTCTACGAAAACAAGAGATAGGTAAATGGTTTAATACTATTTGATAGACAACTAAATTGTACATTTGATTGTCGTAAACTTACAGGGTGTTCAATTTAAATTAAACAAGTTATTCCCGAATAAATCTAGAAATTATTCACAATAAATTTTCAGACACTCTATATAGGGTAGTATTATTTTTATTATTGCAACAGAAAATTTAGTAATTAGAAAAACTTCAGTACAATATTTGGTTTTAGAAACTTAAATACCCCTAGAGAAGAAGCTATAAAATTGTTACTACATTTTCACAAAATCAAAAAAAGATTAAAGAGCGATAAACCCTAATAAATAAATTAAAGCCTATAACTAATGAAATACTATATTAACATGTTGAAGATAACAAATTATTATGCTTTTTTCTATTCATAGATACGAATTCATCTCGTGTTTTAATTTTATATTCTAAAATTCACCATAAACCCGATAAAATTCCTCTTTTTTCACCTCCCGCACAACACAGGATCAAACCCCAACCGAATTCGCCCTTAATTCCCCTTATTTAAACCTCTCCCTCCTCCCTTTCATACCCCCCAGTACATCACCCCTCTCTCTTTACCCCTCTCCCGCGAAAACAAATCCTTCAATAACTTCCCCCACCACTCCGTCCAGGTATATTTGCCCGTGAGACGCAGACTTCGCCCCACCTCTCCACATATTTATCGATCGATCGCTCCGCCCACGAAAGTGTTTGTGATCGCCGAAAGTAGGCGGGGCGACTCCGCCTCCGGCCAATGAGCGCGGGAGATTGTGCATCGATCAGAAGCTGGAGCGCTGCGATTGGTCGCTGTGCGGTAGCTGGATTTTGGCGCTTGTTAACAAGCGTGTTGGACAGGTTTTTTTTGTTTTGTGTATCGCGTTTTGGTCTTCTATTTTTGGCTGGCGCTCGGGGATCGGTTTGGAGACGGTATTCTTGATTTTTTTTTGGTTCTGGTTCGTCGGTGTGTTTGTTGTAAAGGAAGATGAGTAGTAGTCTTGGCCTTGGTTTGAAATTGTTTTTTAGGGTTGGGTTTTGAAAGGGTATCTAGTATATCTGGAAGGGTGTTTTTTTTTATAAGTTTGCTATGTCTGAATTAAGTTTCGTATTGAAAAAAAGTGTTTTTAATAAAAACAAACATCTCCCTAGGGTGTTTTTTTACTCTTATTTTAACGTTTGAAAATTTATACAGGGTGTCCTAGAAATAAGTGCAAGTATTTTAACTGGTAGTATATTTCGGCCTCAGAAACAGGCCTATAGGTATTTTTTGCTAAAAAATTGGTTAGGTGTGGTTTATTTTTTTTTAGTTATGAGTTAAAAAACATAATTTCTTGATAATATGGCAACATAGGTAGTAGCTTAAATTTACATGAAAGAAAGTCCAGAAAAGATCCAATGGTTCTCAAAATTTTAGCAAAAAATTATTTTTTGGAAATTTTCAAAGGACTTACATATTTGAAAAACGGTAAAGAGAAAAAATGTTTTTTTTTTGACCAGATCTACCACCCCTTAAAATACTTGCGCTTATTTCTGGGACACCCTGTATAGTACAGAGGACAGTGAAAATATAAATACCTACAACCAATGACTAAAGCAATGATTAAAAAATACAAGGACATTAAATGTCCTTGATAAATTTTATCAAACGAACTAAGTTGTTACCATGGCTCCAAACAGTGCCGTGGCCATATATTTTTCTTAACTTAGCTACTTGAAGGGATATTTATATTTTTGATAAATGTTTTGACTACGCCTATGGTATAGGCGGTTTGGTTTGGTTTGGAATCTTAAAAAAACATTTCCAAAATCATAAATATAGGATAGGTACACATAGCTCCTATTTTACTTAAAATAGGAGCAACGTGTGCCTAGTGCGGAGTCAATATCTAATTTCGTTGACCCTTACCCTCAAAATTATCATTCCAATCGCTAAAAGCACTTGGAAGAAAATTATAATAGATATATCGAAAAAAAAAATTAAAAATTTAACCCACTGTAGCTAGGAAACAAAGTACTCGTAGAATCGGACCTATATTGATATACAGTGAAGTTTATATACTGGCATATTTCCAAAACTGACGTTGCCAAACTGATTAAATTTAAAATAGTAAAGCAGTTAAGCATTAAATGAAAAAATTGACGTTAGCAAATTAATGTAGTTAATATATTACAAAAATATAACGAAATAATTTATTACTTAATAATTGGTTGTGGTATTTAATCAAATACTAATACCAATATACAGGTAAATCTGGCAAATGTTTTCGGTGTAATAGAGATGGGAAAATAAGGATAGAATAATGGCTGATGAAGGAGGAAGGTAAACGATTGTATCTCTTGAGTTTAAATATCTTTGGCTCTTACCCTCAAAATTTCATTCCAATCGCTAAAAGCACTTGGAAGAAAATTATAATAGAGGTGTATCGAAAAAAAATGAAAATTTTAACCCACTGTAGCTACGAAACAAAGTAGAATCGGACTTTTATTGATATAAAAGATAAATTTTGTTTTTACGTGAGGAATCTCCCCACGAGAGACATGACGTTTTTGAAACACCCTGTACACAATCTATAAATTGGAGCGATCTCATATTACGTTCTTTATAATTGATATTATCCATACATTTTTCAATTTTATTATTTTCTTATTTTATTTCTATATATTATAAGTCCGAACTGTATTCCGGAAACTTTGGCAGCATATTCTACTGATAAAAATAAGTAAAAAAGTTCGTATAAATGTATGTTTTAAAATACTTAGTTTCGGAGATATCGTTGTTGATATTGTTTCGGTCTAGAAGTTTCATTTTTATTTCGATTTTTTCCAAATAATTTCTGAACTAACTTCAATATTTGGATGAAAATTGGTGTCTGGGAGTTTTTTGATATGCGAAACTTGATTTTGATGTCAATATTTCTCCTACTTATAGAGGGCGCCACCTACATATTTCTTAACTGGTTTTAAGAGTAATAACTTTTCGTCCGTACCTGTATAAAACTAGTGAGTAAAAAAATATACATTTACGACGTTTTTTATTTAAAAAAGATCTCTTGGTAAAAATCGCTACGAATAATGGTTCTCGAGATACTTGGAATCGAAATTATCAGAGTTTTTGTCCTAAAAGTTCAACAGAAACTGTTTTAGCATCATTTTTTCGAAGAAAAATTTATGATTAATTTAAAATAATAAAAAGTTCCCAAATTTATCATTTCAGTCAAATAACTTTCTACTGTTTATTTTTAGTCAATAATGACATGTATTGATTATTTCCAAGGGACATTTTTCCCTAAAAAATCACGAAAATGTATATTTTTTCACTCAATAGTTTTATACAGGTACGGACGAAAAGTTATTACACTTCAAAACAGTTAAAACACATGTAGATGGCGCCCCCTACAAATAGAAGTCATATTGACATCAAAATCAAGTTTCTCTTGTCAAAAAACTCCCAAACACTAATTTCCATCCAAATATTGACGTTACTTCAGAAATTATTTGGAAAAAATCGAAATAAAAATGAAACTTCTACACTCTGTATCTCCGAAACTAAGCATTTTAGGACATACATTTATAGGAACTTTTTTACTTATTTTTATCAACAGAATATGCCGCCGAAGTTTCCGGAATACAGTTCGGACCACCCTGTATATTAGACCTCCATTTTCTTTAATTGGCATTCTCTAACCTCACATAGTATTACGCTTCGCAGGACGGTAGAAAGCTGGGTTACGGAGCCATGCAGGGCATACCAATGGTCGCATCGTCCCCTGTTCGCCATGACTCACCTTTGGGAGTTCACCCTCTGGAAGTGCAGGCTTACCAACCTCCTTGGAAGGCGCTGCACGACTTCGCCATGCACTCCGACCTGGACCAACCTCATCAGCCGGCGTTTCAACAGTTGGTGAACCAGGTAAGTCAATTTTTTAACTAGCTAAATAACCAGGTACCTATATCTAGTACTTCCGAAGATGCGAAGTCAATTCGAATGATTTTTTTCGAATGGTTGTCGAATTTTTCGAAACTCGTTTGTAAAATCGCTGTATGGCTAATTCGCGTCATGTATGTAACAATGTTTTAATTTATCTTTATATTCACCAATATTCTTTATGACTTTATGAAAAAACTTGTATCTCATAGTAAATTTACTTATTCATTGCCAAATTTATCTTCTAAATTCACCAACTTCTTGTACTATTACTATAGAGTGACAACAAATTAAAACATTTTATTATAGGTAGTGTATTTACAATTACTTTTGTAAATTCACAAAGCGTTAGTAAATATTAATAAATTTAATAAAACACGTGTTTATAATTATGATATTTATTATAAAATTAATAAAATGTCACAAAACGGAACTTATGTACCTATGTAAGATACTCATTGCCAACTTTTCTGGTCTAGAAGAACCTTACTGAAATTCTGAGCCTAACCAAAATAGGAAGAAAATTGCCATTAGATACAAAATAAAAAAAAAAACATGCAAGAAAAGGGTATCTAATCAAAACAGTCAACTTAGTAACTTAGTGGCTACGGATGTATAGAGTCCTCTACTCCGGTCTTCTATTAAATTTTACCTCCGATACACATTCTGAAACAATAATATTGGAGACAAGTTTTTACAAGTTTCTTATTAAAAATACTATAATGTATCAATTTTTTTGTAAAATTACTTATATATTTTTCAGTGTACACCAAGTTCATAATTTCTTTCTTTTCTCTCTCCTTTCAGATGCACGGCTACGATCTACCACCTCCCTCGATGGGCGGACCTCCTCCAAGCGGTCCCGGAGGTCCCCACCCCGCCTCCCTCCTAGGTCCTGGCGGTCCTCCCCCTCCTCCCGACTCGATGACGCACCCGGACAGCACGGACGGCTACGTCACGTACCTGGAGAGCGACGACAGCCTGCCGGCCAGCCCCTAACAGGCCTAGCATTTCGGCTTGGCCCTGCTGATGCGCCATCGGCCGCCCCTGGCTCCCCCTTACGAGGAAGCGCAGGACCTGAGCGTCGTGAAGAGCGAACGAGGAGAGGGGACTCGAAACGTGCTGTTCGGTGACGCGGCGTGGGGCATGGACGCGTAGAAAATGTTGTTTGTTGTTTTTTTCATTCTCTCTGTATTCGTTACGTGTAGATAGTGGCGAGAAATGTGATCGAACTAGATTCGTTTAGGTTAACTCTATTTTTTATGTTAAAAAAATGTCTGACAAAAAAATTATTTTTTTTCGGAGAATGACCCAAAAAATAAAATTCATTTTTTTGCGGTTTTATGATTGTATGTTCGGTAAATAAGTGATTGCACTGGTCCAAAAAAGTTTAATTATGATATTAAAGATAATAATGAAAGTTTCATGAAAAAATAATGGAATAAAATAGTAACTCAACTAAAAAATAAACAATAGTTTGTATGAAATAAAAATAGAATATAAATATTACTTTTCTAATAAGGAAAAATTGAAACAATATTTTGTTTGAACAAAATAAATACTTTTATATATTTATTTTGTTTAAATAAACCGTTTTCCTCCCTCTGTATCTGTTACCTCAAAGAGATCATGTAGAAAATGCCGAGGAATGTGATTGAATTAGTCTTTTTTAGATTTACTCGATTTTATGTTAAAGAAAATGTTGTGACATAAAAATAAAAATTCCCTGAGAATTACCCAAAATTTTAAATATAATTTTTTGCCTTAATATAGTCATACGTTATGTAAATAAGCGATTGCACTGCTCCAAAAAATTTTGATAATGAAATTAAAGGTAATAAAGGTGGTTTTCTTGGAAAAAAAGTAATTTGGTTTAGGTACTCAAAAAAATATGTTTCAAATAAGAATACAATTAAACTAAATACCAGAGATTGAAAAATATCTATATAAAAATTTATATTATTTTTTTCAAAATATTTATATATTTTTATATATTTGGGTGATTCTTCGAAAATTCTCTTTTTTTGTCTCCAATAAACTTCGATATTTTGAACGGTCTCGTTAAAAATTAACTAAAAATTGTTACAACATAGCATTCATATACAAAAATTCTAGCAAATCACAAAATTACATTACATCTAAACAAAAAATTGAAAAAATATTGTGTTCAAAGTACAGTGCAATTTATTTCTTTAATTGTAACTTCTTTGTTCATATATGGTAAATGTTATTAAATTTTTTTCTGTTTTAATTATTATATTTATGTATTTTTTAAAACTTGTCATTAACTTTTTGACGAATACTGTGTATACATAAGAACAAACTAATAAAAATGTTTTTTCTTTTGTGTTATAAAAGGCAAATTTTAGACTAAATAATACAAGAAAATATTGAAATGAGATTAATTTAAAATAAGTATTTTTATCTAGAATTTGTTTTCATTCAAAATTTCTCAAAAGTGCAATTAATATACTTAGTTTTTTTTTTGTATTAACTATAATAATTATTGTAAGAAGCCGAAAAAAGTATTTATTATTAATTTATTAGCAAAGCATATTAATTGGAAAAAAATTGATAGCGATTAGTAATAATATTGTAAAATAATATTGTTAAAATGTAAATTGTAAATTTTGTTAACTTGTAAATTACTTAAGAGAAATTATTATTTTTCATTTCTTTTTGGAATTCTAATAAATTATTATCCATCACGGCAGTGTACGCAATATAATAAAAAGAATGAGATTTATTAAAGCATTTTATAAATAAGAGACTTATTATCAATATATAAATAGGACTTGTAAATATAATTAAAAACACTATTGTAAATATCTATTACCTTATTATAAGAATTATAATCAAAACTTGTGTTTTATTTTCTAATATATTCCCCAAAAAAGTATTCTTTAATTTTAAAATTTGTCTTTAGATAATTAATAATTAATTAAATTAAACATCTAATATTAGGCAACCAAATATACACTACTTAGAGTATAGTTAGTTGCCTGTGCTTTAACCCATGACATAATGACATATGAAATGACAGCTAATGTCAAAATAAAAACAATTTCAGTTTAAATTGGGTTAATTGGGTGGATAACTATTTTTTATTAAATTTCATAAAAAAAAATCATGGCTGAAAGCAACGATATCCAGGAAGGTTTCCTGTGCCCTATTTGTTTAAAGGACATGAGATCCCCCAATAATCTAATAACACACTTTCAGGACTTGCATTCTGAAGAGCAAGATATTTTAAAATCTATCAAAGGTGATAATACGATTATATCTCCATTTCCCTACATTATATGAAGATTTTTAGGTATATACGGTAAAGCAAAGAAGAAAATCTTCAAGCTAGACGATCAAGAACTCCAGGATTTTAAAGAATTGAATTTAAACCAACATCAACCGGAATACAAGGAACCCTTGGATCCTGGACCTACTAGAACTCACACTGATTATTTTAAGACTGTTAGAAGGGAGAGACTCGATCATAGAACCGCTGAGACCAATAAATTGATCATTAGACTGGATAAATTGTTAAGAACGTTTGGTTCTGACCGAAAACAGCAAGAACAAGTAAAAATACAATAAAGATATGTAATAAATAATGGTTTATGTAATTACAGGAACTAGTTCAATGGCTAGACGGGTCAACTGTAACCAGATGCCCTTCTTGCGCTGCTAGTTTTAACATAGCTCGAAGACAGCACCATTGTAGGTTATGTGGCAGTATCATGTGTAATAATTGTTCCTATTTCTTACCATATGACATTGCACGTAAGTTTTTATACTTAAAAGTGAGTTTAGCTAGAATAACAAGATTTTAGAGACAATTGTTGCTCCAGTCAACACAGTAAGCGATAGAGAACACTCGGGCAAAGATACAGATAGTTTAAGGATATGTCACCATTGTTTGGATATGTTAGAATCAAGGCGTAGAGTTCAGATAAATCAAATGAAGAAGCCGACAATATGGCATTTGTATTCCTTACTCCAGTCCAATAAAAAGCAAATACAAAACTCTGTTGAGTTGTATACGAAAGTAAATGTTCTTAAATAATAGATATAAGATTATTGTGACAGAATTTTAGATGTATGACTCTCTGATCTCCGGTAAAACAACTTTTCTACTGCAAGATGTTCAGTCTCTGAGATTATCAATCGCAGAGAAGGCTCAAGTAATTGAAACTTTAGGGAAAAAAATTGCTTCCGAGTCAGTGGATCCAGAATCACCGAAAGCGGCTTTAGTTCAGGCAAATATCTGGAAATCTACATCAAATTATATAAGGGTAAAATATTTTAGAAGTTTTTGGTTACTAAGTGATATTATAATACATATCTAGGACTTCTTATTGACATTACCTGTTCCTCCAACTGTTGAAGAGCTTGAAGAAATACGTAAAAGGTGGTCAAGATTGTCTGATGAAGATTTCCAGGTTGATCCCAGCACAGTTCAAAAAGTGACAGTAACTACTGGCTGGTCTCCGGCTAGTATAGCCAACGAAGTTAAAGGTAAAATAATTAATATATTAAAATAATTAAAAATTTGTGTGATTGGTTGTTTTTTCTTAGATGAAGAAGATAATCCTTTAATTCAACAAATAAAAATAGTTCAAAGTTATATAGCTCAAGCTAGACAAGCTCATAGGTATGAGGAGGTAGCTTCTCTGGAGCAAAACTTAAAAATGCTAAAAGAAAATTACAGAAAACAGCGACTTGTAGCCCAAAACAGATAATAAGTATTATTTTATAAGTAGGAAAATATACACATTCCTTGTTTGTGTTCTGCTCTGCAATTTTCTTTGTTATAAGCTAGTCAAGAAATATATTATTTTATGTATATTTTCTGTAATAAAGATGTTCAGCTTTTGTTTTAACGTTTTATTTGAATCTAAACTAATAAAAATCTATACTTTTCGGTATATCGATTAATCGATAACAATTCCCATCCCTAAAAGACAAGGTATGTTCCTAACTTCGCTATATAACCCTGACCGCTATTGCCATATTGTTAACTTCACACCTATCAAGTTTTAACTTGTTTTGACAGTGACAGTTTTTAATAATGCGTTATTTTTCGAAATTCCCACTACGAAATGGAATTAAAACGACTAAATTCCGACGTTATTTCGAAAATTCGAAGTTCATTTAACGTTTCCAATGTGGCACAATGTGTTTTCGAACTGGTAATTGTTAATTAACGTTGCAAACCGCCTTAATTCTCACTGTTTTTCTTATTTCAGATTTGCAATAGTCTAGATGCGAAAGCTTCGTCGGTAGCGGTAAGAGTAAACCTTATTTCTTTTAAAATACAGATAGCGGACAACGGTGAAGGCATAACTAAGGGAAATATGGAATTAATAGGGCTTCGATATATGACAAATAAATGCCGGACGTTAAAGGAGTTCCAGAAACAGCTCAATACTTATGGATATCGCGGAGAATCATTAGCGAGTATCATAGAAAATAGTATTAAAGTCAGTATATCATCAAGAAGTACCGGTTCTTCAGAAACGTTCATCAAAACAATGGGTAAAGATGTTAACATTGAGGTAAAAACAACAAAATTTCGACCTAGCATCGGAACTACTGTTACGGTATTCGGATTTATGAGCAACATTCCTGTTAGACAAAAACGAGTTATAGATGAAATTGAGCTTGAAGGAGTGAAAAAATGTTTAGAAAACTTAATAATTATCAATCCAATGACATCGTTTTCATTGCGGAACGACGCTACTGGTTTGTTACTTCTAAAAAGTCCAAAAAATGCCGATATTATCGGTTCTTTCAGGTCATTACACCAGGATATTAACGATTCTTTCGAATTACTGAAGGTATCCAAACATAAAGTGACTATAGAAGGTTTGTTTCATAAAGACTTCTCACTTTCAAAGAAATACCAGTACATTTACGTGAATAAAAGACCAGTAAATAGTCCTAAACTTCAAAATCACATTTTAAAACTTTTTCAAAAGAAGTACTTTGCTCAGAACCATCCTATTTATGAGACTAAAAAGTATCCAATGTATGTATTTCATATTCGATGTCCCTCAAGCATTGTAGATATTCTGAGTAATTCTATTAAGTCTGAGGTAGAGTTCCAGTCTTGGGATGTTATAATGGCGTGTACAGATAAAATTTTAAACACATTTTTGGGTTTGAATGAACAGAAAATTGAGAAAATGTCTCTGTACAGTCCTGAAGAAGTTAGCTGTGGTGTTTCTAAGGTTTTTGGAGCTGTACAAGGAAGAGCATTTAAAAGAAAAAGCGATGAAGCTTTTGAAAAAGAGAATAACGTGGAAAAAGGTAAAAACAGCAAGACAGAAAAAGTTTTAAGTCCAGGTACTGATCCAACTCAAGCTTATGAAATATACGATTCGGGGAAAGATTTAGTGAAACCTAGTGAACATAAGAAAATAGTTTCAATACTTAGGAAACCTCTGGAGATAAAGGTAAACAGAGAATCAAAAATTAAAAAACAAAAATCTTATATTGAAACGGATTTAAACCAACCTTATCATACTTCAGAAGGATTAGACAAAGAATTTCTGTATTCTAAGCCTAATAGTAATGAAATACAAGGTAAGAACTTTCTTTTGGACAAATTTCTTAGGTCTGCCCAAATTTCTAACGACCTAGATCAAGTTCTGAAATTGGTTATCCTGATGTCAGTTCTGAAACGATCTTGGAATCGAATTTTGTTATTGAAAAAGACGTTAAAGATCATTTAAAAGGAATTAATACTACTATGTCTATAAATATTAATATGAAAAAGAAAAAGTTGAAAGAAAAGTATAAAACTCGTGTCCAAACTCCTTATATGCGTCGTACTAATAGTGGAATGAGTGAATTAAGTGGAAAACTTGAAAATATCAATTTAGGAGACCCAGGAATTAAGAGAAAACCCCAAAACGAATTATACAATTGTCATGAACACCTCGAAAGATAAGACTTTGTATAAGTTTATTAAAAAAACCGATAGCTTGGAGGTTCAGACTTCATCAAATGAAGCTACTACTCCGAAAATATGCACTTGTTACATGAAAAAAGGAAAATTTTTTGAATTTCAGAATTCCACTCAAAAATCTTTAAAGGAAATTTCTAACGATCATGATTTAGAGCTTTTCAAAAAACCTTTGGATCCAAACAAAAACAAGGAGGATTTAAATAGTTTCGAACAGTTTGAGGTATGTGAAAGTCCATATTTTACGGAAATCTCTAAGAATGCCGCAGTAGTTCAAATAAACCATCACGATAAAACGAGTAATTCTAAACAAACACTGAGTCATAGTACGGTATATGACGAATTTCAGCCAAAATTCAACAGTACACAGTTTTCTACTGGTGTAGTGTACAGTTCGGCCGATAATATTGCTTCTAAAAGCAACAGTGCTTTTTTTCGCGATAATAATAATAATAATGACGACATTGTTGCGGAAAGTATGCTAAATGCAAGACCAAACATGCATTTCACTGTCAAAGACTCCTGTTTGAAGCCTAACTGTTGCTGTTCAAATTTCCTTCCTTCAAAACAAGAAATTTTAGATACCATAGCACAAAATATTGAAGCTGTGAATAAAAATATCAAAAATAATCTTCTGGGTATCAACAAACAACAAATAATAGAAGAATCCTTGTCTTTGAATGATAATTTTTCATCACAAACAGTTCATACGCTCCAAAACAACATCATAGCTGAAGAAAGTAATAGAAAAAGTAAAGAACAAGATCCTGAGGCCGATGAATTCAAATTTCAATTTAGTAACGACCTTTTTACTGAAGTATCTTCATTTAAAAGTAGTCCAAACGTATCGATTCATCCAAACAATGAAAATATATTCAAAAATATAAATAACCAATCTCAAACAGTAAAGAATTCTGGAGAGATAAAGAATTTGCAAAATAAACCATCCACTTTCAAGTTTCAATTCAGTAATGAGGTTCTTTCAAGGAATTTTCCTACGCGAAACGATCCACCCAAGAAATCCGATGATTTTTCGGTGTTGGACGAGGCAATTGCTCCTACAAAATCCTTCTTCGATGACACTTGCCTTGTGATAACTTTGCCAGAAACGAATGAAAAGAAGAAGATGTTTGAAGATCTACTGAATGAAGTTAGGCGCGAACAAAACCAAAGCACGTGCAATTCGGGGGAATACCCGGAATTTGAATCTGGAAAAGTCGTTATGGATTCGCAAAACATGTGGATAAAGTGTTATAACGATGCTGGAGGGAAATATTACACTAATAAAAGAACTGGTAATTATTTTTGGTGTTTTTTGCATTTTTTAATTTATTTTCTGTAGGTATGGTATCAAAAACTACTCCAAAATTAATGGAAATGAACTTTTCTTTTGGTTCAAGACTAGGGTTTGTCCCAAAAGGTTTATCACCAGTTTTAAAAGGGCATTTACCTGTAAATAAAGTAATGAGTCAGAAAAGTAAAAATAAACTACAAGAATTTATATTAGAAAGTTACGAAAACGAACTATTGGTCGTAAAGTGGCAAAATTACATTTCCGACGGTGCGTTGTTATCACATTTCTTAAAATTTCCTTGTTTTTTTTATGTGTTTCGATTTTTTACAGACCCTGTTGAATTTTTCAAAGAAATTTATCAGGAAAAAGCCAAAACCATCGAAAATGGAATAATGACTTTACAAAATAGCGCATTTAAAAAATGGAAAAATGAAATCAATTTCAAACAAGAAATGTTGAGCGACTTAGAAATTCTCGGTCAAGCCGATAAGAAATTTATTGTAGCGGTACATAAAACGGATAAACTTTTGGTTTTATTTGATCAGCATGCTGTTCATGAACGAATCAGGCTAGAAAGTATACTAAAAGGTATTTTTTATATCAAAGTTTTAAGAAATGATGGATTAACTCGCGTTTTTATAGAATATAAAGGAAAAAAGTCAAAATGTAAAGAAAACTTAACATTTTTCCTACCAAGGAATGACTTATCTTTACTCAAAAAACACACTAGCTATTTAAGTTCGTTAGGTTTAGATGTACGGTTTTTTACTGATGGTTTGAGTTTACTCAATATTCCTCTTTGTATCCAAGAAAAATACTGTTCTTCTGTAAGTATTTTCCCTTATTAATCAGAAAAAAATATTGTATTGTATGCAACCAGTAATACAGCAAATATAGACAGAAATCTTAGAATTCCGTGTATTGTTAGTTGCATACTATCTACAATTATGTTTTATTTGAATAATAAATAAATAAATATACTTTTTATAGGATTGTAAAGAAGACTTAAACAAAATCTTGTTAACTTTAATTAATGATATACTAGAATTTCTTAAACAAGCCAGATGTTCGACGCCAAAATTGCCTAAAATAATTCAAAACCTTCTAAATTTGAAAGCTTGTAGAGGTAAACCGAAAAAAACATATTAGAAGTTATATTTTTGTTGAAATTTTTAATTATTGTAAAATTAAAGGTAATTTTAGGCGCTATAAAGTTTGGTGACTGTCTATCAAAGGAAGAGTGTGAAGATATATTGAAGAAATTAAAATTGTGTAAATTACCGTTTCAGTGTGCGCATGGTAGGCCGACTATGCAACCCATGTTGCATTTGGATAAAGTCCAATTTACTCCAAAGGTTGTTTTTTTTTGGGTACAATATTAATTTGATTATTAAGTATATTTTTGCAGGTAAAGAGAATAAATTTAAGAAAACTACTATAAAGATATTACTGATGAACAAAAGAATTTTTTTATTTTAAGTACTTACGTATATAAGTTTGTGTTATTTAAAGAAAAACTACAAACAATTTTTTTAATATTTTTTTTATTTGATCGATAATTCAAATATATTTATGTTAAGTTACAGTATTTTTCTATAATATTATCATAAGTCTTTTTAAAATTGTTAATTTTACTATAATAATAATAATATACTTATATTTGCTTTATGTATCTTTTTGACTTTTTTTTAGATTTTTGTTACTCGGCTTGTTCATTTGAACTACTTTAAATTTTCACGTCGTTCAAGAAATTTAATTTTGAAATAAAAATACCAGATTTTTTATGTTACAATTTTATTATTTTTAATATGACTGACCTGTAGACTCACTCATTACTGAGTGTGACTCATAGTTTTAAATCCTAAAGGAAACCCCGCACGGTAATATTTAACGTATCCTGTAACGGTTTTCTTCATATACTTCACCCAGTTCTTCTTTGAAGCCTAGTTTCATGGCATTTGTAACTACAAAGCATGTTCATTTGAACTACTTTATTTTTTAACTACATTATTCAAGATTATATTTTTAAACGACCATACCGACAGGTATGATGGTAGCACAATGGTAGGCTATTAAGATCGGCAAAAAAAAGTTTTTTTAATTTCACTCAAAATGAGTTATTTGGGTCATGAATGACCTAAATACAAAATATTTTCATGGTGTCTGTCTGTCCGTCTGTCTGTAACACGATAACTCCGCTAAACCGATTTTAACCAAATTTGACAAAAAAATACTGTGGCACTCGGAAAATCTGGCCATTAGATTTTTGTGGCGGTGGGGGGTTGGTAAGGGGGTATGGGAGGGGGTTAAAAATTTTAAAAAATCCTCCAAAATTACAGTAGCTAGCGAAACGCGGTTTTCAATTTAAGATTAGGAATATTTGCAACAAAATTTGTAATAACATCAAAATCAGTCAAAGTCGCAGTTTTTGAGATATACCTTAATAGAATATTATTTTCTTTTATCTATGGATATACCTGCGTACAGCGTGACCAAATAGGTTTTAAATCCTAAAGGAAACCCCACACGAGACTTCTTAACGCATCCTGTAACGGTTTTCTTCATGCACTTCCCCCGATTCCTCTAAAGTCCAGCTTTATAGCAAGCTTGTTCATTTGAACTACTTTATTTTTTCACTACATCTTTTAGGGTAATTCTTTAAAAAAAATACCAAATTTTTATGTTACAATTTTATTATTTTTAATACGGCTCACTCATTATATAAATAAGTAATAGTATAGTACCTAAGCTAAATACAAAAATGGAGGAAAAATAATATAGATCACTTAAAGTACAGATCCTTCTTGAAAACAGAACGGTTATTTTTTGTAACGTAAAGACCATCGTTTTTTATTGATCACAATAATAAGGTAAAAAAAATTACGAAAATACGCCTAATAATCTCTCCGTTGAATCCGTTATTTGACTGCCCTAATATTGAATTTGCAACAATTTTAAACCTATATACAGAACGTCCAGCTAAATTTTTCAGAGACAAACAGTACGAAAATAATACTTATTATCACTTTAAGTTGAACGTTCCGTATATACTTGCGTACAGCGTGACCAAATAGTTTTTAAATCCTAAAGGAAACCCCACGAGACTTCTTAACGCATCCTGTAACGGTTTTCTTCGTGTACTTCCCCCAATTCACCTTTAAAGTCCAGCTTTATAACAAAATCCAAGTCTCTGTTGTTCCTCGGGTTGGGCTTCATGGTGAAGGTACCGTGGATCTCTTCGCCTTTCTGAACAGTCATGTAGTCTTCGAAATAGAACACCGTCTGCTTCCAGTGGGTGTAAGGAGCGTCGGGGGCAGTGGTGAAGCCGATTCGTTTGTGGCATTTGGTGAATTCGACAGTGAAGTAGGTGACCAGGGCTTGGACGTAGTCGTTTCTACGGACCCCCAGAGTGAAATTGGATGAGAACTCTAGGTCTTCCTTTTTGACAGTGTACAAGTCGACTTCTTTCACTAGGGCTGGGCCGGATACTACTTGTTTGGGGTCCACTACATCCACTAAAGGCTCACTAATAGCCACCTGAGAAAAATAAAGGTATTTTGAAAATAATTCGATTGCAGCAAACAGCAACATTACTATTGTTAGATTTATTACTATACTCTTTTTTTTTCATATATATACTGTTTTTTTTCTCAGGTAAGATTTCGACAGACGATGACAGAAAAAAAGCAGATGAAGTCCCACACCAATCCATTTATTTTACTAAAAACAGTTTCTAATATTTTTAAGTTAACTATGGATGGGTTTATACAGTGGTGGCCAAAAGTATGGAAACTTTTTTAATTTGTCATTTATGCTGAGAAATTAAAATATGAAATAAAACGACTTATATAATCGTGACCTACAAATAATTTCCTACAAAACCTAATACATTTAAATAAAAAATTACAGCTATCAAAAAATATATAAAAAATTATGAATATTTTCTTGGTCAAAAGTATGGAAACTTAAGAAGAATGTTTATTAAAATTCAAGATAATATAAAAATTACTAATATTTAGTGGAATATCCCTTTGAATTAATTATTTCTCTACATCTTCGTGGCATCGAATCGATCAATCTCGTACAATCTTTACTGGAAATGGCCGCCCATTCAGTTTTTAGCACTTCCCATAATTCATTTTTATTTGAAATAGAATGGCTTCGAATTTTCCTATCCAAATGGTCCCATAAATTTTCTATGGCGTTAAGATCCGGAGACTGTGAGGGCCAATCCATTAGTGGAACATTATGTTCATTTAACCAATTTTGAACAAACTGAGATTTGTGCTTGGGATCATTGTCTTGCTGGAACAACCATCTGAGTGGCATTTCTTCATCAGCATGAGGCAGCATATTATTATCCAATATGTCTTTGTACAAAAAACGGTCCATTATCCAACCTGAGCGAGAGGACCAACACCTGAGCGAGAAAAACACCCCCACACCATTATACTCCCACCCCCATGTTTTACTGTGAGCATCTGGTACTTATGGCTGTACCGTGTACCTTTTGGTCTTCGGATATAACGTCTCCCGTCACCACCAAACAGTTGAAACTTGCTTTCGTCGCTAAACAGTACATTCCATTTCTGATAAGACCAGGTGAGATGATCTTGAGCAAATTTAAAGCGGGCCATCCTATTTTTCTTTGATATTAGTGGTTTCTTCACCGCGACTCTTCCAAAAAGTCCCATGTCATCCAACCTTCTTCTCACCATGCGTGCAGACACCGATATTCCCCTTTCACCCATTTCTCGAGAAATGTCTGTGGATGTTTTTCTTGGATCTCCCATTGATATTCTCTTCGTTACTTTCATTGTCCTGTTGCACAACTTTCTTGGTCTTCCTGACTTAAAAGCTGTTGAAACGTTCCCTGTTTTATTAAATTTACGAATTATTTTCGAAACGGTGCCTTTTAAAATGTTTAAATTTTTACTTATTTGAATTTGTTTATAACCACTCTTGTATAATTCAACTATTGTATTTTTAAATCCGTAGAAATATTTAGACTTGGGCATGATGTTTATATTTATCTGGAAACAAATCATTACCGTTAATCAGCTTAAACTAAATAATTTTAATGTATTTATTTATGGTTTCCATACTTTTGGCCACAAGAAATCTATTGTTCTCCTACAAAAACTGCTAAACAGATTTTTTTCGCTGTGTAATTTTTGGAATACTTTTATTTGCTGATAAGCTGTTCATTTATATTCCTGAGAGTTTAAGCATAGCAATATTTTCTGTGATATTTTAAAAAGAAAAAAGTTTCCATAGGTACTTCTGGCCATCACTGTATCTAAATCCGTCGTGCGTCGTCTCTTGTTGTTTTTAACCAGTTTTATTGGTTTATTTCAAATTAGTTAGTGTAGAAAATACAGTATAAAATATAAAATTTTCTACCTACCCAACCCTGATTGTGGCGAATTGCAACATTACTATTGATACATTTATTCGTCAGTGAAACGTAATAACCTGCTACCTCCATTTTTTACGTTAACAAGTTTTTTTATACCATTAGAAAAAGAAAAAAATACTCTATAAGTAAGTAAAGAAAATTTGCTATTTTAACTCAATAATATCTGCTAACTCCCAGTGATCTGAAATAGCCACCGAAATGCTGCTATCCCCGTAATTTCCGTTACGATCACGCTAAAGCAAACTCACGGATTCTTACTCGTATGTTTCTTTAGTACAGTACGTCGATCCAGGGTCGCACTAGGCTAAAGGGGCCCGGGTGGCAATGTAAGGGGGGCATATGTGGATTTTTTTGCGTATTTTTTCGCCTTACGTTTTGGTCAATTTTTCCATAAAATAATTGGTTTGGATAATTATACTGCGAGCAATTCATCGGCGTGCTATAAATAATTTAAATAACATTACTTACTTGTACAAGAATTTCCATAATACCTAATCAGTTTTATTTTATTCAACGTTTTTCCACGTAAATGATATACATAATTCTTATAAAAATTAAAAAAATAACGAGAAAAGTAATAAAAATTTAATAAAATCACGCACTGTTTTCCAAGCTCGGCGGGTCTACTACCGTTGTATAAAAATTAGGAAAAGCATGGAAGGATTCTACCATATCTTCTAAGAATTATAAGTTTAATTTTTAAATTCTTTTCATATTCATTAAGTCCAAAATTCTGCTACTTCTTTAAAAATGCATTAAAAATTTATTCGTTTTTGGACTTGGTATGTTTTGCTTCTAGACCGACGATATTATAAATACTATATGGTTATGTTATAAAATAACAATAACAAATATCATATTTTTTAAAATTTAATTGATTATTTCTATCTGTTTGGGTAATATTTAATTCCATTTTCAAAATTTCAAACAATAAAGGTTGATCTCCAGAAGTATATTTTTATTTCTGCAAGATGAATATCCCTATTGTATCTGAAAAAAATGATGTAACACGAAATATTGAGTTTTATTGTTCCCCAGCAAATAAAATTCTTATATCTTTATCATATTAACGCATGAAAATACTTCCTGCATGAGTACATATTTTTTTTACCCTCTTTTTTTACTCTCCTGTAAAATTAGGAATAATGGAGTTAGCAGTTTATCACATTTCACCAAGGTATTACTATTTCACTCCTTTTATTGTTACATGCATTCCTCAAGTCCTTTGACGAGGTACACTTATAACTTATTTATTACACCATTTCTGGGTATGTGTATCATTACTTCAGTAATCCATAGTTTATCTCTGACATACCACTGACTAAACACAAAATTAATCAGAGTATTGATAATACCCCAATCTTTCAGACATACATATTCATCAAAAAGCATTATAAAGACCATTTATTTTAAATATCAACAAATAAAAAGCAAGTACCTTTCTGATAGAGCTCATATCAAAACCATACACATCATCCCACCAGTTGATTTTTTCATCTTTATACTGCCGATCTTCGATTGCAGTGATGTACAGGGAACACCTATCAGGAAACAGCAGACCATCGGGTTTCAACCATTTATCTCTGAAATTTACCATAAAAATCAATCATTTTCTATAAAAAACAGTGAAAAAAAGTGTATACCTGGCAAAAAGAACTGTATCTAACATGCTTTCATAGAAGAGGCAGTAACCCATCCATTCGGAGATGATTATGTCCACTTTTTCTATGCCATCAGGAAGAGTTATTTCCTCTACCTTTCCTAAATTACCAGAATAATATAATCTCAGATTCTAACATGAATTTTGATTACAAATATTACCTTTAACAATAGTTATGATGTGATCCAACTTATTTGTTTCAATAATTTTTGTGGCATATTCAACAATATTCGAGCACTCTACAGCAATAACTTTCTTGGCCCCAGCCTTAGCAGCGAACATACTAAGAATCCCTGTTCCACAACCTGTAAAAAAGGCCTAAATTACCGAAACATTCCTTGAACTGTCTGAAGTTCCTTACCGATATCCATGACAACTTTTCCATTAAAAAGATGCTTATTGTGGTACATTGAGTTCCTATACGTCAACGTTCTTACTTCGTCCTTCAACATTTCTTCGTGAATACCGAAATGAGCATAGGAATCAAAGTAGTAGTCCCGTGAGGTCATTTCTTCTGCGGGGATGTCTTCCATCCTTTCCTCTTTTGAGATGTGATTGGTCTGGAGGGGGGCTATTTCCATAGTTTCCATTTTAGTATGAGGTCTATTTAGAGAAACGATAAAGGCCAAATCATTACAATAAGCGGTGGTATGAAAAAATGCTGGTTATTTTGTGCAGCAAATATAAAATGATATTAATAAAGTGTTAAGATATCAATGAGTTCTATGCAAAACAAAAGTACAGCATTAATCAGGACAATAAATTAGTAACAAAAAGAAAAAAACACAGCTATCAAAATAAATGGATGGATGTACGCCGGGTAGTAGACATTGTTTAAATACACGTGCATTTGGTTATGATTTCGATACGAAACCCCTCCTAGATACTTGGATAATCAATAACTTGATAGAAAGTACTTGAAATAACGAAAATTACCTTATTTTAAATCACTATAACTAATTATTTTAACTTTCTTGGCGCCCAAACCAACAACGGTTTGGCGTTCTAAATGAAAAGAAAATTGACGTTTGCCCTTGAAAGGTTGACGTCAAAGAATTCTTCTTTTCGAAATATTAGGCGCTTACTTAAAAGTACATAAAAGAAAATTGATAAACAGTAATACTTTTTTTTATTTCTTCGTTAATACAGTTAAATATAAAAACTAAATACAATATATTTTATAATAATAAATAAATAACAATATATACAGATATTAAACTTTAAAAAAGGCTGGTTTTTGAGCCTTATAGTCGCTCCTGAGTTGAATAAAGTTATGTAGAATAGACTTGTCCAAGTTCACCAAGGAGTCTTCTGAGCAAACTTGGTTCAAATTTTCTGTTTTTACCAAAAGTAGATTACATAATGCGTGTAAAGTTTCAAATAATTCAGTTACAAGGGGACCCAGTGATTTAGTACAGGATCTGTATTCATTCAAATCGCATATCGCAATCATGGCACCTAAAAACATGTATTAAAGGTAGGTAAACAAATATTTTGAATTATATTTCATTACCTGCTGTGTTATATTGAAACTGCAACATATGATCGTAGATAGTTCTGTGTAAACGAATACCAAATTCTTCTAAAACTGCCGTTACATTATTTCCATCGAGACTTGTTTGAATTTCTTTCTTGATGCTGGTTATGTATTGAGACACGTGTTTACAAGCCTTAAAAGTTATAAAATTTGATTTAAATACCTTATTAAATGCAATACAATGTTTTACGTTTTATGTAAAAAACTAATGTTGTGACTAACTTCACAAGGTAATCCTGGCTGCTATCGCCAAAAAAAACAATATTAACTACTGCAAACTTCACACATTTGAAGTTTACATTTTTTGACAGATAATACGTTACTTTTTGATATACCAAAAAAATTCAATAAATGCAATTAAAATAAGTGAATTTACAAGTAATTACGCATAAAAAGTTTAGTTTTTAACAAAGTAATACATAAACAACTTACTGGCGAAGCTACTGTGTCGAAATCATCAGTTTCAGGTTTGAAATCGCTTTTTTTCTGTTCCGATTGCAAATATAATTTAACCCACGTAGTAACAGCGTTCAAACACCTAAAAAATATTACTGTAACAAAATAAAAACAGATTTTTATTAAGTTTAACCTGTCAAGTCCCAAATTTATCTTGCGCTCGATATCTTCAAGAACAAACTTCTTTTTTTGGATGCAATCATTGTGGTAAGGGGTATTACTGTAAGAAACGTATAAAAAATATGTAAAATCCATTATATACCTTTTATACAGTAACTTACTGAACTAATGGGACTACCAAATCCATAAATTGTCTTTCTGCAAGATGTGTAATGTTGTTACTTTGATGAACTACAGTAAAGAAATAAAGAACAGGGGAATTTTTAGCCCCCTCAACCACAGGAATAGCGTGGAGCCCTAATTCAACAGCATAGTCGACATGCTCTATCAGAAGGCTATTTACCAAGGTGTTAAGAATTTTTGAAGCATTGCCAGCTCTTTCTTCAGGTTTTGATAACTATGAAATAAGTCTCTAGTAGGTAAGTACCAGTTATATTAATAATACTTACTAATTGGCACCTAGAAAAAGCATTTTTGGTGTCTTGAAGTATCATAATCGCTAGTTCTTCAGATAGAAACGTTTCCCCACCATAATTCTCTATTTGGGCTATGTTTATATTTGCTCTTGTACCTATAACCGCTTGTAAGTCTCTTCTTAAGTCTTGAAATCTATTAAAAGTATAGTTTAATTCAATATAAATAATAATAATAATTATTTGAATACCCTCCACTTTGAATCTGCTTTTTCTGGTGATTTTTTGTATCGTAATACCTCTGAAGGTTTGTAGCACATCTGTCTTTTAATGATTTAAGTTCAATTCTAAAAGAAAAACGCTTTGATATAAATAGACACATACAAAATTATGGTTAAATAAGATACTTACTGGATATATTCACTAATATGCTTTGTAAATATGTTAGATGTTAATTTTGTTAAATAGTTCTTGTCATTCCCCAAGTTATAGACACTGAGCTCGTTAGAAAATTGATTTGTCCTGTAAAACAACAAAAAATAACGGTAAAATTCAATTATTGCAACAAAACTGTACATACTTTGAGTATAACTCATAGAGCATCTGTAAGTATCCGTGACTTCCCATTTTCGCGCTTAACTTTGAGTCAATATAGTCAGACAGCTTGAGCTGATACAAATTTAAGACAAACTTAGCCATAACTTGCTCAGAATTATTAAAAACCTCCCTTATAATGTCATAATTATGTTTACAAAGGAGTACTAAGTTGGCAAATACATCTTTACCAAGCAGACAACCCTAAAATTGTTTTTTTTTTATTTTAAAATAAATTACCTTATGATACATTTGAACTACTTTCTTATTTTATTCAAAAATTAAATAATTTAGTATTTCAAGTGTATTGCATTTGAACTACTCTCTTATTTAAGACAAAAATAATAATAAAGTAGTCAAAGAGTGTTGCGTTTGAACTATTTTCTTATTTAATTCAAAAATTAAATAAAATAGTTCAAATGAATTTAATTACTCTACTCACTGTTTGGCTTTGATCAATATACGCATCGACACACTGACTGTACCCTTTAAATTGCGACAATACATTTGCTATAGTCCTCATTCTAGTTAAATCTTCTTTAGTCATAGCCCTGACAAATTCTTCAATTAATGCTTTCTCAATATCGGAATATGTTCTTTCTATTTTACGTTTGACACTCTCAAATCTATGAACACAAATTATAGTACAACAAAAATCATATTTCGGTAAAATTATCTTACTTTGGAGATGGTAGATCTTGAGATATCAAAAATAACTTTTGAATTACATCAGCTGCTTCATCAATCTAAAAGAAAAAGGGATAAAATGGTAAAAATTGTTTTTGGTTAGTTTTCTGACTTACCCTGTATGGGTCATTAAATATAGAGCTAGTTAAAGGTCCGTTTGAAAGGAATTCACTGAGATGAGAGAGTAATTTTTGTGCATCTACCACCCGAGCTCTAGGGCCATTTACACTATCCAATTGATCACCTAAATGGAGCACTTTGGTGGCAACAATATTAATTTTACTGTCTAGTTCTTGAAAATTGTCCATTGATTGCTGAAATATGTTCGGTTTTTTTTAATTGAACTATAAAAAGAACCACTTACCTTGTTTTGTTCTAATAAGTTATAGATTTCTTGAAAAAACATCGCTTCATCATCTCTCACTGTCGATTCGAGTCTTTCACATTTCTTTTCCTGGCGTTCTTGTAATAACGTTAAATCTCTATAAATATAAAACACCGAGTTAAGTTTGTGGTTAAAATAACTGTATAAAATGGTTTAAAAAAGAGTTTTAAGGCAAAGTAACATACTTTATAGCTTGCACAAACGATTCATGTAGCAACGTTGGATTTAAATCACCCTCGTCTCCTTCAGCTCTTGTCTCTGCTATGGTCCTCCATGCCAAACGTTCCACAAACTCTTCAGCATCAAAAGGTTCCTTAAATTTACAAAAAATCACACACCTGTGCCTTTCCTGAATGTTATTTAAATTATTTTGTACCTGTTCTAACTCCTTTATATATTGTTGCATCATTTTGAATACGGGGAGGTAAGCCTTTATATAAAAATAAATTGGAATTAATAAAATTTCATTAAATCTTAAAATATAAACATTAAAAATAAACACTCCCAAGAAAAAAACAAATTTATATTTAATTTTAGACCACAGATAGGAAAATGAAAATATGTTTTGAATGACAGGCAGTAAGGGTTCCTGAATTATTAAAAAGAAGAGTATGTCTATCAGAAACTCTGGTAGTTAGAGCCTGATAAGGGTAAAAGATGAAGACATTCAATCCTAATCTGTGAATCCGTAATTTTTCGCAGTTAGAGATCAATAAAGTGAAAAGAAGAAGACAATTTGAATTTTTTGTCAATTACAGCGCCAAATTCAAATTTCTTAACTACATAAAATAGATTTTTTCCTGATTTATAAATTTCATATAATATCAACACGTAAAATGCCTAAAAATAATCATTCTTTGTACTAAAAATATCACTAATAATTAAATTCAACCTATATGGTCAGTATTATGCTGAAAAACTGAAATAAAAAATTACAATAAACAAATAAACAATAATTTTATGAATAAAAAATATCAAAAATAATTTAATTAAACTTATTTGGTCTATATTACATTGAAATTCTGAAATAAAAAATTACATAAATAGTAATTTATCGAGTCGATAAAAATGATAAAGTTTATATAATTTTCGAAATACACTTTATTTACACGGCACATGCAAACATAAATATTACGATGTTACGACATACTAAGGGATATAATTAGAAGTTGAAAACATTTACTATATGCAATAAATTAAATGTTGTGGCTCGAGACAAAGAAGGAAAACAGCTTGTAATTGTTGGTCTAAAAAGAGATAGTTAAATGAAGCATTCATGAGGAGTTTTGGCATGAACGAAATTTTCATATCGTAAACGTTATTTAATAGAATCTGAAAAAATCTTGAATTAAATGAAGTTTTAGTGAGTAATTTCGATATAACAAATATAAAGAAGTAAATTTTGAGTAGATTTATATAAATTAGAACGATTTTCAGATTTTTTTTGTAGATTTTATTTTAAAAAGAAAATATACCAAGAGATATTATCGACTTTTTTGTACTAAATACTGCTTTCCTCACTTATTATATCAATTTTATTGAAATAAAACAACTTATTATTTGTTTAATACAAATTTTATTTAAACAAAATTAACGCATTAAAACGCGACACAAACAAATTCTTTAAAATACTTGAAACAGACAGTTGTTTAACCATTATCTTTAAATCGATTGTCTTTTTATCTGTACAAGACAAAGTATTCACAGAAAATCAATGATTTTTCTTCAAGATTCAATTTTAACGTTAACGTTTACCGGTATTACAGTGTCCTGTAATGCGAAAACGCTCCTATTTTTCTTCAAACTTGCTTCAAACAGCCTACGTGAACTCTGCCACGAAGAACGTAAACAAAATCAAAAGAACGCGATCCGTTGGCCTCTGAAAACGTTTAAAAATAGTCAACACAAAGAAAAACGTTACTTTTTCACAGGGGGTTGCTTGTTCGATATAGTCCAGTCTTGCGAGATTCAGGAAACAAAAGATAGTTGTATTGCGTCGGCGTTGCCAAGTTTACCCGATGCATTTTCCTTGACTTTATTCAGCTAACTATAAAAATCATAAATTTTATATCTGAGTATTATTTTACTTATAAGTAAAGTCTAGTATTTGTTCTAGGCTTGTGCTATTTTACGAAAAAATTAATATAATATACATAGTAGTAAATAAAAGCAAAAATGCAAGAAAAAATATATAATTAATTAGTTAATTTTAAGTGAATCTCATGAAGATTACACACACCTTACACAACCGACTATTTTACAGTCTTTTTCGATAAATCGCAATAGTGCCACTGTTAATTCAAGTTCTGCCATAAAAAAATTCTTTCTAGATTTTCTACCTCTTTTTTCTAAAGACTGACAAATCTGAAAATTTCAAATCAAATTCAAATGTGTCAAATGAATCGTAAAACAGAACTGTCAAAGATTGTTATGAATACATAGATAGCATTATACTCTTTCCTTAATCTTTTTATTCAAAGGATCTGTACCAAAAAAACAACAAAAACCAGAGACCCCATATATTTTTTCCTTTTAATACGGTAAAAAATTGTCACGACGGCAACGTGGCCGTAGGGAAACGCACCGAATCCCGCATCCCTACACCGTTGCAGGCGACCGTCGCGCCCCCAAACGATCAACAATAAAAGCCGCCACAAGAAAATGGCGATTTCGCTTCGATCGTGTGCAGTTCGTATCCGACTCTCTACAGACGCGCGTCCCCACAGGAGCCCCGAGTGAGCATCCCGCAAGGTAATTTTCGTGAAAACAGTGCTAACGGGCGAAAAATGGATGAGAAAAAGTGCGAGAACGGCGATGAAAATCGAGCAAGAAAAACGGGCGACGACGACGCCAGCTCGGCGGACATTTTGAACGGTGCGCGCGCTTCTGGGAAGCCGAAGACGCTCGAGCAGGACGCGACATCTACCGAGGGCGACGCGCCGCCGAAAAAGCGCAAGACGAGGCGCGGGAAATCCAAAAGGAAGATGCCCTACCAGAAGTACGGGAGGATTACTAGGAAAAATACCAGCACTAAATCGGTAAGTTTTTTTTACCTCAAAATATGTGAATTAAGTAGTTCTTTTGTCGTAAATTTACAAATTGTTGGCACATATAGGGTGCCCCGTAGAGGAAAAAATAAAAGGAAGGTCCATTAGAGTGAGGAAGTCCTATTTCATCATTGTTGAGGGAGATATGAGAAAAATATATAAATGTTGCATGTTATAATATAAAGATGCATATCCTAAAAATATTTTGTTTTTTACAGGGTGTCTCAAAAAAAAGTAAGCAAGGTAAAGTTGCAATTTTTTTCAAATTGCAACCAACCCCATTTTTCTGTACAGGGTGCTCCAAGAATAACGGTAGTTTGTATTGAAATGAAATTGTGGAAGCATATGTTTAATTGAAAGCATTCTTTAAAAATATTATGAGTTCTACAGGGCGTCCCCAAAAAAATTAATCAAAGTTTTATTTTTTGTAACGAAACACCCAGTATATTAATTGATTTTCGGATTCTAGGAAGAAAATAAAGGTGAGTTTTATTAAAGAAGTATATGACTAAAATGTAATGTTTTGACATATTTCACAATTTGTGAAAATGAAGAATAAACAAGTTTCAATAACAGCTACTTAAGTTGTAATTTACCTTATATAGCCGGATGGTTTAGTTAAAATAAAAAATAACCATTGTATGTTAAACTAAATTAAAATTTGACATGAAAAGTTTCACAGGGTGAGACAAAATTAATATTGAACATAGGTCACTTTTAAAAGCAAGTTTTTAGAACACCCGGTATATTATTCCGATATTCAATGGAGAATTCATATTCCTTCTTTAATGTTTATATACAGAGTATCCAAAAAAAAAGTAGTAATAAAATTATATTTTTTTTAAATGAGAAATGGGGGTTGCATAATTGCCTGTACAGAATTGGGTTCTACATATAGAACGCTATGTTTGTTTGAAGCACTATGCAGTGTTGCCAGGCTATTTCTTATTTACTAAAACTTTGATTAAAAACCGTATATCTGAAAAGTGGTAAAAACCTGGGAGTGAATTTACCTTTATCAGTACTTTGATGTATTTTCCTAAACACCAAGAATAACAGAATAAAAAATGAAAATTTTCATTGTCTTATACAGGGTATTTTTTATTGCGTGGCCAACATCGCCAATATTTAATATGATATATCTCAATTTTTTTAAATGCGACACCCTGTATATTATTTTTTTAATAAGAACAAACAATTTTTGTATAAGTGTTCCTAAATTTTTAAAGGTTTCGCAGATATTTGAGGTATAATATTACATAGATCTTTTTCAGTAGTAAAATACATATACAAGGGTAAAATATAAAGCAAAACACCATGAGGTGTGTGATAAAATAGCTTGTGTGTCCATCATTACTTTTTTTGGGGCACCTTGTATACAACAAGATTTTTTAGAATATGCACCTTTATAATCCATTAGACTTCTTTGCGCTGATAGACCACTCTGTATGTTTCAAGAGGAGGCTGTAACTTCGACAACAAGCATCTTAGAGCATAACATTATGTTCATAGGAACTTATTCTCAGCTCTCTCTTCTATTTTTTATACCTTTTTTTTCTTTATCCGTTCTTGGTGCGCTATTTTTTTACACCCTGTAGACTATAATACTAACGTCCAATCAATCATTTTCAGGTAAAACCACGTATGGTTAAGCCAGAAGCCCCCCACAACGACAACCAATTCCTTCTCGAAGACCACGGCGATCTAGAAGAGCTAGACGAACGTTTCAAGTGTATTGATCAAGCCTCCACATCCACAGTCACCCGTACCAGAGACTCCAGCTTCAGCGTGGACTCAGACTGTGAGTTCTACTCCTCCCCTGATGATGAAGGCGAGTTCCTCATGAAAGACTTCAACGATCAGTACCAGAGCGTGCAAACCGAGCAACTTCACACGATGTCCAAGCAGGAACTCATCCAAGAATACATGTCTTTGGACAGTCGGTTCTCGCAGAAGTCCAAGGACTTGGAGGAGACTATAAGACGCTTGGAGAAAGAGCTGGAGAAGCAAAAGAACGATAAAGAGTGTTTGGAACGGGAAAATGCTGTTCTCAAAGCGAAATTAGAGGAGGTCGATAACTGTAACAGTGATTCGGAAGACTCAGAAACCGATTCGAGTGATTCTTGTAGTTCTAGTTCGTCTTCGAACAGTCCCAGTGGTGGTAGTAGATCTACTAGCCCCCTTTTAAATGACGTGGACTTTCTAAAACCGAACGGTCATATTTCGCCTACTGCTAGTGTGGAACCCGTGTAAAAAAATTTTTTTTATTAAAAATTAATTTTATTTTCCTCCCCTGTATCATCCGTTTCTTTTTTGTTATTTATTTTTCCCTTATTCTTGTCGATACATTTTTATAAGACTGAAAAAGTTTCAAGATTGGAATTTTTGTTGCCTGTGCATTTTTTATAGTATATTTATTTTAATGCCAATCTTTAAGCTCGGAAGTTTTTGTTTTTATATATAGTTTTTTTTTCTTTTTTTTTTCTCTCTTAGTACAACCAGGTCCAGTGTGGTTTTTTTTGAGTTAATTTTTTTAGGTTTTAAGTTGAATGTTTTTTTTAGATCTAGGGATGAAGTAAAAAAAAAATAATTGGGACTCAAGTCAAAATTCATCTCTAGATTGAAATCAGTTTGTATGTCGAATTTATCTAATTTATTTAATTTTTTACCTTCCTTTTGTGAATATTTTTTTGTAAAAAAAGATGAAAAAAGTCAAATTGTTGTAGGTAAGAAATTTTTATTGTAGTTTTAATGTTTATTCTAATAAAATGTTTAAATAGTCTTTTGGTTTTTATTTTTTAGTGCTCTTTAATTTGCGCTATTTAATTGCTTGCCGGGTGCGTTTCAGAAGTGGCTCACCCCTATAACTTTTGTATTTTTTTGAGATAAAAACACGAGATTTGATATGTTAGTATGTGAAAAAAATTAGAATTGACTGACTTATTCAATTGTTTTTGGTTACTTCCTGTTTCAGCGGAAATGACTACAACTTTTGATTTTTAAATGGCACCCTCGGTATTTTTTAATTTTACTCGATAGAAAATGACACTGAATAGAATGACATATCATATGTCAACTCTTGACATTTTTACATAGGGTTTATTTGGAAACGAAATATGTGGTACCAAATTATTCTTAGAAAAATGCTTTTTCCGAATATGCTAATGAGCCACCCTCGTTTCATTTAAAAAAATTGAGATATGATTAAAAATACGATTAGGGCATATTTTAACCGGCCAGGACAAGACACTAAAAACATTAGACGATCAAATCTATTTTTCCAAGGCTCCTTGAAAAATTAGTGTTTTTAACACAGCCATGGCACTCGAGATTGAAATTTAAAATATATTTTTTTCAAAAGTTGTCATATGATATGTCATTCTATTCAGAGTGTCATTTTCTATCGAATAAAGTTAAAAAATACCGAGGGTGTCATTTAAAAATTAAAAGTTGTAATCATTTCCGGTGAAACAGGAAGTGACCGAAAACAACTGAATACGTCAATCAATCCCTATTTATGTCATATATTAACGTACCAAATCTCGTTTATTTATCTGAAAAAATAAAAAGTTATAGGCCACTTTTGAGAAAAACCCGGTATAATATTCAAATGACGTATATTATTTGTAAATGATAAAAGTTTTTTGTTATCTATTACCTGAAAACTAACCTGAATAATAAAAAAAAATATTATTTTTTTCAGTTAAAATTTTATTATAAATTACATAAAATACATAATTTTTTAAATTACTATACAAAAAAATGATGAAAAAACTTATAGTATCTACGTTGGTGTGTAGTATTAATCTATTTTAAAGTTATTTAATCATACATTAGGAAATTCAATAAAAATACTTGGTTTAAATATTTGTGTTCCTTAGTTTATAAAAAGTAATTAGTTTAAATTATTAAGTAATATTTGTAAAACGTTTTAACAATAGTAGTTCAAATGTATAGGGCGCCCCATTATTGGTATTTTGAAAACTACAAGAGATACGATGTCCGTTAAATGGACTATGGAGACAAAGATGCGAAATTTAATGCTGATCAAAATGCCACCTTAAAAGTTTAAAAATTCGATATACCTCCAAAGATTTTTGAAAAAAAATATTCGGATTTCATTTTTACATATTTTTTTTTACTTCAAAGCTTGAATTTGGGACACTCTGTACAACACCAATATTTATGTCTACACCTCAAAATACTGGGAAAAATTACAAATTTTAGCATCATATTTTTTTTTCATTACACTGTAAAGAACAAAAAATATATTAGTTCATACATCACCTTACGTAGATCAAACGATTGCTGATCAAAAACCTTTTGACGAACGATTGCTAATCAAAAGGTTTCCAAGTTTACTGGCCCATGCTGCTGATCAAACCCAGAATGAAACTGCCCAAATCTTCATCCTGATTCGTCCAAGAAACATAGACAGTTTTTTGTTGCTCTGAGTCTTCACCTTCGACCTTCACCAACACTGATTCGACTGATATCTCTCCCTCTGAGAAGGTCACAGCCCACTGGGGTAGTTTTTCTTTTAATAAAGAATGGAGTTTGTGAGCGGTGGATAGGCTTGGACCTGTGTCATTAATAGCAACTGTTGAGGTGAACCTGCAATAATTAATTTTTAATATAAAAATCAAATTCAAGTGTGTCAATTAAAAATTGAAACGTCAAGCATACTATCAACTAAAGCATTAATACTAGATAAAGGAAATAAATTTATATTGGAATGCCTGTCAAAATTTTGCGTCGGGAAATTGTTTTGGGTCGCGACCGTTATACGCGATCTGGCGCTACTATAGCAGTTGCCAAGAACAACCGCAAAGAAAAATAGAAATCATTTTCTCTTGTCCATATCTCTTATCAAAGTCAGATTCTTCATAAATTATTCATAAGTTTTATTTGCTCAAACCCATGATAATTGTGAAAAAGTGGCATTAAAAACTTAAAAAGCTGTGCTGTGAACTGTGAACTGTACAGGGTGTCCCACTAAGAATAGCTCTCGGCTGTACCTCGGAAAGTATTAGCCGTAGCGGCTGCGGAAAAAAATATTTATAGAGGCTATGGGAAATTGCTGGAAATTATTTTCAAGTTTGTAGAACGACCGCTAGGGGGCGCAACTGCAACAAAAAATAAGAAAATGGAGTTTTTACACAATTTTGCCTAAATAAGGTGTACTATAAGTAACAGCTTCATAATCTTCAGTAAATTTTGAATATTTTTTGTTAGAGCCATTTTCCCCTATCTACCAAAATAAAGTGGTGGGGGAAGGTTAGATCTGTTTTTATTTGAATATTAATAACTCTGGACTGGATGTTCGGAATCCAACAAGCGAGGGCTCGTTTAAAAGAGCGTTTCTTACTCTATATTGTACGATATAAACAATAATAGTAAGCTTTTGAATGTAGACGCTAGGGGGCGTTGTCTTACAATTTAACAAACATTGCGCGTTTTTTCAAAAAAATTAAATGCAATAGTATATGTAATTTTAGCTGATAGTAAAGAGTAGTAAAAGCTTAAAAAGTCAGCGAAAACCGCATCTTGATATCTTCTTTCAAACCGAAGCTATTAGCAAAATTATAATAAATACCAAAAAATAATTACTTTTACAACAAAAGAAGGTTAGAGTAGTTAAAGTCAAGAGTAGCCCTCTTGATTATGCCCATTCTAACCTAAAAATAAGATAGAAACAGTTAGTTTATTTTAAAATCGACGATATACCAGAATATCATAATATCAGATGTATTAATATCTAATAATTAAGATATTAATAATAGTGAATAAGAAACGTTGATTCAGTGAAGTCATGGTAGGCTTTGGAAAAAAATTGCTTTTGACGTAATAGTATAAACGTCAAATTGTTATTAGATCAACATTTTGATAGTCTTAGCAGCGTTTTTTATCTTTCGTTTGCTTTTTCAAAATGCCAAGAACTTCAACTACTTCAAATAATAAAGGCATTTTGAAAAAGCATTTAAAAGATAAAAAACGCTGCCAAGACTATCAAAATGTTGATCTAATAACAATTTGACGTTTATACTATTACGCGAAAAGCAACTTTTTTCCAAAGCCTACCATGGCTTCACCGAATCATCGTTTCTTGTTCACTAGTATTAATATCTTAATTATTAGATATTAATACATCTGATATTATGATATTCTGGTATATCGTCGATTTTAAATTAAACTAACTGTTTCTATCTTATTTTTAGGTTAGAATGGGCATAATCAAGAGGGCTACTAATACCGTGTTGTAAAAGTAAGAAAATTAAGGGCTTATTTTTTGGTATTTATTATAATTTTGCTAATATCTTCGGGTTGAAAGAAAATATCAAGATGCGGTTTTCGCTGACTTTTTAACCTTTTACTACTCTTTACTACCAGCTAAAATAGCACATACTATCGTATTTATTTGTTTTTGAAAAAACGCGCTATGTTTGTTAAATTGTAATAAAGCGCCCCCTAGCGTGTAAGTTCAAAACCTTATTATCACTAATATTATGGTATACTATAGAGTAACAAACGCTCTTTTAAACGAGCCCTCGTTTATTGGAGTCTGATCATCCAGTCCGGAGTTATTAACATTTAAATAAAGATAGACCTAACCTTCCCCCACCACTTTATTTTAGCAAATATGGGAAAATGGTTCTAACAAAAAAAATCCAAAATTTACTGAAGATTATGAAGCTATTATTTATAGTACCCATCATCTAGGCAAAATTCTGTAAAAAATCTATTTTCTTATTTTCCATAGCAGTTGCGCTACCTAGCGGCCGTTTTACAAACTTGAAAATAATTTCCAGCACTGTCTCGTAGCCCCTTTAGTTATAAATATTTTTTTTCGTAAGCCCTACGGCTAATACTTTCCGAGATACAGCCGAGAGCTATTCTTAGTGGGACACCCGGTACAAACCATAGTGGAGCATGGCATAACGTCGGTTTCCAATGTTTCATAGGTATTTCATACATTACAGTTGAGGGTTGGAACCTTTGGTGTTACACAGCAAAATAAAAATACTAAATCACCACAATACACCAAAACACTTTTACTTTTACACTGAAAGTAGCAGTGTAAACTGCAGTGTAAAAGTAAAAGTGTTTTGGTGTATTGTGGTGATTTAGTGTTTTTATTTTGCTATTTCATACATGTCTTTATATAAAATAAAGTTTCTTGTATGCAACACACTGTATTTTATTTATAAAATTAAAAGAAAATAATAAATTTGAATAAACAATATTTGGCGATATATATTTGCCGAACCGCTCCGAAATTTTCAAAAGCTTTTGTCGCGACCGTTGCAAGAATAGAGCCAAATAGTGTTTACATTGTCCTGGGTACTTTCCAATCTAAACTTGTTTCATTTATCTATGCAATAATACATAGATAGCGTTATACCCCTTCCTTAATCTTTTTATTCAAAGATGGACATTTTATAATTTCCTTACCTTATAACATGCCTGTTTATCCCAGCTTCTTTGCAAGCATCGTCCACATCCATCAAACATATGTTACTGTCCTTCATAACCAGAACTCCGTGCAATATTCGCCTTCTTTTGGGATCAGGAGGCAAAGCATTAAATTTTTTAGCTTCCGATTTGAGAAGAGGCAGTGAAACGTCTATTGGAATCTTCACTGGGGTCTGTATAATGTTCGTTTCACCTAAAACACAGAATAAGTTAGAAGTGGCAGCACAGATTATACAGATTATAATCTTTGTTTTTTCTTTATTGTTTTTCGTGATACCAATTTTCGGAATCGGGCACTAGTTAGGTTACCAGTTTGCGCACATAGCACGCCCACTTATGGCCCCTAAAATTGTGCACAGCGCCTGACCGGCACAGTTATTAGAGCGATATCGGAAAACCGAGTAGCGTCATCCAGTATTTACGCGTACCTTATCATGGTTACGATATGCGCGAGTCAATTTTTAACGCAACACCCGCTAATAACGTTACCGCCTGACGTAATTTGCGAACTGATTACACCAAGCGCTCTTTCTAAATAACCTGTGATAACGTTTAAAAATTGCTTAAATGGGCATGTGCGGGTATTTGAAAACCGGAGCCGGCCGGCGAGATCTTTTATTTTAGGTTATGTTTGAGTTGTTTTGAATTATTGCTTTAGTTTTATTAGGTAATTTGATATTTAAGTAGCTGGGATTAGTTTTAATTAAATAAATATGGCTCAAAATATGGATTCCACCTCTTCCAATACTAAAGAACCTATAAAGAGTCTTAGGTTTACAGCAGATGACGACTTAGCCCTTCTAAGAGAATTTGTTGCTTGTTGCCCTAAACCTACTGGCAGACGTTGAACAATAAAGCACTGGAAATAAGCACTTTAGCCCTTTAGTTTTTAAATACCTAGTAAACAAAACAATTTCAAAGTTTTAAATTCAAAGTTAGGTTAAGTTTAAATAGCGGACGCGACGCGATCAGAATTCTTTCCGATCCTATAACTATAAATGAAGAGACTTAATACCACCTCACGTAAAGGTAATAACACCTGGCCTTATAACGTCCATGCAGGCTATTCGGTTTAGCGATATCTCTCTATTACGCTGTTTATTGTTATTTTACGCGAGTTTATTTTTGCGCACAGGAAATTTGACTCGTTTGCACATCGTCATAAAAAACAATTTTCGTACCACGAATTAGGGACAAGATTTTTATCTGTATACTTATAGGATACCTAATCTGTGGTGGCAGTAAGAGTCAGCTTCATTGAAGTATGCGACTCATTTTTTTGACAACTAAATTCACTAGTTCACTGAAAAAATACCGTATGATCGAAAAAAAATGGCGTCCAGTTGGCTGGGAACTGACGATCGATGACATTTCCCATATAAATTTACATATAAAATGACAGCGATCTTCATTTCATAGCCATCGTTGACGCCGTTTTTTCTCGATCATACGGTATCTAGAGTGTCTTATAACTTCATGAATAGAAAATTTATGAAAAAAAAACATGATTACAGTAGTGACACAAAGTATTTACACAAACGAAATTGCAAAAGTTCACACTTTTGTAAAACGATACATTTGAACTACTCACCGTTTGCCGGGTTATAACACGATATACTAAACTCTTGCTGAATTTTCTCCTTTAAAAATGCTATTTTTTCAGCTTCTCCATGCACCAGCATTACATTTCTTGGTTCACAGTACTGTATAAGCTGCATTATTCCTATATACCATACAAAATTAAGATTTTGGCAATAAAATTAACTAAAAACGTACCTTTTGCATCTGCGTGAGCTGAAAAACTCATATATTCCACTGACATTTTTACCTCTACTACTTGTCTGTTTTCAAATTCGATTTTTTTAGCGCCGTTTAAAATTTTGTGGCCTACAGTGCCCTGTACACAAAAACCTAAAAAGGAATAATGAATCTAAACAATTTATTTACTTGTACAGGGTTGGTCAAATGCGAAGCTTTTAAAAGAAAACACCCTCTTCTATAGGAGATAGACGAAAACTAATATCGGTGTCTGGAGCTCAATCTTTATCAAAAACATGATGGTAAAAACCGCACATCGATATATGTTACCGTTTCGGAGTTACGGGGTGTTAAAAATGTGCATTTTTGGTTTGGTTTCGTGGTCAAAAGGTGCTTTGGAAATATTTTCATAAAAATACAAAATTTTCCATAGCAAAAAAGTTACAGCGATTTGTTAAAAATGCACATTTTTGAAAAACACCCCGTAACTTATAAACGGTAACAGATATCGACGATCGGTTTTCACCATCAAGTTTTTGATCAAAATTGAGCTCCCGACACCGATATTAGTTTTCGTCTATCTCCTATAGAAAAGGATGTTTCCCTTTAAAAGCATCAAATTTGACACACCCTGTACTGCTGGAGCAAAATCTGTGACGTAAAATTATAGGATGCCATTTTTTAGGTGACAAAAAAGGAGGTAACACCAGAGACAGTTTTAGCCATTTTTAATAGTTTGTTGTGTGTAGTGAACTTTGTATAAACTTTGTTAAAAAGTTTTTATTTTGTTCAGGTTTCATGTTTAAAAGCAGCAATAAGAAGAAAAAACCAGGAATTACGTTTCTAGGCAAATAAAAAACAATCAATTTTCTGTACTGCACCTTTTTAGCTTTTTTTTATTGAATTTAATTACTATTTTTCTGATATTATACATATTATTGGGCATAGTAGTCCATACTACTTTTGTACCTTTTGTGAAAGTTTTATGTCATTATAGCATTTATTTTCACTATGCTTAGGTTGAAATTACAGAAACAAATAGAAATAAATAATCCTTATGAGTCAGTGTAATGTTAGTTGCCTAACTTTTGGAGCAAAAACTTTGTTCTATCTCTTACCTGGCATAATAATCATATTATTTTCGTTTGGAGCCCATTTTTTGAAAATGAGCAGGCTGAGACCAGCGTGCAACATACCGGGTGTCGCAAAAACAACCATAGGACCAGGATTATCAATATACTGTTTATCAAACGGCTTGATGTGTTTAAAATCAAACATATTCCTTTAAATAAAATAAAATTAAAAAAAAGCTTTTAGAAAATAAATATAACATACCTCTGAACAAATGTTTTTCTGATTTTTTGATTGGTCCACGTGATAAACATTTTGTAATAATTATTTGCTTTCTCTGTGAGACCCAGTGCAAAATATATTGGGGCCTTCAAGTTCATTCTTTCCCAGTATGTTTCCAGTAAAATACATAGTTCTTGTGCTCTTCCCAGAGCAAAAACTGGTATCAATACTTTGCCACCTCTAACAAAAATGTCACTATATTATTTACTGTTATTTCTTAACAGAATTATAATATATATTTAGACACAGCCTAAGATATTAAACTTCTTATGCATATATAACTATACCTGTCTATACATTCATGTACTTTTTTCAAAAAATCCTTCTCTCTGCACCTTTTTGAATCTCGTATTGTTGTGGCATATGTGGCTTCAGAAATTAGCAAATCTGGTCTGCATTTGTCTATCCAAGCAGCCCCCAGATGCCTTAAACCCAAATTAGAAACTTACAGCTCATGAATAACATAAATAATTTATATTTACTGTAATATTTACCTGTCTGGGGTCATGTTATAATCTCCAGTGTAAACAACAGACTGTGATCCTACCTTAATCCAAAACATTGCTGCTCCTAAAACATGACCGGCATAGTAAGCTTTAATTTCTAAATCATTATCCACCATCACAGACTGATGTAATGTTACAGCGACAACTTTTTTCATACAATCCTTGATCATCTGTGAAGTAAAGAAGTTTTGATCTCCTAAAACATACGTTTATATGAAACAGATTAAATATAATTAATGATTCGTGTTGTAAAACCTTTTTTCTCTACTGAAACTTTCCTCATATCTTCTAGTAAAATGGGTGCTATGGCTTTGGTGGGGTGAGTCATGTAGATAGGCCCACTGTATCCCACCATTTCAGACATGTATGGCAGAGCCCCACAGTGATCTAGGTGGAAATGGGATATAATAACGCAATCAATGTATGGTGTTAAAGGTCCCTCAGAGGTAATGTAGGTAAAGTCAGGAAATCTGCGTTCATCGTTGTATCTAAAAGAGGTAATATAATAAAAATATATATTCTACAAAAAAATTGATAAGAGTTGTATACCCCATATGCATTCCGCAATCAAGCATAATATTTTTTCCACCCATGGATAACAAAATACAACTTCTACCGACATCTTGACCAGCGCCTAAAGGGGTTACCTTAAGTTCCGGCATATTTTTAACGCAAATTATCTATTATTTCATTAAAAAAGCCGTAAATATTGATAAACAATCTAAAAAATACGCTGCACAAAAGTCGGGTTAACAGGCAAAATTTTCTGGGGTTAAGTTGTCAAACGCCAAACTCTTCTTTTCATTTTTTTATGGCATTAGGAAAGAAAAAAAATAAAAAATACATTATTTTGTTTATTTAAATCAATACCCCTGTTAAATTATTATTATTTACATAAGTTGAAATAGGGCAATAGTAGTTATATTCTCAGGTTTCAGAAACATAGAAATAGTTTACTGCTGTTGTGGTTTATTAAATTAAAAATAATTTTGTGTAAAAAAGAACCATAAAAGAACGTAACATCTGGAAAAATAATTCAATGACGTAAGTATCTATATTAAAAAATTAGATAATACAATTTCTGTAAGTTTAGTAAACAAAACAAGTGTCTGTAATTTGATTTGAACCTGCGATTTAAACTCTACAAAGGAAAGTATGTAAATTAAGAAGTAGTTTGCTATTAAAACTAATCATAGGTTTAAGGTGTAGTTGTATTGTTTACGGGTTATTGCTTTAAATTTAACTGTGCTTGAATTCGTTTATAAAACACTATGCTGCGAAGTAAACTACAAAAATCTGCTCTCTATGAAGATAGCATACAAAATTCTGAACTTTTGGACTTGTCTCTTCAAAACTGCCCTTCCTCAGAGATCTCTAAGTACTTCCCAAACAAAAACACAACGTCCAATGGTTTTCTCGATAACATTTTCACTATCCAACGAAATCTTAACGCCGAATTAAACCAAATCGATTTCAAGAAACATCCCATTAAATTCGTGTACAATCCTACCGTATACGCCTCAGAACCTTGCGAAAAGTACTTTAAAAGGTACTGTCACAACTCAATTAAGTTATTATTAGTTGGTATGAATCCTGGACCTTTTGGTATGTGCCAGACAGGAGTCCCGTTTGGTGACACAAACTGGGTGAAAAATTGGTTGTGTATCGAAGGCCATGTTTCGAAACCCCCTGTAGAATGCCCTGCAAGGCCTGTACAGGGTTTCAATTGTACCAGGAAGGAACAGAGTGGAGATAGATTTTGGAAATTCTGGAGTGAGTTGTGTGGAACACCCGATAAGTTTTTTTCAAATGCTTTTGTGTATAATTACTGTCCGTTAGCTTTTATGGATGAAGGAGGTAAAAATCTAACGCCTGCCGATATAAAGGTACTAAAAATTCATATACAGGGTGACCCAAATTGTTTCTATTCTTTTTTTTTTTAGGATAGAAAAGTACTCGAATCAGTTTGTGACAAGTACTATTTGGAACTGATTCGATTGGTTCAGCCTGAGCTGGTGATTGCAATAGGCAGCTACATAGAAAAACGTACCAAAGCACTGTTTAAGGCCTCCAAAATGACTCTTCCTGTGATTTGTTTACCTCACCCAAGTCCCAGGGCTGTAAACAATAACAACTGGCCAGAAAAAGCAAGGAATTTCTTGGAAAAACATCAACTGATGCATTTTTTTCAGTAAAAAATGTATAGTGACGAAAAAAAATTTCAAATAACTTGTTGAAAGCCTTTGGAAAGGTTTTCTTAATCAGGATGATCTCCTGTTTCGTATTTTCATGAATTTTGAACTCTATTTTCTGTGTTATATGAATGTTTAAAATATTCTGAATAGCTTAGTTATAAGAATGACCTTTTTTACGTTATTATTAAAAAAAAATATTGTAAAAATGTTACCTATAGGTATCGTAAAGGTGAAACCTTAAAAAAGTGTGATTGTTTTGTTAATATACTAGGTGTCTCAATAATTATTCTACTGTTCCAATAGAGTACTCTATTTTCATGCATATCTACAAGTTTAAATTATTCAGGGTATGAAATATATATGTTGGAGACAGATGCCGAATTCGGCCAATATCCGAAATAATTAGACATATGGCGATTTGTCCGTACTAAACTTGCCAGATGCGTGCAACTTCGTGGTTATAAATAGTCTTTATATAACTTCTTTGCGGAGGGGGTTAATCTTTTTTTGGTATAATATAGCAACAAAAGATTAACACCCTCCGCATAGAAGTTGAAACCAATGCAATCAAAACTCTTCCGCGTAACTTTGTGGATATAGGTAGGTATATTTAATTATAATCGCCATATCGATTCTGCCTCCTACATATACAAGGAATATTTAATTGGCGTTCTAAATGTGACACCGGGTATATTTGTTTGATATATTTATGAAGTTTATATTTTCTATGTTCAGATTTTATTTTTTATAGAACTATTTACCTTGATTTTTAAAGGTTTTTTTTTGTTGTTATTTAAACAAGTTTAAATAATTATTGTTTTTCTTTTCTACTAAAGTTTAAAAAAAAAATCTGTGTTATATTTTAGAAAGTTTTCAAACTTTTTGTTTATCTAATGTATATCACTTAAAGTAAGTATAGTTTTAAGTACTTTGTATATTGCAGTTTTTTTAAATAAGAAAAAACAAAAGTAGAGATAAGATTTTTATTAAAACCCCAAGATAATGAAGTGTAATTATTGACTTAAATGTTCTTTTATTTACATTTAATCATATTAAAAAGAAAAATATATAGAATTTATTTGATTTAAGTAGTTGTATACAGGGTGTCCCAGGCTGAGCGTGCATTAAAAGTTTTTAGAGAAGTACAATATCTAGATTAGTATAGTTAGATCATTATTGTTTCACAACGAGATCTATCGATTAAAACTATTTTTAATATGGCGGCGCTTCCGGAAATACCGGAAGTTGACAACAATTTTCTTATCTTAAATAGGTAACCCCTTTTTATATTACATACTTAAACTTTCTGTAAAATTTTATGAATTTTGATATCAAACACGCTATACCGGTTTAACGCTATACCCATTAACCATTTTTGAGAAAAAAAATATTTAAACTTTTTGGAGAAAAAAAAACTGCCTGTCAAAAAAATGTGTATAATCTAAAGAGAAGATACGTGCCTATCTATTTCAGAGATTAAATTGTTCGAATCTCATAATATTGGCTGTAGAATCGAAATGGACAAAATATACAACGTTTAATCGGCATTAAATGGCCTATACAATTGCAACTTAGCTAATAAGAGGAAAAAAGTCAGTGGCGCACATGTTTTTTTAAATATTCCAGTGATAACCCATATGCATGTCCCTGATGAACCTGTTGACGCTTTTTTAGCATTAAAATATGTAGCACTCATAGTAACTTTTACCTTCCAAATTCTATTTGAATCCCTAAAAGCACTTAGAAGAAAATAATAAATCGAAAAAAGGATTAAGAGTTTAACCTCCTGTAGCTACGAAACAAAGCAGAATCGGGCCCAGGTCGATATGAAAAATAAATCTTGTTTTTACGTGAGGAATCTCCCCACTAGGGATGGCACATGTTTTTTGAAACACCCCCTATATTTTTTAAAGTGTCCCAGTTGAAATTTAAGACCGAAATACTTCTTTGTGTGTCTTGTACAAAATGTCGCATTTTTAGACTCAGGCTGTAATGAATTTTCATACAAACTTTGATTTCCCATTGTTTATTTCAGGATAAAAATCTATGACAAGTATTATTTGGTTGACTTTGACTTGTCTGGATCCTGGAACACACCCAAAAAATGACGTTTGTATAGAAAACCCCCCAAAATCTCCTAGGAAAAAATGTCTACCGCAGAATCAGAGTCATCTTTAAGTGACATAGAGAAATCCTTCATGGAGAAAGCCTTTTGTTACGCCAAGGAAGCCCTACAAAACCAAGAAGTCCCTGTAGGCTGTATCTTCGTTTACCACAACGAAGTTATCGCTGTAGGTCGCAACGAAGTGAACCAAACCAAGAACGCAACCCGCCATGCAGAAATGGTTTGCGTAGATCAAGTTGTAGAATACTCTAAAACAAATTCCCTAAAACTTGAGTCAGTTTTCGAACAAATCGACGTTTTTGTCACTGTGGAACCCTGTATAATGTGCGCAGCCGCATTGTACGACCTGAAAGTACGTAGTATAACGTTTGGTTGTAAAAACGATCGGTTTGGAGGAAGTACCGTGCTAGATGTTAAGGAAATATTGAAGCCGGTCACTGTAGTGCAGGGGGGGCATAGGGCCGATGAGGCTATGGCCCTATTGAAGGAGTTCTATAAAGGACAAAACCCTAACGCGCCTGCGTCGAAAGTCAAGCTCAAAAAATCAGTAGAATAGTACCTTTTGATTTGTTTATATTCAAGTTTATGTTTAAGGTAAAGCCTTATTTTTTGTGTAGTTTTTGGGGTTTTCCAAGAGTTTCTGCCAGATAGTTCTTCATTTTGATGAGTGGTAGATTGAAAACTCAGATTTATTTGAAATAAAAGAACTAATTGTAAAAACAGTTTTTTTAATCACATTATAAAATTATATACATCATTAATAGGAAGCAATATTATTTGCACATTAGATTAAATATTAAAAATATGTACATTAGTTTCTTAAAAATATGTACAACAGTCTTTTTTTTCATTATTATCTCTTAATTTCTTGAATTTTCGCAATAAAATGCCGGACATACATTTAACACAAACGTAAAAATAATCAATGCTGTTAATAAATAAGTTAAATCAATATAAAATACAAGTAATCAATAATCAATACGTCAATTTTCTAAAAAAAGAAAATATAATCGAATTTTTTAATATAGCTTTAAACGAAGTCATCTTCTACTTCAATCCATGAGTCTAACAAAAAGAGTGTTAAAGTCACTATCAATACCGAATCACATGAGATACTCATAGGTTCTATTAATACCAAATTTCTCCAATTTCTGTTCTAAGAATCCAACAAAAACAGCTGCTTATTCTTCAATTTCCTCCTCCTCGGTGCCACGTTTTCATTATCAACCCTGCAAGAAAAAGAGAAAAATCAACCGTTAAATACCTTCAACAAATTTCGAAAATACTTTTTGGCCCGAAATGCTACAGGGGATACCAAGTTTTTCTGCGACTCTCGGCAAAACTCTGGGCTGTGAATGCTTTGGGTCGTTTGGGTTGCAGGATTTGGGATAGGCTGGGTCTTATTGGGTCTCTTTTAGATTAGGGACAATTAATGCGAATATACTATACATGGTGTTCGAAAAATACACGGCCCAATTCAGAGGGCAATTGAGTTGCGTTTCTCTTGGATCATGCGGTATTTGCGCTAGCATTATGGAGGGCAGAGGTGAGGAGAATCATTCTCCGTATATACAGTTCAGTTAGTTACAGTTACCTCTATCCCCGTAGCTAGGATTTGAAATTGAAAAAAAAACTAATAAAAAGAAGATACTTGCCTGGGTTTCTTAAAGGCACTGGTGTCGTCTCCATCAACCGAACCATTGGATGATATGGAATGGGACGAACTGACCTCGGCTGAAGATATTTCAACATTTCTATTTTCGCACACGGATTCGTTACACTTGCAGGACGCCGCGCATCCCCTACCTAGCTTTTTGCAGCCGCATCTCACAGTGTTGCACTTCGTCTTGCAAGTACAACCGCCGTCGGAGGATCGCTTGGTACCACCGTAATGATCTGGAAAAGAAAAAGTTGCTTGTTAATGATTATCAACACGAGAAATGAAATACAGGGTGGTCCGAACTGTATTCCGGAAACTTCAGCAGCATATTCTGCAGATAAAACTAAGTAAAAAAGTTCGTATAAATGTATATCCTAAAATGCTTACTTTCGGAGATACAGGGTGTAGAAGTTTCATTTTTATTTCGATTTTATCCAAATAATTTCTGAAGATAACGACAATGTTTGGATGAAAATTGGTGTCTGGGAGTTTGTTATATGAGAAATTTGATGTCAATATGACTCCTGTTTCTAGGGGGCGCCACCTACATGTGTTTTAACTTTTTTTAAGAGTAATAACTTTTCGTCCGTACCTGTATAAAACTACTGACTGAAAAAATATACATTTTCTTGACTTTTTACGTAAAAAATGTCTTTTGGTAAAAATCGCTATGAGCAACCGTTCTCAAGATATTTCGAAAGGAACAAAAGATAGTCAATACATGTCATAATTGACAAAAAAAAATAAACACGTTAAGTAGATAGTTATTTGTAAAATTTGGGAAATTTTGATTTTTTTAAATTAATCATAAATTTTTCTGCCGAAAAATGATGATAAAACAGTTTCTATTGAACTTTTTACACAATCAAGGTACAACTTATTTTTAATATTTATCTCTACAATCTCTGCAATTTATCTCTACAAAATCAAAATTCTGATGTCAAAAACTTCCAGACACCAATTTTCATCCAAATATTGACGTTAGTTCAGAAATTATTTGGAAAAATTCGATATAAAAATGAAACTTCTACACCCAGTATCTCCGAAACTAAACATTTTAGGATATACATTTATACAAACTTTTTTACTTATTTTTATATGCAGAATATGCTGCCGAAGTTTCGGAATACAGTTCGGACCACCCTGTATACAGCATTGAGAGTGATTAAGCAGAAAAAAGCTTCAAAATGCGTAAATAAATTAATAAAAATACGTTCCCGATAGGTACTATTTGTTAGTCACATGTTAATTGTTGTATTTCTTCAAAAATATTTAACTTACCAGGCATCTGACTGCCTCTCATTAACTTGGTTCGTCTTTCTGCCAGGATTCTTTTACCAAGGGGCGTTTTTCTCCAGTCTGGATCTTTTTCATCGTCGTCCACGAAGGATCCGTCCAGGATATCTTCATTATCCTTCAAAAAATACGTTTGATTTAAAGATTTCGGTATTTAAAAAATATCGATACGAAAAAATCGATATGTTTAACCATTCCTAGTTTATTTAGTGGTAAATTCCTTCGAATAAAGAGATTAAAGGAAGGAGCATATATCAAAAAACTTGGATGGTGACCTAAAATGGCCGACTTAAATTCCGGTTTATCAGTGCCGTTCTAATTTTACTCAAAACGTAAAAATATGATGTAAGGTAGACTCAGTAATTTTTTACGTTGTCGATAAATGTTGGTGGTTATTAAAATTGTTATAAAAATAGATAAGTTATAATAATTATTTATTAACACAAACATCCGATACGCTACTGAAGAAGGTAAGTCAAATAGACGTGTCTAAATTCTTTAACATCTAAACTTTGACAAGTATTAAATAAAAGCAAAAATGCAAGAAAAAATATATAATTATTTAATTTTAAGTGAATTTCATAAATGACCGGTTTACTACACAAATGGTCACTTACTAGTGAAAAATTATTCCATTATTTCCCCCGATTTTTGACCGAGATCTACCGCACGCTACACAACCAACTATTTTAGTCTTTTTCGATAAATCGCAATAGTGTCACTGTTAATTTAAGTTCTGTCACAATTTCCTTCTAGATTTACTACCTTTAAACAACTATCAGTAGTAGAATAAATAATAAATAACATAAAATAAGCTCATTAAAGACCGACAATCCACAAAATTTCAAATCAAATTCAAATGTGTCAAATGAATCGTCAAATAGAACTGTCAAGGATCCTCACCCTAGGTCCCCACCTCCATCTGCCATGCATGAATACATGAATAGCATTATACTATTATACTCCTTCCTTCTTCATCTTTTTATTCAAAAGTAAATTCATATTAAAATATGCATTTCCTGTACTTACAAACGCATCCGTCATATCGACAGGCTCTATTTTAACTTTCGGTACGTCTTTCTTGATTCTTTGCGTAACAGGCGTTAGAGCCTGCAAGGACGTTTTCTGTAATAATAAATAATACATCATTGATTTTCATTATATCTATCAAATTATATACGTTTTCAACACTTTTAACACCGTTTAATGGATTATTTCGCCATTACTAAGGTAGGATACATTTGAACTACTCACCTTTATCTCTTCCAGCCGTTTATTTAGCTCGGTTATAATCCTTTGTTGGTCCTCAAGTTGTTTCTCTTGTTGATCAACGCGTTCATTAAGAAACTGACAACGATTCGCCAGTTCCGAGTCATTGTCTTCATCTGAAAAACAATTTAAAATTTATTTTTTTTATCGCGGAAAATACCAAATAAAAACATTACTTTCGACTTTGACTCCCCGGAGTTGCCTCAACAGAATAGCCACTTTTTCTTCGTAAACTCTCTGCTGGGTGGCCATTTGTTCAGCGTAGCTATCCTCTACGACTTTCAACGCTTGCGCGCTGCTCTCTACTTTTTCTATCAGTTCTTTACGAGTTTCTTGAATTTCGGCCAGTTCCCTCTTTATATGGACCTTCTCCTTGTGCGATTCGGAGGCCTGTTCGTAGATGGCCTTGAGGGCAAATTTCGCCTCCGCCATGGACTGAATCGCGTCGAAACGCGTTTTTGACTTGACCTCTAACGATTTGAAAGAAAGACATATGAACTACATGATGTACATTTGAACTACCAAAAATATTTTTAAACTACCTATATGTATTTTCTCGCATTAGCATCGAAAAGTTTTTGACCATATTTCTAGCGTGTTGAAAGAAAAATACATTTGAACTACACGACGTACATTTGAACTATCGAAGATATATTTGAACTACTCCACGGATTTTCTCGTATTATAACATCGAAACGTTTTTGACTCTTTTTCTAGCGTATGTTTAGGAAGAAAGATATTATTTTATTGACAAAACATTAAACGAGAAATACAAACCCCAAATCATAGATACAATGATAACAATACACAATATATACAACTTACAATCCCATACATACGAGGCGTTTTGGAAAAAATATGAAGGATAGGAAAACAATATAACATACGAACATCTTTCAAAACACAAAACACACTTAGATCCATTTTGCGATCCATGCGATAAATTTTACATTGGTGAAACATCTAGACCCTTAAATGTTAGAATTAAAGAACATAAAGATTATTTAAGAAAGGGAGATTCTCACAAATCTAAGATTTGTCAGCATTCATGCGACACAGGGAACGGAATAAATTTTAATAACGTCGAAATTATAATGAAAGAAGCGATAGCCTCTAAAAGAAAAATAAAAGAGACTTTTTTAATTCAATCTAATAAAAATAAATGTCTCCAAAAAATCCTTTATGGGTATTTCGCCACGCCCAAGAAAGTTTGGGGCTTTTTGTTTTACCTTATTAAGTAATTTTTATTAGGTAGTAATTGTTAATTTTGAAGTTTAACTTGACATAATGTCATTTTAACAGAACGTCAACGGTTTATTGTAGACGTATCTGTTTTAAAAAGTAAAGTGTTCTCGAATAGTTAAATTTAAATATTTTAAATAGTTTTTTTTCTTTATTCTTTGTATTTTTTTGCTTCCGACGACGGAAAGAGATAAATTTTCCGAAACGTTAAGCATTTTTTTCTTTGTTAGGCAAATTTGTATAACTGTAAACATAACTTCTGACAAGCAGTGTCCGTTTAGGTTTAACGCAGAAGTGTTTACAAAGAATAACTATTTTATTTTGTAGATTTTCTTGCAGTGCAGTGGCGAAATACCCATAAAGGATTTTTTGGAAAGAAAGATATTTGTATCACCTGACGTACATTTAAACTATTTCACGTATTTTCGAGTATTTAGAAGATTTCTAGTTTACAAAAAAAATACATTTGAATTACTACATGTATTTCCGCGTATACCAGGCGATCGAAAAAAAACGGCGCCAAAGATGGCTGGGGAACGACAATCGATGATAATTTTGACAAGGTCAATCTTTGCGCCGTTTTTTTTTTCGATCATACGGTACTTGTGAAGTGCTTATGAAGAAAGACATCGAACTACCGAAAATACATTTGAACTACTCGGGACATATGAACTACTGCGAGTATTTTCGCGTAATTTTTTACCTTCGTTCGAATCCAATAGTTTCTGTTGGAGATCCTGAATCTGTACAGACCTCAGCTCGATGTCCTCTTCCAAATTTTTTACCTCGGGACTTCCTGCAGTTTCCGGGTTGTTCTTTAGTTCGTCCAGTTGATGGTACAGGGTGGCGCGATCTTCTAAGAGTCCCGTAAGCGCCGTTTCAGCTTCGACAAGGCTTAGGAACACTTCAAAGTCGTCTTTCAGCTGAGAAAAAACGAATTAATTGACTAGTTTTTATTTTTTTTATTCGATGTACACACCCAAGCCGCTATTTTTTCGACTTTTCCATTAAACCTTATTTCTTGAGCCTCTTTACGCTTATTGAAGGTGTTTTGCAGCCTCTTGTTTAACGCTGCCGCTTCTTCGAATTTTCTTTTCAATACATTTTTTTGTTTTTCGTAGGTTAGCTTCATTTTGGCGATTTCGTTTTGTTTTTTCCTGCCCTGTTCTTTTACTTTGGCCAACTCCCTAAATCAAATGATAAACGTAGTTGTAAAAATTCATATTTCCTTCACTACTGCTATGTTTTAAAACGGAATTGGTCGAATTATTAATCAAAACTGTTAAAATTATTGCGAATTGAAGTTTGACGATGAATATCTTTTAAACGGTTAATTTAATCGACTAATCATAAGAAACCATTTTTACAGAGCAGTGAATTTCCTACAAAACCATGAGCCGCGCTTACAGATACAACCACTTTTTCAGCATATAAATTGAAAAAAAAAATTGTCATTAGTAGACTAAATCGACAGTCGATTCCTTGTAATAGACAATGATAGGTCATTGAGAGAGAGCAATATGGAGCGTTCAGTCTCCAAGTTTCTAGACTTTGAAGATTGGATTGGAGAATATAACCTAAGGATCAGGAAAGGACTAGAGAGTGATGGGATAACTTTCGCTCGAGTAAACGATTATTGTAATAACCGACATCGTTCGATTATGAACGAGCGACGCAAGTGACGAGTACCAAGCGACGAACACAAGCGATCCTAGAATGAAATAAATTGAAATCCGATTTTAATGTAACATACTCGATAAAAAGCCGAGCGAATTTTCTATATACATTGCAGGTAGGGTGCGTCTCAAAAGTGGCTCGCCCCTATAACTTTTTTATTTTTTTAGATAAAAAAATGAGATTTGGTATGTTAGTATATGACATAAATTAGGATTGATTGACGTATTCAGTTGTTTACTGTCACTTCCTGTTTCACCGGAAATGACTACAATTTTGATTTTTAAATGGCACCCTCGGTATTTTTTTACTTTATTCGATAGAAAATTACATTCTAAATAGAATGACGTATCATATGCCAACTTTTGACATATTCGCTCAAAAACAAATTGTATTTTAAATCTCAATCTAGAGTGCCATGTCTGTGTTAAAAACACTAATTTTTAATCAAGGAGCCTTGGAAAAATAGATTTGATCGTCTAATGTTTTTAGTGTCTTGTCCTGGCCAGTTAAAAGATGCCCAAATCGTATTTCTGATCATATCTCAATTTTTTTCAAATGGAAGGAGGGTGGCTCATTTTTTTTACGAATAAACATTTTTTTTACGAATAATATTGTTATAATTTGATACCACACAGTTGGTATTTCGAGTCAAATTGTCGTTATGAACCGCATGTTACAATTTCAAATAAACCATATGCGAAAATGTCAAAAGTTTGACATGTGATATGTCATTCTATTCAGAGTCATTTTCTACCGAATAAAGTAAAAAAATACCGAGGGTGTCATTTAAAAATCATAGTTGTAGTCATTTCCGGTGAAACCGGAAGTGACCGAAAACAATTGAATATGTCAATCAATCCTAATTTATGTCATATATTAACATACCAAATCTAGTTGTTTAGTGAGCCACTTTTGAGACGCATCTGGTATATTTATCCGTTGCGTATCTGAGGGACAAAATTTATGATCTACATCGAAAATGCTTGGAAATAAACTAAATAAAGCGATCAAGCGAATCGCTCGCTGCTTACTACTTGCCGTTCATTACCGAGAGAATATGTGCCCTGCGCACGCAACTTACTGCTTGGCGCTTGGCGTTAACGAGTACTTACAACATGCGACGGGTGAAAACCGTATTTTTAAATACGAGCGATATTTCGCTCGAGTGATCACTCGGTTATTGCAATCGCTTGATACTCGAGTACTCGATGATTGAAATTAATCGGTTTTTCCCATCACTACAAAGTACCATCTCAAAGAATCTACTCTAATCTAAGAACATATTACCTTTCCGTCTGTACTTTCCAGTTGCGGAACCTATCGGCATCTTCGCGCATCTGCCTCAAAAGTTTAATCTTCATCGATTTCATAGAAACAATTTCTTGATTGAGCTGTTTTATTTTAAGTTCGTCTTTTTCCTTCAATTTTATTAGCCTAGACTGTTCGTTGATCTATAAAAAATATATTGTAATAATATAATAATTATATCATCAAAATATGAAGGAACAAACCTTTTTCTTAAGGTCCTTCAGCTGTTCTTCCAGTTCTTGAACGCGCTTTCTTCGTTGTTCCGCAAGTTTGCTAGAAGTTTCTTGCGTTTTGACGTTTTTAAGTTGCCGCATTAACTCGTCCTTTTCTTTTTCCAGCGTCTCGATTTTTTTCGCCGTTTCTAGCATAGCCTGTTCGTCGACCATATACCTATACAAAGATTAGTACAAACTAGAGTTTATACCAGAGAAAATACGACATAACTGGTCATTACCTTGCATTTGTTTGAAGCTGTTTGGCCAGCTGTTCTTTAAGTAACAATTGTTTGGATATCTCTTGCAACTCTGAATTTAAAACAATCTGTCTTGTCGTGTGACATTCTTGTTTTTCTTGCATTTCTTTCGGTATTTCTCCTGACGAATTTCTGGTCGTGTTCAGTAAAATGGTAAACGTTTCTTCATGATTCCTATAAAAAAATAATACCTACAACCTACTTTATTTTCATCGTTTTAAATTCTAATATTGTTTTTAGGGTTCCGTACCCAAAGTAGTAAAAACGGGAACCCTATTACTAAGACTTCGCTATCCGTCCGTCCGTCCGTCACAAAGGTCTATCTTATGAACCGTTATAGCTAGACAGTTGAAATTTTTACAGATAATGTATCTATGTTGCCGCTGTAAGAACAAATACTAAAAACTGAATTAAATAAATGTTTATAAATAAAAAAGTACTTTCACTAAACATTATCTTTTAAGTAAGAATTTTACATCGAATCTTTCAAGTCCTCGGTGGCCGCGTGGTTAAAGCGTTAGGACTTTACGCTGCTATGACGTTGGAGCCGTAGTAAGGCAGGTTGGAATCCTAGTCAAGGCGACTTTTTTTAATCGTTTTTTTTTAATTTTTACATATTTTTACATATTTATTTTTACTTTTTACATATTTATTATTGATTAATACAATTTTTAGTAATATGTTTCTTCATTTTTTTTTAAATTACTTATAGTCTAAGAGCTAGCAAACGTTTTCGAGAAAGTATTTTAAGACGTCTGGCTCTTTGATATATCTTTTATTATGCTCTCTGGAACAGCGTGCAGGCCGTCTGGCTGCCGATACACGTTGCGTTCACTACTGCGCATCCAAAGAAGATCCTCTATTTTTTACTTAGCGCTTTAAATTAAGTAAGTCTCCATTACCTTGGCGGGTAGAGCTTTCGCCTATGAAGTGAATTTTCGTTTTTATTCTGATAGTAAAGTATTAAATATTTGTTTTTTTTATCACCAGAACGGATGGCGTTTATGGGTTTATGATCCGTAGTGTATATAAGTAGAATTTGATACTTTCATTTGATTTGAAGGATTATTGTGGTAATTAATTATTAGATAGGTTTAGGATGGTCTGGCTGCCGCGCCGGTAGGTTGCGTTCACTACTGCGCATCACATGGGTACAGGGTGTCTCATTTTCGTGCGTTTTTTGGGATTTCTCGTTTATGAGTGGAGATACAATGATGCGTTTTTTTTCACATTACTTTGCTAGTTTTTTATGTAATTAAATATTCTACCCATAGATTTGCGCATTTTCTACACATTAACATTAACGTAACTTCTGCCTCTCTTTCTTCAAAATATTTCTTTCAGCTGTTGTTTATTATTTTAATAATGATTTTAATAATACTTTTTTTTAACAGATTGTTATCTAAAAGCTACAGGTTTATTTTCAGTTCAGTTTGTTAAGATAACGATGGAAAACAAAATTATCTGGTTAAATTAAATAAAATAAAATAATAATACTTTTTAAACAAGATTGATTTTGTTTAAAAAGTATTATTATTTTATTTTATTTAATTTAACCAGATATTATTTTCAATAGATATATTATTAAATTAAAAAACTTCCAAATTTATCATTCAGTCAAATAACAATAATTACATGTATTGGCTATTTACATTCTAAATATCTTGAGAATGGCGATTTTTACCAAGAAACATTTTTTACGTAAAAAATCACGGCAATGTATATTTTTTCACTCAGTAGTTTTATACAGGTACAGACAAAAAGTTATTACTCTTCAAAACAGTTAAGATACATGTAAGTGGCGCCCCCTACAAATAGGAGTCGCATTGATATCAAAATCAAATTTCTCATGTCAAGAAACTCACAGACACCAATTTTCATCCAAATATTGATGTTGCTTCAGAAATTATTTGGAAAAAATCGAAATAAAAATGAAACTTCTACACCCTCTATCTCCGAAACTAAGCATTTTTATATGAACTTTTTTACATATTTTTATCTGCAGAATATGCTGCCGAAGTTTCCGGAATACAGTTCGGACCACCCTATAATAAGTAAACCGACATGTGTGAACGAAGGAACGAACGCGCGTTTCGGGCTCCAATTCCGGTACATTTGAACCGTATACTACCACCTACCGTATCTCCGTTTCTGTTTTGACCTGATCGTCGTGCAATACGTTGAAATGCTGCTGTATTTCCTGCAATTTGCCCATGTTGTCTTTGACACATTGCACGTCGTTGTTTTCGAGACCCAAACTGATATTGTTGAAAGTGACGTTGTATTGATCCTTCAGTTCGGCAAGTTTCTTGTTAAGATTGTCGTTGGCGTTCTGCAGAATCAGGATTTTTTCGTGCAGACCCGTTTTATCTAGAAGGGCTGCCGATAGTTGATGTCTTAACTCTTTGATTTTGAAGGCCAATTCTTCGTTTTCAATTTTGAGTTTGTTGATTTCCGAAGCCGATATAGCCGGTCCACCTAAAAATAAAAAAAAACAGTAAATGCACTATGTAACTAACAGCTATTAAATTGAAGGATTTGAAGGACATGTTAGAAATATGACATACAGGGTGTCATTGAAATGGTGTAAAAAAATCGGGGGGTGTTATCACGTTTCACTGACGATATTTAAATAAAAAATTAAGTTTCCATGAAAATAATTGATACCAAACGAAAGACACGACGCAAAATGTGGGTCTATATAAACAACACAAAATAAATATTTACCTTGTTCAACAATTTGTAGTTGTAATTGTTTAATTTGTTTTTTCAGTTGATTGATTTCCGCAGTTTTGGGGTCCTGGTTCACTATAGGCTTGTTCTTAATTTTTCTAGCTCTATCGGCGTAGCGTAAAGTTGACATCGTTTCTTCGTAATTATAGTCAGCTGGACTGACACAGGCGATCATCAGTGTGACGCTATTGCCTCCAAGCGAATCTGCAGAAGTTAAAAAAAACATCGATATTTTAGAAAAAAGAATAACTTAAAATATACGAGGTACCGCAAAAAGTTAAATATAAAGTTATAGGGTTTTTAAATGTCTATTAGCGAATAATAAATTTTCATAGACAGAGGGTACCTAAACATCCCAACCCTGTATATTATTGCATGTTTCAATTCTAAGCAAAAATCGAAATACACACAATGTACCTGAAACCAACCGTTTCCGAGTTATTGACTTTTGAAAATATCACTTAAACAATTAGACGATTAAGACTAATCGTACCCGAGCGTAACAGTTAGATTTCCGCCACTAGAGTAGTAAGAACAAAGAACTTGAATGCATTGGACCGTTGTCTCTGTTCATACTATCTTTACATTTATTAATTCTGATGCTTTCATATGCATCTAATTGCCTGTAATTTGAGACTTGTTTAATTAATTTTAAATTATTAAGATCTATACAATGTTCTTTATCAACAATATGTTCAGCAACGCAAGATTTATCCGGTCTACCATATCCTTATCTGAGCTAAATGTTCTTTAAATCTAGTTAATATCCTTGTTTATATATTCTTATTGATCTCCTAGTTTGCCCAACATATTTCTAATTACAATCTTTACAAGAAATTTCATAAATACCCGACCTTTCCAGTGGAGGTGTTTTATCCTTTGGATTACCTAATAATTGTTGTAATTTATTATTAGCACTAAACACTAGTTTATAATTGACATTCTTAAAAACTCCTTTTAGACCACGGGATAACTCTCTATCAAACGATATTGAAAAATATTTTGACGTTGTTGGGAAATTACAAAATTATGTGTATTACGATTATTGCTTAAAATTGAAGGAAGAATTGAAATATGCAATATTGTGCAGAGGGTTGTATTTAAAAAAAAATTGATGTGCCACATCTTTTTGACCGATCCTGTATACTTAAATTTACTACTAGCTGTATATTTACCCTTTAAAAGTCGAGTAAGATTGCTATCCCTGTATGGTATGAAGCCATTCTGCAATTTTTCGTCCCCCAATGCACTAATAACATTTCCTAGGACGAACAGGCCTTTATTAATATCCACGCCTTCCTTGAAGGTCGTACCTTGGGCCCCCGTTTTTTTGGGCCGCTCTGAACCGGCTAGATCGACCAAATGTAGTTTTGCCGTTTTGTTTTGGCTCCTAAATTACATAGAAACATAATTAAATATTAAACAAATATTTCTTGAATAACTGATTTCAGCTAAACGAAATATGAGGCCTTAAAATTAAATGAAGACTTACTTGTCTAGTTTGTGTTGCATGGCAATATTCACAGTGAAAATGGAATGACTTCGCGAGCTCTGAGCGTTCATATTTGTAGAACCGGTGGCTCTACCGGTAGAGCCCCTCATGAGGATGTCCAGCACCTCTTTGGCGGACTCTACAGGTAATTCTGTGATATTCGGTATATAGACGCCTGTAAACATACAATAAATTATACAGGGTGTGCACAAAAAATTATTTTCCTGTATATTAAAAAAAAACTATACTAATATATAAAATCCTTAAGTGACTGACATACTGATTAATCACGATCCTGCTTAAACCACTCAACGTAAGAAGCTCAATTTTGGCATACAGGTTGATTCTAGGGTGTAGAGGTTCGATAAGAAGGGATTTTTCGAAATTCCAGTTCCAAGAGGGTGAAACCACCCTTCAAATATTACAATATTTTTTATTTAAAAAACGGTCAAGTTTCCGAAAAAGCGCTTAAATACGTATATTTTATTTTGTTATTTTACATATTTTAAGATTTTTTAAAAATGTATACAGGGTGTTTCGAAAAATCTGGTCATTGATTAATCATGATCCTACTTAAAACGCTTGACGTAAAAAGCTGATTTTTGGAAAACAGATTGACTTTAGGGTGTAGAGGTTCGATAAGGGATTTTTCGAAACTCGAATTCTAAGGGGGTGAAACTATCCCTCAAATATTAAAATATTTTTTATTTAAAAACCGGTGAGTTTTCCGGAAAAACTCTTAAACACGTATATTTTATTATGTTGTTTTACATATTTTAAGATTTTTTAAAAATTTATACAGGGTGTTTCATAAAATATTACCATTGAGTAATCACGATTCTGCTTAAACTGCTTGACGTTTAAAGCTGATTTTTGGCAAACGGATTGACTGTGGGGTGTAGAGGTTCGATAAGGAGGGGTTTCTCGAATCTCAAATTCCAAGAGGGTGAAAACGCCCCTCAAATATTACAATATTTGTTATTTAAAAAACGGTTAGTCTGTCGGGAAAACGCTTGGACAAGCATAATTTATTTGGTTTTTTACATATTTTGAAATTTTTTAAAAAATCATACAGGGTGTTCCAAAAAGTTGGGTAATTTCTTAACCACGATTCTGTTTAAACTGCTTGACGTAAAAAGCTTATTTTTGGCAAATGGATTTTTCGAAAGTCAAATTCCAACGAGACGAAACTATCCTTCAAATATTACCAAGTTATATAATAATATTTTATTATATTTAATTATATAATAATAATTTATTTGGTATGAACTTTTTTACTTATTTTAATCTGAAGAATATACTGTGAGAGTTGTTTGGGCCACCCTGTATTTTGAAAAAAAAACATACATAAATTATAGGAATCTTACCTTTGGTGACATCTTCTCTGAGCTCTAGAATGCTCTGTTCTTTGGGCCTATTAGAGAGCAAGTCATACAGGACTTCTCTATATAATTCTGTAAACGAAGTAGTCACGGTGTAATCTACACTAAATGTATCTTTAATATGATCAAATATATCCTGAATGGCTCTTGGTATAACTCCAGGATTCTCGTCGCCATTATATGAAGTACCCATCGAATGGGTTTTCCCAGAACCCGTCTGTCCATAAGCAAATATCGTTACATTCAGCCCTAAAAGGATAAACCCAAATAGCTCACATTCAAAAAGAAATATCTCAGCGTTTATTATACGGTCCTGGACACTTTATCTCCGTGGTCTGTATTTTAATGTGTGCGACAGAGATGAGTATAAATGACCGGTTAAAAGACAGAGAGACACAATAAAGAATTCTCTCCATGTATGAGCTTTTAATTTTAATAGGAAGGTCCTCCGCCTTTCAGTTTTTTATTTTTTTTTCCTTATTAGGTATTAGAAAGAAAAATTCATATCTCGGTATCTACAATTTGGAAAAAATATCTCGTCTCATATATTTGTAGGAAATTGAATTCTCTACAAAAAAGGTCTTTAACAATTTTTTTGTAAACCTCACCGTTCGAAATTTATTAAATGTTGAAGTTTGATTATTTTAAGGCAGTTTTCGTTGTTCTTCAGAATTTAATAACTCGTTAACAAAAAATCATTATGATACGCGCAATTCATGGTTTTGTAGGGAATTCACTGCTCTACAAAAATAGTTTCTTATGATTAATCGATTAAATTAACCGTTTAAAAGATATTCATCGTCAAACTTCAATGCACAATAATTTTAACAGTTTGGTTATCATTATCATTTACTGTCCCTACAAAAAATGCAATAATTTTTTGTTTCAATGTACCCAAACATGCTTAGCGCTAAAAAAATAGAACAGAAGTTTAAAATATATCTTTGTTCATAGAAACTCAAATTTGTAAAATTTTTCCCGAAACTCATAAAATAAATTGGAATTGTTCGAATTATTAATCAAAAACTGTTTAAATAATTGTGCATTGAAGTTTAACGATGAATATCTTTGAAACGGTTAATTTAATCGACTAATCATAAGGAATTCCTGGTTAATAATAATAAAAATGGTTAACCATTTTTGTAGAGCAGTGAATTTCCTACAAAACCGTTAGTTGCGCGTGTCATAATGATTGCTTGTTAACGAGTTATAAAATTCAAAAGAAAAAAGAAATCTGCCTTAAAACAATCAAATTTCAACCTTTAATAACTTTCGAACGGTGAGGTTTACAAAAAAATTGTAAAAGGCCTTTTTTTTGTAGAGAATTCAATTTCCTACAAATATATGGGAACAGATATTTTTTCCAAATAGTAGATACCGAGATAGAAAAATAGAAAATAGAGAACTGAAAGGCAGAGGAGGAGATGAATGAAATTAAAAGAAATATTATCAACTCAATTTTTTTCTAGATTTAATACATTTTTTGATTTTCCATTAAGCTTAATCACTGTCTTTTAGTAACATGTTTATATAACATTGCTATTTAACAAGCTACATATCACATACTAAAAAACCGGGAGCCGTCCACATTATAGTTTTCGTAATCATGAATCGTTTTGGCGAGAAAGAGGTTCTGCTAGGAGCAGCGGCGTGCGTAATTATTTTTGAAGAAAGAGAAAGAAAGTCGAGAAAAAAAGCGGTTCTGAGTCCGCCATAGCCTACAAGATAGATCTATATATAGTTGAACTCAATTAGCTTACCTTTTCAATACCTGCCTCGGCTGTTTCTCGTGGTGTGTCTCTGCCTTTTAAAACCATTAATAACTTAAAAGCAAACCATTTTGAATTATCCACTTCGTCTAAAACCTGATTTGCATTTCTTTTGTTCCCTGTGGAATGGCCCTATTAGATAACGCATTTTTTCTCAACTTTTTCTCTTTCCAAATACATACTTTTTACATCAATTTTACATCATTTACATCAATTTTTAACCATGCATCATGCTTTTTTTTATTTCACTTTAAATGACGGTATGAAAGATAAACTAATTGAGTTCAACTGTATCTAGATCTTGCTGGTAGGCTATGGCGGACTCAAAACCGCTTTTTTCTCGACTTTCTTTCCCTTTGTTCAAAAATAATTACGCACGCCGCTGCTGCGAGCAGAACCTCTTCTTTGCCAAAACGATTCATTATTACGAAAACTATAATGTGGACGGCTCCCTGGTTTTTGACATGTGATAAGTAGCTTGTTAAATAGCAATGTTATATAACATGTTACTAAATGTGGACCCTCCTTTTACACATTAAAATCCAGGCCATGCTTCTACAGTGACTAAATCTGTATATACCTTCGAATAGGTTTTTTAGTAAGGGAGCAACGCATTTTTCGTATAGTTCCTCTTGTGCTGAGTCCGTTCCCAGCACATAGTTGAAGGTAAAGGCCTTCTCAGCTGACCTTACTAGGAGTTGATTATTTTCGGGAATAACTTCAACAATTTCTTTACACCCCTTTGAAATTTCGTGTGGTACCAAGGGTCGAACACGCACAGCAACTTTAACTGAGCATGGATCGGTCATTCTGTAACATTAGCATTGTAAATATAGCTGAATATTACACTGGGTGTTTCAAATTGGAAGCTTTGCCTGCGTTTTAGAACAGTCTTTGGTAAAGACCTTAGATTATATTACTACTCTGAGGTATACATGGAGGAAAGGCTGCATTTGTTAATTATTATAGCATTTACAATGAAAAAAAAAATAGTTATTAACAGTTAATAATTAACGAATCTCAAAGGAAATGTTTAGGTATTGATCTCCTATCTCCTGTACATAGAGTTAATATTTGGTTTAAAATGTATATTAAAATTAAAGAATCTATAAAACATCTAGTAAAAAAACCTCTAATATCTCTGGTACTATTAAGAGAAAAAATTATGGTACCTATGTAAAATATATATTTTTATTTTCTCTTAAATATGCAAACAGATCAGTTGATAAAAAAGAAACTAAGGTATGCAAAATGGCCGTTTTTTCAAACTTTCCCCACTGAGACTGAATGGGACTTTTAAAAGGCTTAAATAGGGGATTATTACCTAAACATTACCGCTGAGATCATTTATTATCTAATTTTATCCACCTTGGCCCCCAGATTTGCCGGGATGCCGGGTTATGCTATATAATATGTTTGAGTTTCTTTTTTATGATTGTTTTTGCTCGTGCAGTTGTAGACTAATTTTGTATTAAATTATTCTTGTACTTACTTCAAATAAAAGGTACCTTATAAATCTACAAATCCACACAATACTACACGTTAAAAAATGATACTAAATAATTAAACGGAACAAAGATTACACGCTTACAAGACAACATAAACACCCACTTACGTTAACGCAACGGTCTGGAAGCAAAAGAGTTAACGGACAACCGATATTTAAAATTGATTTTTGACAAGTGACAAGTGTTATATAATTTTCTACTTAGTCAAATTTATCCTTGTCCAGTCTGTGGGAATAAGCATCAGTGATGCATCTTCTATCTTTGTTTGTTGATTTGAATTACAAAATTTGCACCAATGAGATTCCTCAAATTACCTCTCTGAAGTTAGCGCTGAAAACAAACCAAAGTCTAACCAATAAAAAAAACTCGCGGGAAAGTTAGAAATGTCATTTTTTGAAAGATAGGTATAGGTTAATTAATTAGGTTTTGATAATTTTGCCATTTTTGCTGTTAATTTTATGGATAAAATTATAAACATATAAGATGGTCCTCCAGAACACCGGGAAATATCGGGCCGATAGGCCCGAAAAGTCCGATCAAGTTCAGAAACCCGAAGAAACAGCCGTTTTTAGGTAACAAAATTATATATTTTCTAAAGGACTGTTAAGTGTTTTGTTTCTTGTAAATTATATTGCAGAGAGGAGAGTTCGGAGTTTCGATTACGACAAATGTTAGAAAACGATGCTATAGATGCAAAATATGGTTTTGAACGGGTTCAAGACAATACTGAACGAACTGGCTTTCTTTTAAACATGCATTCAGTAAGTTTCCAATTCTGTTGCTTTCGGGAGTTATAAAAACTATTTTTTCGAATTATTTAAGACCGAAATACTTGACGAGGATAAAAGATTGTGCGCCGCAGTCGATTATTATTTTATGGAAGAAGATGGAACCAGATTTAAAGTATCATGTCCATTTATGCCCTATTTTTATGTACTGACAAAAAGAGAACTCATACAAGAAGTAACACAATATCTTTCCAAGAAATACAGTGGTGTTTTTGGGAAAATTGAAACAGTGGCAAAAGAAGATTTGGATTTGGTACAAAATACACTTTTTTTGTTTGTTTATAATGAAAATAAATATTTTTTAGCCCAATCATCTAATAGGATTAAAACAGAAATACATTAAACTAAGTTTTTACAGTCAGGCAGACTTGATAAAAGTAAGAAAAGACTTACTAAGACAAGTCAAAAAGAATAAGGCAAGACAAAGTGAAAATAGTTACTACACAGAAATGTTAGCTACACATTTAACAAATAATATGAACGAAAATATAGTAGCTAAAGCAAATACAGATCAAACGGAGAATATTTTAGATATCAGAGAATATGATGTGCCTTATCACGTACGCGTCTCAATTGATTTAAAAGTGTTTTGTGGGTCCTGGTATACAGTTAGAACAAGGGGCTCTAGTGATGCCCCTGTAATCAGTCTGAGAAGCGATATAATTGAACGACCTGAGCCAATAGTCTTAGCTTTTGACATAGAAACAACAAAACTACCTCTAAAATTCCCCGATGCAGCTACAGATCAAATCATGATGATCTCATACATGATCGATGCTCAAGGGTATTTGATAACAAACAGAGAAATTCTCTCTGCAGATATTGAGGACTTTGAGTACACACCTAAACCAGAGTTTGAAGGTAAATTTACCATATTTAACGAACCAAATGAGATGTGCCTTCTCCAGAAATTTTTTGATCATATTATGGAGGTGAGGCCTCACGTTTTTGTGACATACAATGGTGATTTTTTTGATTGGCCGTTTATTGAGGCCAGGGCAGCAGTATATGATCTAGGTAAATTAAAATATACATTTTTTTATGCTATACATGTATGAGAACACTTTTTTTAGATATGAAACAGGAGATAGGTTTCTCTAGGAATCGCGAGGGCGTTTTTTGGAGTAGGCCAGCTATGCATATGGACTGTCTTTGCTGGGTAAAGAGGGATTCCTACTTGCCTGTCGGGTCGCAGAATTTAAAAGCAGTGGCTAAAGCTAAATTGAGGTAAGAAGTGTTATCTATAATGATTATTTTGCATTTAGTATTGGTATGTCGGCTAAAAATATATATGAAGATATAGTTGAATTTATTCCCATAAATCATAATGCATGTTTTCTATATTAATATCATTTTTAAGTTTTCATTCTTTGATAAATGGTTATTATTAATTTTGATTAACGTCATATTTCTCTCTTTCTATATTCTTAGTATTGGTATAGTCGGCTAAAAATATATATGAAGATATAGTTGAATTTATTCCCAAAAATCATAACGCATGTTTTCTATATTAATATCATTTTTAAGTTTTCATTCTTTGATAAATGGTTATTATTAATTTTGATTAACGTCATATTTCTCGCTGTTTTAATATGTTAAAGACGCACAAAAGGTGATTGTAAATTTTGCCTCTTTTACATTTTAAAATGTTCATATTGTTTTAAAGAATCAAAACCTCTGACAATGAAAACGAAATGATGAATAATGAAATATAAAAATAAAAAGTGAAAGAAAAAATTAAATAAAAAATGAAAACAAAATGATATTACCATAGAAACGCGTTTTGATTATTTGGGACTTAGAAAATTGAACTGTTTTCACATTTCTTCATTTTTCTCTGAAACGGTGTGGAAATTTGGAAAAGTATAAAAGGGATTAATGTTTTTAGAACAAGCATAAACTATTATAAAAAGTGCATTTTTCTCAAAAAGGTTTTAACTTGTGAAGAGAATCTGGGGTTATATAATTTTTTTACTTCTAGAATTCCGGAAAATACTCAATCATCAATCACATATATCTCTGTTTTAATAAATTTTCTTTCCAGTACATATGAACTACTTTTTCTCTAAGCAACATTTTTCAATTCTAGAACTAAAACGATAAATATCCAATCACTTACAGCTTTTTTTTAATGTATTTTTGTTTTTGGTCCATATGAACTACTTTTTCTGTAACTCATTTTTTACTTTCTAGAACCGAACAAGTAATTACCCAATCACATATCGCTATTTTATTAAATTTTGATTCTGGTACATACGAACTACTTTTTGTAAATCATCAAAAATCCTATTTTCCTTTTTCTAGATACGATCCGGTTGAACTGGACCCAGAGGAAATGTGCCCCTTGGCCGCTTCCGACCCGCAAGTACTTTCGAACTACTCCGTTTCCGATGCGGTGGCTACCTACTACCTCTACATGCAGTACGTGCATCCGTTTATTTTCGCGCTGTGCACCATCATCCCATGCGAGCCTGACGAAGTGCTGAGAAAGGGTTCGGGTACCTTGTGTGAAGCCCTGCTCATGGTTGAGGCGTTTCACGCTAATATAATTTTTCCTAATAAGGAAGAGACGGTGCTGAACAAGCTGACGCACGATGGGCACGTGTTACACCAAGAAACATACGTGGGGGGTCACGTGGAAGCTTTGGAGAGTGGTGTTTTTAGGGCTGATATTCCTTGCAGATTTCGGTAAGTAGATAACTTGTCTATCTGGATTGAAAATTGCTTTTTGTGCCTCGCCTCAAACGTACAGCCCTTGTTTATAAGGGTACAGCCTTGCCACAAAAAGTATAATTTTTATTCCTAATAAAACAATATACTACCTTTTTATTTTTTAACTACATATTTTTTTGCCGAAAAAAAACTTATTGACGTATTATTTAACTAGTCTAGAGTCTATTACGCTGTACTGTTCGGGTCGCTCTCAGGGGTCGGGTAAGGCGGGTGTGTAGCCGAAGGAAATATATATTATATTTCAGAAATCTGCCTAAGGCTTAGCCTGATTGTTACAAACCTTAGCAATTTGTTACAAAACCATATAAATTTTATATCACTTTAATTACAAAACTTCAATCTATTTCCGTATTGTAATGGAATTTTAAATTATGTCTTTATTTTCGAGAAAATTTAGTCCAAACATAAGGAATATTTTGTTGATGTTTTACCATCAAAATCTTAAAAATAAAGAAGTTGTCTAAAAATGTGCTACAATACGGATATATCGTCCTATTGCTGCCAAAAGTCACTAACTAACATTTTTCCGAACAACCAAATTCAATTTCTATGTTTTGAAGCGGAGAATCGATTGCAAAAATCATTAACTACGATTTCTGGCTATTTATGTTTTATTTTAATACCGAATAGTTACTAACTATAACATCTTTATGCAATGCAATTCATCTGTAGACGATTTTTCTCGGAAGTAATAAAAAGTAAGTTAGTGACTTTTGGCAGCAATGGGACGATATGTAGTATAATCCTTTATCTTTAATTTCCTTCTTCATTTGTGTAAAAATACCTAGCGAGACAAGAAAAAAAAGTGCGATTCGTGCGGTGAGTGCGGCTCTGGTCAATGTGCGCGTACCTAAGAGACAGCCTACTTAAAAGTAAAAGACACTCTGTATCTTAGGATAGTACCTGAAGCCGTCGATTCCCTGATCGAACAAATCCCAAAGACGTTAGAGCACGGTATCAGCGTAGAGGAGGGCGTACCCATGGACCTGGTCACCAATTTATCGGAAATCAGCGAAGAGATCCGGGCACAACTGACCGCTTTGAAGGACCAACCTTTGCGTCTGGAGAGGCCTTTAATATACCATTTGGATGTGGGGGCCATGTACCCTAACATCATCTTGACCAACAGACTGCAGCCCTGTGCCATGGTCAACGAGACTATTTGTGCTAGTTGCCATTTTAACAAACCCGGGGCTACTTGCCAAAGAAGCATGGCATGGATGATGAGAGAAGAATACAGTAAGTTTTTACAAAATACATCTAATTAAAGGGGAGACACACCACTAGATACCTAAAACTCCATTTATTCCTTATTGAAGTCATATAAAGAAAAATACAGCATGCTGCAACATTAATAGATGTCTTTGGATTTTACCTAATTTTCCATTTTTAATCTATTGATGTGATTTTTTTTTGTATTTTTAGTGCCCGCTTCTAGGAGTGAATACCAACGCATCCAGCAACAATTGGAAATGGAAAAATTCCCGCCATCTTACCCTGGTGGACCTCGAAGGGCGTTCCATGAATTACCCAAGAAAGACCAGGCGGAATATGAGAAGAAACGTCTTCAAATTTACTGCAGAAAAGTATACAAGAAGTTAAAAATTACCAGAGTTGAAGAAAACACCACTACAATTTGTCAAAAAGAAAATTCTTTCTATGTGGACACAGTCAGAGCTTTCAGAGACAGACGGTAAGATTTTTTATAGGAAGAATTTTGTAAAACCTATCGGAAAAAAATGATAATATTTTAAATAGTTGAAATTCATAAATATATTTTGAACACCCTGTTGGGCATTTAACTAAAATATCTTTACATATTTTTTATTTGTCTCTATAAAACTCCCCTACCAAATTTGATTAGTCCAACTTCAGAAACAGTGGCATCACTTAGAGTTTTTTTCACACTGAGATCGAACATTTGTTTAAACAAATTGAAATATTACAAAAACTAATAATTTTAGCTATATAACGTTATATACAGGGTTGTTCACCACATACGACACGGAGTATTGTAGCTAGAGGTGCGAATTCTAGTTCTCTCCTTGGGAGGAACTAGTTCCTTAGTTCTAGTTCCTCCAGAGGAATAGTTTCTTGAACTAGGTCTTTAGTTCACAATAGTTCCCGACTAACATTGACATCCCCCTTGCTTGCTAATGCGTTTCGTTGTCAGTCAGAACTATTCACAGTATGATCTGTATGATTTTTATAATGTACGGAGGTATAACGAGACGTGTAATTGTGTATGTTAAAAACATATATAGGGAAATTGAAAGAACTTTCGTTGCACGTCATTAATGACACCATGCGTCTTATGGAGTTTGCTGGTGGTCGTATTATGATCTGCAACGAAAGTTATTTTAATTTCCCTTATAGGTAAGTTTTATGGCAGATAAAAAATATAAAAAAGAAACTCAAATCAGAGTTTAAAAAACTATATCACAAATCAATTAGAGCAAATATTACAAAAAATTGCATTTTTCCTCACTTCAAGCTTTTTGTTTTTGTATAAAAATTCAGAATATCTACTTCGTTTTATAAGATATTTCTTAATTTTAGGGACCTAAAGTGAAACATTCCCGTAAAATATTTAAAAAACAAACTAAAAGTCAAAAACAGTGTCCACGACAATTTTCTGTGGTAATTACACCGCGCCGCGCCGGCTGTGGCAATAGACAAGACCGAATCCATCGTCGTCGCCTTGTATTATATCTCGGATCTGCCGCCTGAATAGATTCCCGTGAACTAGTCTTTTAATAGTTCCTCTATGTCCGGATCCGATAACATACGGCTGGCACTCCCCACGCCTGCCTAGCATCAATCGCGCTGGCTGATCCATACGTAAACTAGTCTTATTTAGTTCCTCTAGTTCCTTTAGGTCCGGATCCGATAACATACGGCATATGGCTGGCACTCCCCACTCCTGTCTACCATCGGGCTACGCGCGCTAGCCGATCCGTCGCCGTCGCATATCATTCTATATCGGTCACAGTCTCGATCCCGGAATAGGTCCTGAGGAACTAGTTCTTTGAGAAACCAGGAACTAGTTCCGTTCATTCCGGGGTCGGAATAGTTCATTGGAACTAGTTCGTTCACGAACTACACACCCCTAATTGTAGCTAAACGATTAGATTTTTACAAATTGTAAGTTTTGGATTCGTTGAAGGATTATCAGAGCTACAATTTAAAAATGTTTTTACAAGATACAGAGTGACCCAAATAAATAAAAAATATCAAAGTTGTATTTTTTTAAATAGAACACCCTGTATATTATTATATTTTTAGATTCTACGATTAAAATAAAGGTAAAATATACAGGTTGTTCCATTTAAATTAAACAAGTTATTGCCGTTTAAAGCTAGTAATTATTTAATATAATTTTTTGGACATTTTCTATTAGGTAGTATAATTTTTATTATTGCAACACAATATCTGATCAATAAATAATCTTCAGTAAATATTTAGTATTAAAACCTTTAATACTTTTGGAGAAATAAAGCCTTAAATTTTTTACTGCAATTTCACAAAATTGAAAATATTTCAAAAACGGTTTAAGTGCTATAGAAAGGTTTAAGTGCGATAAACCTTAATCAAATTTACCTTTATTTCAGTTGTAGAATCTAATAATAGAATAATATACAGGGTGTTCCATTTAAAAAAATACAACTATAATATTTTTTATTTATTTGGGACACTCTGTATCTTGTAAAAATATTTTTAAATTGTAGCTCTAATAGTCCTTAAACGAACCCAAAACTTACAATTTGTAAAAATCTAATCGTTTAGCTACAATACTCCGTGTTGAAAAAACATAATATGTTATATGCGCCATACTTTTTTGAAACACCCTGTACACTATAATAATTTTATATTTAACATTTCTTTTTGTAAACCTCTTGTTAGTCATGTTCTTGTGACTTCTTATCTATACTTCACTTGTCTGTTTCTGACAGTTACGAGTATAAAGGACTGTCGAAAAAAGCGAAACAGGCTGTCACCGAAGCTGTCAAAGGGGGTGACGCTTCCGAAATCAAGTCGGCCAAGAACAGGGAGGTGTTGTATGACTCTTTGCAGCTAGCTCACAAGTGTATCTTGAATTCCTTCTATGGCTACGTCATGAGGAAGGGGGCCAGATGGTACAGCATGGAAATGGCGGGAATAGTGTGCTATACAGGGGCGAATATAATTACGAAAGCCCGAGAAATCATAGAACAGGTAATATTTTGACGTATTTGTACAGGATGTCTATTTAAGTACAATAATATACCAATCTTTAAATTTAAAATACAAATTTTACTAATTTATTTATAGTTTTTGAGAAAAAGTGATATTATAATGGTTTTGTTTTACCTGGAAGGTATGAAACCCCAAAAATATATATTATAACTTATATTTATTAAAGTAAACATATCATATAGTCTGTCCAGGAAAAGAATATAACACAATGACAGTTCACTGACATTTCATTTGTCGAAATATGAATTATCTCGCAGAACAGACTATCATAAATGTTCCAATCACCTCGAATGATGTATTTATTGAATTTTTTCTATGGTACTTTTGAACTACTCTACAAAATCATTGTATTTTATTAGGTGGCAACCCTATTTAATTAGGAAAGTCGCTTTATAAATGTATATAGCGATTTAGAAAGAAGTTTATTTTATTTTTCGTGGTACATTTGAACTACTCTACAGGTTATCTTTTTATTTATTAGGTGGGAAGGCCTTTGGAGCTGGATACCGATGGAATATGGTGTATACTTCCCGCATCCTTTCCAGAAAACTTCACAGTACACTCGACCCACGCGAAAAAGAAGAAATTTGTGATTTCCTATCCTAATACTGTCCTAAACGCCATGGTATTTACAACACTATCTCCTAAATATTCAGATGTTTCGTGTTTTTAAAGGTTTTTATCGCACAGTATATGTTATAGGTTAAAGAACACTTCACGAATCATCAATATCATGAACTAGTTGACCAAGAAAAAGTGGAATACAAAATCAGAAGCGAGAATTCTATATTTTTTGAAGTCGATGGGCCGTACAAAGCCATGGTTTTGCCTGCCAGTAAAGAAGAAGGTAAAAAACTAAAAAAACGTTATGCTGTCTTTAATTTTGACGGATCTCTAGCAGAGCTTAAAGGGTTTGTTTTGAGTTTATTTTAATTTTAAAAGAATAATTTTGTATTTTTTTGAAAAAGGTTTGAAGTTAAAAGACGTGGTGAGTTGCAACTGATCAAGAATTTTCAATCTTCGGTTTTCGAAGCGTTTTTGAAAGGAGACAGCTTGGAGTCATGTTATGCTGCTGTAGCTCAGGTGAGTAAAAAAAGTATTTGAGACTTTATAAAATATCTGAAGGTTTTTTTATTATTTTATTATTATAAAAATAAATATTATAGGTAGCTGATTACTGGCTTGATGTTCTCTACTCCCACGGCAAAAATATGCCCGATTCCGAGCTTTTCGACCTAATTTCCGAAAACCGATCCATGTCAAAGAAGTTGGAAGAATACGGAGCGCAAAAAAGTACTTCCATAAGCACAGCAAAACGTTTGGCCGAATTTTTGGGCGACCAAATGGTCAAAGACGCCGGCCTGGCTTGCAGATACGTCATCTCGAAAAAACCGCACGGAGCTCCTGTCACAGAACGGTACAAACGAACTACTTTTACCTATTTTTGTGAATTTAATTCATTTTTAAATGATGTAGAGCTATACCTTTGGCGATTTTCCAAGCCGAAGACGCTATTCAGAAGCATTATTTGAGGAAATGGCTGAAAGATGGTTCAATCAACGAGGTGGACATTAGAGATATTTTGGACTGGAGTTACTACATTGAACGTCTCGGAGGAGCTATACAGAAAATTATTACCATTCCGGCTGCCATGCAAGGGGTAAGCATGTGTTTTCTAACATTTTGGCGTGTTTGTACATTTCAACTACTCATTTTATCTTGACCGTCCATTTGAACTACTATGCATTTTAAAATCTAGCAATGGATAAAAAGACTGTGAAAGTAGTGTATAAAAAAATGGTTTATTTTTTGTTATTTAATAACAAAAATATAGATACACTACTTGAGACTGATTTGTGTAAACTATTTTTGAAGCTCCTTTCTAAGATTTATACACTTCGCATGGAACCAAATATAAAATAAACAAGAAATAACATAAAATAAACTAACATCAACGAAACAAACCCGAAAAAATTCAAATTAAAGTCAAATATGTCAAATAAATCTGACAAAAGCATTGAACTCCTTACTTAGTCTTTTTATTTAGTGTTTTAATCATTATTAATAAATTTGTGTACTTATTACTAGCCTAAATTATTTTTTAATGGTATTAAAAGTCTTGGTACATTTGAACTACTCGGTAGTGTTTTTTAATGAATATAATCATGAATAATACTGATGTTATATCGATTCTTCTATTAATTTATAAATGTTTTTTTAGGTTCCAAATCCGGTACCAAGAGTGAGGCATCCCGATTGGTTACATAAAAAGATCTTAGAGAAAAACGACACTTGCAAACAACGACGTATAACAGACATGTTCTCGCGTTGCTCCAAAGAGGAGTTTAGTAGGTCAAATGAAGCGAGCAGCTCCATAGGTCTGTAAAATGTAATATATAGGTATTAAAATTACACTAAAAATGCCTGCCACTGTACAGAGTGTTCTAATTTCCTATAGGTCCTAAAGGTCACCCTCCAGTTCTGGGACACTCTGTACATAAATTGCAACATTTCTAAATCAAAATTTTATTACTAAACCATCATTTACATTGTCTGAAACAACTCTAGGCCACAGAAATAAGTTAATATAGAGACATCCTAAGACAAGTTTGTTTTTTTTTTTTGAAAAAAAATGTTTTTTAAGGTGACATGGAAGACATAGGTTCAAAACAAACATCTCCCGCTTTTAAAACACCCACAGTTGCCACAGTTAATAAAAAACGTAAACGAGGACCGGACAAAGACAACCAATTTACAGAGGAAGAACTTGATAAAACTTGGAGGGAAGTACTGGGAAATCCTCCACCCTTCGGTACGACCAAAAAAAGCAAGACCGAGTGGATCCTGTTTCAAAAAAGGAAGTGGCTGTTTCAGTCTCTGCAGAAAAACCTTGGAAACCCGAACAAAAAGAAGAAAAACAAAGGTAGTATGGCTGTGTTGAGGTCATCGGCTCCTGGGACTATGGGGGGATTTTTGCAGAAAACACAGAGGACTTTATTGACCACGCCATGGCAAATTCTTCAGATTATTTCTACTGCTACGCCTGGGGAGTTCAAATTATGGGCACTGGTAAGTTTTAACTTATTGTAATTGAATAAAAATGCATTAAAGACTGAAAGAACACGTATTTTCTCATTTTGATTGGATTTTTTCTTAAAACAAACTTTGATTTTATAGATTTTTATAAAAAAAAGTCGTTTTTTTCCTTTAGGTTCAATCAGAATTGTACTGTGTGAAATTGACAGTACCTAGGATGTATTATGCCAACTTGAAAACGCCTAAAGCTAGAGAGGAAGGTGCATTATTTAAAAAGTGTAACAGGACTTTGCCCAGAGCCCGCAAAGTGTACAATCTCTATCTGTATTCTGTTCCTGAAATTTTGTTTATAAAAAACAACGAGTAAGTGTTTTATTATACATATTTTTTTTTAAATATATTAATTGGTAATATATTCCGACCCCAGAAACACGCCTATGAGTTCTTTCGTGAAAAAAAATATATGTTCTTCGTATTTTCTAGCGCGTCTCAGCGCCAAACGCTACACTTTTATTTAAAACGCTTTATAACAAACTTTACAGTCTGTCCAATAACAAAATCCTTGATAGTGTAGAATGTAGAATGTTTAGGAGGGGAGTTAATCACCGCGACCTTATAGATCTATTGTGTGTTCCCCTTTCTTGAGTTATAACGAGTTATAACTCATCATACAGTCTCAGGGCTTTAACAAAAGCCAATACCTGAGACGGCTCCACTGAGCACTCCATCCTCGACATCAGACGTACCAAAGTTCATGGCACGAATGGTCGTCGTCTCGGCGCACTCAGTGATAAGGTGTTCTGGTGTTTCCCCATTTTTTCCACAAAATCTGCATTCGCCGTTGTTTCTCAGCTTCAGCCTACTGAGGTGTTCGTTGATGAGACAGTGTCCTGTTAGAAACCCCGTAACAATCCGAAGATTGTTTTTACTTAAATCAAGGAAAACCTTTGATTTTTCTCGGTCGTAAGTTCTGAGGAACTTTTCGAGTGTCTTAGACCGTTGGAAGACACCCATTCCAAGTTACGGATGGAGTCTTCCAGATTCTTCAGTTCCGCTTTCAATTGGTTCCCGTTTGGAAAACAGAACGGTTCTGGTCCAATTAGTGGAGTGTTCGCTCCTTTCCTAGCTAGATCATTTGCTTTTTTATTGCCTTCTATCCCTTGGTGAGCAGGCACCCAGAGTAGGAGGACTTTATTTTCTTTGCCTTATTTGTTGAGCTTCTCTAGGCATTCTTTGACCAACTTCGAACTGACGGTTACTGAGTTGATCGCGTTAAGTGCTGCTTGACTATCGGATAGGATGACAATTTTCTGTTTTCGATAGTTCCTTATCTAAGATAAATTGTACGCATCTTTCGATAGCGCAAATTTCTGCCTGAAGAATACTGGGGTAGGTGCCCGTTGGTTCGGAGTATTTAGTTTTCAGCCCAAATATTCCTATCCCTGTCATTGCTTTGGTTTTGGAAGCATCAGTATACCATGTGATGGTATGGTCTTTTATATGCTGAGTAAGCGTTTCTTTCTTCCAATCCTTTTTATTACTCAATACTACAGTGAGGTGTTTCTCAAAGTTGTAAATTCTTGGTATGTCATCCACTGGGAGTTGGAGAAGTGGAATTTTCTTTTTGAGGGTGTTCCAAGCCCCTGACCTGAAAATTCTCCCAGTACTATTTCCGTCAATGACCATTCTAATCCTTGATAGTGATAGAGGTGTCTCTCAGTTTAATTTCAGAGTAGTTTATTTTAATTACAAAGAAACGATTTGGGACAATTTGAATACAAAGCGGGAAATTAATATACTGGGTGGCGCACCACATTCGCCTCGGTTGATTATACGAAAGCGGAAAGATGTAGAAACAAAATATTTTATGGGTATATGTCCGGAGCAATGTGCACAATTTAAAATTATTTTGAAAAATACAGGTTGTTTCAGAACTAAGCTCCATACCAAAGTTATATTTTTTCTTATAAATATTATTTATTAAACTATTGTAGGTAAATTAAATAAAAGTAAACTGGTATAAATTTAAATAAGTCCTCCAAACCAAACCTAATCTAATTTCGATTTTGAAAATAGCTACAAACTGTCACTAGAAACTTGCCATGGCGACACTAGCCCTCTTGGTTGCCATTTCATTGAAAAATTGCTCTTTATTCAAAATTTTAGCTAGATAGGTATAGGAAATCTTAATATAGTTTGAAAGAGCATTTGAATCTGCTTCGATTTATTATAAAAAATACAGGGTGTCGTATTTGAAATAACAAAAGTTTTTATGTAAAATAAATCCTTAAAATAGATCAGCAATTTTTGATACCCCTGTATAAATTTAAGGAAGCAATAACATTTTCCAGTCAAGTTTATCTCTACATTTAAACTCACCCGAAGAATTAATTCTGAAAAGTAATGTATGTACAGGGTGTTAAAAATAATCTATTCTATAGTAGCATGCAAATTTGAATATCTTTAAATATATCAAAAATCAAAGATTTTAAACATATTTAACCCTTATAATAAATGCCTTTTTTGGAGCCCAGGAATCCAAAAATGAAATAAAATACCGGGTGTTCCATGAGAAAAAATATAACTTTGGTTTGGATCTTAGTTCTGAAACACCCTGTATATTTCAAACTAATTTTAAATTGTGCACATTGCCTCCCCACATATACCAATAAGAATAATCAATCGAGGCGAATGAGGTGCGCCACCCTGTATTGAAAATTTTAGTGACAAATGATTTCTTCAAAATATTATAAAAAAAAACTGTACAAATATTTAGGGTGTGTGTTAATACAAAAAAAACAATAGTGTAAGTTAAACAAAACACCACATACAAAAAACATCTATAAAAAAGAACTATTTCTTATTTTCAAACTTAAAGAAACTTCCTTCATTATTATTATATTTATCAATATAACTTATGTAGAAATAAAAGAAATTTTAATATTGCACAGAAATAAATAAAACACGACATAAAAAAAACGAAGAATTTTATTAATAATTTTAATAATTTACAAACACTTACTGAATTTTATACCTTAAAAGTTGGTCAATTAACTTTATTCTTATTTTTTTTGTAAACAATACCTTTTGGCCTTATCTCTCTATAGTTCTATCTTTTATTGTTTATCCTATCGTGCGATATGTCTATTTTACGAGATGGTATACAAAATTTATTGGTAACTAAAGCTAATACAACTCTCTGGGTCTACAAATACTTTTCCTTTGATTATTCCTCCACTTAAAAAAACAGAAAATACACTTAATAACACCAAAATGCTACAGCAATATCGCAAATATTTTTCATTTTCCAGAAGGTTGGTTATTTGACATAATTTAACACTAATAATAACATTTTAAGCTCAGTGTATTTTTTCCCACAGAGAACTCTTCATATCCATATCCGACCCAGACGTGGAAGGCATCTACGAAACCAAGACTTCCCTAATATTCAGAGCTCTGGTGTCAACCAGTTGCGTTTGCAAAGTATCCAGAGGCGTCACGCGCCTCGAATCCTTCAGCTTGGATGAGCTGGAAACCGTTCCACTAAACAGACAACCTTACCTTCCCAAAGATTCTTTGAAGCATGTTTATCTGTACCATCACAGACACCAGACCAAGCCGCAGCATATGTTTGGACTGTTTTTGACGCCTCTCAAGAAATGCCTGATTGTGGTGATTGATTCTGTCAGGACGAATCTGATGCCTAATATGGTTAATTTGTACAACACCGAACGTTTAGCAAAGTAAAGAAAAAAAATCATTAGATTTTATAACCTACTTGAGATAAGTAATTCGCGAATTGACTTGGAACTTTGAATTTTCTTATTCAAGAAGGATATAAGATCTAAGGGACTAAATTTGTATGGTTTAGACGTATAAGGTTGTCCTTGTTTAGGAGCAGCGATATGACCTATTTCAGATACGTATAAGTATTTGAAATACAGATATAAATACATTCATATGCAAAAAAACGCAACTGAGAAATTTTTAGTCAAATTTAAACTGTTATATGTTTCTTATTTTTAGCCCTATTTTCATGAATTTTTTAGCAAACCGTATACAGGGTTGTTCACCACATACGACACGGAGTATTGTAGCTAAACGATTTTTGCAAATTGTAAGTTTTGGGTTCGTTAGAGGACTATTAGAGCTACAATTTAAAAATATTTTTATAAGATACAGAGTGTCCCAAATAAATAAAAAATATCAAAGTTGTATTTTTTTAAATGGAACACCCTGTATATTATTACATTTTTAGTTTCTACGATTTTTTTTTAGAATTTTAGAATAAGTGGGAGGGGGGTTAATCTCTGCGACCTTAGAGATCTATTGTGTCCCCTTTTCTTGAGTTATAACTCATCATACAGTCTCAGGACTTCCTACGGAGACCCGTGTCCTTCACAGTCGAGGAGCTACGACCCAGGCCGGGTAGACGAAACGGTAGCTTGTGTCGCCTGTTGGGTTTAGAGGTAGGAGGTAGGCTCCCGACCCTTGGAGGAGGTGGTAGCTTGTATGCCACTTGCGGAGGATGGTCTCACGCAAGTGTCAGCCACCTCTCCTGTAGTTCTCTTTGGGTTTGGCCCCTTGGAACTTTCATTGTTACTGTTCCCAGTGTCGCTAGGGGGTTTCCCCACAGCTTCACCGGTGATGTTTTTATTACTATTATTACCAGATCTCATAGTGTTCCTATGAGTCGCTAGGGACAGTCGGTCCACTTCTACAGAGCCCCGCATGTAGAAGTAAGGGGTAAAATACAATGGGGTGCCCCCCGGTGCCCCAAGGTTGAGGCTGTCCGTAGCCCCGCCCGGTATCGTTATATGTCTTGGTGCAATTCCCTGGCCACGACACTACAGTCAGGGACAAGACGATGAGTGAGATGCTTCTTGGACCAAGCCAAGTGCTAGGGGGGATTCCCCCCAGCACCTGACCAGGAGCTTCCCCACCAACGACAAGGTCTTGCATCTCCTAGGGGAAGGTTTCTACGATTAAAATAAAGGTAGATTTGATTAAGGTTTACCACACTTAAACCTTACTGTTTTTTAAATATTTCGGTTTTTGTCAAAATACAGTAATAATTTTAATGCTTTATTTCTGTAGGCGTATTTAAATTTTTAACCCAAATATTGTACTGAAGTATTTCTATTTTCTAAATTTTGTGTTGCAATAATAAAAATTATACTACCTTATACAGAGCGTCTCAAAATTTATTTTAAATAATTACTAGCTTTAAACGGCAATAACTTGTTTAACTTAAATGGAACACCCTGTATATTTTATGAGAATCAGATGCACAATTAAATTGTATTATACCATTTTTTAACTATCTCTTAAGTAATCTAAGTTTTCGTAGAAAATGCATTTTCTTATAATTTAGACCTCATTTATCAACCATGTTTACCCATGGAATATTGAAATTTTAAATTATTTTTAAAGATGTAACAAATTTTTAAAGAGTACAGATACTAATATTGTCGATATAGTTCGTTTATTTCATTAAAAAAAATAAAGAAAAACTGTAACTGTTTAAATATTTATTAGAGGACCAATTAATATGATTCCAGTTTTCAAACTACATTAATTGACTGTTTGCGTTGAGTAATAATAATTGTTCCAAATACTAAAAAACTGAATTTTGTATGTGTATTAGATAGTGTATTAAAAAGTAACACCTTAAGAATTTTGTTTCATTTTTTGACGAATGCTTATTTACAACAGAGACGTTTATTTTCATAACTTATTATTATATTGATTTCCGATTCAAATCCACCATTATTTAGAATACTTTATTAACTAACACAATTAAGTATGTAATTAATTAATATTTGAGCGGATAATGGTGGTATATTTAATTAATGGTATACTCTGGGCTAGTAATATTATCATTTTTAGCACCTGTACATTTTGTACATTTGTTGCTTTAAAAACAATTTAAAATGTCAATATTCCATGGGTATATTGATAAATGGAGGTCTAAATTATAAGAAAATGCATTTTCTACCAAAACTTGAAGAGATAGGTAAAAATGGTATAATACAATTTGATAGACAATTAAATTGTACATTTGATTCTCCTAAAATATACAGGGTGTTCCATTTAAATTACAAGTTATTGCCGTTTAAAGCTAGAAATTATTTAAAATACATTTTTAGACACTCTGTATGAGGTAGTACTATTTTTATTATTTCAACGCAATAACTGATCAATAAATAAACTTCAGTAAATATTTAGTATTAAAAACGTTGATATCCTTGCAGAAATGAAGCTTTAAAATTTTTACTTCAATTTCAAAATAATTGAAAATATTTCAATAACGGTAAAGTTTAAGTGATAAACCTTAATCAAATTTGCCTTTATTTTAATCGTAGAAACTAAAAATGTAATAATATACAGGGAGTTCTATTTAAAAAACACAACTTTCATATTTTTTATTTATTTGGTACAGTCTGTATCTTGTAAAAATATTTTTAAATTGTAGCTCTAATAGTCCTTAAACGAACCCAAAACTTACAATTTGTAAAAATCTAATCGTTTAGCTACAATACTCCGTGTCCTGTATATATCTAGCTCCAATACTCCGTGTCCTGTATGCAACAACCCTGTATAAATATATCAATTTTAATTCGTAAACTCAGTTTTTTATAAACTTTAGTATTTGGCATATTATACAGGTTTAATAGAGGGTGTATTTTTTACATTAACTTTAAAACACCCTGTGCACAATAATTTAGTGTGTAAATTTTCCTAAAATATAATTTTACGGTCAAAAACATGACTCCTGACCATTTTGTTTTTGATTCTTGTCAATACATGCTTTGGTTAATATTTAAGAGCGAAATGAAGTGATTACGATCAATTTGCAATTTTTTCAATTATCATTACTTTTTGATGTAATTTTTTAATATGACGAGATGGTTTTGGTGATTATTGTCGTCGTAACGTCATTTTACGCTGCTTGGATACTCTATATTAAAGTAGAAAACGGTAAAGACTGACGATACAGTCCTGATTTTAATAAACATTAATAACGATCTGTAATACTAAAGTATACAAACAGAAAAAAAAATTAAAAAATACCCAATAGTTTGTATTGCCCTCCCTTGGCTCCTATAAATGCCTGTATACGTCCTTTCATACTGTCATTGAGGCTGCATATGTCATATTGCGTTATGCTCTTCTATTCTTCTTTAAGAACCAAGCGAAGTTCATTTAATGAAGCTGGTACCGCTTCGCACCTCTAAACCTCCGGCCAGGCATTTCCCAAACGTCGAACATGATGGGTAGTTTATAGTAGTATATAGTTCACAATAATAATCACCAAAGCCGCCTTGTCATATTGAAAAATAACTTCAAAAAGAAATGATAATTGAAAAAATTGCAAATTGTTGATGACAAGTTCATTTCGCTCTCTCTTCATGATCCAAAGAAAATGCTGAGGAGCCATGGTTCTGACCGTAAAATTATATTTTAGGAAAATTTACAGATGAAGTTATTGTACAGGGTGTTTTAAAGTTAAGGTAAAAAAACAACCCCTCGGTTATCCCTGTATAAAATGCCAAATACTAAAATTTAGAAAAACTGAGTTTACGAATAAAAGGTGGTACAATTATATACAGCTTACTAAAAAATTCAAGAAAATAGGACTATAAATAACAAAAATATAACCAAAACGGAGAAATTTGACCAAAAGTTTCTCCGTTGCGTTTTTTTGTATCTGAGTGTATATTATATCCTTTAATATTGGGACAAGAATATGTATGTTATAAAATAATAATAATAATAACCAACATGGAATTTTAGATTGGAAAAGCTTCAGCAAAATGCAGTGTTGCCACCTGAAGACATTCAGTTTGAGATAAAAGTCGAGACTGATGTGGCTCAAGCTTACAAGCTCCTGAATAAAGCTTTGTTGTCATACAAGGAGGAGAAAAAAGGACCTACAATGCTGGTGCTTCAGACCACAATGGATGTTCAGATACTTCAAGGGGTCATTGGTGCTATTAATGATTTTCCTCAAACGCAGATATATGTTAAGGTATTTTCTGATTTGTTCTTTGACAACATATACATATTTTCTAATTATATTTTTTTAATTATTTCTTAGGATGACGATGACCTTTACAATGTCCTAGAGTGGCAAAAAACAGGTGCTAAGGCCATAGTACGTCATTACCTTAACAGCGAAACTGCTTTGGAAATCATGACGGAACAATGTCGATATTTCCACATCCCTCTGGGTAACTACCCGACCGATCCCGCCATTTTTGGGGCTGATTTGTTCTACGCCCGTCACTTAGTGAAAGCGAACCACGTCCTATGGTGCTGTCCACTGGACAAGCCAGATTTAGGTGGCAGTGAGGAGACAGATACAAGGTTTGCTAAGTTTTCCTTTTTTGCGTTTCAAAAATTTGTATAGGTTGTGTGATAATTTATGCAAATTTCAACAAAATAGTGTTGTGTACGAACATCAATCTTATAAATTGTAATTTGTTATCAAGTATTTTAATACTTGAGTTGCAAATTGAAATTGATTTTTTAAACTTTTTATAATGGGATCAAGAGACCCACTATGATTTTTTGTGCTTGACTGATATTTTTAGTATTATAGTAGTGGGAACTATCGAAACATTTGATAGTTGCAATTCATTCGAATAATTCGATAGCTAGTAAGAAAACATTAATTCGATAGCTAGTAAGAAAACATTCGTCGAAAACTATTCGAATAAAAATTATCGAATAGATGCGTCATCTGCCTTGAAATATTGTATTCTAGTAATTCGGCAGCAAAAACCATTCATTTATAAAATTCATTTAGGATCGATTAGAATAAAATATGATCTGGATTTTAGTTGTCGCCCGGCGACGTAGGTTTCCTTCCTAGAAACCCGACAGCGGTCTGTGGCAATTGGCAGTGGTATGAAAGAAGCCGGCATCTTTGATTTTTTGCGTCAGATAAGGACACATTATTTTTTTTATTGAGGTGCTAGTATTTACACAGAAAATACATTATGAAGGGCGCTGTTGCCATATATTGGTATTAGTTGGTATTATCAAAGAATATTATTCTTTGGTATTAGAGTTAGGGATAGTATGTTTATATATTTTGCATTGTTTTTTATTAATATTCTGTTGTTACACTGCAATAATACTTTTTATTTTGGATGTAGGACAATTATTTTTAATGTTTTTAAGCAAATACTGGTTTAATAAATAATAATAACAGTAATAATTTGTTATACCTATTAACAAGAATATTTAAAATCATGAAATATAAACATTTATTTATTTTTTAAGTAGTAGCAAAATGTAAACAACAAATTAAAAGTCCAAATTATTTATATTAGATTCTATTTAAAAATAATAATCTCTAAATTTTTTGGCAGCGTTGGTTTATTAAATAATAATAATTACAGAACTAATTTTTTATATTAACTACAAATTTTAAAATCATGAAATATAAACATTTATTAACTTTCTAAGCAAATTAGAAATCAAAATTATTTATATTACTTTTTATTACTTTATATTACTATTTAAAAATAATATTTACTTTATGGCATTTACTTTAAAAAATAAATGAAATATTTCTTCGCAAAAAACTACATGTAAGAGAATTAGCTTAAACAAAATACAAATATCGTTAACTTTTTTTTAAATTGGCACGTGTAAAACTTTCAATTTCATTTTCCGATCCCAAAATTTGAGTTCGATAACCACATTACTTAAATATGATTATTAAGTTCAACTAATTCATATTATTAAAACATCTAAAATATAAATATGTATTTTTAAACTTAATTGTAAGTTCATCTCATCTCTCTTAAAAATTGCTACTTCTCAAAATTTCCCATTAAGAAAATAGACCATATACCATATAAAAGTAAATAATTGAAAGATCGGGCTACGGAAAATCACACAAATTTTCGGAAAAATTTTGACCACCTGAACACGGCACACAATCGTCAATTTAAAAAAAAAATACTGTTTTAGTATTTTAAATATATTACAAGGCGAAGTTAAAAAAATTTGAAAGAACTAATAATGCACTGACGCACACAAAAATCAAACGAATTACTAAATATTTCATTTATAAAAAGCATTCGATAGTCGTGGCTCAATGATAACCATTTAGTCGCACGGTCGGTCAGGTTATCACATATGCTTTAGTATACAAATGAATGAATGATTTTATTTGAATAAAACCATTCGATAGTTGGAATCATTCATTCAGTAACCATTCGATAGTCTAATTCATTCGATAGTTCCCATCGCTAATTTTTAGACACACTGTATAACATTATTTTGAATCTTCTAGACTTCTAGCTGAAAACCAAGAAGGATCTAGCGAAGTACTTAATGTTCCTGGTTGGTACTCTTCAGTTTGTGTTGCTTTAGACATAGATTGCCTTGCCATAAATACATTATTACAATCCCATCATGTCACAGACATAGAAGGTATAGACGAAATTCAAAAAAATTAATATTATCACTGTATTTTTATAATAATTTTAAGGAACAAGTAACGCCACTGCCTTCGATACCAACCAAGGGGTGTCCATAGATGAAATGTTATCAGGAAACAGCGCTCTTATTTACAATGAGTCTGGTAGATGCGCTGAGGCTTTTAGAATACTCAGAACTATGGCTGGTGGTTGGATGAGGGATATATCACTGTACAGAAACCCGTATGCTGACTATCAAGTCATACATTTTTACAGGTATTTCCCCCCAAAAAAACTATTAAAACCAAAATTCACATTGATTATAAATATTTATTAAATTAATATGAGTTATCTAATAAACTATTTTAGATGGCTGAGATCTTCTAAATCATTACTCTACGAACCGGCAATCCTTAGAACGCTTCAAACTCTGATGAAGAAGCTGTTTTTGCAATTGGTGGCTGAACTGAAACGCCTAGGTCCGAATTTATCCAGAGTAGTTCTAATGAACCGATTTAAATTTACGTTCTTTTTTAGGTTGTGTGATAATTTATGCGAATTTCAACAAAATAGTGTTGTGTACGAAGAAAAACAGCGTTGATGATGCAGTGGCTAATGTTGAATTTGTGGTCAATTCTATAAGAAATAAGGAATTATTTCACTCAATTGATATATCTTACAGGTATTTTTTTTTCTTAAATTAATTCATTTAACACTTTATTTTAAACGCTATATAATCATAAATTGGACAAGCAGATATCGTTCGTTTTATACTGAAATATATATATTTTTTTTGCCACAAAAAAAAAGAAATTAGGTCTCGTTATACCTATTAAACTAACAAAAAAAAACGTCGAAAATGTTTATAATCTAATATAGATCATATAAATAAGAATATTATTGTACGCCCTGATGTGACGTCATATTATGATGTTGACTACAGTGTGCCAAAGGGAATCACGTATCTAGGTGTTTGATGGTCTAAGATTTGGTTTTAATATTATCTTAAAGATATTTTTCCCAAAATGAACTTAGTTTTAGTCAGTGTTGGTAACATTTAGTATGGTTTGGTTTGGTTTTAAAAATTTTATTTGTAAATTAATACCAGTCATAAAAATGAGAAACTCATTTTTATTCTGATGTGACGCCATATAGTTTGAAATAATATTGGCTACAGAGTGCAAAAAATAAAGGCGTATATAGGTGTTACATGGTCTAAGATTTATTTTTAATATTGTTTTAAATAGATTTTGTTGCAAAAATAAACATATTTTTTGAACATTTGGTGTGATTGAACTTTTAAAAATGATATATGTATATAATTTTATATCATACAAATTAATAAGAAACTAATTTTTGCCCTGATGTGACGTCATAACGCCGATGTTAGCTACAAATTATACAGAAAAACGTGTCTAGCTGTTAGATTCTCTATTGTTTATTTTTAATATTATTTTAAAACGATTTTTGCACAGCTAAACTTAATTTAAGTCAGTGTTGGAAATATTTAGTGTGATTGGTTTGGTTATGTAGAAACTAATTTTTGCCTTGATATGACGTCATGTCATGATGTTGGCTACAGAGTGATATATAACAAAACGTGTCTAGGTGTTAGATGGTCTAATATTTATTTTTAATATTACATATTTTAAACTGATTTTTTTTTAAATAAACGTAATTTTAGCCAATGTTGGGAACATTTGGTGTGGCTAGATCCTGCAAACTATTGCGGTGTGAAGGGCAAAACTCAACAGGAATTAGATAAGTCTACTGAAGCAGTTGAAGAAGAAGAAAACGAGGAAACTGACGAGGTAATTTTTTTCTAAATATTATATTCTAAGTATATACCAACTAAATAAAAATATTCTTATTATAGCCTGATATTGATATAAACTGGAGCATGGCGGAACAGCTTCCAGAAACAGCAAGATGTAGGGATAATTTTAAAATCATCATTACCTCGTATCTGAACGCCATCTACATGAGCATGAAGAGTAACAGCAATAAGGGAACACCGATGGTACTGAGTCAACCCACATATGGTCTAGCAAGTCACGAAGAGGTTGTAAAGTACGCCAAAGATCTGATTGCTGGGGAAATCAGTCAAAATTTATTCCAGTAAGTGATAAAATATCCAGAGAAATAAGTAAACGTAGATTCGCCGTAACATTATCTAGATGTCTTCTAGGTTTACTTATTTCTCTGGGTTTACCGATATATTTTTATTACGTGAATTGTGGTAGGTATAGTCCATAGCAAATACGTTTAAATAATTTTTAAACGTATTTGGTCCATAGGCTTGGTGCATTTCAGTTGATTTCAACAAATTCCGACCGCAGCGCTTCCTGTTGATTGGTGCTTCGTGGTTTTGTCATAATATTTAAGTATTTTAGTTTTTTGCTAGTGCAGTTATTGAGACTATAAAACACTCAGGTACGAGGTTTGTGTGATGTAACACTGTTTCGGGTAGTAAAAAATAAGTGAAAAAAAATTCGAACTAGGCGTTTTGTGTTGTGACAATTTCAAATGTTAATAAAATTGCTGAAAAAATGTTAAAGCGTAAAGGAGAGCGTAATTAGGGCGTTGTTGGGTTCAATAACATTCAATAACTCAACTTTCACGGAAACAACATTTTATAGCTTCATAGTTTCTCACACCGATTTGATGAAAAGCAAAAATGGATGCATGCAGTTCGACGAAACAAACGAGTAAACAAAGTGCTCGTTACATACTCAAAAAATTAAATAGACATATACTATGAGAGGATAAAATATAATTTGCAATATTAATGGTATACTTTTTTTAATCAACTAGTGATTAAATGTTTTATAAGCATCTAAAATTATGCCCCACTAGCAAAACCGATGATTAAAAATATGCTCGTTACCGTAGTTGAACTCACCTAAAAAGTTTTTTTAACTGTGGAATAATAAATTATAATACAACATTATAGACCTTCTGAAGATATCAAAATAGAGAATGCTCCAAGCCTATAAAGACGATCATCTTAAAATAGTAGGAAATTGGACTTGGGTTGAAATTGGACTTTGATCCTGACCATTCCATATTTCTGATTACAATAAATTTAAAAGGCACTAAAAGAAGGAACTAAAATTGTTGATTTCAGGATGACAGAAAGGATTCACAACCGGTTAAAACCGGCCCCAGATGGCACTAGCGGCGCTTTAGATTTTGTAAAATCTGTGTGCCACGTGTTGGGACTTGATCCAGCTGTCGAAGACGCGGTAGATAACTTGAAAAGCAACTTATTAAGACTCATAGGTACGAAATGGTTTTAATTCATATTAAAAGAGACTTTTTAAACTAAATAAATTTATTATAGGGGTTGGAGAATTCTCTGAAAAAGCCGTGTGGACTGATACTACAGTTTCTTATGTTGTGCCACAAATAATTTGTAGGCAATGTAACCATTGCAGAGATATAGGTAAGGCTTCATAAGATGACTGAAATAGTTGGTTATTCTGATTTTGCTCATTTGGTCGGTAAGAAATTTAAGAAATTAAAAAATTCCTAGAATAAAAAACTAGGGAATTTTGTTTAAGTGTAAACCTAAAGTGTGTACCAGGATGTATTTCAGGAAAATATTTTAACGTCTAGAGTGGCTCCAAAAAGTGTGAGTGGATCGGGATGATCTTTTTTAAATGAGACATCCTGTATATTATTGCATTTTTGGCTTGCTTTCAGATCACTTTGCATAATCCGAAGATATGGGTAAATATATTTCGGTAGTTTCAGAGGTATTAATAAATAAATAAAAAAAATATATTTTTTTAACCTTTCTTAAAACAATTATTAAAAATACAAGAACTGTCCTGAAATCAAAACTATATCAGGTATTTACTTTAGATGGTCTATACTTACTTTGCTATAAATATCGTGATCTTAAATTATACAGGGTGTTCAAAATTCTACGCCAAACTTTTTAAAATATAAAATAGTTTTTCTTGGTTTTTTTTAATGGAACACCTTGTATATTATTTTTTTATTAGATGGAGAATTAAAAAATGAACATTTTTTGTATTTAGAGTATTTCAAAATTTTTAACGGTTTCGCAGATACTCGCGTTATTATTTCATATGCCTTCTCAATGGTAAAATACAAGAGAAAAAGCATTGGGTGGCTTTGATAAAAATTTACTGTGGAAAAATCGCTTACTAAACAGTTATATTACATTATTCAACAAAAAAAAATATTTTTAGACTTAGGAAGAGATCCTCATAGGACTGAACACGCCTGGTACTGCCCTCTATGTAGAGCAACTTACAACACCGCCGAAATAGAGTGTTTCCTCCTTGACACAATTTCCAGAAAATTTCTGGCTTACAATCTGCAAGATCTACAATGTAAAAAATGCTCCCAAATCAAAATGGAGAACTTGATAGTGCACTGTAAATGCGCATCGGAATTTAGGTGCCTTGTTTCTCAAGAGGACCTAATAAAATTGCTAGAAACGTTTTTGAAATTGGCTGAGATTTTTAATATGCCTGCCCTAGCAGAAACTGTGCAGCAAATTTTAAAGCTTACGTAAGTTATTTGTATTTTTTAATTGTTAGTAACTTGTTTTTTTATCTAAATAAATTATTTTTACTCATTGTTTTTTTTAATTTGATTTATAAATTATCTATACAGGGTATCCGCTTAAATAAGTGCAAGTATATAAAGGGTGAGTCTTAAATAAGTAAAAATATTTTCAGGGCTGGTAGATCTCGATAAAAGAAACAAATTTTCTCTTTACCATTTTTCAATTAAGTTCAAAATAACCAAGTTATTGTACTTTGAAAATTTCCCAAAAAAATGATTTTTTATTTTAAAATGATTTTATTTCTTAATGGTGTATCAAAGCCTTGCAATGTTGCCATCTTCTACATCACTGACATTCTGCATATTTGTGTGTTTTTATAATTCATTTGCCTTCTTTTAAAAGGGTTACACAGAATATTTTTAGTTTAAAATTATTGAAACAAAATGTATACCTTAATAAGTTTATTATTTATCTAATGGCTATACATACATATAAAGAATAGAAACAATTTAATATAAATTACTTGGTGTCCACGGTGATGGGGTCAATGACGGGGTCTTTGAATTGGAAAGTGGGGAATTTAGTCATATCGGTACCGGCACCACCACCAAACTGTTTGGTGATCTTTTCCAGTTCCTGTTTCAATTCTTTCTGCAATTCGGGTGTAGGGTCTACCAAGTTCTTTCCACTTAATAGAGAATAAAGTTAAATTTGTGATTTAAAATATTATTTAAGGACTTACTTGGCGCTTTTTTGCTTGTATTCCCGGATTTTATCAACGAAGAGCTGTTGAATTGGGTCCTTGGCTTTCTGGAGACATGGAGCCAGGATTCCGATATTTCTGGAATGGATGCCGTTCTTCAACGAGCATTTTAGGTTCTTTAAAATTTGGTTTGATAGCATCTAGAAATGTTGAGATTAGGTTACAGAATCAGTAATTATGTAATCATACAATAAACTGAAAATACTAAAGTTTTAGTGAACTTATATTAACAGATATGTAAAATATTGAATTCTGGTTAAATCTTATGAGGTAATTTACCTTAAATCTGCTTTTTTCTTAGGGAAAATTTAGAAATAAGTACTTTGCAACTAGCAGAACCAAAAATTCTTTGACCTCGAATTGTCAAATTCGGAAGAGCTGTCAAAATTGGTTTTCTTCTTTTTAGTTTGGCTTTTTCTGTTTCGACATTGAGCCAGCGTAATTTTGAGCCGAATCATATATATTTTCGAAAAAATATATGATCTACAATTTTTAATTTTCCAAACCAAACCAAACGTTTCAAATCTATATATTTTAATATTTTATGAGTGCTTTAATTATTTTAGGACAAACCAGAGTGATAAACGTTTAATAGATTGATTAATCTCTTTATAGGTGTGTTGTGGCTCATGCCCAAAGGTAGCCATAGTGGCGAAATAAAAGAAGAGAAGAAAGACATGACTAAGACCATAGATAAATAAAAGTAATATATAAATATGATGATAAATATGTACGGAGTGGTACGGAGACAAGAGACAAGACGCCGAAAAAGTATTGTTCTCCTGCCCCATGTATGTGTTTTGTAGGTGTTCTAAAAGAACAATTCATTATTTTTAAACTCTTTTCAAGCATTTCTAATATAGGTAGTAGTACGTGAGTAGTACTCCAAACATGGACAACGAATCAGACGATACTGGTAGTATTTCTGTTGGAGAAGAGGTTCCCTATCTTTCGAAAGTAAATCGTTCTGGTTCCGAAGCTCCTAGTTACTCTAAATTTGTTGAAAATCAAAAGACAGCCTTAGTATACGTCTGCAAGTTTTGCAGTTACAAAGTTCCGACGATATCCTTACTAAAAAAGCATTATTTATGTTGCAGGGAAAAACCTGCTCATACATTTATGTGTTATGTATGCCACCAGGTGTACAAAAATAAAAGAAAACTTTCCGAACACATAAACAAAGAACACAAATCGAAACAGTTGTGCTGCAACAACTGTTTATTCGAAACACCATTTCAAAAGGAATTCAAAGCACATTTCGTTAACGACCAATGTCCAGAAAAGAGAGTGTATTCCTGTAGCGAGTGTACACACTGTACAGCGTCACTGGACAATATACTAAACCATATGACAACTCACTTGCTAGATAAAACACATCTCTACAGCCCACAGGTGTGTGTGCATTGTAATACTGGATTTTTGTCACCGAAACTACAAAGGCACTTGCTTCATCATGACACAGTGGTTAAGAAGTACTGCTGCGAATACTGTAAATTTATTACTGAAGATTTAGAAGATCTGAAGAAACATAGGAAAGAGGAGCATTGCACGGAAAAAATTGATATGGTCAAATGCAGTTGTTGTAATCAAAAGTTTTTTAGTATGCACTGGCTTAAAGATCATATAGCTAAGGAACATAGAACTCCATTTAAAGTTAATATGTAGGTAGAAACAGATTTTATGGGAAATAAATAAATTTGGCATGCACTGTGAGTAGTATCTTAAAAACATAAAGACCAATGTTAACCAGTTAGAACTTTATAATTTTCAAAAACTTGCTAATATTACTTCATTTAATTAGAATATGTTAGAGAGATTAATAATCATAGATAAAGTAATAAATAATGTAGATATAAGAAAATATTTGTGTATGTATAATATTGTCACGATATTGTGACAAAATTACAACCAAAAGCCAAAGTAAATAAAGTAGCTGTGGCAACATTGCTACATGCATTCGTTGAATATTTTGATGACATGCATGCCAACATTTATTAATTTTCATATACAGATTTCATATGAAATATTTTCATAAAAAACCTGTTTTCTCTTCCAGTTCAATAAACAGTCCAACATCAAAAAATGAACAGACCTTACTAACATGCAAGCTTTGCTCTTACTCAACACAATCAGCACTAAGCTTGAACAGACACTCATACACTATTCATCGAGTAAATCTTTATAAATCTGAAAAACTTGATACTGGACCCACTCAATACCATTGTTGTGAGTGCAAGATGAAAACGAGTACTTTTAGTCAAATGATAACGCATTTCGACCGCCACTATACTGAAGAAGGCGGTTCTGTGAAGTATGAGGCGATTGAAAGGCTGGACTTTACGAAAAATCCGCATTACATATGCGACGTATGCGATTTGGTGATCATGGATCAGTGTCAGTTAGCCTATCATAAGCTAGCAAAACACGGGTAAATCAATTTTTTTGAAGGTAGAAGTACCATACGATCGAAAAAAAAACGGCGTCAAAGACTACTGGGAAGCAATGATAATTTTGGCGAGATCAAGAGGTAAACGCCATTTAATTCAAAAGTTCAAATTGGTTTCCTCTTCCTTTTTTCCCTTTTTTTTAGGGTTCCGTACCCAAAGGGTAAAAACGGGAACCCTATTACTAAGACTTCGCTGTCCGTCCGTCCGTCTGTCATAAAGGTCTGTCTTATGAACCGTTATAGCTAGAGCTGTTAGACAGTTGAAATTTTTACAGATAATGTATCTATGTTGCCGCTATAAGAACAAATACTAAAAACAGAATTAAATAAATGTTTATAAATAAAGAAGTACTTTCACTAAACATTATCTTTTAAGTAAGAATTTTACATAGAATTTTTCAAGTCCTCGGTGGCCGCGTGGTTAAAGCGTTAGGACTTTACGCTGCTATGACGTTGGAGCCGTAGCAAGGCAAGTCCGAATCCTAGTCAAGGCGACTGTTTTTTAATCGTTTTTTTTTTAATTTTTACTTATTTTTACATATTTATTTTTACTTTTTACATATTTATTATTGATTAATACAATTTTTAGTAATGTGTTTCTTCATTTTTTTTTAAATTACTTATACGCGCATTCAAAATTAGCTAAATAGGAAAAAAAAGCTTATAATAATATAGTGTCTAATGTTGTATATATAATGGTACGGAACCCTTCGTGCGCGAGTCCAACTCGCACCTAACCTAACCAATTTTTTTCTTTTTTTCTTCTTTTTTCTTTTTTTTCATTTTCTTTTTTTCCCCTTTTTTTTCGTTTTCCCCTTTTTTCTATTTTTTTCTTTTTTTTTTCCTCTTTTTTGTCCTTTTATTCCGTCTTAGTTGGTCTGAGTATAACTCGTATCCTGTTTGGTGACAACAAGGTGACAACTCGTTGATAATACCTGTGATAATACTAACTACAGAAAAAATAATAAGAATTAAAACATCTATAAATCCACTAATAATAAAATATACTACTTAACAACTGTATAAAAGACAAGCAAATAAAAACTGCATTTACATCCAATCCAATACAGGATTCTTAGCTGCTAAGGCTAACCTGGACTGTGCACGCTTTGTTCACGCGGAATTCGAACCTCGGTTCTCGGCCATCATAGTCAATGGCCTTAGTGAGGGTCTATACAATATATCCATTCTTACTCACGAGTTATCCGGCCTCTTCCGGCGGGAATGGGCATTGTGTGATTTTTACACTCTTGCCATTGAACAACAGCACGACAGAGTTTCCAGACGGCCACCCGTCCATCCAATCCCTTCTATTAACGTCGCTTATCTTCGGTGACCTATCGGGGAGTAAAAATTATTTTTAAATTGTCTAGTTTAAAATTCGAGAAAACAATATTTTTTTTTTGAAATAGATTTTGTGTCTGGCAACGTTCTATCTCCTTTTTTAATCTTTCTGCAATTCGTGTTAATTTTTGACAAGTTTTATGTCTCTAGAGATTGACCTCGCCAAAATTATCATCGACTGTCATTTCCCAGCTGTCTTTGACGTCGTTTTTTTTTCTTCTATTATACGCTACCTACAGGGTTGTCCAAATTTGTAGCAGGATTATCATCAACAAGCAAACTTGTGATTTTTTAAATGGGTTGTCCTGTATCAGAGCTGCAAGCTCACACAAAACTTAAGTCTTTTTTTGATTTAAATTAAATCATTTTAATGTCTTAAATCGTTTGATTTTAAGTCATTTTTCGAAAGCTGACTTAAGACTTAAAATTCAAGTCTTTATCAAAACGATTTGTGATTTAAATCTTTAATCCTTTATTTATATATTTTTGTTTTTATAAAAGACTTGGCTCATTAAAAAGATTTAAGTTTTTTTATAAAAGGCTTAAGTCAGGTTTTTATATATTTTTATGATACATTTTTAATAGCAGCTTTTTAAACTGTTAGGCGGCAGCCAAGCAGCAGAATTAAAAAAAATACAAGAAATTGATCTCGAATATATTGAAGGGTACCTTAAAATCTTCCAGCCCTTGGCTTATGCCATCGAATATGTCGATGGCATAAGCATAGTGATCAAAACACATCACCACTTTTTAATAGACATGTATTCGATGACATCTAAACTGTAATCCATACATATAAAGTACTACAAAATCGGTTAAATTATATTAAAAAAGAACATATTTTTGTGTTTGTAGTTGTTCTGAAAATCAACCGTTTTATTTTATGTGGTTTTAGTGTCATTTGTCCCTATAATAAATTAATAATATACATAGGTAATATAAAGAAATCGACCCAATCGGTAATATAAGAAAATTTATATTAACATTAAAAAATAGGTACCTACTTAAATTGAATTCTGGTTATCTTGACTTGAGGGTAATTATATTGATAATAATCATGATTCAAGTCAAAAATATAGACTTAAGTCATAAAAATGACTTGAATTGAAATAAAATGATTTAAACTTTTTTTTTAATTTTTGAATTTGACTTAGGATTTAAATCATTTTGATTTAAGAACTGACTTAAGACTTAAGTCTTTTTAAAACTGGCTTGTTGTAGCTCTGTCTTGTATATTATTTCATTATTTAATTTGCTTTGTTATGAGCTTTCTAAAAATACAATATATTCTATCCTTATTCCCTTAGAGGCATAAAAAAATTAAATATTTTTTTTGTAGGATTAACAACGAGCTGTTCAAATGCAAATTATCTTGTACGTCGTGTGATTATAATTTCCTTACTAAGAAAATATGTTTCGAGCATGGTAAAGAGCACGTCAAGGAAAACAATTTGTCTAGAGTGTGTTTTCTTCAGTCCTATGATGAAAAGGAAACAGGTTCTTTTACCATTGACTACTGCAGTCAAATAGTCACGGTTGAAATTAAGATAATTCAAACTGGACAAACGCTGAAAGAAGATGTTGAAAGAATAAGTGAGTAAAACACATCGGTGCAGAAAGCCGAATTTTACTAATATTTTACTTAATTTTTTTTTAAGAAATAATTTTGAATTTACATATGTATATACAGGGTGGCGCCTCTCATACGGCGCGGAGACTCCAAGGAGAACGACAGTTTGTATAGAAATGAAATTTTGTGGGCGTATGTAGGTTAATTCAGAGCACTTTTTAAAAATATGTATAGAGAATTCTACAGGTTGTCCCCAAAAAAAGTGACACATCAAAGTTGTGTTTTTTGTAATGGAACACCCTATATATTAATTGATTTTTGGATTATAGGAGAAAAATAAAAGTGAGTTTTATTGGGGAAGTATATGACTGAATTGTAAGGTTTTTGACTTATTTAACATTTTCTAAAAATGAAGAACAATTTTCAAATTTCAATAAAAGCTACCTAAATTGGAATTTACTCGGTATAGCCTAATATGTATTTAAAATAACTATTGTACATTGTACTTTAAATAATAGAGATCTACTATTATTTAAAGTTCAATAATCTACTACAAAGATCTACTGTCGCAAATCATAAAAATGAAAATATCTAGGAAAATATTTGCTTGATGGGTAAACAACTTTAATAATATTTTGAAGATATATGAATTCTCCAATGAACACCGAAATTACATGCTGGGTGTTGCATTTAAAATAAAAGAGTAACTGGCTTTTAAAAGTGACCAATGCGTTCAATATTAGTTGTTTTGTCTCACCCCTTTTCAGGTCAAATTTTTATTTGGTTCAACATACAATGGATATGGTAATTAAATATCAGGCTATACAGGGTAAATTAAAATTTAGGCTGTTATGGAAATTTAAATTTTATTCTTCATTATCACAAAATGTAAAATATGTTAAAATCCTTACATTTTAGGCATATGCTTCTTTAATAAAACTCACCTTTATTTTTTTCCTAGAATCCGAAAATCAATTAATATATTGGGTGCCCCATTACAAGAAACACACCTTTGATGTGTAACTTTTTTTGGGGACACCCTGTATAACTATATATGTTTTTATAAAATGCATTCTATTAACGTACATATGCTCCCAAAATTTTATTTCGATATAAACTGCTGTTCGCCCTGGAGCCTTCCCGTCATATGAGAGGCGCCACCCTGTATATATGTAAGTATTTTAAGTTAACGTCTCCTTTTTTGAATGAGGTAGCAACATTGCAAGGCTTTGATAATAATGACATAGATAATAATAACCTGCGGCACGAAAAAGTTTTAAGTTTTTCGGAATATTTCACGTAAAATGTAAAATTTTCAACAACTGTTTTTGCAGAAAAACCTCAGCTCTGTTTCTAGTTTAGAAATATTCCACTAGTTAAAGTACAAGCTCTTATTTAAGAGATATCCTGGTATAATTATAAAATAATCTTCGTTGTTTCAGCCTTCAATGGAAAATTGGAAGTTCTAAGCTTCTTACAAGACGAGTACATCGAAGACATAAAAAGAGCCTCAAACCTGGGCGATATGCTCAAATGGAACATTCCAGAAGATGTAGACCTGGATCCCAGCAGAACAACGTATACCCCTAAAACCAGAAGCAAACGAAGTCTAAAACAACCTGTTACTAGTGAATCCTCCCCATCTTCAGTTAGCAAGACCAAAACACCAGCCAAAAAACGTAAAAGAGTTGGTGTTAACCTCACTAAATCTGTGAAGAATCAAAAACGCCCTCAAGAAGATACCACTGACATGGATTCTTCTTTTGAATCAGTTAGCCAAGAAACTGCCGAAAAGATGAAAATAGAAGATCTTACCCCCACGAAAGTTACGAAGAGTCATAAAGAAGACACAATTAACTCGTATTCTTCTTCAGAACCAGTTGGCAAGAAAACTGTTAAGGAAGAACCCGAATCAAACCAAGAAGATTTTGATTTAGAGCAAGGACTCTTTCAGTACGAAGCAATAGAGGATGATCATGAAGATTTACTAGAGACACAAACAGATGTCATTGAGTCCAAGGAAGGATTCGTCGAATGTCAATTATGTCGGAGGGTCCTGCCCCAAACGATGAAGTCCCTGAAGCCCCACACCAACCGGCACTCCGTGGCGTTGAAAAATCGACTGTTAGAAGTTTTTTACGGCAAATACACGGAAAATGGGTTCATGCCTCAGTGCAGGGTGAGGGCCGTTTTCGAACCTTTAAAAACAGGCAATTCCAAAGTGAAAGCGTCCTATTTCCTGTGCAACTTGTGCGGTGCGAAGGTGCACAGGAGGGTGTACCTAAAAAAACACGTCAATAAGCACGCGAGAGAGCGAAACGGTGCGCGAAGGGTGTCGTTTGTAAAATACCTGCACGAAAACCCAGTAGAATATGTGGAAATGGAATCGGAGCTGTTCCAGTACGAAGAATGTGAGCGGGACGAAGTTAAAGCCAATGAAGTTCAGGAAGGATATCGGGTGGAAGAGGCTCACGCAACTATGAATACTCTCAAGTGTATATTCTGCGATTTCGCTTGTTCTGATAGGGACATTCTGAAAGAACATTATAACGAACATAAGATCTAACAAATAGGAGGTGTACAAGGGCTTTAATGTATAGGTTTAGAGTTGAAATGGATTTGTTATTATTTGGGGAATTGTTTACTTCCCTAGTAAAAATATAAGATATTATACTTATAATATATAGACTCCAAAAGATACAATTCATCTTCTTTCCTTATATTTTCCTGATAGTAATGTTTTATTTTATGTAAAATCATAAGGTTGTTTTATTTTATAGGAGTTTAGACTATTTATTTTTGATTTATTATTTTGCTTTTTTGCTGTACTTGCTGTACTTCTGTCGTCTGTTGTCTCTTTGTCCCATCTCTTTTATCTTTGTCTAATGCTTACCATAGATTATAATTTGAACTCCCTCGTTTGATTATTTTTTTCTGGGCACTGGCCGAATGACCTATACAAATTCTAGCCATTTGAAAGAATAAGAAGCGAAAATCTACATCAATCTGTGGTTGTCCATGTTTTGAACCAGAAGTTTAAAAAAAGAAGAAGAATATTATTTTGATTCTGTGGTCACCGTTTTTTTAAGACGTGAAATACGAAAAAGAAGAAGAACGCTGATGGCGCCATTATGGAAAAAGTGAGAAAATTTTGAACTAAATGTTTCCAAGGTGGCCAAGACATTAGGGAAATCCTGAAACTAAATCAATAATTTTGTAAATCTAAAATGAAATTGAACCGTTACAAAATCGTGATAAATCTAACAAACGTATAATAATACCAACTTTGTCTCAGTAGAAGAAATAATATATTTTTTTTAGACACAGCTGACACAGCATTATTTATGCAGTAAAAAATGACAATTCTTTTTTGCAGGTGTTCAATAATCTGACAACGTTGACGGTGCGACATTTTCCGTTGTTAGCACGAAGTCCTTACGCCGCTCTTATTACAATTTTTCTGATTTTTTATGGAAAAAGGGATTTTTCTGGATACTATTTGAGTGTATTCTGTTCCTTAAGGCCTGTTTAACCTTATGAAAATGTAAGTACTCACTATTTTGCCTATTTTCTATAGTTTTTTCACTTATAAGTTTTTCAATTACGTCATCGTTAAAAGCTGATATATTTTTCCTATTTTCATAATTTACTTTTACAAAATCGAGTGTATGGTTATATAGATACATTTCTTGATGTCTCTATTGTACATTAAAAATAAAGTTCTTAGAATATTGCTTCATATTTAGTAATATTTGGTAGTTTTTCAGTAACTTTTTTTGGCATAGTTTAAAGATGTTTGTTGTTACTAAAGGTAATTTTTTAAGTGTTTATTCGTCCAGGCATTTATTTTCTACGTCTTTTAGAAAGAGTCGGTGTTAGTACACCTAAAGGGGGCCCTCATTCTCAATAATTATATAATACTTTCAGATAAAATAAAATACTTTTACACACGTTTACTAATACAGTCATCATATTTAGGTTACCAATTTTGCATTATTTTAATACCGTATGATCAAAAAAAAACGGCGTCCAGTTGGCTGGGAAATGAACATCAATGACATTTCCCGGTATACCCATTTCCCATATAAATTTACAAATAAAATGACAGCGATCTTCATTCCATAGCCATCGCTGACGCCGTTTTTTCTCCATCATATGGTATAAGGCTTGAATAGGATGATTTTTTAAGGAGCGTTATTAATAATAAGCACTAGGACTTAAAGGCCACCTAAAAGAAGAGACCTGGGCTACCATTTGTATAATCCTGATGTTTGGCTATCATTCTCGTTTACGAGTCTGTATTATTATTTAGTCACACTACTTCAAAAGACTGCATATATTACGTTAAGGATTAAAAATTACTTTAAAAACTCTAACAAATATACTTTTCACATACAGAACAGTAATTTTTAGTAGAAGATTGTGATTTTTGGGTGTCCTAAATATATTTTTTGTTTTGTTTTAGACATTAATAATAGCACATATGAGCACACATTCTTCATGCATTCTTTCACAGAAGAGGAGGTAGGAGTGATCTCAGAGAAGGTAGCTAATCTTTGACCAAGGGTTAAATCCGATGCAGGAAGATAAAAAGCATGGGGACACAAATATTTATGGTAAATTGAGGCTTATCTAACACAGTTCAGCCATATCTACAACTACGACTTTGAAAGTAAACAAAGTAAGTTTTATTTTTTGTTAATATATTACAGGAAAAATTGTACTTTTCACAGTTTATATTTATTTTAGTCACATTATTATATACGTATATACTTATGCTTAAATCAAAACCAGCATGTAACTTAATTTATTTCTTTAGTTCTTAATTTTACTGATTGCCTACTCAATCATTAAAAAAATTGAAATTAAATCCAAGAACAAATTATAGCATTGTTTATTTCTAAATTTAAATTTTAAATGCATCTACTGTTTTAATGCACTTACTTTACAAACTATGGGCTAGTAGATATTATAAAATACTATGTATCTCCCTTGTTAAAGGATTTAATAATATCTATTAACATTAACTAAAGTATATGTAACTGAGTAAAAAAATATGATACAGCTTAATAATTCTATTTAGTAGGTTTTATCTTCGTGGCAATTGATGGTTATGTCCTTCTTCATCTGCAACAGTTTGAAGAAGATGCCCATTACATTGAATAAATTCAACATTCAACAGTGGAATCACGAAATTCAACATTGAAGAGAACCTAAATCATTTTAGGTAAATTGTACTATTTTTTTAAATCAAATATTTCTAATAAATATCTTTTTTTTAAATCAAATATATGTAAAACTTGTAGATATAAATTATAATGAAATGTAATATTACAAATCGATGGTTGTATACAGTTCCAGGGCAGTACATTTATCCTTTTGATGAATATTACCAACAATGCATCAGGACTTACAAGTATATCTAATTTTTTTGGCCTCTGGCTACTTCATTTTCTTATTGGTAAAATCTAATTAGAATTTTACATTATGTTGTTTTTGATTAACTTTCAATTTTCTATAATATCCTGAGTCCCATATTTTCTCCATTGTGGTAATAATAACATCATTCATTAATTCTTTAAAGTATTTTATTGCCTGTATTTCAATAAGTTTCTTTTATTTGCATTATCTTTCTTATGGTGTTATTTTTCTAATGAATTTTAGTTTTGATGGATGCATTTTTATGTCATTTTTTGAATTGATGTAATAACCCATAAATTGCTATAATTTTACAGATCTTGTTGGTTCCCTTTGCCCGTGTTTAAACACACAAAATACACTTAAAACTCCCACAATAAGAACTATTTCCAATCAATTCCTGGCGCATTCGCCATTTATTCAAAAAACCTGACTCGTCCTCAGACGATGTCACTTCTGTTTTTCCTAGCCTTTTTTCCAATGAATTTTTCTGAATAATATCGACTCTAGAGCATCACAGCTAGCCTCCCCGCAAAAGAGGAGACCCGGGTCGCCCCCTAACCCTGATGTTCGGGCATCGATGACCTATGTAGCATGCATAGGTACCCAAGGGAGTCACCACCCTCTGGTTTACGAGCTAGGTGTTCTAATGCTAGAGGCTTCGGCCGGATACGACCTGGCACCCAAGCTCCGAGACTTCTTCGTGCACGTATTCCGTGACCCTCGAAGAGGCAGGGGGCGGGATATCGGACACATTGAAGATGATGAGGGGGGTCCGCCTGTAGGGGGTCCCGGTGGATGTCCGCTCGATGGGTGACGAGGGCGACCCGAGACGAGGCTGCTTAGCTGGGATGGGAACTGACTGGTGAGGCTTAATCGTCGGACAAGGGTTAAATCGGATGAGGGGTGGCGAACTTGATGCTCTGGAGGATTTTTCTTCGTGCACTTCTGTCATATTTTGACGAGATATTCGTTAGAGGAGGCTAAGCATAACTTTTCGTCAATTTTCCTGTTCTTATTTACCAGGTTCTTTTTTATTTTTTAATATCATCTAATATTTTTTTGCTTGGTCTTGCTTTTAGCCTACCTCTTTATTTTTGTCTGCCATATATTTTCTTTACTACTGGAATATCATTCATCAATTCTGTATATACTCTTCCAATGACTCTCCTGTATATTTGTATTATTTTTCAATTCATCATATCCTTTTTGCTATTTTTCTCCCGTATTCTTTATTATGGGAATGCGTCATTTCTATAAATTCTTCTATTGATTGCATTTCTCTTAAGTTTTTTGTATATATTTGTATACCTTTTTTGTGTCATTCTTCTGAGACTCTTCTAAGACGTATTTCGTCATCATCACCTGTATAGAATTATAGTTCTTTTTTGAATTTATTTCAAGCCATTTTTTTCAATGCATCATATCTCTGTTTGTCTCTCATATTGTCTTCATTCTGGGGGGTGCAAAGCTAGTTCGCCTCCACGTGGTGCACCCTGGGTAACGCTAAATGAACTAGCAAAGATTTTCAGTCAGACAATTGAGACAATCCTAGGATCTCCTGTCCATAAGATCCATTTCACAAAGTTTCACTTTTTTTAAGAGATATGATGCTATCAAACGAGGCTAACGGTCTTTCTCTTTATTGTTTTTCTTCTAATTGTATTTCTTAATCTCTTCTTTATGTGTATTATTTCTTATTTTACTGTAATTCTTCTAAGACTTCCAAGTCTTTGATTTCATTTCTGTTGATGCCTACATGGGATTGTATAGTTTTCGATTCTTGAATGGGATATTGTACTGCTTTGGAACAAGGATTTTTGGACAAGAACAGCTGCACTTCAATTCAACCACCCTCATCAAGATACCATATGGTTGATTATATTCAACATTCAATGGTGGAATAGGATGAAATTCATCATTGAAGAGGAATAAAATAATTTTAGGTAAATTATACTAAAATATTTTTTTTTAAAATCAAGTATATTTGACAAACGCCTCATATTCTTGTAGATATTTTGTAAAATATTTAGGTATAAATTCTTTACTGAATACATACAGTACTTAACACGGTTTTCAGTATTATAGTACCGGAAATAATTTAAACATTAATGTGGGTGGTACTTATTAGATTTTATTAAAATTCCTATTATGGGGATTTTGAATGAATTTTTAGACTCTTAGAAAAATTATAGCCGTTTATTAAACAATTAATATTTCAGTCATATAATTTACAGCATAAAGTCTAATAGTTTACTGTTTAGATCATATTATTTAGATGATTTTCTCATAATATCATTCTAAATATTCAAAAAAATAAATATTTTTAACTGTAATTATATTAATAAGTGTACTAACATAATATTCAATAAACTGAATATGCTATAAAATTATTTTGGACATTTTAAATAAGAATCTCGCCTATATTGCAATAATGATCTGTCAAAAGAAAAATGTGTCCATTCAAATTTTCCTTAAAGCCCGCCTAAATGATCGCAGCGCCAATTTATCGCGGTGGTGTTTCTTGTAACTAAATTTAGTTGTGGCGCCATCTGCCGTAATGTAATGAAACTACGCTATTAATAGATGTAGAATTCTGTAAAATTGTCTCTCCTGACATCTAGCGGAAGGTGGCTGTATTGTGAATTTTAGAATAAAGAAATCTACTATTTCGAGTGTGGCACCATCGAACGTGGAATAGTTCAACTCTAACGACATTTAACAGAAATCTATATTTTTAGGGTTCCAAAAGTGTTTGATCAGAGTCATCTATTATTTTTATTTAAACATGTCTTACTGCCGTTTGCCGTCAGGGATTACGATTTTTGAAATTTTTGCTGGAAAAGGTGATTTTATTGTGTATTATTTGTTCATAAACTTTTCTTAAGGCTCTGCTCGATCATCTATAATAGTAAGTACCGTTTATTTCGTGATATTTTACGTATTTTTTCTTCTCCAAAGTTTTTGTTATCGCCAACGGCGTCTCTTGGAATTTAACAATGTTTTTACGTAATAATACTGTTTAAATACTTTCTTTTATAATTTCCTAACGAAAAAATGATCAAACATTACTACGTAATTGTTGATTTCAATACAAATTACAAGTTCTCTTTGTATTTGTTAGCATTGTCTTTGTTTTTGCACTTATAATCCGTCATGGAGACTGGAGTTTTTTCAGATATTAACTTTTGTATGTCTACTATATTATTTTCTATGTTTTAACATCATAAAACATATTTTCTAAAGGTTTGGATATGTTTTATTCTAAATATTACATTGTTTTTTTTTTTCCCATTTTCCCAAACTGCACATTTAGAAATATGGTATTTTAGTTGTATTGTTGTTTAATTTTAGGAAAGGTAAATCGCAAAATTTTTAGATACATTAACCAGGAAAAGATCCTATCTAAGGAATTTCTTGTTTTGATCTGGATATTCTCACACCTTTTTACGTAGTAGGTAAAAACTTTTGTTGTTTTGATTTCTGAAATACAAGGTATTAGTCACACTACTTCAAAAGACTGCATATTATTACGTTAAGGATTAAAAATTACTTTAAAAACTCTAACAAATATACTTTTCACATACAGAACAGTAATTTTTAGTAGAAGATTGTGATTTTTGAGTGTCCCAAATATATTTTTTGTTTTGTTTTAGACATTAATAATAGCACATATGAGCACACATTCTTCATGCATCCTTTCACAGAAGAGGAGGTAGGGGTGATCTCAGAGAAGGTAGCTAATCTTTGACCAAGGGTTAAGTCCGATGCAGGAAGATAAAAAGCATCGGGAGACAAAGATTTATGGCAAATTGAGGCTTATCTAACACAGTTCAGCCATATCTACAACTACGACTTTGAAACTAAACAAAGTAAGTCTTATTTTTCGTTAATATATTACAGGAAAAATTGTACTTTTCACAGTTTATATTTATTTTAGTCACATTATTATATACGTATATACTTATGCTTAAATCAAAACCAGCATGTAACTTAATTTATTTCTTTAGTTCTTAATTTTACTGATTGCCTACTCAATCATTAAAAAAATTGAAATTAAACCCAAGAACAAATTATAGCATTGTTTATTTCTAAATTTAAATTTTAAATGCATCTACTGTTTTAATGCACTTACTTTACAAACTATGGGCTAGTAGATATTATAAAATACTATGTATCTCCCTTGTTAAAGGATTTAATAATATCTATTAACATTAACTAAAGTATATGTAACTGAGTAAAAAAAATATGATACAGCTTAATAATTCTATTTAGTAGGCTTTATCGTCGTGGCAGTTGATGGTTATGTCCTTCTTCATCTGCAACAGTTTGAAGAAGATGCCCATTACATTGAATAAATTCAACATTCGACAGTGGAATCACGAAATTCAACATTGAAGAGAACCTAAATCATTTTAGGTAAATTATACTATTTTTTTTAAATCAAATATATCTAATAAATATCTTTTTTTTAAATCAAATACATATATGTAAAACTTGTAGATATAAATTATAATGAAATGTAATATTGTTTATTTCTTTGTTACAGATTTTGTACAACAAATCGATGGTTGTATACAGTTCCAGGGCAGTACATTTATCCTTTTGATGAATATTACCAACAATGCATCAGGACTTACAAGTATATCTAATTTTTTTGGCCTTTGGCCACTTAATTTTCTTATTGGTAAAATCTAATTAGAATTTTACATCATGTTGTTTTTGGTTAACTTTCAATTTTCTATAATATCCTGAGTCCCATATTTTCTCCATTGTGGGAATAATAACATCATTCATTAATTCTTTAAAATATTCTATTGCCTGTATTTCAATAAGTCTCTTTTATTTGCATTATTTTTCTTATGGTGTTATATTTCAAATGCTTTTTTGTTTGTGTAATTCCTTTTACAGAATTTTAGTTTTGATGGATACATTTTTATGTCATTTTGTTCAGATCGTATCCCATGAATTGCTATAATTTTACAGATCTTGTTTGTTCCCTTTACCCGTGTTTAAACACACGAAAGACACTTAAAAATCCCACAATAAGAACTATTTCCAATCAATTCCTGGCGCATTCGCCATTTATTCAAAAAAACCTGACTCGTCCACAGACGATGTCACTTTTTTTCCTAGCCTTTTTTCCAATGAATTTTCCCAAGTAACATCGACTTCAGAGCATCATAGCTAGCCTCCCCGCAAAAGAGGAGACCCGGGTCGTCCCCTAACCCTGATGTTCGGGCTTCGATGACCTATGTAGCATGCATAGGTACCCAAGGGAGTCACCACCCTCTGGTTTACGAGCTAGGTGTTCTAACGCTAGAGGCTTCGGCCGGATACGACCTGGCACCCAAGCTCCGAGACTTCTTCGTGCACGTATTCCGTGACCCTCGAAGAGGCAGGGGGCGGGATATCGGACACATTGAAGATGATGAGGGGGGTCCGCCTGTAGGGGGTCCCGGTGGATGCCCGCTCGATGGGTGACGAGGGCGACCCGAGACGAGGCTGTTTAGCTGGGATGGGAACTGACTGGTGAGGCTTAATCGTCGAGGATTTTTCTTCGTGCACTTCTCTCATATTTTGACGAGATATTCGTTAGAGGAGGCTAAGCATAACTTTTCGTTAATTTTCCTGTTCTTATTTACCAGGTTCTTTTTTATTTTTTAATATCTTCTAATATTTTTTTGCTTGGTCTTGCTTTTGGCCTACCTCTTTATTTTTGTCTGCCATATATTTTCTTTACTACTGGAATATCATTCATCAATTCTGTATATACTCTTCCAATGACTCTCCTGTATATTTGTATTATTTTTCAATTCATCATATCCTTTTTGCTATTTTTCTCCCGTATTCTTTATTATGGGAATGCGTCATTCATCAATTCTATAAATTCTTCTATTGATTGCATTTCTCTTAAGTTTTTTGTATATATTTGTATACCTTTTTTGTGTCATTCTTCTGAGACTCTTCTAAGACATATTTCGTCATCATCACCTGTATAGAATTATAGTTCTTTTTTGAATTTATTTCAAGCCATTTTTTTCAATGCATCATATCTGTATTTTATTATTTGTCTTCCATATTTTTTCCTTATGGGGTGTCATCATACATCAGTTCTATAAATTTTTCCATTGATTGTCTGACTAATCTTTTTTAGGTATATAGACATTTTTTTGTATTTTTTTCTGAAACTTTTCCAAGTTCATCTATTTTCATGCAATTTTTCAATTTATCTTATTTCTGTTTGTCTCTCATATTGTCTTCATTCTGGGGGGTGCAAAGCTAGTTCGCCTCCACGTGGTGCACCCTGGGTAACGCTAAATGAACTAGCAAAGATTTTCAGTCAGACAATCCTAGGATCTCCTGTCCATAAGATCCATTTCACAAAGTTTCACTTTTTTTTAAGAGATATGATGCTATCAAACGAGGCTAACGGTCTTTCTCTTTATTGTTTTTCTTCTAATTGTATTTCTTAATCTCTTTTTTATGTGTATTATTTTGTATTTTACTGTAATTCTTCTAAGACTTCCAAGTCTTTGATTTCATTTCTGTTGATGCCTACATGGGATTGTATAGTTTTCGATTCTTGAATGGGATATTGTACTGCTTTGGAACAAGGATTTTTGGACAAGAACAGCTGCACTTCAATTCAACCGCCCTCATCAAGATGCCATATGGTTGATTATATTCAACATTCAATGGTGGAATAGGATGAAATTCATCATTGAAGAGGAATAAAATAATTTTAGGTAAATTATACTAAAATATTTTTTTTTAAAATCAAGTATATTTGACAAACGCCTCATATTCTTGTAGATATTTTGTAAAATATTTAGGTATAAATTCTTTACTGAATACATACAGTACTTAACACGGTTTTCAGTATTATAGTACCGGAAATAATTTAAACATTAATGGGTGGTACTTATTAGATTTTATTAAAATTCCTATTATGGGGATTTTGAATGAATTTTTAGACTCTTAGAAAAATTATAGCCGTTTATTAAACAATTAATATTTCAGTCATATAATTTACAGCATAAAGTCTAATAGTTTACTGTTTAGATCATATTATTTAGATGATTTTCTCATAATATCATTCTAAATATTCAAAAAAATAAATATTTTTTAACTGTAATTATATTAATAAGTGTACTAACATAATATTCAATAAACTGAATATGCTATAAAATTATTTTGGACATTTTAAATAAGAATCTCGCCTATATTGCAATAATGATCTGTCAAAAAGAAAAATGTGTCCATTCAAATTTTCCTTAAAGCCCGCCTAAATGATCGCAGCGCCAATTTATCGCGGTGGTGTTTCTTGTAACTAAATTTAGTTGTGGCGCCATCTGCCGTAATGTAATGAAACTACGCTATTAATAGATGTAGAATTCTGTAAAATTGTCTCTCCTGACATCTAGCGGAAGGTGGCTGTATTGTGAATTTTTAGAATAAAGAAATCTACTATTTCGAGTGTGGCACCATCGAACGTGGAATAGTTCAACTCTAACGACATTTAACAGAAATCTATATTTTTAGGGTTCCAAAAAGTGTTTGATCAGAGTCATCTATTATTTTTATTTAGCACCATTTATGATTTTTTAACCGAAAAATTAAACATGTCTTACTGCCGTTTGCCGTCAGGGATTACGATTTTTTGAAATTTTTGCTGGAAAAGGTGATTTTATTGTGTATTATTTGTTCATAAACTTTTCTTAAGGCTCTGCTCGATCATCTATAATAGTAAGTACCGCTTATTTCGTGATATTTTACGTATTTTTTCTTCTCCAAAGTTTTTGTTATTGCCAATGGCGTCTCTTGGAACTTAACAATGTTTTTACGTAATAATACTGTTTAAATACTTTCTTTTATAATTTCCTAACGAAAAAATGATCAAACATTACTACGTAATTGTTGATTTCAATACAAATTACAAGTTCTCTTTGTATTTGTTAGCTTTGTCTTTGTTTTTGCACTTATAATCCGTCATGGAGAGTGGAGTTTTTTCAGATATTAACTTTTGTATGTCTACTATATTATTTTCTATGTTTTAACATCATACAACATATTTTCTAAAGGTTTGGATATGTTTTATTCTAAATATTACATTGTTTATTGCCTTTTTCATAGGTAGTATATTACATAATGTTTTTATCATTCCCATTTTTCCCAAACTGCACATTTAGAAATATGGTATTTTAGTTGTATTGTTGTTTAATTTTAGGAAAGGTAAATCGCAAAATTTTTAGATACATTAACCAGGAAAAGATCCTATCTAAGGAATTTCTTGTTTTGATCTGGATATTCTCACACCTTTTTTACGTAGTAGGTAAAAACTTTTGTTGTTTTGATTTCTGAAATACAAGGGTATTAGTCACACTACTTCAAAAGATTGCATATTATTACGTTAAGGATTAAAAATTACTTTAAAACTCTAACAAATATACTTTTCACGTACAGAACAGTAATTTTTAGTAGAAGATTGTGATTTTTGGGTGTCCTAAATATATTTTTTGTTTTGTTTTAGACATTAATAATAGCATATGAGCATACATTCTTCATGCATTCTTTCACAGAAGAGGAGGTAGGAGTGATCTCAGAGAAGGTAGCTAATCTTTGACCAAAGGTTAAGTCCGATGCAGGAAGATAAAAAGCATCGGGAGACAAAGATTTATGGCAAATTGAGGGCTTATCTAACACAGTTCAGCCATATCTACAACTACGACTTTGAAACTAAACAAAGTAAGTCTTATTTTTTGTTAATATATTACAGGAACAATTGTACTTTTCACAGTTTATATTTATTTTAGTCACATTATTATATACGTATATACTTATGCTTAAATCAAAACCAGCATGTAACTTAATTTATTTCTTTAGTTCTTAATTTTACTGGTTGCCTACTCGATCATTAAAAAAATTGAAATTAAATCCAATTTCTAAATTTAAATTTTAAATGCATCTACTGTTTTATTGCACTTACTTTACAAACTATGTGCTAGTAGATATTATAAAAGACTATGTATCTCCCTTGTTAAAGGATTTAATAATATCTATTAACATTAACTAAATTATATGTAACTGAGTAAAAAAAATATGATACAGCTTAATAATTCTATTTAGTAGGCTTTATCTTCGTGGCAGTTGATGGTTATGTCCTTCTTCATCTGCAACAGTTTGAAGAAGATGCCCATTACATTGAATAAATTCAACATTCGACAGTGGAATCACGAAATTCAACATTGAAGAGAACCTAAATCATTTTAGGTAAATTGTACTATTTTTTTTAAATCAAATATATCTAATAAATATTTTTTTTTTAAATCAAATATATGTAAAACTTGTAGATATAAATTATAATGAAATGTAATATTGTTTATTTCTTTGTTACAGATTTTGTACAACAAATCGATGGTTGTATACAGTTCCAGGGCAGTACATTTATCTTTTTCATGAATATTACCAACAATGCATAAGGACTTACAAGTATATCTAATTTTTTTGGCCTTTGGCCACTTCATTTTCTTATTGGTAAAATCTAATTAGAATTTTACATCCTGTTGTTTTTGGTTAACTTTCAATTTTCTATAATATCCTGAGTCCCATATTTTCTCCATTGTGGTAATAATAACATCATTCATTAATTCTTTAAAGTATTTTATTGCCTGTATTTCAATAAGTCTCTTTTATTTGCATTATTTTTCTTATGGTGTTATTTTTCTAATGCTTTTTTGCTTGTGTAATTCCTTGTACAGAATTTTAGTTTTGATGGATACATTTTTATGTCATTTTTTTCAGATTGTATCCCATGAATTGCTATAATTTTACAGATCTTGTTGGTTCCTTTTGCCTGTGTTTAAACACACAAAATACACTTAAAACTCCCACAATAAGAACTATTCCCAATCAATTCCTGGCGCATTCGCCATTTATTCAAAAAACCTGACTCGTCCTCAGACGATGTCTCTTCTGTTTTTCCTAGCCTTTTTTCCAATGAATTTTTCTGAATAATATCGACTCCAGAGCATCACAGCTAGCCTCCCCGCAAAAGAGGAGACCCGGGTCGCTCCCTAACCCTGATGTTCGGGCATCGATGACCTATGTAGCATGCATAGGTACCCAAGGGAGTCACCACCCTCTGGTTTACGAGCTAGGTGTTCTAACGCTAGAGGCTTCGGCCGGATACGACCTGGCACCCAAGCTCCGAGACTTCTTCGTGCACGTATTCCGTGACCCTCGAAGAGGCAGGGGGCGGGATATCGGACACATTGAAGATGATGAGGGGGGTCCGCCTGTAGGGGGTCCCGGTGGATGTCCGCTCGATGGGTGACGAGGGCGACCCGAGACGAGGCTGTTTAGCTGGGATGGGAACTGACTGGTGAGGCTTAATCGTCGGACAAGGGTTAAATCGGATGAGGGATGGCGAACTTGATGCTCTGGAGGATTTTTCTTCGTGCACTTCAGTCATATTTTGACGAGATATTCGTAGAGGAGGCTAAGCATAGTCTTTGGTCAATTTTCCAGTTCTTATTGACCGCATACTCCTTTTTTTCTTGCTTTTGGCCTATTTCTATTTAACTTTTTTGGTCTGTCATATTTTCTTTTTTTGGAATTTCCTTATTCGTATAGAATTATTTTATCTTTTTTATCAATTTTCATTCTATTTTTTCTCAAATTATCCCTCATTTTCGTGGCTTTATATTTATCCCTATTATTTGTTTTATTATTTTTCACTCATATTTTCATTTCATATTCACTCTTCTCTTTGTTTGCCTTATTCATTAATGTCATCCTTCTAAGCCATAATATTTCAACATTTCTATTTCCTGTATTATGTGTGTATCATGTATTCCTTGTGGGAATGGCATCATTCAGCAATTCTATAAACTCTTCCATTCAATTATTGTCTTCTTATATGTATGTAATTTTATATTTTTTGTGTCACTTTTCTGGGACTTCTAAATTCATTATACATATTTATGCAATTTTTTTTCTCAGCTCTAGATACCAACTCTATTTCGTTATTTCTATCTCATTTTATTTATCTACATGCTGTGAAATCTTCTAATTTTTTCTCTCATTCTTTTAAAATTGAGTTCTTTTATGGAGTACTGCTTTGGAACAAGAATGTTTTGGGAAAGCTGCATTTCCACTGAAGATTCCCTTTTGAAGATGACATTAGATTGGTTAAATTCAACATTCATCAGCCGATTGAGAATATATTTCATCATTGAAGTTGAAGCTAAGTCATTTTAGGTAAATTAAACTACACGGTGTCTTTTTTTTAAATCGATTATGTTAAATAAACACCCAATTTTATTATATTTTGAAAATATGTAGATTTAAATGATTAATTTTGAATAAAGTATTTTGGTGCATTTTATATTGGTTTATAGGCAACTAAACATACAATTTTGTGTATGTAGAGTTGCCTGTATTAGTATTTGAATTTTTTAAATTGTAGTTTTTCCACCTTGGTTTTTCCATATTTTTTTAAATATTACGATTAAAACATTTCTTAATTACTAATGCAGTCAACTTAGTCATGTTTTTCTTGTTTTGCTAAAAAAAGTTCGCTGTGTTACGAAAAATTGCTTATAATATGTATAATACCTACTACCTTATTAATTTACTGAAAATGTAAAGTTATAGAATAGATTTTAATTTCTGTTATCTGTGATTTTAATCAAGTATGTTAAGCAGGCCTCACACGACCAGTATTATTGACAGTATTTCCAAAAACTGTCAGTAATATTGACCGTGTGAGAGAAAAAATACTGATGGGATTGTCAGTATACTGCTGATATACTTTGGCAATCTTGAAGGTATTTTGGAATTTGACAATATCCAATTCAATCAATAATACTGATCGTGTGTTAATTAATTATTTCTTTATATTTTCCTTACAGAACCAAGACTTTCCTGAAGGGTACCGAGAAGATTTATTTACGTCCACATAGACATCAGCATGTTCATCAACACCTTGGATTTTAATGTTGTTTTTATGTTACTCTTGTTAATAAAATATAATATGTTAATAAATAATAATTAAAAATAAATGAGTTTAATTAAACCTAAATACTGTCTAATCCTGAACATAAAGAAAAAGGTATTTATCACAAAAATAATATATTCTAATAATAAACAACTTAACAAGTTGTTCAGAAATAGGCAGTATTTTATATAAAAATAATATCTACCGTTACCCCCTCGCTCTTCTGTACTTCTTATACAACTCCCAGAAAAATCTGCTTTTAACATAAATTGAACGAAAACTTTTTTTAATCCTTGCCCAAAATCACTGATTTCTATCAGGAGCGCATAAGTGTGAAGAGGTAAGAAATAAATTGAGTACCATTATTTACCTAGTCGCTCTTATGTGCTCCTGATACATATCCGAGAAAATTCAATTTTTGTCAAAGGTTGTACGAACTCGCTCTTATATGGCCTGATCGAAAATCCAAGCGTCAGTTTTTAATAAAAGGTAGTCAAAATAAATTCCTCTTGGTAAAAATCAGAGGACTTGACCAACGAGCTCAAATGAGTTAGATTTTTTCGAAAAACGGCCATAACTTCCAAATCATAAGAGATGTCGAGGAACGGAAGTCGGCATTCGATTCCCCTTTCAACCCTCTATAAGGGTGCATAATTAGAGCGCGATCGGAGACAAAAAAAATTTTTCGGCAAAAATGAAGGAAGGTTAACCCCTTACCTCATTTTTCGCCAAAAAATTTTTTGGTCTCCGATCGCGCCCTCGTTTTGTGCCCTTATAGAGGGCTGAAATGCCTATCGAAAGCCGAGTTCCGTTCCTCTCTAGCCCTTATAGTTTCCGAGATATTAAGGGTTGAAGTTTGGAAACGAGGTCGAAGTGCTAGAGATAGCAGAAATATCGTTGATCGATGCTTTATTTAAATGTGGTACTAAATTTGCTCCTTACCTCTTCGCTTTTATGTGTTCTTGATAGAAATCGGCGGTCTTTGACAAAAATTGAATTTTCTCGGACATGTAGCAGGAGCACATAAGAGCGACTAGGTAAATATTGGTACTGAATTTATTCTTTACCTTTTCGCACTTATGTGTCCCTGATAGAAATTAGTGATTTTGTTAAAAGCTGAATTTCCTCGGATCAGGAATACATAAGAGCGAAGAGGTGTTTTCTTAACTTAATTTTTCGTGCAATTAATCAGGTATAATTTTTATATAAAATACTGTCTAATTCCAGAACAACTTTTTAAGTTGTTTAGTATTATTACTTTCTTGATAATTAAATGACTTTTTCGCGATTAGACAGTACTTCTAAGAGGTTAAATAAAAGTAATTTATAGTTATTTTATTTTTTAATGATAGGCATATTTTATTAAAACAGTAGTACATAACATAAAAAGTATGTTAAAATCCAAGATGTTGATGGACATGCTGATGTCTATGTTGAGGTGAACAAATTATCTTCTGACCACCTTTCTGGAAAGTTTTGGTTCTGTAATAAAAAACAGAGAATTAATTATTTAATCATTAACAAGCTTCATTAAAAAATTATTAGTTTTATGACTTTAACTAGCCAGTGAATTTTTAGGGTACATGAAATGAAAGTTATAGTAGTATAGTTATATTAGTTACTTATATCAAAATCTTTGTAACAAAAAGAACTTAGTGCAGTAAAGTAATAGAGAAAAGTTAATAGTTAAGTTAGCTGTACCTGTATTTTTAAGAAATATTTTAATTATAATATTTAAGTGTTAAAAAAATCAAAAAATCAAACTGCTAATGTATGCAACTCAATATACACGTTAGTGTATTTATAGTTACCTACCCAAAAGTAATTTGTGCGCCAAAATAATTTATTTGAAATTAATAATTAATCTCAATGATATATACAAAATACAATGATATTAGGTATTTATTAAATATATCCGAATAAAAAAAAGCAGTTTCTAGTCCAATTTACCTAAAATTATTTAATTCCTCTTCAAATATGAATTTCTTTCTCAATCCACGACTGTTCAATGTTGAATTTAGGCAGATGATATCTCGAAGTGGGTTCATTGGTTAATTAAAGTGCAGGTGTTCCAAAAAATCTTTGTTCCAAAACAGTACAATATCCCATTCAAATAAAAAAAAATTTAAAAGAATTAGAAGACGAACAGAAAGAAAATCAATTAAAAATATACAGTTCTATTTAGACAATAGAAATGAAATGAAATATTTAGAAGTCTTAGAAGAATAGCAGTAAAATAAACAATACTGGAAATAAAAGCTGACTTTAGAAAAACAATCAATATAGAAGACAAAAAAAATAAATTATATTTAAGAAAAAATTAAATTTAGTTTAACCCTTTTAACTCAGTATGGTATGATGGATTGAAAGTCATGAAAATGATTCTAAAACTACAACTCTAAATAGACAATAGAAATAAAATGCCTTAGAGAAATCTTGACACAGAAAAAATAAAACACAATACAAAAAAAATAGTACAAGTAAACGACGACTGATAATATAGAAATACATAAATTAATATAAGAAATGCTAGAAAAGCTAATAGGTCAGGTTTTATGAATAAATGGCGAATGCGCCAGGAATTAGCTAATATTTTGAGATTTTTAAATGTGTTCACAGAATAAATATAACATGAGAGACAAATGCAGAAATAAGTTATGTAGAATTGAAAACTTTACACGAATATGAGTGATGAACTAAAAAATTATACAATTCCACACATTTAAGGGGACTTAGAAATACTATCAATAGAAGAGTTTATAAAATTGATGAATGATAACATTCCAATAAGGAAGAAAATATGGGAGACAAATTGTGAAATAGAGATACGATGCATTGAGAAAATGGGATGAAAACGAATAAAAAAATCTGTAATTCTATTCAGACAACAAAAATGATGAAATATGTTTCAGAAGAATGACACAAAAAATTTATATAAACAGGTATATATGTAAGATAATTGAAAAGGTTTATCAAATAATATTAAAAAAAAAATAAACGGGTAGCTGGTCAATAAAAACTGGAAAATTGACCAAAGATTATGCTTAGCCTCCTCTAACGAATACCTAGTCAAAATAAGACATCAAGCACATGAAGAAAAATCCTCCAGAGCATCAAGTTCGCCACCCCTCATCCGATTTAACCCTTGGGCGACGATTAAGCCTCACCAGTCAGTTCCCATCCCAGCTAAGCAGCCTCGTCTCGGGTCGCCCTCGTCACCCATCGAGCGGACATCCACCGGGACCCCCTACAGGCGGACCCCCCTCATCATCTTCAATGTGTCCGATATCCCGCCCCCTGCCTCTTGAGGGTCACGGAATACGTGCACGAAGAAGTCTCGGAGCTTGGGTGCCAGGTCGTATCCGGCCGAAGCCTCTAGCGTTAGAACACCTAGCTCGTAAACCAGAGGGTGGTGACTCCCTTGGGTACCTATGCATGCTACATAGGTCATCGATGGCCGAACATCAGGGTTAGGGGGTGACCCGGGTCTCCTCTTTTGTGGGGAGGCTAGCTACGATACTCTGGAGTCGATATTACTTAGGAAAATTCTTTGGAAAAAATGCTAGAAAAGCCAGAAGTGGATGTCAGGGGTTTTAAGTAAATGGCGAATGCGCCAGGAATTGATAGGAAATTAGTCCTTATTTTCAGACTTTTAAGTGTGTTATTGTATGTTAAAATTATATTTAAACACAGGCAAACCAAACCAACCAACAGAATCCGAAAGCTTACAGCAATTCATGGCATAAGATCTGAGAAAAATTATATAAAAATGAATCCATCAAAACTAAAATTCTGTACAAGAAATTACCCAACCAAAAATACAAAAGAATGACACCAAAAAAAAAAACAAATAAAAGAAGACTTATAGAAATACAGTCAATGGAATATTTTATAGAATCAATGAATGATATTATTCGTAAAGTGAAAAAATATGCGAATCAAGTTATTGTAGAGAAATAAATGTTAACCATAAACAACATGAATTAAAATCATAAGTAGATGGTATATATTTACCAAACAAATAAAACCTATAGAAATACACTCAATGGAATATTCTATAGAAATGATAAATGGTGATGTTATTCCTATAATCAAGAAAATATGGGAGTCAAGCTTTATAGAGAAATAAGTCAACCAAAAACAACATGGAGTAAAGTTCTAAGTAGAAGGTATTCTATCAAAAAGAAAAAGATGTGCCTAAAACCTTAAAATTGTTTCAAACTAAAAATAGTTGATCTGAATTTTTCTATGATAATAAGTAACCATAAAAAAACTAACTCAGGTACCCAATGGATTTTTTTCCAACTTAATTAAATTAATAAATGATAAAATCCACTGATTAAAAACCAATAAAAATATATTCACCCAAAAGAAGTAAAATTTTAAATATATACTTAAGTACTAATGCCTTTGTTGGTAACATTCATGAAAAGGAAAAATGTACTGTCCTGGAACTGTATACATCCATCGATTTGTTGTACAAAATCTGTAACAAAGAAATAAATAATAGTATTACATTTCATTATAATTTTTATCTACATATTTTACAAAATACCTACAATAATATTAGGTGTTAAATATACTTGATTTAAAAAAAAACACTTAAGTATAATTTACCTCAAATTATTTAGTTCCTCTTCAATGATGAATTTCATCCTATTCCATGTTGAATATAATCAACCTAATGGCATCTTGAAGGTGGTTGAATTGTTTGTATTATTCATCAAAAGGATAAATGTACTGCTCTGGAACTGTATACATCCATGTAATTTGTTGTACAAATGCTGTAATAAAAAATAAATATTACATTTTATTAATTAGGTATGCTATAATTGTTTCTTTTTCTTTTCGTATTAATATTAAATATATCTTAAGAAATATGGGTAGTCTGTTAATAACCAGTTAATAAATTTATTAAAACTCTTTTTAAATAATAAAATAAACTTACTTTTAATTGGATAATGTAAAACCAATCTTGTAAACCAGAGTGATAGCCAAACATCATGATTATACAAGTGGTAGCTCAGAGGAACGATTCTGTAAACATATTTCCTGTCTAGTGACTCATCAATCGTATACAAATAGCATAGCCTAGACAGGAAATTTCTGGCTACGGAGCTTACAGAATCCCACTGCAGGTCTCTTCTTTTAGATGGTCTTATTGGTCTTTAAATCCTGGTATGTATTATTAATAACGCTCCTTAAAAAGAAAATTATAATTATTAAAGCCCTATATTAAAACAATGCAAAATTGGTAACGTAAATATGATGACTGTATCAGTAAACAGTGTGTAGTATTTTATTTTATCTGAAAGTATTATATAATTATTGAGAATAAGGGCCCCCTTTAGGCGTACTAACACTGACTATTTCTAAAAGACGTAGAAAAATACTTATGCCAAAAAACAACTCCTCACCAGCCAAAAAAACATGCCAAAAAAAAACCAAATATTTCTAAATATGAAGCAATATTCTATGTAACTTTATTTTTAACCAAACCAAACCAAACTTCACCGAATGTATCTATATTTGTAGATACTCGATTTTGAAAAGAAAACTTATGAAAGTTGGAAAAATACATAGGTAAGCTTTAATGATGATGTAATTAAAATATTTGAAACTGAAAAAATCTATAGAGAAGAGGCAAAACAATGAGTACTTACATCTTTAGGAGATTAAACATGCCTTAAGGAAAAGAATATACTCAAATAGTGCATAGAAAAACCACTTTTTCTATTAAAAAATCAGGAAATTGTAACAACGACGTAAGGACTTTCTTCCATCTTTCTTCTAACAACGGAAAAACGACCACCGACAACGTTGTCAGATTGAACACATGTAAAACAGAACGGTAATTTTTTGTTGCATAAAATAATGCTGTATCTAAAAAATATACTATTTTTATTCTGCCGCAACAAAGTTGTCCTATATGTTTATTCGATTTATCATGATTTTCTAACGGTTTAATTCATTTTAGCATTTTAGACTTACAAAAATATTGATTTAGTTTAGTTTCAGGATTCTGGTAATATCTTGGCAACCTTGGAAACACTTTAGTTCCAAATTTTCTCACTTTTTCCACAATGGCGCCACTAGCATTCTTCTTCTTTTTTATATTTATGGCTTGAATCATAAGCAGCCACAGATTTGATATAGATTTTCTCCTCTTTTCTTTTAAATAACTTGAATTTGTATAGGTCATCCGGCCTGCGTTCAGAAAAAAATAATCAAAAGGAGAGAGTCCAAATTATAAACTATGGTTAATCATTAGATAAAGACAACAACAAAAATAAACAAAGACGGCATTAATAATATAAAAACAACCTTGATTATTCAAAAAATAAAATGTTAGATAATGTTTAAAAAAGTGGTTTTGGGGGTATCTGGGGGCGTTGACAGTGCCGTCGCTGCTCTGCTATTAAAAAAGAAAGGTAAATAGTATCCCAAGCAACTAAATTGATGAATAAATTCAATTATTACAGGGTTTGATGTCCATGGTGTTTTTATGAAAAACTGGGATGTTATCGACGAAACAGGTATTTGTAAGGCTGACGAAGACTACAAAGATGCTAGTTACTTATGCGAACAATTAAATATACCCTTGCACCCAGTTAATTTCGTTAAAGAATACTGGAATGAAGTTTTTTGGTATCTAGGAACATACTATGTTGTTTTATTGTATATTATGTTATAAATAACTTTTTAGTAACTTGATCAAGGAATACGAGAACGGGTGTACCCCAAATCCAGACATACTCTGCAATAGGAATGTAAAATTTAATTATTTTTATAAATATGCCACCGAGCATCTTAAGGCTGATGCCATAGCTACTGGGCACTATGCCAGAACAAATTTTGGGCCCTATTTAGAGAACTACCATCCTGATAATTGTAAGTAACACTCAAAATATGTGTTAATACTTCTGTACATTATACATACCTTGTAGTGGTAACATTATTGAGGGCAAATGATACTAGAAAAGATCAGACATTTTTCCTATGCCAAATTAGTCAGAAAGCTTTAAGAAAGACCATGTTTCCTTTAGGTAATTTAATGAAATGGGAAGTAAAACATATGGCAGTTGAAAATAATCTAGAAAAATTTGCTGTAAAACCAGAAAGCATGGGTATATGTTTTATAGGACCACGCAACTTTCAACACTTTATTAAAGAGGTACATTTTTACTTCTAACTGTATGTAAAATTATATAAGTTTATTTTTTACAGTATATAATGGATAAACCTGGTGATTTTATTGATATAGACACTGGAAAAATCATCGGACATCATAAAGGATTACATCAGTGGACTTTAGGGCAAAGATCACGCCTTGGTGGATTTGCCAAGTCCTATTTTGTAGCCAAAAAATCTACAGAAAATAATAATATTTATGTAGCATCAGGCACAGCACATCCTGCATTCCATTCAACAACCGTAGTCACTTCTGAGCCGCACTGGATCTCTTCTGAACCTCCCGAGCTCGTAAAGGATCATATTTTACACTGCGATTTTAAATTTCAACATACCGAACAATTAGCTTCATGTAAAGTCTGTAAAACTCATAAAGGGTTGGTAGTGACATTGGAAAAACATAAAAGAGCCTTAACTGCTGGACAATATGCGGTTTTCTACAGGAACAATGAATGTTTAGGGAGCGCTCGTATTCTTAATAGTGGGGCCTCAAATTTTTCATTGTTTTATATAAATAACAATAAATTAGGTGATGTTATAGATAAAGAGAAAAATGAAAAAGAAAATTCAGAATACTATAACGACTGTAATTTATACATGAATAGAAATAAAGTTTGTTAAAATTAATAGTGTTGGTTTTTATTTATTTAATTACCTTTTAAGATTTTATTTCCATCGTTTAGGAATAGTTGGACTGAAACCCACATAATAACGCTTGGGTTTGTCTTCATTGTCACCATCCCTTTCTTTACTTTTTGATCTGTCTCTACGTTTTGGAGAATCTTTTCTATAATCCTCAGAGTATCTCTCTTTGTGTTCTTTGCTTTTTTCTGAACTTTTATGACTCTTTTTCCTCCTGTTTGGACTTCTAGATCTGTCTCTTTTTTAGACTTCACCGCATGATCACTGCTGCTTGAATCACTTGAACTCTCATCTGTATCAGTTTCAGATTTTCGTGATTTCTTCTTTTTAGATTTTTTCTTCTTTTTCTTGCTTTTTTTCTTATCTTTATTTGATTTATTTTTGCTTTCATCTTCAGAGACTTTTTCTTTTTTTATATCTGTGTATATAGGAAGACGGGCCGGTAGTTTTAGTTCTCCTTCAATTTGGTCGGCTATAGTTTCACGCAAGTCTTGTTGAACACGCTCTACTTTGGGTACAATGGGCATAGCCTTTGGGGCACAGCCTTCTGAGTAAAGTTTTTTGGTTTCTTCATCAGTTTTCTTTCCTTCTTTTGGTACCTAAAAAATGTCAGATCATACTAAAATGGTACAAAAATAAAATTGACTTAAGAAACCTTATATTCTTGAACGTGGTCTACACGAATGGTCCTATTTAAAATCTTGATTCCATTAAAATTATCAACTGCTAAAATGGTGGATCTCTGATCCTCATAACAGAGAAAACAAAATCCTCTAGACTTTCCTGTGTCTTTTGCTCTTATAAGATTAACATTTACAACTTCTCCATACCTAAAACAGGTCTTTTGGTAATATAAAATTGAATAAGAATATTATGAATACATACTGTGAGAAAATACAAATAATATCACCTTCGGTAAGATCATAAGGTAGACCTCCCACGAAAATCCAAGCACTATCTTTGTACTGGTCATGCCAAGAGCTCTTACTTGTATTCTGAAGTTCCCGTTCACTTAGTTTTTGTACATTTTTCATATTCCTACAATCAAGAAATAAGTTAAAATGTTTTCACATATAAAAAATGTTACTGTACTTACGTTAAAGGATTCATTTTTAATTATTTTATCAAATTAAAACGAAATTAATATTTTGTTTGGATTTTACGATTTTACAATATTTGGAGGTTAGTTCCGGAAAATCTTCTTTTAATTTATTAAAGGGCCACAGCTGCCGGACAGATTCTTGAACTTTTAAATACTACGTTACGAGGGCGGTTAAAAAATTAACACCTATTGACCTATTTACATTTTGTTTTAGATAAACTTTATAAACTCAGGCTTTAATTACAAAAAAAGAGATAATTTATTCAATTAAATTAATATCTACATAATATAAATGTACATAAACAAAGATAGACTTAGAAAGAACCATTTTATTGTTTGAACAACTTAAAGTCTTGTTAATTCCCTCCCAGTACGTGTCCCTGACCCCAGTTGTGCCCCCTAAACATTCCCGGACCCCTAGGAACCCCCGGTGCTCTTTCTGGAGCCTGACCAAAACCGTGAACACCTCCAATCTCATCAGGAAACCAACTTTTCAAGAATCCAGGAGTAGAGAGTAACGAGGGCCCTCCTAATTCTTGAGGGTATTTGTAGGCAAGGAAAAAATATAAATGCCCCACTAAAATGCCCACTAGTTCCATCATACCACCTCCAGACATGACTAGATTAAATCCAAGAAGAACCCAAGGGAGGAATACAGCTTTGAATCTGGTTCCAAACCAAAACGTTACTATGACGTCTCGGTTGAGTTGACACCAAATATAGAGAACTGAGAGAACTGTGGGATCCATAAGCAGCTAAAATTAAAGTTAACATAGTTAATAATTTGGTTAGTTTAAGTAAGAATTACACTTACAGGCATATCTGCGACTAGGCCCACAATAACACAGCATATCCAGTTGAATAATAACAAATAAGCATAGTCAGCTGGCTTGCCTTGGTACTGACCTAAAAAGAGTAAATATATTCAGTTTTTTAAACCAATTTTAATACCCTTACATACCTTCTTCTAACCTCCTGGAATAATTATACAAAAAATACAAATTTATGAGGTAGTGAAACCCAGTTGAGGGTGTTAATGGATAATATAACACACTAGTAACTAGTCTCCATATCTGTGCTTTCTTAACAGCTTCGTATATTAAAATTAAGTTTACTGGATTGAGTAGTCCAAATCGACCTAATAATGTAAAAGCTACTGTTCCTGTAAACCAAGCCTTTGTGAATCGTGGAATACCCCGATACCAGTCGCCTAAATCCGACATTTTGCACTAAAAATAAAGATATTTTGCTATAGTTCTTTTTTATTAGTTTGTACTTAGATTAAGAATAAGTTTGTACACCTACCTTTTAAAAGGCTTAAACTTCAATAGAGCAGTCTTAAATTTAACACGTTTTCGACTTTTTATTCAATTTAGAGATGTATTTTAAGTTCTAACTGCTTTTATTTGCCTATTTTCGTTGAATTTTCCTTAAAAATTGATAAAATAATGTAAAAAATCTTATTTATCTTCACATAACCTGAAAACCGTCAAACCTATGGAAAATGAAAACGTCATCTTAAATATGTGGCTTTTTTAACCAATGGGAGATCGGGGTGAAGTTGGCTTCAATTGACTCCGTTTACACTGGCGACTTTCGTTCATATTGTAATACAGAGTGTCTGAAATTCAAAGTAAAGCACTGTAATGACTTGATTTTGTATAATTCAATAAATTTAAAATTTCATGCGTCATGTTAGATAGCAAATATTTGTAAGACGATTGAAACTGAGTATGTGGAACTGTTGTTTCGAGGAAACAATATAAAAAAAAGATAAGACAAATTTGATTTATTATTAAACAATGGTTTTTATTTCAATAATAAAAAAATACACAGACTCCAGATACATACAAAATAACAAGGTCGTATATCTATAATAACGTTACAATATTGATATCAATAAATTATAAAAAACATTAGTCACAGGATTAAACCGTATTTTCTACGAAAATGTAGATACAATAATTATTACCATAATCCGCCTTGATACTCGGGTGTGTCAAAAATATTAACACACCTTTTAATAAGATAGACGAATTTTATCAGTGAGTTTTTTACTGTTTTGTAAATATTTGATTACATATGTATACATATTTTGATTTTTATTTTAGAAGAGATAAATTTCTATACAGGGTGTCCCAAAATTTCGTGGACATATTTAAAAGAAATGATAGGATTTACTAAATATTCAACAACTCTCTTAATCGTTACTCTGAGCACCTAAAACTTCCAGTTCTAAAGTTCTCACTGAATTTTTCCCTACTTCCTGTCACCCACTAGCATTTAGTTTGTAAAAAACATGAAAATTGAGAGTTAAAACAGTCAAAAATAAAAGACAGAGATCTTCATTCTTTAAAATTGGCGTCTTTAAAGGAACTACTATCACTGCACACGCTGAAATAATCTTCATCACCCGATTTGCAGCTGTAGAACGACTGTACACTTCTCAAACTCGCGTTGTTGCTGCTCTGCCTCGTCCTTTTAAAATTCGGCTGTAATATCAGCTCCTGTTTCGTCCTGTTATTGCTGATCTCGTACTTGTTCGTCCTGTTCATGATGTCGACCGGCGACGACGATTTTGACAGGTAGTTGATATCCGGCAGCGGTTGCTTAGTTGGAGATTCTGTAAAATCAAATAGAGAAAACACTATAAGATTGTTTGTAATACTTATTAGGGTGGGTCAAAAAAATCGACTATTTTTTTCACTTTATACTCGGAAAAAAAGGTTGGTAGACACCTCTAAAAAATTCTCTCCAAGCATATGAGCCCCTTAATTTTAATAGGAGGGTCCTCCGCCTTTCAGTTTTCTATTTTTTCCTTATTACTATAAGGAAAAGTTTATTATCTCGGTATCTACTATTAGGAAAAAATATATCGCCTCACATGTTTGTAGGAAATTCAATTCTCAACAAAAAAGGTCTCTTACAATTTTTTTTAAACCTCACCATTCGAAAGTTATTGTTACGGATTCCGTGGGTCCACTAATTTAAACTCACGATAAAATACTTAACGAATTTGTTATCTCGCTTTATACACACAATAACTAACTATTTATAAAATTCCTTTACCAAATTGTCCGATTCACAATTTCCAAACGCGGAATATTCAAACTTCAAACTGCTCCAACTGCCAAGCACGGGCCTTTATATTCCCCTACTGACTGTTTCTCGAACCTTCTACAATTCTCGGAGAGCGTTCTGCTTCATACTGGACAATTGCATTGTCTGATTCGCTTACTTGTCAACTTGATTGAGAGATGGCGCCTAAAAATGTATTTTATTTTCTGGCGGATGCGCCATTTTTCTTGACACGTTGCGGTTGTGTAGGCAACCAGTAATACATTTTAGCGCTACATACACCTTGATATTATTAAAGGTTGAAATTTGATTGTTTTAAGGCAGATTTCTTTTTTCTTGTGAATTTTATAACTCGTTAACCAAAAGTCATTATGATACGCGCAAGCCATGATTTTATAGGAAATTTACTGCTCTACAAAAATGGTTTCTTATGATTAGTCGATTAAATTAACCGTTTAAAAGATGTTCATCGTCAAACTTCAATAGAGAATAATTTTAACAGTTTTTGATTAATAATTCGGACAATAATTCCAATTTATTTTATGAGTTTCGTGAACATTTTTACAAATTGAAGTTTCTGTCGTGAAAGTAACTATAAAAGTTCTCCAAAATTTATTTGAAATTTATTATTCTTATAATATTGTTACGGATTCCGTGTGGGTCCACTAATTTAAACTAACAATAAAATACTTAACGAATTTATTATATAACAATAACAATATAAGTAACAGGACGTATCAAGAGAGAAACTTAAACTTGTAAAAATTTTTCTGAAACTCATAAAATAAATTTGAAATGTTCGAATTATTAGCCAAAAAATGTTAAAATTATTGTGCATTGAAGGTTGACGATGAATATCTTTTAAACGGTTAATTTAATGGACTAATCATAAGAAACCATTTTTGTAGAGCAATGAATTTCCTACAAAACCATGAGTAATAAAGTTATAAAATTCATAAGAAAAAAGAAATCCCTTAAAATAATCAAACTTCAACCTTTCATAACTTTCGAACGCTAAGGTTTACAAAAAAATTATAAAAGACCTTTTTTGTAGAGAATTCAATTTCCTGCAAATATATGAGACGAGATATTATTTTTTATATAGATTATTTTTTTAACCTGTTATATTTTAGAGCCATAAAAAACTTTACCCTGTGTTTTGGTCAAATGTTAATTGCAATTACTTATTACATACCCTTGCTTTGACGCAACGTTACGCCTCTGATCATTTTGTTTCCATTTGTTAATTTTCTCTAAGGTAATTTTTTAAATTTTGAGTTGATTGTTTTTATTCATTTGACGGAAATTTGGACAAGATTTGGACGAGCAATATTGGATGACGGACTCTTGGACTGTCTGTCATAATGACGGACGTCTGTTTTTTGCGATGCAACACCCCGTATACAGTAACACGTGAATGCAATCAACGGATAACTGTTATGTCAGTTAAAAACCTCATTTTTAAACTAGACAGACAGATTAATAACAATATATATTCTGATGATTAATAGCGCCATATAGATCAAACTAAATTCTCAAAATAGATTTAAATTGTTGTTGTCAACTGCTGTGACTCATTTTATATAATTCCAATTAAGTATAAAGCTTTCCTTAATTGATTCCTAAATTTTTCTACTGAAAAACAAATATTTAACTAAGTAGTTATCTTATTTTGGATAGTAACAGGTATTTACTAAATTAGTCAATCTTTATTAGATTAATATTTTTAAAAAACAAATATAATAATTTTATAGAAATATGTTTTATAATTGTCTAGGACACATTTTTGTAACTTCGTATTTTTAATCATATCTCAATTTTTTCAAATGGAAAGAGGGTGGCTCATTAGCATATTTGGAAAAAGCATTTTTTTACGCCATAATTTGATACCACCCACTTGGTATTTCGAGTTAAATTTTCGTTACGAACCGCCAGTTATAGTTTCAAATAAACAATATGCGAAAATGTCAAAAGTTGACATATTATATATCATTTTAGCCAGAGTGACGTTTTCTATCGAATAAAGTAAGAAAATACCGAGGGTGCCATTTAAAAATCAAAAGTTGTAGTCAGTTCCGGTGAAACCGGAAGTGACCGAAAACGTCAATCGAATACGTCAATCAATCCTAATTTATGTCCATATAATCCTAACATACCAAAACTCGTTCTTTTAACTAAAAAAATAAAAAAGTTATACGGGTGAGTCACTTTTGAGACCACCCGGTATACCCAAAGTCCATATAGATTCTGTTTTATATTCTTAGATACAACATTATTTTTGTATGATTATTATTCTCCAAGAGATCCTCATTAACATCAGTTACTGTTTTTTATGCCTAGCCAATTCAATCAATTAAAATTATACAGAAATATTTTTATATACAGTAATATAAACCGTAAATTTATACTTAACATACATTAAGAGATATAGAGAAGAATGTCATAAAAGCTAAAAAGTTAAAATAAGAACAAGAACAAAAATTATAAGAACTATGCAGATGTTTTCATTTGACACATATAATATTATGATCTTCTCTGTATAGTTTTAGAATATTAATATAGCCTTTAATTCCTTACAATTATTTAAAAAGTCATAATAACACTTCAAATATTACCTCGATATCGATAAAAAAATCGACTAAATGAACTAAATGTACAGGGTGTCCCATTTTCGGGTGTTCTATGGGGTTTCTAGTTTTGCTACTTTTTTATGAAACTAAAACTAAAGATGCCATACACAGATTTGTCGTAGCCCTTTTAGTTCTTAAAATACAGGGCGAATTTGAAAATTTTGCATTTTTCGACACCCCTCGTATCTTTGTTCTCTTACAACTTATCGAAAAAGTGAAAACAGAGTTCCATAGAATTTTTCACGTAGAATCCAGTGGTGTAACTAGTTTTTCGCTCAGAGCTGTCATTTTCGAAATATGACTCGAAATTATACTTTCTTAAATGGGACACCCTGTATAGTATAATTTTATTATGGTACGTACACAATGGCGCGCTGCGCCGCGAACGCACGGCACGCGCGCACCGATTCGCCTCTATTAGTACGTGTTTTCAAGTTGCGCAAACAGCTAGCCGCGAAGCATCTCCCTCCCGCGCGCATTTATCAGTGACTATGTGTATTTTCTTTGAATAAATTCCATTTTTTGTGTTTTTCTTTGAATATTGTCTATTAATGGAGTGTTTAAAGAGTCGCACTCGTCATGATTAAAATTGCGTAGTTCTCGGACGATAGAGACATGATTAACGACTAGACGAAGGTTCGCGGGATTTCTATGGATCGCGGGATTAAAACAATAAAAGATCGCGTTCGTTAAAACCTTTGAATAAAAAAATAAACTTATTCTCTCTATGGGACACAGTTTTCACCGTTTCGATAAGTTATAAGATAGCCGAGATATACAGGGTGGTCCGAACTGTATTCCGGATATTTAGGCAGCATATACTGCAGATAAAAATAAGTAAAAAAGTTCGTATAAATGTATGTCCTAAAAGGCTTAGTTTCGGAGATACGGGGTGTAGAAGTTTATTTCGATTTTATCCAAATAATATCTGAAATAACGTCAATATTTGGAAGAAAATTGGGAGCTTTTTGACATGGGAAATTTTATTTTGATATCATTGTGACTCTTATTTGTAGCGGGCGCCACCTACATGTGTTTAACTGTTTTGAAGAGTCATAACTTTTCGTCCGTACCTGTATAAAACTACTGAGTGAAAAACTATATATTTCCGTAATTTATTACGTAAAAAATATCTCTTGGTATATTTGGTCTCTTGGTAAAAATCGCTACGAGCAACCGTTTTCAAGATATTTAGAATAGAAAGAGTCAATACATGTCATCATTCACAAAAAATAAACACGTTGAGTAGATAGTTATTTGACTGAAATAATAAATTTGGGAATTTTTATTTTCTTAAATTAATCATAAAAAATCACCCTGTATACAAAGGAGATCGAAAAATGCACCATTTTAAAATTCGCCCTGTGTTTCAGGAACTAAGAGAATTAGGAAAAATATGTGTGTAGCATCTTTAGTTTTACAAAAAAGTAACACAGTAATGTGGAAATCGCATCTTATTCTATACCTCTATTCATAAACCAGAAACCCTGTGTACTGTGAAACACATAAAAATGGGACAGGAAAAAAAATGAAATAGACTACATCTCAATGTTCTTTTACAATGTTATTATTTTATTATTATACCTACAGATTGTTAAACATACGTAAGGTCGTATGATAGCCTTAATATATTCTCCTGAAATGTAGAATGCTGTAGGTATGTATATCGCTCAAAAACCGGAAAAAGATTTATAAGAATGTAATTTGTTCTTGAAAAATTTTCCTATATTGCTGCTAAAATTTTCTTAATATTAATATTTAACATATTTTTTTATCCTTGAAGACATTATCTTATTCTTGTTTATCTAAAAACCTCAAATATTGGTTTATTTTTAAGTACGTACCTAGTTGTTAAAATTAATAGAAGTTTTTAAATAGGATAAAAAATAATGTACCTGTATTATACTTGTCGTAAACATAACTACATAACGAAGTTTAATGTTTTCTCAGTTATTTTCTTAATTATACAGGGTGAATCATAAATAAGCGCAAATATTTACAGGGCTCAGTGGCGGATACAGAGGGGGGCCCATGGGGCCCAGGCCAATAATTCATGTAAGAGTTATAAAATATTAAATATTCAATACTAGACCTTTAACCAGTGTGTGAGATGATCAAAATTTTAGAATTCAAAACTGTTCATGATTAAACATCAACAAAAAAGTCGTTTACCGCATATCTCCAGTAAGTATATGAATTCAGAGCTTTGCGAAATGCGGGAAAGAATGAAAGCGACTTGATATTCAAAGGCAGATGATTGTACATTTTTTTGGCATTGTACAGTATTGAGCCTTTAACTAGTTCTGAGCTCGGGGTTGGCAGATAAAGATCGTGCTCCGCATTCCTAAGCGGATAGTTGTAAGATGGTCTTTCCGGAATAACAGATATGTGCTTGCGGATTAAGCAAACGGATTCAAAAATGAATAAGGAAGGAAGAGTCAGTATTTTGAAATTTTTAAAGAAATTCTGGCAGTGAGTTCTACTGTTCAGTCCCAATAAATATCGAACTGCTCTCTTTTGAAATTTGAAAATACGATCAAATTTTGTCGCGCAGCAAGTACCCCAGAATGGAAGGGCATAACGAAGATGCGACTCAAAAAGGGCATAATAGACCATTCCAGAGGTTGATAAGTAAAGTTCCTTAGAAACTGATCTTAGGGATCGAACACACTGACGACCAGGTCGCACCGGCCAGGTCGCAGCTACCTCTAAAACCATTAAATCAAATGATATAGCGCACACTAACGTCCTGGCCGTCCGTTGGTCGTTGCGACCAGAAGACTGCACGGAAATATTATTTTCTGCCGCTTGTTGCCGGTTTTCTTCCAAATTAATAATTTTTCAGATGAAATCCCTCAAATTCAACGCACAATATTTTATTTTCTATAAGATATAGTGTTTTAGTGTAGTTTTTGCACATGTGCAGAAAATCCAAAGAAATAGTATACAGACTGGATCAAAGGTAAACTTAAATCTAATCCCTTTTTTTATCAAGGGTCGATTCTAGTAAAAACTCAAAACATTTTTATATGACATACCTACTCTATTTATGGTTGGTATGATACCTGTTATTATACCTTTGAGTTTCAATGTTAAAAAATAAAAAAATAACATTTAAAGTTTTTCTACAACCACTTGTTTTTTTTTATTAAATTAGTTTTTTTAGTTGTATTGTAGTCATGTACAAGGAGGACAACTGTATTTTAAATATTATATTTAATTTAACGTTTTTCAAACAGGGTTCATTAGACTATATTTCTATTAGGTACATTATTTTGAAAAAAAAAATTAAGAAAGTAACTTAAACATTCATAAAAATAGAAGTAATTACTGTTGTACATTCTTCGTTATATTGTAAACATTGAAATAACTGGAAGCTAAACTTTCTACCTGCTTATATTTAGAGCCAGTGTCTGACGTTCTTTTTTTACGATGGCCCTAATATGTTTACTTCTAAAGTCGATAAGGGCGCCATATCAGTAGAAAAAAGAAACAGAATATCTCCCCTTTTGTCGGTCGCGCGTACACAAACTTAATTCGGATATTTTAACATTTCTGAAACAATATTTTCTAATTGGTAAAACGTAAAAAATCGTTAGATTTGACAACTCTGTTGAAACTGGTCGTTCATCTGGCCGCAGCTAAAAACGCAATACATCCGGCCAGCCGACGGCCAGGTCGTTGCGACCTGGTCGTCAGTGAGTTCGAGCCCTTAGCGCAAAACAGGCAGCGTTTAGTTTCTTTGATAAAGCTTCGATGTGCAAGTGCCATTTTAACGAGTTGTCTACAACAAGTCCTAAGAATTTCACAGAGTCCACGGCGTCAATAGTGCTGTTATTAAGTACAAAAGGTTGTATAGTACTTTTATATGACAAAACTTTAGTTTTTGAAAGGTTGAGACATAGGAGATTAGAATCGCACCAAAATTTAATGGTGCGTAAGTCACTGGATATAGTATTACAGAGTGCCGTAACATCTGGGCCGCTCCAAGTGTAAATTAATTTTATTTACGTTAATGAAGCAGCATCCACCATAGGCATAGGCAAAAAATTTATCAAAAATATAAACAAATAATGTTGATTTATAACTAAAAAGTCCAATAAGCGTAACAGTAATTAATAAATTAAATTTTGTAACCGTCCGAAAAAGAAATGTTACAATAAACAAATATACAATTCTGCATTTTTTATATTAACCCTCTGACACCTTCTTATGTTAACCCCTTCCCCCGTCCCATACAATCTACAATACATACTCTTATTTAAGGGACATCCTGTATATTGTTTCTATCAATATTATTTCCCTTAAAAACAATACATCGTGATGTATTCTTTTTCAAACAATACCCACTCGAAAAAAATACCATTTAAATAATCTTGAATCGTTCTAAAATTGAAAAAAGCACTATTTCTGTCTTTATTTTGGTTTGTGTACTTTGCTCGCGTGTATCGATAGGAGATAAAAACAAAACAGAGAACAACAAACAGAACCCACTGGATCAAAGGTCGCTAGGCGACGTTTTTTTCACGGGTCGTAAACGCAAATCAAACACGATATTATATCATTATCATTATTAAATCAGATTTAAATTTACAGGAACCGGCTTTTTGGTGAAGTCGCATGTTGTGGTCACCGACCATCATACCTAATTGGTATTATTATAGTGCTATGACGCATTTGTGTTTGACGTCTATCTCCATGTATAATAAATTATTTAAAATCAATATACAGGATGTAAATTAATAAGTGCGAAAAAAAATTGAGGTGATGCATTTTGATAAAAATTAATATCTCTATTAGTAGGGGAAACCAAGCGGGCATTTTGGGATTTTCTCCCTTTTTGTTATTCCTCACTATCCCTAACATACAGTATGTACCCGGATTGTCTTTACAACAGGAAAAACTTTTTTATTATTGACATTTTGAGAAAAATGCATTCTCCATAAAAATTTTTGCTTGTTCTAAAATGGTTAATCCCGTTTATATTTTTCCAAATTTTCATACAGTTCTAGAGAAAATTAAGAAGGTAATATAACTTCGTTTTTATTCTTTGATAGATTGTTATTCATATAATTTTAATTAATGTTTTTTTTTCGGGATTAACCATTTTAGAACAGCAAAATAAAAACACTAAATCACCACAATACACCAAAACACTTTTACTTTTACACTGGAGGAGCGTTTCGCTAACCATGTTAGCATCATCAGCAGAAGATTATAAACTAAAGTACAATCTACAAGTTGAGCGTTTATATACTCGCCCAGTGGGCACCGAGTGGGCGTGGCAAAATCTAGCCAACCGAGTCAGAGCCCACTGAGCGTAACAGTTAGATTTTTGTTTAATTAGTTAAACAACTCTCAAATTACAGACAATTAGATGCATATGAAAGCATCAGAATTAATAAATGTAAAGATAGTATGAACAGAGACAACGGCCCAATTCCTTCAAGTTCTTTGTTCCTACTACTCTAGTGGCGGAAATCTAACTAATTTATCCCAAAAATTTGATAAACAAAAGAAAAATAGATAGATAAATCTGAAGAACCATTTTTTTGAACACATCTTCTAAAATAGAGCCATAAAATAACACTAAAAACACTGTACTGATTTGATTATGGACATGGACAATATTTTGAACAGTAAAACAAGAAAAAAAGGTGATTTTCTGGCCTGAAACCGGTCTTATATTTTTGCCTTCATTTAATTACCTACTACTCCGCCGTTTTTTTTTTGATTTGGTATTCGTACTTTTCGCCTTCTTCATTCAAATCAGCCAGGGTCAATGTGCAAGGCGAGGAAATCACTAGTTTTATTGGTATTAAATATATATGTATATGTCGCTGTGATAGTGAAATTATAATATGATGAAATGAAATCTTTGAAAATTTGACCTTACGTAGATATTTATTATTGTTATATAGGAAGTAGCTATTACCATCCTCAATATACAGGGTGATCGTTTTTTCATTGGTAATTAACCACCAGAGAAGTTAAAAAAATATATATTTTAAGAATTAACTATATAATAATTTTTTATCTATCTTTACTAAAAGGTAGGTATTTTTATTGCTTTATCTATTTTAATTGTTTTTATTCTTTATGGAATAGGAATTATTTTATCATAAAATCAAATTTTTAGCATATCTCAACAAATTAAATAAATACCTTATATCTATTTCTGTAGCCCAGAAGAGGAAGAACCGTTGTCGAGAAAAATGAATTTAAAGTTCTTTTTTAAAGTTATCTCCTAATTACTCAGTTATTTTTAAACCTATGATTGTAATATTTGGTATACGAATACCTAATTTTGAACTTAGTAAAATAGAAAAAGGTAGAACATAAAAAGTTGAGTAATTCATAGAATATATATCTCAAATATGCCAATTTTGGACTTAATATAGTTTGCTTCTAGGGTACAGATATGTAAAATATAAATATATATTTAAAAATAAGTGATTTTTAACTATAAAAACTTTTAAAAATGTATACCTACACACTAAATCTCATATACAGGGTGTCCCAGAAATAAGTGCAAGTATTTTAGCTGGTAATATACTTCAACCTCAGAAACACGCCTATGAGGTTTTTTTCGCGAAGAAAAATTTTTGAAAATTCGGAATTTTTTGAAAATTTTAGCAAAAAATCATTTTTTTGGAAAAAAGAGAAAATATGTTTCTTTTATCGAGATCTACCACCCCTTAAAACACTTGCACTTATTTCTGGGACACCCTGTATAGTGCGCTGTGGTTTCAAAAATTAAATATTAAATTGATTTTTTTTATTTTTTGAAAATAATTTTGAGCAACATTTACAAATTTTTATATACGCAACGTCCGTCTCCAAGATTTGTCCGTTATTCAACAGTATGTTCAAACATCCCCCAGTTGAATTCAATCAATTCAAAATTATGTTAGAAAAAATTAACGTGTAAGGAAGCAAAATAATACTAAAATAGATATAAAATTTTCTGGGAAAGCGGAGGTTTTCGGCATTTTTCTTTGGAAGATATTCTTTCATGGTAATCTCCGTAAAAAATTACAGTTTTTCAGTAGAATAAAAAATATATTTTAGTTTTTATTATATATTTTTTAAGTTCTTATAGTTTTTTTACTAAAAAAATTGCTATAGATACTTTTTTAAGTTTAAAAAACTTTTTTTGTGTAAAAATTACATGATGCGATAGTATTATTTTGGAAAAATATTTTTTTTGCCTCCCCATCTGCGTCCATCATTGGTTGACTCAAAATCTAGTCACTTTAAGAAAAAAATAAAATGAATTAAAACTAACTTACCGTTTTCTGCATTCGATGTTCTTCTAACACAGCACGTAAAAAACATTTTTATCTCACTTTTATACGCTTCACTTAATTTAAGTAAAAATAACTTAATTAAAAGTGCACAAAATGCGAGTTCCACTTCACGAAGTTCAACACGCGTAGGCAAACTAAAAAATGAAGATTAGATACTCGCGCCAATCGCTTATATCTTTATTTTTTCCCGCTAGCGCTCTTATCTCCGTTAACCCGAAGCGGAGAGTTCACCAAAATCATTTTACAAGGCGTCGATGATATGAATATCAATTAGATAAAATACTTACATGAATTCGTCGATCAAGGTGATCATATCCGCTGTAAACCCACTCAAATCTTCTTTCGGGAACGATGGACACTAAAAACGACGGTTTCTACGCTCGAAACAATTTACAAAGAAGAAGATTTCTCTCTTTTCTTCTTTTTCGAAATTCGGGCCATATAGTTCAGGAGTTCTGGCGCTGGAACATAAAAACAGCGGTTTTTATTGCCAAATTAAAAATATGAACAGCTCTGATAAACAGCAAGAGACGTTAACTCAAAATTTATTTTTAAATATCTAGAATTGTATTTTTAAAATCTGGTTTTATTTTTTCATACTATTGACTATCTCTTAGAATCTTTTTTCCGCAATGTTTTAACGTCAATTACTCTATTAAAGAAGCTTGAAGAAAAAGGAACAAAGATATTTTATTCTTATACATATATAATTTATTTTATAAGTTAAATAATGGCTTAAACACTAAACAAGCTCAGTTTTTGTTACATGTATTTTTTCTCTTTCCGAACCTTTTAAAAGTTGATTTTTCTCTTTTAATAACTCATTATGTTGTTTCTGCAATAATAATTCTTCTCTTCTCGTTTCTTTGTAGAAATTAAGCTTTTCTTTTAGTAAGTTCAGTTTTTCTCTCCTCAATTTTAAGACGTTTATGTAAAATTCCTTTTTGTCTCTCCTCATTTGTTCTAATACGTGATTAGTATCAGGATTTTTCTTTACAACCTTATTTTTGTTATTAACCGGTTTCAAATCTGGCATTTTCGATGGAGTAGGCATAAAAGGTATTGTTAGCAAACGTACCTGCTTAATTTCAGGGGTCGTCGTTGGGTTGGGTGTTTTTTTCGGACTAGAATTCATATTAATGTTTCTTTTCCTAACTATTTCTTCCATTTCCTTCTTATATTCGAAATATCTGTATCTCCTGCCGAACTTTCCATTAAGATACTTTTTATAGTTTCTTTCTACGACTCTCCACCGATTTTCGCAATGACATTCAGTGAAATTCACATCGAATTGAGTATTTATCTCCACTGCAATTTTTTCCCACATCTTTTTCATTGATTTTATTTGAAATGAACCGACTTGGTCTCTGTATTTTTTGTATAAATCGAGTAGGCCTAGTGTTAAAACGTGGTTCCACATTGGGGTTGCGGGACTGGATTGTTTTATTAAAGGGTCATAAAGTATAGGTTCACTAGTTTCTTCTATATCTAATAAATCATCACATATTGGATCATAATATATAGTTATATTATAAATAACTTTTGTTGTACCTACCTGTCATATTTGAAATAAAATTGATTACAAATATAAAACGCACCACTGTATATTTCCCTTAAAACAGGAAATCGTCAAAAAGTAAAAAAGTTAAAATAAATGGATATTGGCAAAAACAAAATGGTTGGCAAACTGTTCAAAATGGTTCAAAACAGCATATGCGCATTTGGAACGGTTTGAAAACTGTCAGCATATATTAATATGCCATATACATACAGATAACATAAAAGTACATAATTTTATTACCTTCTCAATTGAGCAGACAACACGGGGTTTCAAAATTAGAATAAAATAATTACTGTTTTTCAATATAATTTCCTTTATATTAAAAAAAATACTTAGACATTTTAAATTTTCAAACAAGTACACCACAGAAAACATAAAATATGCTTCTGCCATAGATAACATAGATATATTGACTAATACCATAGACTCCTAATGCTTATACTACTTTCTGCATATGCCAAGAAAAAAACGAAAAGAAGAAGACAATCAAGTTGTCAAATTTGACGCTTTCCCTTCGAATCAAAACAAAACGGGTTTATAGTTTATATTCCTGTTTTTAGGCAATTTAATGTAAATATTAAGCCAGTTTAAATGTATAATTGTACAAAATGAACGACCAGAAACCCCCTTCGCTCACCCAATACTTCGGAACAGAAGACAGCGTTGAAAACGATATCGAAAAAGATATGATCGAAGCTATGTCCAAGATAGAAAACATAAAATTGACCCCAGAAATAGAAACTAACGAAAAGGGGGAGCCGGAGGTATGCAGAATATTCGCCGAGACGCCCGTAGAGCCTAAAGATCCTACGGCTGCCTTTTTTGATTTGATTGGAAATGATCATATGAAAGCCAGTTCGGATAGTGCAGTTATTACGCAGTTGGGGCTCAGTAGTAAGAGCGAGGTAAGTTTTGAAACACTGAAAATGATGCCTAATGATTATTTTCCTAATTTACGTAATTTATACATGGTGTTTAGGTACATAAATTATATATTTGTACAATTAAAAGTCTCTATTTTACAATATAAAGTTAGCTAACATACATCAGATTAGATGTAGATAATCTTAACATGTTTTAAAAGTATAAAGTTAAGAAAATATGATTGTTAAGCTAAAATAACTTTCATGGGAAGTATTATATGGTCATTTTTGTATAATCACTTGTTTTTCCAAGAAAACTGAAAAAAATCAATACAAAGCACAGCGGTATAATGTGTTTATGAATATTTAAAACTAAAATAAGGGGTAATTCAGTTACTGCAAAGGTCATTAACCGTTAAAAATGAAAGGAAAAGTAGTGTTAAGTAAACATTTCCATTAACTGGACCTGTTTTGTAAGAGGTCAATGACTGCACCTATGCTAAATTCTTCAAACACTGTGCTCAAATAAACAAAAATACAAATAAAACACCTTTTTGTATCCACTAATTACCCTGTCACAATACAAAAGAGTTCAGATAATAAATTACCTTCATTTTCGTAATAATACAACTGAATCAATCAATAGCTTTCCTAAAATTGGACTTCCCCTATTGATTTTATAATTATTAGATTCTTTGTGCGTATCGAAATTGTATTATTGGTTTTATCAATTATTTATACGCCAAAGCAAGGGAGGACGCAGGTAGTTTTTTTCTAGTTAATTCTAGAATCAAATATCAGTGTGAAAGTTTGCTTGTGATATACTGTCTCGTATTTCTTGATTTGTTTTCATTTTTTAATGAATTTAAAATGAAAAAGTGTCTTTGTAGACATGCTAGGTGCAAAGTAGGTGTTAGTTGTTTAAGTAATTTGTTTTATGGACTTTTTTGTTGTTGTAGGAGTCTTATATACCCAGGGTTACATCCAGCGCTGAGACTGATAGAAGAAGGGATGCCTGGATTCCTATTGAAAGAACTCGACAAGCGCTTATAGCGAATGCTACTGCTCCTTCAGGAACTTATATTCCCGATCCGGACATGCTTACAACTCCAGGGGTAAGCATTGCTTTTAAAAAAATAAAATAAAAAAAGAAACATTTTAAATTATACATACATATATGTGGTGACTCAGGGCTGTAAATGCTTTTTCAATACATTTTTTCATAGACTTACAGGGTGGTTCAAATATATTTTTACACTAATGTAGTTTTTTAAATGGAATACGTATTTTTTTCTGATTCAGTGGATTTGCCATATAAATTCAATTGATTTCTGCAAAACGTAATCTGCAATAGCTTACCTTATATACAGGGTGATCCTGATTGAGTTTCTATTAGAATAATAATAAATAATCTTTATCTCAAATTAAAATTTATAAAAATTATTAAAAATACAAGAAATGGTCTTGAAATCAAAACTTTACTAGGTATTTACTATAGTTGGCCTGTACTTACTATGCTATAAACATCGTATCTTGAATCTTACAGGGTGTTCGAAATTTTACAACAAACTTTTTTCTAAAATATAATATTTTTTATCCGTTTTTTATGGAACACCCTGTATATTATTTTTTTTGTTAAATGGAGAATTAAAAAATGAACATTTTTTGTATTTAAAGCATTTTAAAATTTTGAACGGTTTCGCAGATATTCGCGGTTTTATATTACACATGGCTTTTTCAACCGTAATTTTTTATCAAAGCCACGTAATGATTTCTGTCTGGTATTTTACCATCTGCATCTAACAAAAAAATAATATATAGGGTGTTTCGTTTAAAAAAAAAACGAAGAAAAATTATTTTATGTTTTAGAAAGTTTGGCATAGAATTTTGAACACCCTGTGTGATTTAAGATTACGATATTTATAATAAAGTAAGTATAGGGTATAGGTACCTAGCATATTTTTTTATATTTTATATTTTTATTTTTTTTTCAAAAAGGCTGAAAATATTTATTTTTTTCATATACTTATTTACATATATCTCTGAAATTATAAAAACAAGTTTAATAATGTTATAGGACTATGTAAAGTGATTAAGAAGAAAGCCAAAAATGCAATAATATATAAAGGGTTCCATTTAATAAAAAAATATTCCCAATCCACTCACGCTTTTTTGAGCCATCCTGTGGAAGTTAAAATATTTTCCTACAATATATATAGTATGCAGTAAAGGCGGTATTTACAGATGCCTGTCGCACTGTTACAGAGTCCTGTATATGGAAAACACATGCAATCTAAAATTGATGTTACAGATATATCTATAATCATGTCTTTAAATATTTTAAAAAGAATTGATAGACAAAAAAATCGATTTATTTTAAATACAGAGTCTTTTATATTAAAACTCGTGTGAAATAAAGTATTATTATTATAAAAAAATAGGTCTTATTGGAAGAAGAGTTGGGTGACGCTATTGGCGAAGCTGTAGGCGTTTCTTTAGGCGAAGCTGAAGCTGCCCAGAGAAGAAGTCTGTGTGCCAGTGACGTCACGCAAGATGAAAGAGGGTTAAGGGAGTTAGTTCAAGCAGGTTCCTATAGGTTAGAATTAAAAAAAGTATATACAGGGTGGTCCGAACTGTATTCCGGAAACTTCGGCAGCATATTCTGCAGATAAATATAAGTAAAAAAAAATCGTATAAATGTATGTCCTAAAATGCTTAGTTTCGGAGATACAGGGTGTAAAATTTCATTTTTATTTAGATTTTTTTCAAATAATTTATGAAGTAACGTCAATATTTCGATGAAAATTGGTGTCTGGGAGTTTTTTGACATGAGAAATTTGATTTTGATGTCAATATGACTCCTACTTGTAGGGGGCCCCACCTACATATTTTTTACTGGTTTGAAGAGTAATAACTTTTCGTCCGCACCTGTATAAAACTACTGAGTAAAAAAATATACATTTACGACGTCTTTTACGTAAAAAAGATCTCTTGGTAAAAATCGCTACGACTAATGGTTCTCGAGATATTTGGAATCGAAATTATTAATACCTGTCGTCATTTACATAAATTAAACATATTGACTAAAAAGTTAGACTGACATCACAAATTTAAAATGTTTTTGTGCCAAAAGTTTAACAGATAGTGTTTTATCATCATCTTTTCGCAGAAAAATTTATGATTAACTTAAAAAATATATATATATTTCTCAAATTTGTTATTTCAGTCAAATAACTATCTACTCACGTGTTTATTTTTAGTCAATAATGACTATTTCCATTCTAAATATCTTGAGAACGGTTGATCGTAGCGATTTTTACCTAGAGACATTTTTTACATAAAAAGTCACGAAGATGTATATTTTTTCCCTCAGTAGTTTTATACAGGTACGGACGAAAAGTTATTACTCTTCAAAACAGTTAAAACACGTGTAGGTGGCGCCCCCTACAAATAGGAGTGATATTGACATCAAAATCAAATTTCTCATGTCAAAAAACTCCCAGACACCAATTTTCATCTATATAATGACGGTACTTTAGAAATTATTTGGAAAAAATCGAAATAAAAATGAAACTTCTACACCCTGTATCTCCGAAACTAAGCGTTTTAGAACATACATTTATACGAACTTTTTTACTTATTTTTATCTGTCGAAGTTTCCGGAATACAGTTCGGACCACCCTGTATATTGTATTTAAAGGATTAAAAAAAACTTGTTTTATAGGGCTGCCATCAATCTCACTGCCAGATTATTGCAAATTTACGGTCAAGGAAGGGGTAGAGTTGGTAGGTTTCTTTCTTTTTAAAGAACTGCCGTTTGATCGAATGAAAACGGTGTCACGTTAGCCGTAGTTATAATATAAAAAAAATGCGTGTCAAATACTCGTCAGCGAGTAATGGCAGTAGTAGTAGTAGTTATGTAAATAGCTTTAGTAAAGCTATTATTTCGACGCTTACCATAATGCCGTTTTTTTTTCATTACACGGTAGATATTTTTTTACGGTTTAATTTAAAGTAATAATTGATTGTAGGCCACATAACGAAGCATTCTCCCCATTCACTACAACTGTGGTTCACTAGAATAGCGATCTTAGTGAAAACGAAAGCTTATAACATTGCTCAAGCCGAGGCTGAACCTTTTGGTCAATTAGAAAAACCCGATGTTTTTTACCAGGTAATTTTTATTATACTCGTTTAATATACACAGTGGCTCTCTAAAGTAGGTATGTGCAAGCATGTAAATTGAAATTAAAAAAAATTATAAAAGCCATATTTTTCAAGACATTTTTAGAAACTTTCTGCCCTGCAATGTTGCCATCTCCTACGTTACCGATATTCTGCATATTATCTGTTTTTAAAATATACAGGGTGGCGCACCTCATTCGCCTCGGTTAATTATACGAAAACGGAAAGATGTAGAAACAAAATATTTTATGGGTATATGCGGGGAGGGAATGTGCACAATTTAAAACTATTTTGAAATGTACAGGGTGTTTCAGAACTAAGATCCATACCAAAGTTATATTTTTTTCTTATGGAACACCCGGTATTTTATTTCATTTAAGGGTTAAATATGTTTAAAATCTTTGGTTTTTGAGATATTTAAGAATATTTAAAAATGCTAGCTACATTAGAATAGACTATTAACACCCTGTACATTGCTTTTCTCAGAACTAATTCCTGTTCTGAATTTTAAGCCAGAGAAATAAAGTTTATTGAAAAATTTAATTCCTTCGTTTAATGTATACAGGGGTATCAAAAATTGCTGGTCTATTTTAAATATTTATTTTACATAAAAACTTCTTTATTTCAAATACAACACCCTGTATTTTTTCAAATAAATCGAAGCAGATTCAAATGTTCAAACTTTCAAACTATATATTAGGGTTTCCTATACCTATCTAGCTCAGATTTTAAATAAAAAGCGATTTTTCAATAAAATGGCAATCAAGATGGCTGGTGTCGCTATGGCAATTTTCTGGTTAAAGCTAGTAACTCTTTTCAAAATCGACATTAGTTTGTGGACATTATTATTTAGATTTGTAACAGTTTACTTAAATTTAGCTACAATAGTTTAATACTTATTAAACTGCATTATTCATTATTTTATCAAGAAAAATAAAGCAGTATCTGCTGGCGGAACGAATGGATATGTTACTAGTGATTTTATTTTGTGAGGAAAATTGTTTCTTCGCCTCAAGAGCCTATGCTCAAAGATATCCAAATAGGAATCTTCGTAATAAGCGTTCCTTGAAAAAATACTTTTCTATTTCGCACAGCTATGGCAGTGTGGTTTATAAAAAACCTATTAGGCAGAAACCTGTCGTTGGAAGTAAAAAAAATGAATTTGCCGTAATTGGCTCTTTTATAGAAAATCGATATATCTACGAATCATCATAAAATAAATGAGAGAACTACTTCTTCGTATTTCTTGAAAGAATAATAAATACATATTTAATAAAAATTATTTATTAAACTACTATAGGCAAATTAAATAAAAGTAAACTGCTATACAATTAAATCAAGTCCATAAACTAATTTCGATTTTGAAAATAGCTACTAACTGTCACTAGAAACTTGACATCAGCCATCTTGGTTCCCATTTTATTGAAAAATGGCTCTCTCAAAATCTTAGTTAGGTAGATATAGGAAACCCTTATATAATTTGAAAGAGCATTTAAATATGCTTCGATTTATTTAAAAAAATACAGGGTGTCGTACTTGAAATAACGAAGTTTTTATGTAAAATAAATATTTAAAATAGACCAGCAATTTTTGATACCCCTGTATACATTAAACAAAGCAATTAAATTTTTTAGTAAAGTTTATTTCTCTGGCTTACAAGTCAGCACAAGAATTAATTCTGAGAAAAGCAATGTACAGGGTGTTAATAATCTATTCTATTGTAGTATGCATTTTCAAATATCTTTAAATATCTGAAAAACCAAAGATTTTAAACATATTTAACCCTTATGATAAATACCTTTTTTTGGACCCAAGAATCCAAAAATGAAATAAAATACCGGGTGTTCCATAAGAAAAAATACAACTTTGGTATGGATCTTAGTTCTGAAACACCCTGTACATTTCAAAATAATTTTAAATTGTGCACATTGCCTTCCCACATATACTCATAAAATATTTCGTTTCTACATCTTTTCGTTTTCGTATAATCAACCGAGGCGAATGAGGTGCGTTACCCTGTATATTTATCCATATATCAGTGCAGTACAAAAGAGTGGATTGTTTTTTCTGTTATTTTTCATTTCACCAGGTATAACATGATATTGTATCTCTTTTAGTTTTATCCGGATATGTACGGTGGTAGATCTGGGTCTATGGCATCGTTTAGTTTTAGATTATTACTAGCGGAATTGCCCATGCATTGCGGGAAGCCTAAGGAATCGCTCACCAAGTTGTTCAGCATGCTTGCCACCATAAAAAAGATGCTGAGCAATTTAAGACAAGGTAAGTATTTTTTAGCCAACCATACCAACAGGTATGTAGGCTATTAAGATCGACAAAAAAACTTTTTTTAATTTCACTCAAAATGAGTTATGTATTTGGGTCATAAATGACGTAAATACAAAATATTTTCATGGTGTCTGTCTGTCCGTCTGTAACACGATAACTCAAAAACCGCTAAACCGATTTTAACCAAATTTGGCACAAAAATACTGTGGCACCCGAGAATCTGGCTATCAGTTTTTGGTGGGGGTGGGGGGTTGGTAAGGGGGTATGGGAGGGGGTTAAAAATTTAAAAAAATCCTGACTCCAAAATTACAGTAGCTAGCGAAACGCGGTTTTCAATTTAAGATTAGGAATAATATTTGCAACAAAATTTGTAATAACATCAAAATCAGTCAAAGTCGCAGTTTTTGAGATAAAAAAAAATTGGAAAAATTCCTTTACGTTGAAACTAAAAGAACTGCCTACCAACTTTTTATTAACATATTTTAGTATGGGCGGCTATACGTGCCTTCCGGCGCCAATTTTTTTAATTATAAACAAATTTACTTTTGCTTATACTTTTATGACAATTTTGCGAGACAAAGAGATTCCAAGTTGATAGATAGCTTTATCTAATCCAGTACTTTAAAAAATATTAATGTTACGTATAAAATTATTTAACAGGTCAAAACAATGCAAATAGTTATATTATTTGCTTTAGTTTTTTTAATTGGACCTATATTATTTATTTCCTTGAAATACATAAAAAAAGTCCTTCAAACCCTTGGAAGAATATAAATATTTAAATAATCTTTTTATATCGACTAAATAAATAAATAAATGTTTCCTAGGAAGAATTTTTAGGAACTATGAATAATTTATTTCTGAAACAGTCAAGGTTGTGATAAGACCTTGTGAGATTTATTTATATATATTTTCGGATAAATAATATTTTTATTTATTACCTTTAAGATATATCAGTTGAATAAAACCATTCCTTATAGAATTGACCACAAATTCAACGTTTGCCATCATCAAGACTGTTTTTCTTCGTACTCCACACTATTTTGTTGAAATTCGCGTAAATTATCACGAAACTTCAAAAAGAAAGTAAATTTAAATCGGTTCATTTGAACTACTAAGGATAAATTTGAACCTAAGCGTTTCCGCTTCAGTGCCCAATTACAAAAACAGCTACTTCATCATCTGTTTGAAGTATTCTCAGAATTGCTAGTTCGTAAAGTAAATATATAGAAGGTCTCAGTTGATCTCTGGTCTCAGTCATCTAAATTATGTCTATAAACATGTTACCACTTTGAATAATTATATATAATAAAAGAAATTTAGGCCTCGCTCAAATAATTTTTCTTATTGATGATTTTGTTGTAGGTTTGTGCGAAGATGGGAATCCTATGGAAATCGGAGAATCAGATAGAGCCGATTCTCTACGACTATGGAGCGGTAGAGAGGCTAGAGTGATGCACTCTATAATAAACTGCGCCATTTCTCTGAAAGATTACGAGTTGGCTATGGAATTATTGGGACAGCTTTGCGAAAGGTGAACCAAAAATCTAATAAATTAGTACAAAAATATAATAATTATTTTTCTGTATTTTTTTTTCATAGAGACGGGGCTCCTAAGCATTCCCTACTGTCCGCTTTAGGGAGGTTACATTTACAATTAGGAAATATTTCAGGTATGTATATTAAATGCGACATAATTGGGGTTTCAAAATGGTTCCTATGACGTCCTTTCTGTCTTTAATGTATAAACAGCGTTTTTTGTTTAATAAAAATGATTTTGTAGGTAGAATGAGTTGAAATAAAACGTTTTCTTTGCTATACAGGTGCTGAAGTTTGTTTTAATGAGGCAGCTCAATTGGCAGGCCCCACAGGAGTGAGGGAGTTGGTAGACAGAGGTCTTTTGGCCATTTCCCAGAACAATTTCGATGACGCTTACGTCTATTTCCAACAGGCCAGCAACATGGATCCGTCCAATATAATGGTAAGTCTTAACTGCTCCTACATTTCTATAAAAATTCTGGTGTAAATTACCTTCCTTGGTCTTTGAACTATAGACCATATAATAACTAGACACTTCATTTTTATAAAAAGCCTGTAACTAATATTAATAATGAATAATTTTTCTTAAGTCGCAACTATTAGAACGTTTTCTATAAAACTGCTACTGTAAACTTATCTCCCTAGGTCTAGAATCAACTAGACACTTTTTCCTGTCATTTTTTTAAATTTCATCTGTCAAAATCATCTCTTTTCTCGCTTGACAGACTTTTATACTCCACGATAACGTAACATATGTAATTTCCAGATTCTGAACAATATGGGTGTGTGCCTACTCTACGGGGGTCACCTCAAAGAGGCCATAGGAGTACTAGAATCGGCCATAGCCTCAAATCCTATTCACGCCCTTCATGAATCCTTAATTTTAAATTTGTGCTGTCTCTACGACATGGAATCGTCGAAGGGCATTATGAAGAAGTTTGCCTTGCTCAGACAGCTGTCGAAGTACAGCGCAGACGCACCAACAGCTATTTTAGAGAAACTATATGGATGATAGAGACGAATTTTTAGCTTTTTTCTTATTTAAAAATGACCGATAGTTTTCCAAATTTTCAGGCTTTCCGAATTTTGAACTTTCTAGGCACAGATTGAGGAATAACAGCTGACAAACCATAGAATAATAAAATTAAAGAGATATCAAGTCATTTATAATGGTTATGGCTTCCTACTCTAACTCATATACATATAAAAGAATATACTGCGTGTATCGCCTAAATTCTTGTCCCAATATTGAAGGATAGATATACGGTCTTGGACACATTATCTCTGTGGTCTGTATTTTAGTGCATGCGACAGAGATAAATATAAAAAACCCTTTGAATAAGAAGACTAAGGAAGGAGCATAATGCTATCCATGTATTCATGCATGGTGGGCGGAAAAAGGACTCTAGGGTGGGGATCCTTGACAGTTCTGTTTGACGATTCATTTGACACATTTGAATTTGATTTGAAATTTTGTGGATTTGTCAGTTTTTACGGAGCTTATTTTATGTTATTTATTATTTATTCTACTACTGATAGTTGTATAAAGGTAGTAAATCTAGATGGAAATTGTGGCAGAACTTAAATTAACAGTGACACTATCGCGATTTATCGAAAAAGACTCTAAAATAGTTGGTTGTGTAGCGTGCGGTAGATCTCTGCAAAAATCGAGTGAAATAATGGAACAACTTTTCGCTAGTAAGTGACTATATAATATACATACGTGTAGTAAACCGATCATTTATGAAATTCACTTAAATTGACTAATTACATATATTTTCTTGCATATTTGCTTTTATTTACTACTTGTCAAAGATTAGATGTCAAAGAATTTAGATACGTCAATTTGACTTACCTGCTTCAGTAGCGTATCGGAGGTTTGTGTTAATAAATAATTATTAAAACTTATCTATTTTTATTATAATAATATGTTTTTATAACAATTTTAATAACTACCAACATTTATTCACAACGAAAAATAAAAAAAAAATTATTGAGTCTACCCCACGTCTACCCTACATCATAGTTTTACATTTTTTAAATAAAATTAGAACGGCACTGATAGACCGGAATTTAAGTCGGCCATATTTGAGGCCCATCGCGGTGGACCTAAGATTTTTGATATGCTCCTTCCTTGGTCTTCTTATTCAAAGGGTTTATAATACAAACTATTATTATTTTGGTTAGTTCTATTGATACCTGCAGTTATTCTAGTAAAATCTGAATCACCCTGTATACTAAAGATAATCTATTACAGCTGTAGTAAAATGAGTAACTAATTGTGAAAAATAAAGTTCCAACCCTAAATGCCCAACGTTTTTTGTAAACGCCTACTGGACTGGAATATAAATGCATTTCCTCCATAAGTCTATTCTTGCGAGGTCAGAAGTTTTTTGCGCTTCCTCGATGCTGTGAGTATCTTTGATTGGGCAGTTCCAAATCCTGTTTGAAATTGACGTTTAGGACGTTGAAATAAAACCAGAGATATAGAGGGGAAAGTCGCTTCCATATCTCTTCCATACTTCAATACTGGAACATAAATCTTCTCATTGGTTATATGGGAAGGATGCAGTGTATTCTTTTATATGTATATGTCCTCTATGGTTAAAACTCATTTTATTCACAATTAAAACTATTAAATATTCTGTCAAATAGTGACAGATGTGGAGCAAGTCAAGACAATCATTTGACTATATTTTAGTAGTTAGATGTCATAGTCTGTCGAAATATAAAGAATTATTGTCGATTATAGTAATAAGTCCGCTATTATACAACACAAACTCTACTCTTCTATTCGCCTGTTAACACTGTGTTGGTAATAATTGTGATTCGACAACGAAATCAAGCTAAAAATACGTCAAAAATGATCGTATGGGGCAGCCTTTAGTTACTTTTTTAATGCTCTAAGATATAATGAAAACGACGTGATAAGAGGCGTAGAAATATCTGTATAGTTTGGACTTTCGCTGGTGTTCTTGACAGTTTTTTTACATAATTTCTAGGCCTAATGTGACGGCTTTTTTTAAGTATACTGTTACTGTCGGGTATTTTTATTTAAGAAAACAGCAAAAGAACGGGTTTAAATGTAAAAATTTCGGCACATTGTATTTTTTATCGCAATTATCGACAAAAACAATGTACAGGGTGGTTCAAAATTCCATTTTCTCGGTGTTTGAATCACCCTATATGTAGTATGATCAAAAAGAAAACTTTTTGATCATGTTGAACTTTTTTATTGTGGATTTGATCATTTTTGAGGCCTTTGAAGAAAATAATGTAACAATCACACATTCATGATGTGAATTAAAAAGTTTATAATTAATATTTTAAAATAATTGTGGAATGGATAATCTTGGAAGAGTTAATAATGAGTCAGTATAAATCAGATTCTACGAAAAAGTTTACTTTTAAAATAATTATTAGTTGTATTTATTGTTAATTATTTATTTTTTAATATAATGTATAGTCTACTTGACGTAAAAAAATGTGACTGCACTAGTCAATCTTGTTGTTCCGTATTTATTATTGCTAAATTCCATAAACTTTCTTCTCACATTTTACAAACTTTTAACTCTATTAGACTGATGTCTTCTATGTACCTACTCTGTATGATCCAAAAAAAAACTGCGTCAAAGACGGCTGGGGAAGGATAATCGGCGATAATTTTGTCGAGGTCAATCTCTAGACAAAAATTTACACTAATTATAGAGAGATTAAAAAGGATACAAGGTTTCCACATACAAATCTATTTCCAAAAAAAATATTTTTCTTAAATTTTAAGCTATACCATTGAAAAATCATTTTTACTCAATATAGTAATGAACTACAACCTTCTTTCTCAGTCCTTGACGCCGTTTTTCCGATCTTATGGTATATTGCTGTTTTAAAATATTTCTAACGCTTATATAAACTGTGTAATGCTCTTTGCTCTACTGTGGCAATAATAAATCTTATTTATTTATTTATTAAAAGTTGTTTTATTTATTTTCCTTAACTATACCTACTAAAATCGATCTTATGTTAGGGAGCTTCTATACTTTTTTCTCTGAGTCGTTAATAACATCGACATGAAGGACATTAAATAGAAAAAAAAACACTTCGATTGTTCCATCATATAGTTTATATTTTTTTATTTTGGTGACAATTATAATACAGCGTAGACAAGCCAAAAACTACGTTTGAAGAGTACAAAATCTATCAAATAAATAATACTCTACACGAAAATTCGTCAAGTTTATCCTGTTTTGGTTTATATTGCAATCGATCCACTTGGTATGAAGTTACTGAATATGCAACCAACAATACAGCAAGTCCTAACGTATGACACTTAAGGGTACATTCTGTCTATGTTGCATATCTTGTTACGTCATCCATAATAGGCTCAATTACTTCAATATACTCATAAGACCATATTCAGTACGTTACTAATTTAAAACAGTTTTGAATTGTAATAGGAAAAAGTATTTAACTTAAAAATTGCACAAAATAAATAACTTAGTCTTTTTCATAAAATATCTTTGTCGGGCAAGAATGAAAAATAAACATACAAGTAATACTCCTTTGAGGTTAGTAAAGACTTTGAGCATCTGCCAAAAGAGTGAGACGGCAACAACATGCAGAATGCTATAAACAAGGATGAATTTCGGCAGCATATTCTGCAGATAAAAATAAGAAAAAAGTTCGTGTAAATGTATGTCCTAAAATGCTTAGTTTCTCCCAGAATTCGAAAATCAATATATAGGGTGTTTCTATTACAAAAAACACAACTTTGATATGGCATTTTTTAGTAGAACTCTATATTTTTAAAAATTACTCTGAATTAACCTACATATGCTCAGAAAATTTTATTTCAATAAAATTTTCATTCCAAATGCCGAATTTAGTTCAGAAATTATAAGGAAAAAATTCAAATAAAATGAAACTTCTACACCCTGTATCTCCGAAACTAAGCATTTTAGGACATACATTTATACGAACTTTTTTACTTCTTTTTATCTGCAGAATATGCTGCCGAAGTTTCCGGAATACAGTTCGGACCACCAAGTGTACTAGCCTTTATAGGAGCATTACTCATATGACAATGAATCATTATATTTTTGTCCTAAAAATACAAACTTGTCAGTCAGTTATCAATAATAATTGTTTACGCCGTCCTTTATCCATACAAAAAATATATTTGGATAAATTTTAAACAGCACACCATTCCATCTTCCATCTAGCCTGGCCAACGTGGTCGTAAAGGGCCTGAGTCACTAAAATGACGTCACAAAAGTATATCTAATTATTACCTATGTACTATATTTACTTGATTACTAATATCTATCGGATTCTTTTTTCAATAAATACATGTAAAATAGACAAGTACGAAGCCTACTAATGTGACGTCACTGAGAATGACTTGTTAGGCCTGTACGTTCACGTAGGTCACGCTTCTAGTACATAGATTCTTTTTAAATAGTTTAATCTGTTTATTATAGTACTTGTTTATAAGTAAAAACGCCCGAGGAAGACTCCACAGGTCGCACAATTGTCCTAATAATATAATTTTATAAATCTAATTAAAAATATAATTAATCTCAATAAAAATAAGATCAAATGAAGTTGTTTTCGTCCAAACTAAGGAAATTTGTTGCTAATGCCTTGAAGCAATGAAAACAGAAGAAAAACATGGTCAAACTGAATTTAAATATATATTTTTTTTTTAAAAACCATTGATTTTACTTGTTTCAAACACATGTACAGCGTGAAGTGATAAAAAAAATGTCACACAAGTCATAGAAACAACGTTTAATCGAAGTTCTCTTGTGAATTTGTTAAATCTAAGTATCTAAAATAATTATTTTCCTGTTCAAAAACTATGTTTAAATTTTAGAATTTTGCCTCTTAAATGTCAAAAACTCGAGAAGTAAAGCTCAAACTAAAATGAAATTTCTAAGCCTACTATGACGTTTTTTTTTTCACTCTATCACGCCGTGCTTATTGGTTTACGTAAATGCACCTAACACATATACATATAAAAGAATATATTGCAAACATTGAAGGATAGATATTATATAATCGATACCAACTAAACTTTCAATTACGTCATAGATGGTGCGATTATTATCTATCTCTATCTTTTTAGAAGCTCTTTTAGTGCGAAGTGTACAAGATAGCTTAATAGTCGTAAAAAACTCATCGCAACTTTATAAAAATATTTTGAACTGGAAAGCGGTAGTAATGGCCCTTTATGTCCCTTAAGTGCTCTTAAGGAGGTGAGTTTTGTTGATGTAATTAATAACTGTTTATATATTTATAATTAATACATTTTTGTTTCCCAAAATATTTTTTTTAAAGAAAATATGCAAAACTCGACAACGCTGTGCCGGTCAAGCTTAATCACGTGACTAAAAGCTTACTTGGTATGATCTATAGTTTAGGTTTTATATATGAAAGGCGTGTACGTATATTCTTTTATATGTATGTATACGACCTAACATCACTTTAAAAATTACGAAATAAAATACTGCAATGCCTCTTTTCGTTAAATCTTAGATATAATTAAATATCTATACATCTATCCATATAATTTTTTATGTAGAATTCAAATAATCCACACTAAGCCTTTACTCAGAGTTGTTGCATTGTAGTTTTGGCATCCGATTTGAGGTTATGGTGCCTTCTTACCACAACTTACCCTGCACATAGATTCTTTAACGTGGTTATATAACAATGATAAAAGTGTGTGACTTGATTTATTTTAAATCTCTTTTAAATAAGTACCTTACTTAAAAAATAATTAAATTTGATTTCAGACACGGCTTATTCAGTATCCAGCCGCATCACTCGGTATATTTTCGAGAATTTGCGCATAACATTCTGCGCACATCTCCCTACACTGTCGAGTTACTATAGATTTTTGATATATTGTAAAATGAATCAGTAAAGTTTACAGGACAAAAAACTTATAATATTATGAACCCAGATTTCATTCCCATAAAAATATTTACTGTTCTTTTCCTAGTCTTATATAAATTAATTACCATTCAAATGTATGTTTGTTTTTGTGTATATAAGGAACTAAATTACCTTTAAGAATACAAAACTTAAAAAATATCTTTTTTCAAAGTAACCAAGCTGGAATGAATAAGCTGTGCCCAAGTGTTTTACAAGGAAAAAAGAGTTTAAAAACACCGATATATGTTTAAATTTATCGCTACTGCCATATATTAGTGGATAGAGTTGGCGTAGGCCCACCTGCAGGCGCCTGGGTAGCACCATTTAGTGACAAATTACCAAACTGTTGTTGCAACGCCATAGATTGATTATTGAAGAAAGCGTTGGGCATCTGCTGTAGGCCTAACTGATGTTGCTGTGAACTGACAAACTGTTGTTGTGGTTGTTGTTGTTGTTGTCCCAAGGACATTTGGGTGGTTCCCATGTTAAATGAGGATCCAAACTGGGGCTGACTCTGTCCATTTTGGAATGGAGTGGTACTTTGTGACGCAAACTGGTTTGGTAAAAATTGCGTATTTTGATTTGGTGGGTAAGTTGGCGCTTTATTCCAGTTCTGAAAGCCCGTCTGAGGTAAGTACTGGTTCTGTGACATTCCATTTTGAATGAAATTCTGCAATAAGGAAAATAGATGGCTCCAAAAATAGTTCGCAAATTCAGTTATAAAAAAAGGGGGCGCTCTAAACAATGCTATAAGTGTTAAGACCCTAAAGTACTACTACTTCTACTGGATCTGTGTCTATGAAAGGAATTTCAAGAATGCGGACACAATATTGGAGTATGATAAACAGCTATATATTTCATAGACCGCTACCTATACATACAGGTGTGGTAATGTCACATTTAGGCATATCAGTTACATGCATTGGAATGAAACGCCTATAAAAAGTCTAAGCTTAAACAGAGATGGACAACAACTTTCCCTTTTCCACTTCCACTACGACTCTTGAGTTAGATTAACTCCAATAAAAAATGTCTATACCTATGTGGCGGATTCATCTCTCCAAAATCTCTTCAAAAACCGTTGATTTTAACAGAACGTCAACGGTTTTTGTAGACGTATCTGTTTTAAAAAACTAAAGTGTTCTCGAATAGTTGAATTTAAATATTTTAAATAGTTTTTTTCTTTATTCTTTGTATTTTTTTTGCTTCCGACGACGGAAAGAGACTTTCCGAAACGTTAAGCATTTTTTTGTTCATTAGGCAAATTTGTGTATCATCTGTAAACCTAACTTCTGATTAGTAGTTTCCGTTTGGGATTAACGCAGAAGTGTTTACAAAAAAAACTATTTTATTTTGTAGATTTTCTTGCAGTGGCGAAATATCCATAGAGGATTTTTTGGAGAGAACTCCAATAAGACAACAAATTTTGCAAATGGCGCCGCCTCCCATCCACCTGCCCTTTATCTCCATTAATATTATCTCTTCCCGCGCTTCTCCGCGTCGCGCCAGCGCGTCTGTCCTTCGCAGAGTTGCCAGGTCTACCGATTTCGTCTGTAAGCTACCGATCTACCGATTTAAACAAAAACCTAACGACATGCGTCTTTAGCCTTTGCAGTAGAAGCACTTTTTTGGATTAAAAATTAAGCGACTATCGCGTCGTAAACCGTATAATTTAATCTAAATAAGTATTATTGTTTATTAAATTTTGTTTAGAAATTATAGTTCATCGTTCTGTCCGGTCGCAAAATTACAGAGACATTCCCAAAAATCCTTATTATCCCTGATTATGCGCTGCATTGCCGGCATTTCCGAAGATGATATCTTTAGAAAATATTTTGCCTGAAAATATTTGCACAGTGCAGTCGTTATCGGTAAAAATAGTTTATTATTTTTTTATTGATTTTCTTCTTAATTTTTAAATTTTTATAAAGATTATGTCTCATTTACGTGGAAAAACGTCGAAAAAAATAAAAATCATTTGGCATTTTTGAATTTTCGTATAGGCAAGCAATGTTATTTAAAATTTTGACTTTTATATCAAAATTCAATCTTTCTAAAACCTTAAGATAAAAAAAAATAACTTACCTGTTGATTGGGTTGCTGAGGGAAGCCTCCAAACGCCGGAAATCCTCCAGTACCACCCTGAAAAGGTACCTGATTTGTACCACCCTGAAAAGAACCTTGCATAGGGTTCTGGAACTGTCCAAAATTGTTCGGAATGGTTGGTCCGCTACCATACAACGCCAAAATACTGTCCTTATCTAACTTAACTTTCTCCTTCTCAGCGGGCAACGTCTGGTTAAAAAAGTTCTCCTCTTCGGTCTTTGCGCTGTCTTTTGGTTCCTCTTTTTTCGCTTGTTCGGTATTTGTGGCGGTTACAGTCGAGTTTGGCGTTTGTACCGGTGGTACCGCCGATATAAAGTTACTAAAGCTATCCTCGCCGTTTTGTAAACCAAGGAGATCGCTGTTAGTGGTGTGTTTCTGTTTCTCTTTAGTTTCCGGAGTGTTTGACGATGATCTTGACGGTTTAGGGCTAGGATTTGTTGGTTTTGGTAACTGAGGAACCTAGAAAATTTACATTAACAATATACAGGGTGTCCTAGAAATAAGTGCGAGTTTTTTAACTAAAGTAATCGCAAAACAATTTCCGATGCACGTGTTCAACTTTGAGTGACACAGATTGTGATGGATTCATAAGATGAATCTTAATGTAAAATTGGGAAACAATATATTTATTATATAATTTTTTAAAGATTTTTACGTTTTATTTTTAATTTAACTAATAATAATACTAACACTCACAGTAGCAATATTTAAATTTAATGCAGCAGGTACTCCTTACAAATCGAAATAAGTAGAAATAACTTTGAAAGTGGTATAAGGTGCTTATCAATCGTACAATCAAAAGTACAATTTTTAAAAAAGACTATGAAAATCGGCAATAAACGAGAATAACTCCCAAAGATTCAACAACTTGGATCCCAAAGGTTCACATTTTTAAATTTCTACTAAAAATACTTAATTTAATTTACTGTGTATTTTATAATCATTGTAAATTACTATTAAGTATAATGCAGCGTCTACTATATTTCATATATCTTTTTTACAGTTTAGTAAACTGAAAAAACGAAACTAAATAAAGTAAAATCTCCACTTCATTGGAGATTTTACTCAAAACAGTAGACCTCTAACAAAACTAAAAAAAAAAAATAGGCAAATGTAAGATAAGCCTGTAAAAATATTTTACTATTCAAATAAAAATACTGAAAAAAAAAGACATATCTATCACTGTCAAGAATTTTCTCATTGGACAGACTATAACAATTGATAAAAATTTAACTATTTCTTACACTTACTTCTACATTAGCCAGAGGTTTCTTCTCCAAAATAGTCTTCTTCTTCCTTTTCTGCTTCTCCATCTCCTCCTCGATCTCTTTCTCCCAGTTTACTTTTGGCAATGGCGGAGCTACCCATTCCCTAGCAATATATTTCTTGTGCTCATTACTTTGCTCTGATAAACGACTCCAAACTAGTATCATTTTGAGGCCTAGAAATAAGATAACCCTTGTAACCCTTTGAAAAAATCATTAAAATATAACGTACCTTCGAAAATTATCAGGTAAATTTGCTTCATACACAGCCCTCGCTCTGGAATTACCCATTTGTTGCAAGGAAACCACCTGTTCGGGTGTCCAAGAGTCCAGATTCACAGACTTCACTTTGGAGATGTGCACTCCCAAGTTTCTGTGAATACCCGCACATCTTATACAGAGAAAAACGCCGATATTCCATGAAGCCCATCGTGGCCCTTAAAAATAACGTTATATCTTTATGAGTATTAAATTTTATCACAAGCCATAAAAATTATTACACTACCATAATCTGTTTAGAATAAATCTTTTATAACTGAGTATTTAACATTAATCAATCAAGAATCATTTAACAAGATCAACAGAGAATGTTTATTTGTAATATTTGGCCTTCTCCATCTATAAATATATGAAAAAACTGTTTATATTTGATGTAATTGGTAAAGAATTGAAAGTTAATATAAGTTTATTAAATGTAGGCGTTTGGATGGTTGAATATATCTGTTTCATGTTAAGAGATAATACTTTTTTGAGTACCATGGAGTCAGCCTCATGTAAATCGAAAATAATGAGATAAAAATCATGCGGATTGACTTATACGATTAAAAATCGAAGAACAACCGATCAGATAAAGATTTTAATAAAAAAATATGACGTGGAGCGTGCGAAATCCTCCTCAAAAACACATCGATTCAAAAGTACAATACCTACCTTTGGAGTCGCAATCCACACAATACTTATTGTCTTCGTCGCGAAGCAAACCATTTAACACCGACTGGCACTTATCCTGGAGCTGCTTCACCTTATCCTTGTCCCCTTTGAGACTCATTTTCCCCGTAATTTATTTAAACAATGGGAGAAAAAACTATTTGTAAATGACAACAAAGGGTGGTTGCCATTTACAAACGTCAAACTGAGGCGATACGTCACGAATGACAGTGGTGGTGACAGGTCGATTTTTCTTCTTTTGGTCAAGGTCGATGCGGTTTGGTTTGCTGGGTGTTGTTGATTCCGTAAACGGATTATGAATTAAAATAGTGTCCGGATCTGTCAATGGAAGATATAGTACAATTTTTTAAAGTTCCTCAATATGGCCGACCTAGTTACGAAAATTGGTAATTTTTTTAATGAAGTTTTTTTTTTTTTTTAATAACTGTTTATATATTGACAATTAACATTTTTCAGGATTGTCAGGTTGATTGGGTTATTAGGTGATTTGCATAAAACATAGATTATTAGTATTTAATAAGAATAAGGTATTTTTTCATAAAATATCTTTGTCGGGCAAGAATGAAAAATAAACATACAAGTAATACTCCTTTGAGGTTAGTAAAGACTTTGAGCATCTGCCAAAAGAGTGAGACGGCAACAACATGCAGAATGCTATAAACAAGGATGAATTTCGGCAGCATATTCTGCAGATAAAAATAAGAAAAAAGTTCCTGTAAATGTATGTCCTAAAATGCTTAGTTTCGGAGATACAGAGGGTGTAGAAGTTTCATTTTTATTTCGATTTTTTTCCAAATAATTTCTGAAGTAACGTCAATATTTGGATGAAAATTAGGGGAAGTTTTTTGACATGAGCAATTTGATTTTGTTGTCAATATGACTCCTGCTTGCAGAAGGCGCCACCTACATATTTTTAACTGGTTTAAAGAGTAATAACTTTTAAAACATATGTAGGTGGCGCCCCCTACAAATGGGACTCATATTGACATCAAAATCAAATTTGTCATGTCAAAAAACTCCCAGACACAGATTTTCATCCTAATATTGACGTTACTTCAGAAATTATTTGGAAAAAAATGAAATAAAAATGAAACTTCTACACCCTGTATCTCGGAAACTAAGCATTTTAGGACATACATTTATACAAACCTTTTTACTTATTTTCCTTTGCAGAATATGCTGCCGAAGTTTCCGGAATAAAGTTCGGACCACCAAGTGTACTAGCCTTTATAGGAGCATTACTCATATGACAATGAATCATTATATTTTTGTCCTAAAAATACAAACTTGTCAGTCAGTTATCAATAATAATTGTTTACGCCGTCCTTTATCCATAGAAAAAATATATTTGGATAATTTTAAACAGCACACCATTCCATCTTCCATCTAGCCTGGCCAACGTGGTCGTAAAGAGCCTGAGTCACTAAAATGACGTCACAAAAGTACATCTAATTATTACCTATGTACTATATTTACTTGATTACTAATATCTATCGGATTTTTCTCAATAAATACATGTAAAATAGACAAGTACGAAGCCTACTAATGTGACGTCACTGAGACTGACTTGTTAGGCCTGTACGTTCACGTAGGTCACGCTTCTAGTACATAGATTCTTTTTAAATAGTTTAATCTGTTTATTATAGTACTTGTTTATAAGTAAAAACGCCCGAGGAAGACTCCGCAGGTCGCACAATTGTCCTAATAATATAATTTTATAAATCTAATTAAAAATATAATTAATCTCAATAAAAATAAGATCAAATGAAGTTGTTTTCGTCCAAACTAAGGAAATTTGTTGCTAATGCCTTGAAGCAATGAAAACAGAAGAAAAACATGGTCAAACTGAATTTAAATATATATAATTTTTTTTAAAAACCATTGATTTTACTTGTTTCAAACACATGTACAGCGTGAATTGATAAAAAAAATGTCACAGAAGTCATAGAAACAACGTTTAATCGAAGTTCTTGTGAATTTCTTAAATCTTCAATCTATAGTATCTAAAATAATTATTTTACTGTTTAAAAACTATATTTAAATTTTAGAATGTTGCCTCTTAAATGTCAAAAACTCGAGCAGTAAAGCTCAAACTAAAATGAAATTTCTAAGCCTACTATGACGTTTTTTTTTCACTCTATCACGCCGTGCTTATCGGTTTACGTAAATGCACCTAACACATATACATATAAAAGAATATATTGCAAACATTGAAGGATAGATATTATATAATCGATACCAACTAAACTTTCAATTACGTCATCGATGGTGCGATTATTATCTATCTCTATCTTTTTAGAACCTCTTTTAGTGCGAAGTGTACAAGATAATTAATAGTCGTAAAAAACTCATCGCAACTTTATAAAAATATTTTGAATTGGAAAGCGGTATTAATGGCCCTTTATGTCCCTTAAGTGCTCTTAAGGAGGTGAGCTTTGTTGATGTAGTTAATAACTGTTTATATATTTATAATTAATACATTTTTGTTTCCTAAAATATTTTTTTTAAAGAAAATATGCAAAACTCGACAACGCTGTGCCGGTCAAGCTTAATCACGTGACTAAAAGCTTACTTGGTATGATCTATAGTTTAGGTTTTATATATGAAAGGCATGTACGTATATTCTTTTATATGTATGTATACGACCTAACATCACTTTAAAAATTACGAAATAAAATACTGCAATGCCTCTTTTCGTTAAATCTTAGATATAATTAAATATCCATACATCTATCCATATAATTTTTTATGTAAAATTCAAATAATCCACACTAAGCCTTTACTCAGAGTTGTTGCATTGTAGTTTTGGCATCCGATTTGAGGTTATGGTGCCTTCTTACCACAACTTACCCTGCACATAGATTCTTTAACGTGGTTATATAACAATGATAAAAGTGTGTGACTTGATTTATTTTAAATCTCTTTTAAATAAGTACCTTACTTAAAAAATAATTAAATTTGATTTCAGACACGGCTTATTCAGTATCCAGCTCATCACTCGGTATATTTTCGAGAATTTGCGCATAACATTCTGCGCATATCTCCTACACTGTCGAGTTACTATAGATTTTTGATATATTGTAAAATGAATCAGTAAAGTTTACAGGACAAAAACTTATAATATTATGAACCCAGATTTCATTCCCATAAAAATATTTACTGTTCTTTTCCTAGTCTTATATAAATTAATTACCATTCAAATGTATGTTTGTTTTTGTGTATATAAGGAACTAAATTACCTTTAAGAATACAAAACTTAAAAATATCTTTTTCAAAGTAACCAAGCTGGAATGAATAAGCTGTGCCCAAGTGTTTTACAAGGAAAAAGACTTTAAAAACACCGATATATGTTTAAATTTATCGCTACTGCCATATATTAGTGGATAGAGTTGGCGTAGGCCCACCTGCAGGCGCCTGGGTAGCACCATTTAGTGACAAATTACCAAACTGTTGTTGCAACGCCATAGATTGATTATTGAAGAAAGCGTTGGGCATCTGCTGTAGGCCTAACTGATGTTGCTGTGAACTTACAAACTGTTGTTGTGGTTGTTGTTGTTGTCCCAAGGACATTTGGGTGGTTCCCATGTTAAATGAGGATCCAAACTGGGGCTGACTCTGTCCATTTTGGAATGGAGTGGTACTTTGTGACGCAAACTGGTTTGGTAAAAATTGCGTATTTTGATTTGGTGGGTAAGTTGGCGCTTTATTCCAGTTTTGAAAGCCCGTCTGAGGTAAGTACTGGTTCTGTGACATTCCATTTTGAATGAAATTCTGCAATAAGGAAAATAGATGGCTCCAAAAATAGTTCGCAAATTCAGTTATAAAAAAGGGGGCGCTCTAAACAATGCTATAAGTGTTAAGACCCTAAAGTACTACTACTTCTACTGGATCTGTGTCTATGAAAAGAATTTCAAGAATGCGGACACAATATTGGAGTATGATAAACAGCTATATATTTCATAGACCGCTACCTATACATACAGGTGTGGTAATGTCACATTTAGGCATATCAGTTACATGCATTGGAATGAAACGCCTATAAAAAGTCTAAGCTTAAACAGAGATGGACAACAACTTTCCCTTTTCCACTTCCACTACGACTTTTGAGTTAGATTAACTCCAATAAAAAATGTCTATACCTATGTGGCGGATTCATCTCTCCAAAATCTCTACAAAAACCGTTGATTTTAACAGAACGTCAACGGTTTTTGTAGACGTATCTGTTTTAAAAAACTAAAGTGTTCTCGAATAGTGGAATTTAAATATTTTAAATAGTTTTTTTCTTTATTCTTTGTATTTTTTTTGCTTCCGACGACGGAAAGAGATAAACTTTCCGAAACGTTAAGCATTTTTTTGTTCGTTAGGCAAATTTGTATATCATCTGTAAACCTAACTTCTGACAAGTAGTTTCCGTTTGGGATTAACGCACAAGTGTTTACAAAAAAAAATATTTTATTTTGTAGATTTTCTTGCAGTGGCGAAATATCCATAGAGGATTTTTTGGAGAGAACTCCAATAAGACAACAAATTTTGCAAATGGCGCCGCCTCCCATCCAGCTGCCCTTTATCTCCATTAATATTATCCCTTCCCGCGCTTTACCAGCGCTTCCAGCGCGTCAGTCCTTCGCAGAGTTGCCAGGTCTACCGATTTCGTCTGTAAGCTACCGATCTACCGATTTAAACAAAAACCTAACGATATGCGTCTTTAACCTTTACAGTAGAAGCACTTTTAAAAATCAGGCACATTTGGATTAAAAATTAAGCGACTATCGCGTCGTAAACCGTATAATTTAATCTAAATAAATTTTATTGTTTATTAAATTTTGTTTAGAAATTATAGTTCATCGTTCTGTCCGGTCGCAAAATTACAGAGACATTCCCAAAAATCCTTATTATCCCTGATTACGCGCTGCATTGCCGGCATTTGCGAAGATGATATCTTTAGAAAATATTTTGCCTGAAAATATTTGCACAGTGCAGTTATCGGTAAAAATAGTTTATTATTTTTTTATTGTTTTTCTTCTTAATTTTCTCATCTCATTTACGTGGAAAAACGTCGAAGAAAATAAAAATCATTTGGTATTTTTGATTTTTGAATCATTTGGATATTGAATTTTCGTATAGGCAAGTAATGTTATTTAAAATTTTGACTTTTATATCAAACTTCAATCTTTCTAAAACCTTAAGATAAAAAAAAATAACTTACCTGTTGATTGGGTTGCTGAGGGAAGCCTCCAAACGCCGGAAATCCTCCAGTACCACCCTGAAACGGTACCTGATTTGTACCACCCTGAAAAGAACCTTGCATAGGGTTCTGGAACTGTCCAAAATTGTTCGGAATGGTTGGTCCGCTACCATACAACGCCAAAATACTGTCCTTATCCAACTTAACTTTCTCCTTCTCAGCGGGCAACGTCTGGTTAAAAAAGTTCTCCTCTTCGGTCTTTGCGCTGTCTTTTGGTTCCTCTTTTTTCGCTTGTTCGGTATTTGTGGCGGTTACAGTCGAGTTTGACGTTTGCACCGGGGGTACCGCCGATATAAAGTTACTAAAGCTATCCTCGCCGTTTTGTAAACCAAGGAGATCGCTGTTGGTGGTGTGTTTCTGTTTCTCTTTAGTTTCTGGAGTGTTTGACGATGATCTTGACGGTTTGGGGCTAGGGTTTGTTGGTTTTGGTAACTGAGGAACCTAGAAAATTTACATTAACAATATACAGGGTGTCCTAGAAATAAGTGCGAGTTTTTTAACTAAAGTAATCGCAAAACAATTTCCGATACACGTGTTCAACTTTGAGTGACACAGATTGTGATGGATTCATAAGATGAATCTTAATGTAAAATTGGGAAACAATATATTTATTATATAATTTTTTAAAGATTTTTACGTTTTATTTTTAATTTAACTAATAATAATACTAACACTCACAGTAGCAATATTTAAATTTAATGCAGCAGGTACTCCTTACAAATCGAAATAAGTAGAAATAACTTTGAAAGTGGTATAAGGTGCTTATCAATCAAACTTACTTCTCTGACTACAGTCAAGGGTAATAAAAAAAACTTTAATATCACGTTTTCGTTTAAAATAGTTTATCAGGAAAGCTACAAGCTCTTTGCTTCAACTGTTTAAATGTTTCAGCATATTTTCAACACACAATTTCAAGATATACAATACAAAAACTCGAAAATTTAGTTGTAAAAAAAAACTGTTTGTGCTTAAAAGTACAATTTTTAAAAAAGACTATAAAAATCGGCAATAAACGAGAATAACTCCCAAAGATTCAACAACTTGGATCCCAAAGATTCACATTTTTAAATTTCTACTAAAAATACTTAATTTAATTCACTGTGTATTTTATAATCATTGTAAATTACTATTAAGTATAATGCAGCGTCTACTATATTTCATATATCTTTTTTACAGTTTAGTAAACTGAAAAAACGAAACTAAATAATGAAAAAATATAGCAACTTTTCAACAGTTAAGAATCAGCGCCCTCTATTAGATATGTAAATAGTCCACTTCATTGGAGATTTTACTCAAAACAGTAGACCTCTAACAAAACTAAAAAAAAAAATAGGCAAATGTAAGATAAGCCTGTAAAAATATTTTACTATTCAAATAAAAATACTGATAAAAAAAGACATATCTATCACTGTCAAGAATTTTCTCATTGGACAGACTATAACAATTGATAAAAATTTAAATATTTCTTACACTTACTTCTACATTAGCCAGAGGTTTCTTCTCCAAAATAGTCTTCTTCTTCCTTTTCTGCTTCTCCATCTCCTCCTCGATCTCTTTCTCCCAGTTTACTTTTGGCAATGGCGGAGCTACCCATTCCCTAGCAATATATTTCTTGTGCTCGTACTTTGCTCTGATAAACGACTCCAAACTAGTATCATTTTGAGGCCTAGAAATAAGATAACCCTTGTAACCCTTTGAAAAAATCATTAAAATATAATGTACCTTCGAAAATTATCAGGTAAATTTGCTTCATACACAGCCCTCGCTCTGGAATTACCCATTTGTTGCAAGGAAACCACCTGTTCGGGTGTCCAAGAGTCCAGATTCACGGACTTCACTTTGGAGATGTGCACTCCCAAGTTTCTGTGAATACCCGCACATCTTATACAGAGAAAAACGCCGATATTCCATGAAGCCCATCGTGGCCCTTAAAAATAACGTTATATCTTTATGAGTATTAAATTTTATCACAAGCCATAAAAATTATTAGGTATTAATCTGTTTAGAATAAATCTTTTATAACTGAGTATTTAACATTAATCAATCAAGAATCATTTAATAAGATCAACAGAGAATGTTTATTTGTAATATTTGGCCTTCTCCATCTATAAATATATGAAAAAACTGTTTATATTTGATGTAATTGGTAAAGAATTGAAAGTTAATATAAGTTTATTAAATGTAGGCGTTTGGATGGTTGAATATATCTGTTTCATGTTAAGAGATAATACTTTTTGAGTACCATGGAGTCAGCCTCATGTAAATCGAAAATAATGAGATAAAAATCATGCGGATTGACTTATACGATTAAAAATCGAAGAACAACCGATCAGATAAAGATTTTAATAAAAAATATGACGTGGAGCGTGCGAAATCCTCCTCAAAAACACATCGATTCAAAAGTACAATACCTACCTTTGGAGTCGCAATCCACACAATACTTATTGTCTTCGTCGCGAAGCAAACCATTTAACACCGACTGGCACTTATCCTGGAGCTGCTTCACCTTATCCTTGTCCCCTTTGAGACTCATTTTCCCCGTAATTTATTTAAACAATGGGAGAAAAAGCTATTTGTAAATGACAACAAAGGGTGGTTGCCATTTACAAACGTCAAACTGAGGCGATACGTCACGAATGACAGTGGTGGTGACAGGTCGATTTTTCTTCTTTTGGTCAAGGTCGATGCGGTTTTCTTTTTTGGTTTGCTGGAGTGTTTATTGGTCCGCTAAACGGATATGAATTAAATAAATTAATTGTCCGGATCTGTAAATGGAAGATATAGCTCTTACTACCGTTGAACATATTTCAACTCTGTAGGAAATAAAAGTCATAAAGAAATATAGGTAGAAAATAAAGTCTTATATGTTAAAACGACATATAAAACGACTTTATTTTCTATGTAAAGTTATATAGGGAATGTCATCGATCGTCATTTCGCCGCCAACTAGACGCCGTTTTTTTGGATCATACCTTTGATCAATGACTAAAAGAATCCAACAATTCAAGGACAAATAATACCCGAGAGCAAATTGTGACGATGTCACCAAACAGTGCCGTAGCACATATTTTTCTTAACCTAGCTGTTTGAAGCAATATTTATATTTTTTGATAATTGTTTTGACTACGCCTATGGTTTTTATCATCCTTTTAATTTATTACGAAAAAAACGTATTAAAATGTTAACAAAAGGTACAAAACTAGTATCGACGTATAGCACATATCAAGCACATATAGATGTTAATTGAAATTGAAGAATAATTATCGAATTCAATAAGAAAACGCTAAAAAGTTGGAGTGGGCTGTTTATTTACCTATGAAACGTAACTCCTGGCTCTTTCTTATCGCTGCTGCTTTTACACTTGAAAGCTGAACAACTAATCACTATTGTAATAAAGTTTATACAAAGTTTACTACACACAAACTATTAAAAATCGCTAAAATTGTCGCTGGTGACCAAATGATGACTCATTGTTTGCCACCAAAAAAAAGGTCTCTAAGGTCACAAATTCTGCTGCAGCCCGTATAGGGGCGTTACATGTCCTTATATTCTCTAGTCGCCTTTGATCATACGGTATTTGAAGAAACTATATACAAAAACTGGACGACTATTTTATTTTTATTTGTCCGTTCAGCGGACGTTCAGACACTTCGAATAATTCCCGTGTATTTGAGACGCGACGTTGCCAAAACTACCACATTTTCGTTTTGTTTAATTAATTTTCAGGATTTTCTGGAGAAAAATTAGAAAACCTCCTACTAAAAAATTACACTAATCATTAATTAGATCTCAAATTATGGATAGACATAACTTGATTAAATTATAAGCAATTTATTTCTATTTTTAAGATTTTTATCACAATTTTTATTTGGAAAGACATAAATCGGCCAACTAGATTGATTATTTTTAAAAAAATAATTTTCTGATTCTGAAATTAAATTCAGAAACTGTTGCAAAAAATAAAGATCAATGAAAACTTCATTTTTACGTTTATTTATTTCACATCTATGTCTTCTTTTTAAAGGAACACACTCGTAACAGTCAAATATAACAATACCGTAACTAATTTTAATAAATAACGCCTGTGTAGGTTTCTAAACTAGCTTCTATTTTCAAAGGGGCCCTCCGTTGTTTATCACAGCACACTCTTCCTCGCTAAGAGGGGCTCTTCTCCACCGTGCTGGTATTTGAAAGTCCCAAATAGCTTCAGCCGAGCTGCCTTGAGTCTTAGAACCTGCTTTTGCTGAACTCTGAGCGCTCTAAAATTACTTTTTATACTTAAATATCATTACTAACATAATAAAGTGTTATTACCTGAGTCCCTGAACCGCTAGGTACATTTCTGTGGGGCCCATATCGAAATTTAATCAACCGATGCCCTAGTTTAGAGGTTAGAGACAAATTCCTGCTCAAAATAGGGGAATTCATGGCCCCTTCTTTTCTGATATGTTAAATTTCAAACTGAAATCCAAGAGAAGAGTTCAGTTTTGCGAAATTTTTATGCGATAAATAGGTTTTCTTACGAAATATGCCGATTTGTTTTCGAATGTTACGTCACTCAACCGAATTTCGAGGGGTTGTCAAAAAATTCTTGTCAAAATCAGCTGATGGAACATAAAATAAAGTGTAATAAACACATTTATTGGATTGAAATTGTGTATTTTGATTGAAATTTATATGCTTTTTATAGATTAAAGAGTATTTTGGCTTAAAAAAAATAAAATAAGTATACAAAAGTATTTCGAAATTAAATATTTTGGTTTAAATACTATGAAATTGAAACGTTCTACAAGTCTTCGGTAGTATAGTGGTCAGTATCCCCGCCTGTCACGCGGGAGACCCGGGTTCGATTCCCGGCCGGAGAGTAACTTTTTTATATATTTTTTTTATTAAAAAACACCGTTTTGTATAATTAAAACTATTAGCTATCAAAACAAAACAGTAAAATGGTAATAATCTGCATTGTTTCATTGTTTTCTTCGTAATTACCGAGATGATCGATGTATTAAAAGTAATTACATCCATACTAATTAAAATTAAGATACTATTATTATTGTACCATTTGTACCACCTTGGTTAAGTACCACTTTATAAGCAGATGCATCGATTTGTGTTGTGTCAGATTCGCATGAACCTTCGTTTTGAGTCAAACATAAAAAAAACAGTTTTGTTTAAAAAATAACAAAAGAGAAAAAAATATGTTTCTGAACATGTCATGTAAGGTAAGCACTTCTTTAAAATGTTATTTTTTTAGTTGTTTTTTCTCCATCAATATAGAATTATTGAATTTATATTTTTCTTGTCATTATTTTTTTATTACCATCCATACAATACTTATTTATTTGATAATTAAAAATGGAAATATATACAGGGCGTCAAAATTAATAATTTGTTATCCATTATCTTGATTATTTAATTAAGAATGTATCACAATTTTTTAAATCTTCATGCCAAAATATATGTAAATTGAAAATAAATAGAGAATTAAATGGGACGCCCTGTATATTCTTATTTACCGCCTTTTGTATCAGTGTAAGATAAGGCAAATAGATTTATTTTTACCTGACAAATTTTTATTTATGCTAAAAATCTGAACATATTTTTAGAAATACACTGTATAATATATTATAATTTTATTTTTGATGATATTTAAATTTTTAAAAGTTATGCATATGTAATATGTTTATTAGTCTCCTTGATATTTTTGAATTTTATGAATATTTCATAAGAATAAATTCATAAAAATATCATTTTTTAAGAGAAAAAAAAACTATTTAAACTTTTTTACTTTCAAAAATTCCAAAAAATCCATAAAGCTCTCTAGTTAGAGCTATTAGTTTTTTTTCCATACCTAGATGAGCGAAAAAACCGCGTCAAGTTACCTTAGAAATGACGAGCGATGATATTCAGTGTCATATATAATTAAAAAAAGCAAGAAATTACCTATAATCAGTTTACTAAAAATATTAAACATAGTTATCTAGAGATATACAGAGGCTATAGATCGGAGATTTTTTGCACATCATTGTTTCTCTATAAGATATAAGATCTATTGATTAAAAATATTTTCAATATGGCGGCACTTCCGAAAATACCGGAAGTTGAAAGCAACTTTCTTATTTTAAATGGGAACCCCCATTTTTTATTACATATTTAAATTCTCTATGAAATTTTATGAATTTTTATATCAAACACTCTATATCTAACAATAACCGTTTTTGAGAAAAAAAAATATTTAAAATTTTTGGAGGAAAAAAACTGCCTCTCAAAAAAAATTGTATATAGCCTAAGCATCAAATTTAGTGATTACCACAGCCACTGTGACATAATATGTACGTGGTATCGATCTGTTTCAGACATCAAATTGTTCGAAAGTCATAAAAATTATGTATATAGTACATAGACAGCTGTAGCTGTCATGGAATTGAGCGATTAATAAATTATCATAAATCATTTTTTTTCAAATGGAAACCCGGTAATTGTATTTCCGGAAGTGCCGCCATATTGAAAATATTTTTAATCGATATAGTAATCGATAGATCTCATTGTGAAACAATGATGTGCAACAAATCTCCGATCTAGATATTGTAGTTCTCTGGAAACTTTTAATGCACGCTCAGCCTGGGACACCCTGTATATGTATAATAAAGTTTCAAACATAATGTAATATATACGCCTTCTATGACGCTGTTTTCACGCACTCAACCAGAGTATAGGTAAAATATGATCGAAAAAACGGCGTCAGCAATAGCAATGAAATGAAGACCGCTGTCTCATCGATCGTCATTTCCAAGCCAACTAGACGCTGTTTTTTTTCGATCATACGGTATTTTTATATACTTAGGGAATATATATCCTGTTTTTCAGTATTAGAATAAATTATAATAAATATATACTAAGTAAAAAAAATTGTACATAATTAAATTAATTTCCTGTATAAAAAAATCTTTTAAGTCACGAGTTCCTTTTGATGTTAAACGTATATACCTGTAATCTATAATTACCACCTTTTATAGCATTAGCATTCAGAATCATGATTTTTTATACGTTATTCTCTTTAAGGATATATGTATTTTGTATTTCCTGTTTCTATCTTTTTTTGTCTTCATAATAGTTTAAATAAATGCAAAAAACAGACTTTTATAGCAATTCGAACTTAGTAAAAGCAGAGAGCTTGAATGAAATATGTACATACTTTTCTCTTTTAAGGGTGGCCTCATCGTAGCTACGCCTATGGGGGAAGAAAGTAGAGACAAATCTCCTCAAACGTTTTTTTTTTAATTACAGATCACCCTTGCCACGCTTCTGGCAACCACTATATTATTCTCTTCATTTGAGAATACTTCAGCTCAAAAATTTACCATAGAGGAACCGTCCACATACGAAGCCAGATCATCCCCTAGCAACTATCAGTTCGCCAGACAATCCTTGGGATACGATAATTTTCAAAAACTCCCCAGGAACAGCAACAGCGTTGCCGGCTCGTCCAAAAAATACGCCTGGGAACTGTACCAAGACAACGCGCAACATCAAGATATTTACAATTTCTAATATATTATTTATATTTTTAAAGTACATACACATAAATAAAAGTCTAAAAAACATAACTGTTGTCTCTGTTTTCTCTCTGTAAACATTTTAAAATTAGCACTTTTTAGTTTACAGTTATAAGAAACGCATTTACTGTGCTAGAAATTGCATTTGAGTTAGATTTCTTGATGTATTAACATCTTACTAAGTAGTTTTCTATAAATAACTAGCTAAAATGTTGGTAAGTATTTTTATTAATTAAATTAAGCATTCCTAAATTAATATAATTATTAATTTCAGAATTATATTTTATTACTCACAATTTTTCTTTTTCTGGTTACAAATAACGTTAAAAGCGACTCAATAGGAAATAATAATGACGTTAATACAACTATATGCCCGGAAAAATTGAAGAAACAACAAAATCCCAGAGCAAAAAGACAAGTTTACAGTTATTCCGCTTTAGCGGACTTGATATCGAGCTCCAGCAAACCAAGTTTGGCAACATCGACCAGTAACTATGCTAATAACTATCAAATTCCAAATAATTATCAAATTACTGCGAATTCCGGTGTAAAATCTGATCCAGTAAGGTCAAGTTCATCGAATTTGGGCAGTAGTTACGTAAAATCTTATCAACAACCAAAAAATCCGGCTATTTCATATCAAAACAGCTACCAAAATTCAAATAATCAGTATTTAACGCGCCATTATCCGAACGGCCAAGCGTACCAACAGTATTACCAGCAAAATCCCCAGATTCAAAATAATTTTTATCGGAAAACGTACGAGAACGGTGCGAAATCGTACGGAGGAATTAGAAATGAAAATGTGTATTCGAGAAATAAGGTAGCCAATAGAAGACAATTTCAAAATGCACCGGTATCTACAGCAAGACCAACTAGAAAGAATACGATCAAAAGAAAATTTAGGCCTATGCCCGTTTTTGCCTAATGTAGTTTTCAGCTTTTGTTACTGTTATTTTATAGATTTTAAGTTATTTATTTGTTTCTTAACTTGTTAACGTATTTATTTTTTTATCTATTTAATTATAATAAAGGCTTTGATAAAGGTCATGTTATTTTATTTATTTGTTTTGGTTTTCCAGTTTTAAATTTTAATATGGCGCCATCTTTTTATAGGAGTCAGAGATATAGAGGTATCCACAACTTCAGGCTGTAGTTTCTGCAATCGATATATTTAAAAAATCGATATATCGTTGTCATCCCTAACTTATGTCAATGGTGAATGGATTTGTCAACTCTATTTTTATCACAAGTCCTTTAATTTTCTAGTCAGTGTTTTTTATATATTTTTTCTATTTTCACGAACATTTAAAGTGCGAATTGGGTTATTTTGTAGTAAACAAGAGGCAAAGGAAGTTGCCCGAAACTCGCTGTTAATGTATTTAAGCAGTTCTCACTCAGGTAATCCCAATCTAAAAAAAACTCCTTCGGGATAGTTTCTAAAGGATTGTGCTGATACAGTGCGTTAATTTAATGCTAAACGTTAGCCTTATTGGCTAATTTTTCTTGTAGAGACTTGCACAGACGAGGGACACATTGGCTGAATTGTTTTTAGAAAGCCGGACTACACAATGGGAGCGTATCTAGATAAACCAATCTTAGATAAATATGAAGACAGCGGAGAAGCAAACGGTTTGAGGTATCTATCTCTATATCTGTCCCTTATTATTGTCTTTGTTCTCTTCCTGAATAACCAGTGTTAATATAATTTAACTGATTTATATACAGGGTGGCCCCATAGTGTGTGTACCTTATCACAAGTGGGTTAAAGGGACAACAAGTATTAACATAAATAAAATAATAAAAAAAAGAAAGATATTCTGTGAAAAACAGTTTCTTGGTATTTTAGATATGGATTATCGAGTATGCAAGGTTGGAGGACGGAAATGGAAGATGCCCATACAATCAAAACTGATCTGGGCAGAAAAGGGTGGTCGTATTTTGCGATTTTTGATGGGCATTCGGGGAAAAAAGCCGCCGAACATTCTGCTGAGCATCTTCTTAGTACCATCATGTCCACAAACAAATTTAAGAGAGACATTAAAGCTGGTATAAGGGAAGGATTTTTAGGTAAGTATTGAGAGTAAAAGAAAAACAAATTGCCTTAAAATTATATCTACCTTATTTGCCACCAAACTTTAAATAAATAAACACATTTTTTAGTTTTATTTTAGTAATATTTTCATTATTACCTCATTGATATCTATGCACGGTGGCGTTTTTTTATGAGACAAAAAATGTAGTAAATACTATTTTACGAAAAAAAAAATCGATCGTCGGTGCAGTTGGAAAATATTTATACTAAAATTTATGTAGGGGTGGGGGTAGTTTTTACCCTTCCCGTACTTTTTCTTAATTTTTCTGAAAGTCAAAGTTCTGTTAAAGCTTTTAGCTAAACATAGGCACCACAATTTATTCAAATCGGAATAACGGTTCTTAAAATATCTTAAAAAATGTGTTTATTTTTTTAAACTTTGATGCCCTCTTACTGACAAACGAAGTACTTTTGTACAAAAGTATATTGTGTCCGATGAACTAGGAGTTCTATGTCCACGGAATGTTGGAACACCCTGTATATGATCTAGAGGAATTTCATACTAGTGATGGGAATACCGGTTCCACATGAGTCGCGTTACAATAGCGACCGTTCCGGAAAAATACCGCGACAAAATACCGCGTTTTTGTAATCAAGGTTCCAAATTCCTAAGTGTCGCGGTCCTCGCTTATGTAGTATTTCTGGCATTGGTACCTACTTTTATTTTATACTACCTACCTAGTCCCACAAACCACTGTCAAAAAAAAATCTTTATTGGTGACCGGTTTCGGCAATTCCAGCCATCAGACCTTAAAAATAGATATAAACAATAAAACTTATATAAATGTATAAAAGCAAATAAAATTTTCATTTTATTTTATTTGCTTTTACATTTCATCTTTCAAACAACGCTATTTTATACCATGCTTAGTACATACCAAAAATCGCTATTTCAAAAGTAACGTAGCGACGGGAGCACCAACGCCAATAGTAACCGACCCAATCGCTACAGGCGAAAACGAAACCCTAGAAGCGCTCCAGCGACTGCTGGAACGAAGTAAGCCGCCTCCGAGGTCGAGCGTCGATAGCCAGTTACAGCAGTTACTTCTGTTCGCGACAGGGAACTAAAACTCCTGGAGCGCGACGGCTGGAGCGAAGTAGGCCGCCGAGGTCGAGCGTCGATGCCCAGTTACAGCAGCTACGCGACAGGGAACTACAACTCTAGGAGCGCGACGGCTGGAGCGAACACGTCGCCATCGAGATCGCCCGACGCTACGTACAGTTCCAGTAACTATTGTAGGCGACCGACGAAATCGCGACGGCTGGAGCTAAACACTTCGCTATGCGGTTACTACGGTTCAAGCTAACTTCAAGAGTGATTATAAATAATTTATTTGCAAATTATAAATAATTTATAATTTTGTCGTCATTGTGATCGTCGTTCTTCAGTAACAGGTTCCCCATTCGTTGAGGAGCGCGACACGGCGTTACAAAAAAATACCGCTCCAAAATCGCGTTACTCAAATACCGACACATCACTATTTCATACTGCTTAGTGTTTACTAGGGCTGTAACGAGGCCTGTTTTTTAATTTGACCGAGTACCGAGTACTCGGCCTAAAGGTAATGGCCGAGTAACTAGTACTCGGCTGGCGAGTAGTGGAATTGTCGGGTTTTTAATAGTATTAACAGGTTATGCGACCTTTATCAATATATACTAATTATACTATACACCATAACATAATAATATTATATTTTATACATAATATAAATATATAATTTAACATTAAAGAAAGCTAGTTAAAATTCCCGAAATTCCTTGGCCTTAAACCAATGAACTTGTTTGTTTTGCCTATGATTGGCGAGCGGCTGGGATTCCCCGACTACAGACCAATGACCTGGTTTGTTTTGCTTATGGAGATGTTGTTTTGTTCTGTGGTTCCCCATGCAAACTGATATTTCTAATGTGCTGGATTCTGAATTGATTCTTTTAAGGTTCGGTGGCGACGTTGATTTTGTTTTAAGCAAAACTTATATGTGTATCTAATTTAAAAGTGAAAAATAATTCAAACAATTCATAATACCCTTTAAAGTTATATTAAAATGAGTGACATTGTTGACCTCTTTTAAATTATAAGTATTAAATTATTATTTCACTGTGTTTGTGTTATTACTTATACTTATTATTATTATTACTTTGCTAAAATACATTAATTAAAGTTACGAATGAATAACTTTTTGTTTATTTTATTATTTGCCACTGTGAGTCTCATTTCTTTCTGTTTTGGACATGCATAAATGGATTGTTTCTATTACTATACCGAGCACCGAGTACATATTACTCTGTTAAAATTCTGGCCGAGCACTGAACTACTCGGTACTCGGTGCAGCCCTAACATTTACGTATGTAATTTTCGATATATACATTCCAGAATTAGACAGGAACATGAGTAACTGCTTGGAATTAGAAGGAGTTCCTATGAAATCCGGCACCACCGCCGTGTGCGCTTTTGTCACGCCCGATGAAATCATCATTGCCAACTGCGGCGACTCTAGAGCTCTACTTTGCCGGCAGGGACAGCCTTTTTTCGGCACTCTGGACCACAAACCCTCCACGGTGAAGGAGCGTGAACGGATAGTGAACGCGGGAGGCCGCGTGATGATGCGCAGAGTGAACGGATGTCTGGCGGTGAGTGAGCTGAATTCATTTTCGCTGGGAGTCATATACGTAGCTAATATTCTTATGAGGCTATAGTGTGTCTAAGGACAAAATAATTTTCATTACACAGTAATTGAGAAAAATAACCATCTACATATATAAAACTGATAAAATCTAATTGGGTTATTTTATTAAAAAAAAAATTGTGTGTGCACTATGGGTACTATGTGCATATATTTGAAGTGAAATTTCTTTTTACTCACTTTACTTTTACTCTTTACTAAGTCTATATTTTTGACTTGAATCATGATGATCTGCCAGTTAAGTCAGTAAAATGACTTAAATCAATATAATTACCCTCAAGTCAAGATAATCAAGATAACCAGAATTCAATTTAAGTACCTTTTTAGGGTTCCGTACCCAAAGGGTAAAAACGGGAACCCTATTACTAAGATTTCGCTGTCCGTCCGTCCGTCTGTCACAAAGGTCTATCTTATGAACCGTGATAGCTAGACAGTTGAATTTTTTACAGATAATGTATCTATGTTGCCGCTATAAGAACAAATACTAAAAACAGAATTAAATAAATGTTTATAAATAAAAAAGTACTTTTACTAAACATTATCTTTTAAGTAAGAATTTTACATAGAATCTTTCAAGTCCTCGGTGGCCGCGTGGTTAAAGCATTAGGACTTTACGCTGCTATGACGTTGGAGCCGTAGTAAGGCAGGTTCGAATCCTAGTCAAGGCGATTTTTTTAATCGTTTTTTTTTAATATTTACATATTTTTACATATTTATTTTTGTTTTTCACATATTTATTATTGATTAATACAATTTTTAGTAATGTGTTTCTTCATTTTTTTTAAAATTACTTATACGCGTATTCAAAATTTCAGCTAAATCGGAAAAAAAGTTTATAATAATATAGTGTCTAATGTTGTATAGATAATGAATGGTACGGAACCCTTCGTGCGCGAGTCATTTTTTTATTTTTTTAGCATATAAAACAATTATTTTTATATATTATTAGAGGCCCAATCTATTGCTGCTGAATAAAAATCGATAATTTATTTCATGCGACATGAAAATACAACTTTTTTTGTATTTTTTTGAAACCCGCGCATTCACGTCAGATTTTTATATCTTTTGAATCATTTCCTGTTCTAAAAATTTTCGGCGCATATTTTAAATTTTAGGTTTTTGCTACAGCAGCGCCATCTTAAGTCTTCCCTTTTTTGACCATTTTTTAATGCACGAAGATATTTTTCCTTACCTCTACCACAGATTAGGTATCCTATAAGTATACAGATAAAAATCTTGTCCCTAATTCGTGGTACGAAAATTGTTTTTTATGACGATGTGCAAACGAGTCAAATTTCCTGTGCGCAAAAATAAACTCGCGTAAAATAACAATAAACAGCGTAATAGAGAGATATCGCTAAACCGAATAGCGTGCATGGACGTTAATAAGGCCAGGTGTTATTTCCTTTACGTGAGGTGGTATTAACTCTCTTCATTTATAGTTATCGGATCGGAAAGAATTCTGATCGCGTCGCGTCCGCTGTTTAAACTTAACCTAACTTTGAATTTAAAACTTTGAAATTGTTTTGTTTACTAGGTATTTTAAAACTAAAGGGCTAAAGTGCTTATTTCCAGTGCTTTATTGTTCAACGTCTGCCAGTTGGTTTAGGGCAACAAGCAACAAATTCTCTTAGAAGGACTAAGTCGTCATCTGCTGTAAACCTAAGACTCTTTATAGGTTCTTTAGTATTGGAAGAGGTGGAATCCATATTTTGGGCCATATTTATTTAATTAAAACTAATCCCAGCTACTTAAATATCAAATTACCTAATAAAACTAAAGCAATAATTCAAAACAATTCAAACATAACCTAAAATAAAAGATCTCGCCGGCCGGCTCCGGTTGTCAAATACCCGCACATGCCCATTTAAGCAATTTTTAAACATTGTCAGAGGTTATTTAGAAAGAGCGTTTGGTGTAATTGATCCGTAAATTACGTCAGGCGGTAACGTTATTAGCGGGTGTTGCGTTAAAAATTGACTCGCGCATATCGTAACCATGATAAGGTACGCGTAAATACTGGATGACGCTATTCGGTTTTCCGATATCTCTCTAATAACTGTGCCGGTCAGGCGCTGTGCACAATTTTAGAGGCCATAAGTGGGCGTGCTATGTGCGCAAACTAGTCACCTAACTAGTGCCCGATTCCGAAAATTCGAACCACGAAAAACAATAAAGAAAAAACAAAGATTATAATCTGTGCCTCTACACTCCATAGGTTCTACAAAGAATCGCACATTAGACAGACTGTCTCACCGATATAAAACTTGTCCTGTCCTCTGTTTAGGTTAGTCGGACGTTGGGCGACTTCGACTACAAGGACAGCTCCTGCGCCGACCAGTGCGAACAAGTAGTCTCCCCGGAGCCTGACGTCACCGGCCTGACCCGGGACCACGACCAGGACGAGTTCTTGGTGTTGGCCTGCGACGGCATCTGGGACCAGATGGACAACGCGGAGATGTGCGACTTCGTGCGCAGCAGGCTGCGCGTCACGGACGATCTGCGCGAAGTTGCCAAACAGGTGTTGGACACGTGTCTTTACAGGGTGAGTCAATAATTGATAAAATACATTACTAATTTGGAGAGAGCATATACTAAGGGCTGGCAAAGGTTAGTTTTGGGTCGAGATTTCCGTATGTAAGAACAGTACAGTGCGTTTATAATGTACTGAACAAAGAGAGAACAGTAAAAACGTTGCCAAACGTACGTCAGTTCTTAAAATTCTAGGAAAGGGTGTACATCTTGCGTCACGATTTAATTACGTCCCGTGATACTTTATTTGTTCATTTATTAACGAGTCGTTGTAATTTTCCCTATAGCTTGTAAATTTTTAAGTGCAAGTTAGAAACACTTGCACTTTTGATAGAAATAAGTGGAATTTAGCTGGTGTTCGACAGTGGTCGGACTATTAGAACTCTGAATTCAAAAATCGATATCTCGAAATCCATTAGAAATAATTAATTGTAGTTTTTTTTAAACTTTCTTAATATTTCTGCTATATTTTCTTCGCAGACAGTATGTGAAAATCTTTATAAATAAAAAAGTTACTTGATTGCTGAAAATTGCTATTCACTAAAAGTAAATGGATGGTTTTTTTTAAATTTATATGCCTGTTATGTGTTAAAAAGTTGAGTTTTTAAATTATCGCGATTACTGACGTTTTCTCGTTATAAAAAAAATGGACACCTTAACGACATCCTTATAATTCCATTTCAGATGCTCAGAAACATATCTAATAATTTTATCTAGTTATCTTTTCGAAAAAAAGTCTTTTAAAAATATGCGGTTTAGGCTGTTACACCAATAAGTCAATTTTTACAATCCGATATAATTTTGTTGATGGTCCAAAGTTGTTTTGCTTTCAGGGAAGCAAGGATAACATGTCCTTGATCTTAGTTGTGTTCCCGGCAGCCCCCAAGCCTTGTCCGGAAGCCATCTTGGCAGAAAAGCAGCTGGACGACAGGATAGAAGAATTAATGAAAGGTAGTATAAATTATTTATTTATTTACCGATGAAACATATCGCTAATGCAATTTGCGCAGGTCAAAACATAGGTTATACAGGGTGTCAATGAAATTTCACGATGTTTATAGTTTATATCTTCTTTACAGAAATAATGTCGAACAATGAGAAGGAAGAATTCAGATTTGAACATCTAATTGAGAGTCTTTTCAACTTGAACTTTGAAGAAAAGATCCCAGGTTTGCCGCCCGGAGGCGGACTTCATTCTAAGTGAGTTAAGCCAGCGATTTTCTTATATTTTCGATGATTTTACGATATATTTTCATTTTTAGACAATCCTACATAGCAGAACTGTATAGGAAACTCTATCCCGACAGCGCGGAGACTGTAAGTGTATTATGCTTGAATCTTATTTGTTATTATACATTAGTTATTATACACAGACAGTTTGTATTGAAATGAAATTTTGTGAGCATATGTAGGTTAATTCAGAGCACTTTTTAAAAATATAGAGAGTTCTACAGGGTGTCCCCAAAAAAAGTTACATATCAAAGTTGTGTTTTTTGTAATGCAACACCCTATATATTAATTGATTTTCGGATTCTGGGAGAAAAATAAAGGTGAGTTTTATAAGAGAAGTATATGACTAAAACGTAAGGTTTTTGATATATTTAACATTTTCTAGAAATAAAGAACAATTTTTAAATTACAATAAAAGCTATCTAAATTGGAATTTACCCGGTATAGCTTAATATGTAGTTAAATTAACTATTGTACTTTAAATCAAATTAACACTTGATCCAAAAAGTTATACAGGGTGAGAGAAAATTAATATTGAACATAGGTCACCTTTAAAAACATGTTACTCTTTTATTCTAAATGGAACACCCAGTATATTATTCCGATTTCAATGGAGAATTCATGTCTCTTCAAAATACTAATAAGGTTGCCTACCCCTCAAACAAAGATTTTCCTAGAAATTTTTATTTACGTGATTTGATCTGGGTAGATTGGTTAGGTTGTGATAGGTTGGCATATGTTGGCAAAATTTCATTTCGATATAAACTACCGTTCTCCTTGGAGATTCCGCGGCGTATGAGAGGCGCTACCCTGTATACCGCGTGTTACAATTTCAAATAAATCACATGCGAAAATGTCAAAAGTTGGCATATGCTATTATTATATGTCATTCTATTCAGAGTGTCATTTTCTATCGAATAATGTAACAAAATACCGACGATGTCATTTAAAAATCAAAAGTTGTAGTCATTTCCGGTGAAACAGGAAGCGACCGAAAACAATTGAATCAATCAATCCTAATTTATGTCATATTCTAACATACTAAATCGCAATTTTTTATCTGAAGAAATAAAAAAGTTATAGGCGGTGAGCTACTTTTGAGACGCACCTGGTATATTTGTCTTCATTTATATAATCTGTGAAACGAATAACTTTGAATTTGACAGTTCCCGCGGGCTTTTCTAGTGTAAATTCTATTAAGTCCCGTTCTCAGAACAACGTCGTGTCGCGGGCGACACAGTTTGACATTTCAAACAACCAATGGGAGCTGTACTAAATTTAAAATTGACAGCTGTTTGAATTTTGTACAAATCTCATTGGTTCTCTTGACGTGTCGCTGGCGACAGTCGCTGTTCTGAGAACGGGGCTTTAGGTTAGCAGCTTGCGGCCATGCTGGCGCAATGCCGTCTCTAATAGAACAGCCTCGGAGCGAGATTTATGACGTCACGCTAATAAATATATTATAGAATACATACTATAAATATGTTATAGAATACATGGAAAACATAATTATTTTTCGTATTTATGGTTTGTATTTTAAAAATGATATAGTTTACAGTTAATAAATACAATATATATACCTATTTATAGTAATAAATACTTTGGCAAATAAACTATGAACCATATAAATGCAGCATATGTTTTACAGTATGGCTGAAATCATATTCCATAGTCAATGTAGATAGTTTTAGTGTTAAGAATAATAATTTAAAAAAATATGTGGTCATCTTTTGACAAGTTTATATTAGTTTATTAATTGCAGCAAACATTATGTTGTGTGTGGGGTGAATATTTTATATGTAATTTTTTGGGTTATATTTGACACTATTTTTTTCATATGACACAACACTGATGGAGGCTATAATGTTAGCCGAAACGTTTTTTTTTAACCAAATAAAAATAATGAAAAACCAAATGAAAACTTGATCAGCGTTTTTCCCGAACCTAAATCCCAAGAAAATCAAAAATTTTAGAATAATTTTACATATAAAATGACAGGCGATCTTTATTTCATAGCCATCGCTGACGCCTTTTTTCTATGATATTGTATTATTTGCAAATATAATTTTTCGAACATTAATAACAATACATCATTATTAGTAGATATTGAATATTTTTTGTAAAAATAAGATCGATTTTCAAACCACAAAATTTAAAATATATTTTACATTTTACCCATTATCTTATGTACCTATTCATTATTTGTATATTGTAAAACATTTGCTGCATTTGTATGGTTCATAGTTTATTTGCCAAAGTATTTATTCCTATAAATAGGTATATTGTATTTATTAACTGTATATTATGTATATTTCATGTAAACTGTATCATTTTTAAAATACAAACAAAAAATACGAGGAATAATTATGTTTTCCATGTATTCTACAACATATTTATTAATACGTAGTATCTAACTAGCGTGACGTCATAAATCTCGTTCCGAGGCTGTTCTACTAGAGACGGCATTGGTCTGATATTTAGAAATATCAAAAGCTGATGACATTTTACTTTTGACAATTATGACATTTCGTGTTGATTTTTGCAAGAAGAGGAAGAACTGTCATTTGTTTTAATATTTTCCTTTTCTACTTCACGAAAGTAAAAAGAGTTACCTATCTGATTCGTTCAGGCACTCAATTTAAAGAATATCAGTAACTTTTTTGATAGAGGGATTTTATATTTGCCATGTTGGTAAAAAATAACGGTCAAAATTCAAAGTTATTCATTTTATAGACTATATATACTTTTTTACGTTGTTATTACAGATTACAAAGCCATACGTTTACAGCGTGGTGGAACGGAGTGACCAATGGGCAGATGATACAATTTAATTTCTATTATTTTTTATTCCCCAACGAACTGCATATGTGTATATATAAAAACTAAACTATATTTAGTTAGTTGTCCTATGTGAAAATAACAATATTTAATTAGATTATATTTAGGAAACCGAAATCTCCTGTAATTCTAGTTTTTGTAGTTTATTTATTTTCCTTTTTACTGTATTATACACAAAATTGTACAATAAAAACCTTGAAAATACTACAAAAACTGTCTATTTTCCAAATGCATTGTTCTGTATAATATATTAAATCTTAGTACTATATTTTTGATGAGAATCAGTGTTGTAAATAAAATTGTTCACAGAAACTAGTTATATTTTTACCTACTGAAAGTACCATACGATCGAAAAAAAAACGACGTCAAAGACGGCTGGGAAATTACAATCGATAATTTTGGCGAGGTCGATCCCTAGTCGTCATTTACTTGGCACTCTTCTTTATTTTTTAACGGCGCTTATTGTCAGTTGGCTTGAAAATATTTCCACTTATTTAAGAATCACCCTATAAAATAAGTCACTAGAAATCACCTAGAATTTCTAAATAAAATAATTTTTAATAGAGAAGCTTTTGTTTGTTCCTTCGTAGGTAGGCAACCAGTAAATCAGACTAATTACACAGCTGATTGTCATTTTCCTTTGTATTTCTAAGATTGTTGTGTAGTTTTGTAAATAATTTAGTGCAATATAGTTATAATTAAACACTTAACAGAAATCTCCAAACTTATTTAGGGATATAAGTATACGTTTTTTACGTTGGACTGGACAAACATACATATCCACGGTTGTTATTGTTATTATTGTGACGTTTGTGAGGTTATTACAAACTCAAAATCAAAATAACTGGATTGTTTGTGTTTATATTTTGATTGTTTATATCATGTACAATCATTGAAAAAGATCATTCTCTCTCGATGGCGACCAACGTTAGCTCTGAAGGTTCCACTACCAGTACAGCACCAAGAATATTTCATATATCATCCAGTTCGGATGGTTCTAACTTTCACAAGTGTCCCCTTTGTAAGAGTTTCAAGAAGTACTTTTGGTGCAAAGAATGTATTCGAAGCGGGGAAATAACCAGCAGTAGGAATGACGAGAGCTACCTCAATATTCGAAGAGCTTTGATTGAACTGGAAGAGAACAGGTGTAACATTGAACGAACCTGTTCGAAGCAGCTAGAAGGGAAACAACGACGTGATGCTCTGGTATTTATTCTACTTTTCTAAATATTCTGGGCTGGGTTATTTTCGGGGTTCATTAGGTGGCTTTGATAAAAATTTACTGTTGAAAGAGCCGTAAATTTGTAATATTATGCAAACCCCTTAAAAAAATTGAAAACTTTAAATACGGCAACTGTTTATTTTTTAATTCTGCATCTAACAAAAAAATAATATACAGGGTATTCCATTAAAAAAAACAAAGAAAATTTATCTTGATAATTAAGAAAGTTTGGCTTGGAATTTTGAACGCCCTGTATGATTTAAGATTACGAAATTTTTAGCAAAGTAAGTACAGACTAAGTAAAGTAAATACCTAGTATAGTTTTGGTTCTAGGACATTTCTCGTATTTTTAATAATATTTTTAAAAAAGACTGATACCTAATTGCTATACTGTTTTTGGTTTGGTATATAATACCAAAATAAATATATTAATATCTCCGAAACTTCCAAAACAAATTTAATAATATCTTAGGATAATGTAAAGTGTTCAGAAAGGAAACCAAAAATGCAATAATACACAGGGTGTTCCATTAAAAAAAAATCATATCGATCCATTCACATTTTTTTTGAGCCATCCTGTAAAAGTTAAAATATTTTCCTGAAATACATCTAAGTACATTCTTTTGTCTCTCAATCTTTTTTGTTTCAACAACTTTAAAACTATGCATTTCCGCACCCAGTTTATAGAAACTTTTTCATATTTTTTTATGAGAAATCAATGAGTACTTATTTAAAACTTTCTCAGATTAATGATATTAAATTTTTTTAAAGGTTGCTATTAGACTTGGATCAAGACAACTTAATAAAATTGCGTTTATCTCATCAAGGAGGCCGAAATCGACAAAATATCAAGAGACAACTTTTAATCGACCTTAAACTGTTTACACTATTTCGCTAAAAAGAAAGAAAAAGGCCAGTGGCGTACATATTTTTTTTAGAAAAATATTCGATTGATAACCCATACGCACGTCCCTGGTGAATCTGTCGACACTATTTTAGCATCAAAATATGTAGTAGCATTTATATAACGTAACTTTTACCCTCAAAATTTCTTTCGAATCACCAAAAGCACTTGAAAGAAAATTATAATAAATCAAAAATAAAAATAAAACTTTAACCTCTTGTAGACACTATACCGGGTGCGTATCAAAAGTTGCTCACTCCTATAACTTTTTTATTTTATCAGATAAAGAAACGGGATTTGGTATGTTAGTATATGACATAAATTAGGATTGATTGACGTATTCAATTCTTTTCGGCCGATTTTTAAATGGCACCCTCGGTATTTTTTACTTTATTCGGTAGAAAATGACATTCTGAATAGAATGACATATCATATGTCAACTTTTGACATTTTTGCTTAAAACAAAATTGAATTTTAAATTTCAATCTAGAGTGCCATGGCTGTGTTAAAAACACTAATTTTTAATCAAGGAGCCTTGGAAAAATAGATTTGATCATGTAATGTTATTGTCCTGGCCGGTTAAAAGATGCCTAAATCAAAAGTTGAAAGGTCAAAGATGTCCAAATCAAAAAAGAAAATGTCAAAAGTTGACATATGATATGCCATTCTATTCAGAGTGTCATTTTCTATTAAATAAAGCAACAAAACACCGAGGGTACCATTTAAAAATCAAAAGATGTAGTAATTTCCGGTGAAACAGGAAGTGACAGAAAACAATTGAATACGTCAATCAATCCTAATTAATGTCATATGTTAATATACCAAATCTCGATATTTTATCTGAAAAAATAAAAAGTTATAGGGGTGAGCCACTTTTGAGACGCACTCGGTATATACAAAGCAGAACCGACTAAAAAATAAATCTTATTTTTACGTGAGGAATCTCCCCACGAGAGATAGCAAATGTTTTTTGACACACCCTGTATTTTCTAGCAATTGAAGATAAGACAAGCGAAAGAAAGGAGCAGGGTTTTGCAGTTGGCTGTAGAGGAGAAGAGACAAAGAAAGATATCTCTAGGCACAAAATTAATAGATTTGCGCGAACGCAATAGGGAAAGGACCGAAAAAATCAAAGCTTACAAGACAAAGAGCGAAGCTCTGGAGGATTGTGTCTCTAAAAAATGGGAGGATGTGCGTTTGACTCAAGAAAAATTGAACTCTATGCACGAGGACTTGAAAAGATTGTCGAAATTACGAGTACAACAGTTGTTTAAATATGTCTTTCCCATTTCTTTTGTCAAAGCTCCTATGTAAGTATGAAAGTATCAGAAAAATAGGTAGATCTTTGAGGTAGATCTAAAGGAGTTCTAAAAACTGTTCATATACAGGGTGGCGCCTCTCATACGCCGCGGAAGCTCCAAAGAGAACGGTATTTTATATCGAAATGACATTTTGGCAGTGTATGTAGGTTAACCGAAAGCATTTTATAAAAATATATAGAATTATACAGGGTGTCCCCAAAAAAAGTTACACACAAAGTTGTGTTTTTTCTAATGGAACATCCTATATATTAATTGATTATCGGATTCTAGGAAAAATATAAACGTGAGTTTTAATAAAGAAGCATATACCTAAAATCTAAGGATTTTGACATATTTCACATTTTGTGAAAATGAAGAGTAAATTTTAAATTTCGATAATAGCTACCTAAATTTTAGTTGACCTTGTATAGCCTGATATTTAATTACAGTAACCTTTTTTGTGTTAAACCAAATTGAAATTTGACCCGAAAAGTTATACAGGGTGAGAAAAATTAATATGGAACATTAGTCACTTTTAAAAGCAAGTTACTCCTTTGTTTTAAATAGAACACCCAGTATATTTTTTCCGGTGTTCAATGAGGAATTTATATATCTTCAAAATACTATTAAGGTTGCCCAGCCCTCAGACAAAGAGTTTTCTAGATATTTTAATTTTTATGATTTTGCGTCAGTAGATCTTTATTATTTGATAAAAATCTAGGTGGCTGTGTGATATACCTTTTGTTAGTTTAACAAAAATTAAAGATTGTAGAGTAAAATACTCAACGGCAATAAAAAGATACACGTTTAAAACATATTTTAATTATTACAGAATTAAAACTAATTATAAATTTATAATTAGGTGACAAAAATTAACTAGATGAAATCAATTATGTGGAGTTCTACCTCGAAAAGCAACTACAATAATTTCTCTCATGTTGTCGACACTATAGTTGGTCGAGTTTTGTAAACACTGTCTTTAACATATCCCCATAAAAAATCCCCGACTAGATAATATCAGGAGCATTTAAGTATTTTATTAATTGGTGAATGCACACTGCAATTACCAACTAATAGAATCATATCAATTCTGTCTGATGTAGGGTAAGTTTGCATTTTCGGCAAATTTCTGAGAATTCTTTTTGTGTTTTAACTGACACAAAATGATAACTAGTTGTTAAAGTTGGACTAATTAGACAGCCATGTTGAAGTAACGTCAGACATATCACAGCCGCCTAGATTTTATCAAATAATAAAGATCTACTCAGATTAAATCATGTAAATGAAAATATCTAAGAAAATCTTTGTTTTAGGGGTAGGCAACCTTAATAGTATTTTGAAGAGACATGAATTCTCCATTGAATATCGGAATAATATACTGGGTGTTCCATTTAAAATAAAAGAGTAACATGCTTTTAAAGGTGACCAAAGTTCAATATTAATTTTGTCTCACCCTGTATAACTTTTTGGATCAAGTTTTAATTTGATTTAAAGTACAATACTTAATTTAACTACATATTAGGCTATACCGGGTAAATTCCCATTTAGCTTTTATTGCAATTTAAAAATTGTTTTTTATCAATATATCAAAAACCTTACATTTTAGTCATATACTTCTCTTATAAAACTCACCTTTATTTTTCTCCCAGAATCCGAAAATCAATTAATATATAAGGTGTTCCATTACAAAAAACACAACTTTGATATGTAACTTTTTTGGGGACACCCTGTAGTACTCTCAATATTTTTAGAAAGTGCCCTGAATTAACCTACATATGCTCACAAAATTTCATTTCAATACAAACTGTCGTTCTACTTGGAGCCTCCGCGGCGTATGGGAGGCGCAATAATATACAGAGGGTTCTATTTAAAAAAAATAAACTTTGATGTGCCACGAGTTTATGACTGACTCTGTATACTTAAATTTATTACCCGCTAATAGATATTTAAAAATCCTATATAACTTTTATATTTAACTTTTTGTGTACTTCTTATATTTTACCTAATAATAATCGACCGTTCCCATACATATCAGCGACCCTGTATAATACCAATCAGTTTTATTTATACCGGGTGCGTCTCAAAAGTGACTCACCCCTATATAACTTTTTTATTTTTTCAGATAAAAAACGAGATTTGGTATGTTAGTATATGACATAAATTATGATTGATTAACGTATTCAATTGTTTTTTGAAGGTCACTTCCTGTTTTACCGGAAATGACAAAAACAACCATTGATTTTTAAATTGCACCCTCTGTATTTTTTTACTTAGTTTGATAGAAAATGACACTATATCCTATGTCAACTTTTGACATTTTCTTATATGGTTTATGTGAAATTGTAACATGCGGATCATAACGACAATTTGACTCGAAATACCGAATGTGTGGTACCAAATTATTCGCAAAAAATGCTTCTTTCAAATATGCTTATGAGCATTATTGAAAAAATTGAGATATGATTAAAAATACGATTTGGGCATCTTTTGACCGTCTAGAACAAGACACGAAAAACATTAGACGATCAAAACTATTTTTCCAAGATTCCTTGATTAAAAATTAGTGTTTTTAACACAGCCATGACACTATAGATTGAAATTTAAAATAGGAATTTTTTTAAAGCGAGAATGTCAAAAGTTGACATGTGATATATGTCATTCTATTCAGTGACAGTAAAGTAAATAAATATCCAGGCTGCCATTTAAAAGTTGTAGTCATTTCCGGTGAAACAGGAAGTGACCATAAACAATTGAATACGTCAATGAATCCTAATAATTTATGTCATATATTAGCATATCAAATCAGTTATTAAGCCACTTTTAAGACGCACCCTCTATATTATGCACCTCTGCGTTTACTTATTTCCCTTGAGACAGAATGACTGTTTTCTCTAAATTTATTGTGTTTGTTGTTAATTGGGAATACATACTAACTGTTATTATTATTAGGTCTTCGTTTTCTAGTGAGCTAGAATCCAGTGGTGATACTATCACAAAGGAACTGGCTGAAGCCTCCCAAACCACCTACATAAGAAACAGGTGGGTTTATAATGATTATAACAATGAGATGCAATACAGCATAGTGGCCCCGTGCTTGCCAGGTAGCGGTAATTACTCGAGTTACAATATTTGGGGTAAGTAAAATGTTTGTGATAATGTTTGAAGGTATGTAACCTAATATTACATGTAGCCGTAATGATTTGACATTACCCAAGATTAAATATACCTTAGATGGTGCTTAAAGTACAATATACTAAAGAATACATGTCTCCAATCAGTGCCGTGCGTTATATTTTTCTTAACTTAGCTACTTGAAGAGATATTTACATTTTTGATAAATGTTTTGACTACGCCTATGGTGTAATTATTCGTTTTATCCCTAGATCATACTTACGTGGATAAATCAACTCCATAAGTTTAGCATTAAAAAATATGTCTCCAACATTACGACATGCCATTTTCAAACCTTCTTTATTGCACTTATGAAACGTTCAATAGGTTTGTCTTTCTCGAGGACCTTACTTTGCGCATGCGCATTAAAAGTTGCACGTATTTCCAAATTAATCACAATTTTATACGGTTTAGAAAGTACAAATTATACATTATTATGGAAACCAATTTTTCATTGTCATCATATTGTCATAATCATATGTCATAATCTTATTTCCATTGTGTAACGACGCTTGTTTCTGGTGTATTTTATTTTAAAAATTGTATTAATTACTCTTTTATCGACCGCTTTTATATAGCCTAGGATGCAAGTGTGTTCAGTGAGAAGTTAATTTTAGGTTTGTGCAGCTATATTTCTATTTTTTTTTTGTTGGACTCTAAATACTTGTAAAAATGACTAGAAAGTGTTTAGGGTGTGAAAGTTCTAATATAAAGGTCTCCGAATTATCTTTTCATAGGCAAGTAAAGTACTAGTTGTTCTTTTATTTATATTCAACCACATGGATACTTTCTGGTTAGTTTTTCTAGGAATATTGATATTCGTACGGAGTGGCTAAATGTATTTTTCATATAATTTAATTTTTGTGGCAGTAAACATTCAATTTATTGTTCAAATATAAGCATTTTACAAATTAAATTTTTAAAATTAATGTTCAAATTTGGCGCGTAAACGATAGGTCCTCGACAAGGATAGGTAGAGTAGAAGCACCGCGTGTGCAACAAAAAAAGAAGATAAATGGAAGTCGTTGATATGTTTGCGATCGTTTCCATAGTGATTTACTTATCCACGTAAGTATACATCGTCCTATTGCTGCCAAAAGTCACTAACTAACATTTTTCCGAACAACCAAATTCAATCACTAACTATGTTTTGAAGCGGAGAATCGATTACAAAAGTCATTAACTACGATTTCTGGCTATTTATGTGTTATTTTAATACTGAATAGTTACTAACTATAACATCTTTATGCAATGCAATTCATCTTTAGACGCATTTTTCTCGGAAGTAGTAAAAAGTAAGTTAGTGACTTTTGGCAGCAATGGGACGATATGATCTAGGGTGGTATCATAGTAATTAATTATAAAAAAACCGTATTAAAATGTTAACAAAAGGCACAAAACTAGTATCGACGTATAGCACATATCAAGTACATATAATATCAGAAAAATAATTATCAAATTCAATAAGAAAACGCTCAAAAGGTGGAGTGGACTGTTTATTTACCTATGGAAAGGTAACTCCTGGCTCTTTCTTATCATTGCGGCTTTTACACTTGAAAGCTGAACAACTAATCACCATCGTAATAAAGTTTATACAAAGTTCACTACAAACAACAAACTATCAAAATTGTTGCTGGCGACACATTAGTTGTCTCCAAAAAAATGGTGGCTAACAACACAAATTCTGCTCTAGCCCGTATATGGGCGTTGTATCCTTGTATTCTTTAGTGATTGGCATAGATAAAGGAAACAGGTTTAGATTGGTGTGTTCGGCTTGTCGCTAAAACTAGTTATAATTGTTTTGGAGCGCATACGTTGTAGGCCGCTGCTATAGCGGTTGCTAAGAACAACTGCAAACAAGAACAGAAATAATTTTCTCTTGTCAAAGTCAGAACCTTCAAAAATTATGAAAATTTTCAAAATTTAAAGCGCCCCCATTGAAGAAATACCGAAAACTGTTTAAACCGGCCATTTTCAAAGTAATTATTCCTATCTTGTGAGTTTAGTTTTTATTTTTATTTGCTCAAACCCGTGATAATTGCGAAAAAGTGGCATTAAAAGCTTAAAAAGCTGTATTGTGAACTGCAAAAATCATCGTGGATCGTGGCATAACGTCGGTTTCCAATGTTTCAGAGGTATTTCATACATGTCCTTATATTAGTGATGGGCAAAACTGTGTTATTTTTAGATAACAGTTGGAACTGTTATAGTTATTTATAAAAAAGAGCTTAAAAATAACAGGTTTCTTTATTTTATTACTAAATATCTGAAAGAGTATGAGGCGGTCACCGCCAGGTGTATTAACGCAGTTGCAAGTTGCAACAATGACATGCTCGGTGGTAGTATTTCCAGGGTGTCAAAACATTTCTAAATATCGATTGTTATCTAAAATACCTCTCTAAAAACGGTGGTTGTTTACAAATAAGCGCTGTTTACAAATTGCGATATAAAAAAGCCAAAATTCCGCCACTCGTCTATACGTATACATTCCGATCTACCTACGCCTTGCGTAGCAGTATACAGGGTGCATCTCACTCGACGGGCGAGAAGCTCTTAGTTATAATTTAACCATTTGCGGTCAAAAAATAGCAATATAAGAAAATGTGTAGTATATTCTTCATAAGTAAACCAACTACACACTAGAGTTCGAATTAATTTTACACTTAAACTAGCGTGTACCCGCGACTTCGTTCGCGTCGAATTAATAATTTGTAATGGTGATGATAAAGCAAAGCAAGAATTTCTATTAACATACAAACTGGATAAAATTTTCTCATTTGCAAAAATAAGCTTTAAACGTCGAGCAGTTTAAGCAGAATCGTGGTTAATCAATTACTCAACTTTTGGAACACCCTGTATGATTTTTTAAAAAAATTTCAAAATATGTAAAAAAACAAAATAAATTATGCGTGTCCAAGCGTTTTCCCGAAAGACTAACCGTTTTTTAAATAACACATATTGTAATATTTGAGGGGCGTTTTCACCCTCTTGGAATTTGAGATTCGAGAAACCCCTCCTTATCGAACCTCAAGCCCACAGTCAATCCGTTTGCCAAAAATCAGCTTTAAACGTCAAGCAGTTTAAGCAGAATCGTGATTACTCACTGGTCATATTTTATGAAACCCCCTGTATATATTTTTAAAAAATCTTAAGATATGTAAGACAACGAAATAAAATATACGTGTTTAAGAGTTTTTCCGAAAAACTCACCGGTTTTAAAATAAAAAATATTCTAATATTTGAGGGTGGTTCACCCCCTTAGAATTCGAGTTTCGAAAAATCCCTTCTTATCGAACCTCTACACCCTAAAGTCAATCCGTTTTCCAAAAATCAGCTTTTTACGTCAAGGGCTTTAAGCAGGATCGTGATTAATCAATGACCAGATTTTTCAAAACACCTGTATACATTTTTAAAAATCTTAAAATATTATTCTGAAAATTTTTCAGAATAAATAAATACCTAAATAGTGAAACTTAATAACGTACTGGAACATACAGCGCCATAATATCTCGACCTCCGCCCGTTATGCTCGTAACAGGTTGAAAAACAATGTATTTAAAACAACTGATGCGTTATTCTCCAACCTGTTTCGAACCTCCATCGACAATCGACCGATGCAGCAGCGTTCCTTTTCCACTCCTGTTATCTCGACCGCCAGGCGTTATGCCCGCAACTGTTTCAAAAAACCTGCTTCTTTCATATCCTATTATTTTTAAGCTGTTGTAAGCCCAATACGACCGTCGACGGCATCGACCGAAGCAGCTACGTTCGCCGTAGCGCATTCCCCACTCCGTTGTCCGTTGTCTCGCCGCCTGTATCGATGGTTGACGAAATAACATGTTTTCCATCCATACTAGTTGTTTTTTGGAATTGCTTCGAGCAGCATAGAATTTCGTGGCGGTGTAGAGCGCCGACTTCGTTTTTCGTTTCACGAGTGGCCGATCTCTACGTGTCGTTATTTTATATCTGTTATTTTTTAGAAGTAATAACGGTTGCGTTATGTTATTTCTAAAGAATTGTTATAAAATAACAGATAGTTAAATAACAACCCATCACTACCTTATATAAAATAAAGTTTCTTGTGTATGCAGCACACTGTATTTTATTTAAAAAATTAAAAGGAGGTAATAATAAATTTGAATAAACAATATTTGGTGACATAATTCTGGAAAAAGCTGAACCGCTCCGAAATTATCAAAAGCTTTGGAGAGCGCCCGTTGTAAGAATAGCGCCAAATAGTATTTACATTGCCCTTATGGGCACTATTTCTTCAATCTAAACTTGTTTCTTTTATCTATGGTCATTGGCATATACAATAACCAAAAGAATCATGGTAAACTATTCAATTCAAATGTAATTTCTTTAAATCAAGCTCAAAACGCGGATAGCATACCAGTTTCGGAAGATACAGATGTGGAAATGAATCCAGCATTCAGCATATCCGCTGCGCTGACTTACACAGCGCAACTGGTGAACGTCCTGTCGTTTTTTCTGAACGTGCGCCTACCTTTCAAAATGGTCTACAGGTTAGTTTATATAATATACAGGGTATTTTTTTTATATAATCCCGTTTTTTAAAATGTATTTTTGGATCTCATTTAGATAGAAAATGTCAAGGAAAGAAACTTTGATGTGTACCTACTTTAAATTTATGATCATCATGTTTATTTACAATCCGGTGTTTAACCATAGTAAATTTTTTTTAATATAAAATTCAATTATTGAAGTGATTAAAAAGTACTCCCTCAATACAAAAAGAAATGCAACGAAGTTACAATTAAGGAATAAATAATAACACAAATTTAATACAAATTTCAATGGTTTGAAATGACGCGTAGAAAATTGTGACGTCACCTATCAGCATTTGACTGAATAGTTGACAGAGGGCGCGAGCCTCTGAAGAATAATATTATGGCGTGTCTAGTTCTCTGCTACCGTATTTACTATTTACCCATATATCTTAAAATCACGTTAGATTTTTCTATTTTTATTAAGATCGTTAAAAAGTACGTTTTTATGTGGGATTATTCTTTATTACCCCAATATTAAATTTACTTTTATATTTTTTACTACTAGAAATCAAAACTTAATTTTTTTATAATTAACAGGTTACTGCCATTTTTATCGAAGCATTAAACACTACCAAAGTTGTTTGGATGTTCGAGGCTATATCTCTGAGGCGTTCGAGGTTAGATTTGTATTTTGTGGATTTGGCGTTTGGCGTTAAATACTTTGAGTTTTCAATTTTGTTTTGTTGTACCCTCTTTATTATTTTTGTAATGATGGGTGTTAAAGTTTGTTTTGTGAAGGGCTGTCTAAATAACTCTGAAGGCTCTCCAGAAAAAGTTTTTTTTTTAATATAATGACACATGCCAAACCGCTTCGACGCCAGCCACCAGCGTCTCTGGTGGCAAACCGTGACATTTTTGATAGGTGGCGTCAGAGATTGCAAAAGTGTAAATTTGAAATTCTTATAATTGATTAATTTAAAAAAAAATGGGATGAAATTGACGTAAAATAAAAAAATACGGATTTCATAATGAATCATAATCATAACTATAAAACTGTTTTTTTTATATTTTTTTTGCTAATATTGTTTGTTTTTGAAGCGAATTTAGTAGCAACACGATCAACGAGCAGCAATTCGCTAGAAGAGTGGCCAGATTGAACGCCAACATCCTGTATCTTTGCATCACACAGAAAATTGACATTAACGCTTTGCGTGTGAACGCAACCATTCACAACGTGCTTCAGTTGAAGGATAACGAATCGGCTGATTTAGGCAGGTATGTATCTATTTGTAGGATATTAGAGGTAAAAATAATTATATTTTTTACTTAATTACTTATGCTGATTTTTATTTAATAAAATTGATTTTTGGAAATGCTCTCCTGAACAGAGTGCGGACCGTCTGGCTGCCGGTAGACGTTGCGTTCCCTACTGCGCATCATATCTGCTATTTAACATCTGTTCACTACTGCGCATCACAAATTCGCCCGGTATTTCAGGAACTAAGGAGACTAGGACAAACATATGTGTAGCATATTTAGTTTCATAAAACAGTAGCAAAATAGTGTGAAAATCGTATCATTGTATCTCTACTCATAAACGAGAAATTCCATAAACCACACAAAAATTGGATACCCTGTACAGATGTGATGCGCAGTAGTCTACCGGCAGCCAGACCGCCTGCCCCGCTGGTCAGGAGAGCATAGCAAAAGATATATTAAAGAACCAGCTTTCTTAAAATTCTAGTTTTCCCGACGTTGCTAGCTAGTACTATTCTATTTTTATTAAGGTTAGATTGACAAAAAAAAGTGTCAAAACAAGCTTCAGTAGGATTTTTACTATGATTTAGTAGGAAGATTAGCGAAGAGTCGGCAACACTGCTTTAGTGGATAATAGCATAGTATAAGGAAACTAGTAGCTTTACTCCTTGTCAAATCCTTTGTTCTTTTTCTGCCACTTTATATGACCTTGTTCTCGCGTCCCGTGACCACTGACATAGCTGTATAGTCGTGGTCTATAACTAGGCAAAGTATAGTCGTGGCACTCGCCATAGTTTCATAGAGATGTATTTAGGAAAATATGAGTTCACAATAAAATAAACTAAAAAAAATGATCATTGTGTAAAAATTTGCTTTGAAAACAGAATATTTTCACATTTCGTGTAAGTAACAATGATTATTCTTCTGTATCTGAAAATCTTCTGATGGGAAGAAATGCGGAAAAAATATATAATGACATATTTTTATATTATCTATTTCAAAGATTTTCTACAACTTTTTTTAATTTAAAACAAGTTTAATTTTAACATTAATATGTTTGTTTTGTAGTAATATATTGGTTAGGTGATTTTCATTGGATAACTAATACATTGAACAAATACATTGTACTAAATAATAAAATAACATATTTAAACTTCAATTTATTAAGTAGTAATCAATGATGAGAAAATTAACCTGAACACAAGCATGATCACAAATGACTCTCAAAAAAACTCAAAGCTCAATTTTTTGAATTGTTACTACAACCAATAGCAGTACACAGTAAGGCGCTCATTTTTTGTCAATCCGTCTCTGTGCTGGGACGCAACGCTCGAACCTCGCAGGTCGACGGACGAAACTCAACTGAAACGCTCTGCAATCTGCCGATATTCGACAGATTGTAAAAACTGGCAGAAAATATTTGGGAGAGTGCAACTACTCTTTTCCTTCTACTATGGTAATAGTCCAGTTAAAAACCGATATTTCTGCTGTTTTTAGACAAGGGCCGTTAGAACTGAACGATCTGCAAATGACAGTTCTGGAGAAATCTATACCGGCCGATCTCAAGTCTAGCGACGACTCTGACTCCGACGAGGGGGACTCTTTTACCGTGGAATGGGAAGCAGTACCCCACGTACAGTGTCCCGAGGCCCAAGCCGGGCCTGCCACAGTACAATCAACCGTTCTCAACGCTCAACAGGTACGGAGTGAAACATAATATCTATTTTTTTACTGTAGAATAAAAATATACTGCCCGGCATAAAATTCCGCTACCCTAAAAATTTGACAAGTTTGATGTTTCATAACTTTTTATTTTGTAATCCGATTTTTATAATTATGGTATCAGTGTGAAGATAAATTTATTGGCATCATTTTTTATTATCTTAATGGCTTATATTCTTCGGTTAGGTGGGTTTATACCGGGGTAAATCTAAACGTTGTTTTTTGCAATAAATTTAAAACACCCTATGGGAAAAATGAGACGGGCATTTTGGATAAAGTATTTATTATTAAAGGAATGCAACCTTAGATGTATTTCTAACATTTAATTTTTTTAATTATCCCATTATCTCTATTCTTTTATGAGCTACACATTTTTAAGTATAGTATTGACAAACAAATAATAACCCAAACTATACATTGATGCGGATTGTCTATGAACTCTTTCTGAAGGTCACAGAAACCTGAACGCGTAATTGGGTGTTCTTTCGCATCTGTTGTAGTTAATTTGTGACAATAGTGCCAACAAATTTATCTACAAACTAATACCATACACATAAAAATTGGATTACAAATTAAAAAGTTATTAATTATCAAATTTAGTCAAAATTTTAGGTTGGCAGATTTTTGTCCCGGAAAGTTTATTTGACAAATGACTAAATCGTATTTTGTAGCATGAGTTAAAGATTAATTAAAAGATAAATCCAATATAACTTTTTCATATTAAATTTTTGTCTTCATTTTCAGTCAAACAGCATGGCGTATGGGGGTCTGATGAACAGCGCTGTTGCCAGCGTTGCCTCGATGTGGCGCGGCCTCACAGGGCGGTAGTGCTTCAAGATATCCCTAGTATTTAATTTGTATGTTTCTAAATTTAGCAGTAAACGATATAACACAACATCACTATATGTAACGCTACACAATTTAATAACATTGATCTGTCATTGCCAGAATTGTTTTTTTTTCAATCATACGTATATTTTTAAATAATAATTTAGGGTTAAGTTCTTTCTAGGGTATTAAAAAATCATTTTCAATTTTTTTTATAGCCTTTAGTTCCTATGTATTTAGTTCTAACGTTCGTCGTTTTTTTTTTATGTAACTGTGACTTTATATTAGAAAAGATATTTTTTTAGTTATATAGATACTGTACATAAGATTATTGTTGACCTCAAATAGTGAGAAATACACATACCATATTGTCAGAAAGTTTTACTATTATCCAGCGACAATTGTTTGTGGTTGTTTATGAAACTTTTTGATCTCCTTGTATTACTTGATGACCTATAATACCATAAGAGTGTTTAGAATTTACATTTGATTACGAATAAATTATAAGCTTCTTTTGTAACATTGGAGTTTTATTTCAAACCCCAGAGAAATAAGTAAAGTTAGATGAGACAACCTCAGAGAAATAAGTAGACCTAGCATGGTTAATATAATCAAATAAAAACATAAAAACCACTAAAAATTAGAAGTTACTTTATTTATTGACACTTAATTGATAAAAATTCAAACACACACTAGTCGGCCTTATAATATAAAATTCCTTTGTCTGAATACCTCGTACTTAACATAAAGTTTAAAACAAATTATTATTAAAAATCACAGACAAAAATGCTAAAAATATTTGATATTAATGTAACAGTCCACATCCTTATATTAGTAATTGTTTCTTGTGATCTTGAGTGAATCCCTGAATGTTCCATCGATATTAACAAATTTTACATGAAATTATCATTCCCCTAGGTCGGCGCCATTTAATGGACATTCATAGGGGCAGTTACCATTGGTCTATATACAAATATTTATTATATCTACCTTGCCAGCACACGGCCATTATGGCATACTTACATGATATCTTCGGTGAGCCATATATATATTTTCGCTTTTCCTAATTCGCATAAATAGTTGATATTGCGCGTTTAATTTCTCTATACACGATTCGCATACTGTTTTGGGGAGATTATCGTATTTATCCAGCTAAAAATTGATACAGAATTGAAACAAGAAAAACCTTGACCTGTATATTTCATATTAATGCAACGTTATATCATTCTCTATCGAAGGGTCTATCCTTGAACAATACTATACTATTAGGTAAACTTACGGATATTGGTAATAATCTAATTTTGTTAAGTAAATCTAGTTTTTTCGCTTTAGCTGTATACAAATGGATAACTATTTTCTTTTGTTTGGAGCACAGTCGACAGATAAATCCAGGAATAACAGCCTGTCCATAGCTGCCCATTTTATAATTCTGAGACGTCCAACCTTTGAAATTTATCAGAACTATCTTAATTTCGAGAAAAAGTTAGTTAAATAAGGGTTAAATTTAAATGGAAAATGTTTATTTTTGTAATAACATGCTTTGGACATTTGACAAATGACAACTGTCAACTGTCAACTTGGACAGCTGAAGTTAATCTTCTTTTTTGTTATGTGGCCACGACAGATATTCATTTTATGTTTGAAAAAGTGTTAAATTGTGTTCGTGTTTCATTCAGATCAGAGATTCGTGAAATATATTAAAGAAGAGCTTTTTTCACGTTGTCACGGGGGTAACCAGGCCCTATGTAGCCGGATGCTACCAGCGTGGGAGAAGAAAGGCCGTCAGAGTGATCATATTTTTAAAAGACAATCTTTTTTCACCTGTCACGGGGGTAACCCAAGAAAAACTATACAAAAATTCAAGAAAAACGACTTTACTTTGAGTCAGACGCTTTCACGAGCTTCTCTTGTCTTAATTGAAAAAGAAAAAAAAGGATAGATATTCTATCACCTGGCCGTATAGTCCTGGCAGCTTAGGCCGTAAAACCAATTAAGAAAGAAAAGAAGAAGAAAACAAAAAACCCTAGATAATGACGCTGATGTCATTTCTCGATTGACATTGACAGATATTTAAAATTAAAACCCTGTTTGGTTTTCCCGGAAAATTGTGAAAATCTGTTACGAAATTGTACGCAATTGAAGTGCTAAGGGCGCGAAAACAATTTGGATATAAAGAAATGTAGTGCGGAGGCCAAGATGGGCGGTGTTAAGACGCGAGACAAGACTAGACAGCCTTTAAGCGAGAAAACAAACATATTGAGCATGTCTGGCACAAACAAAAGCTTGGATTTTAAAGTCGTTTTAACAGATGTGTTGAAACCGCAACGACAAGTTGATGCTCGCAAAAAGACGTTAAAGAGGGATAAATCGAAAACGAAAAATTCGAAATTGATTAGAAGAAAAGATACAGGAGAAAATACTGGTGAATCTAGGTGCCAAACTAAAGATATAAAAGTTGTATTGGAGGATGTTTTAGAAGGTGAAAAACTTCTTGAATCTCGAAAACAACCAGGAAAGTCTCGACCTAATAAGGTTACCCAGAAAAAGGCTAATGTTTTGAAAGTGTTACTTGAGCCTCTACAAAATAACCAAGTTATCGAGCCTCACAAAAGAAATAATGGTCAAACAAAATTAAACACTGACGATAAAGGAAATAAGGAGAATATTAGTGATTTAAACGTAGTTTTACATGATGTGTTAACAAATACTAAATTAGTTGAATCTCAGAAAAGAAAGTTGCAAAAGGGGCCAAAAGTTGTAGAGAATATTAAAACTAGTGATCTAAGAAGTATAATATGTGATAATTTACGTACTAAAAATTCAGAATCTCATCCTAATAATGATCTGGATAGTATTGAAGCTGAGCTAACTAATTTACCAGAAAATAAGACGATTCATGATAATGATGAAGTTTTACAGAACAATATTGTAGCTAAAAATACTACAGTCAATGGGAATGTTAGATTTAAAACATTGAATGTAGTTCTTGATCCTGAATTTTGTAAAAAAAGTACCAATAAAACTTCTAATTTGAAAGAAATTAAAAGCAATTGCAGTAATATGAATGGTTTTATAAAACCATGTGTAAATAATTTAAAGAAACCTCAAAAAGAGAAGGTTATTAAAGAATTGACTGTAAGTATTCCTAAATTAAATGGTGTAAGAAATAATACTAATACAATCATTACTGAGGACAATCCCGAAGTTTGTAAAAATGGTTTTATAAAACCTTGTGTTAACAATTTAAAAAAACATCAAGAAGAGAAAGATATGAAGGCTATTAAAGAATCGTCCATGAATATTCCTAAATTAAACGGTGTAAAAAATAATATAAAAACAGTCACTACTGAAGACAACAGTAGACAGCTACGTAAAAAGGAACCAAAATATTATTTAGAAGAGTCCGATTTTGATGATTCCAAACTTAACACTATTCCAGATAAACCAAAAACCCCAAAAAGTAACAATGTACCAATTTATCGTATTCAAGTGCCAGAAGAACCCCAGAAGAATAAAAATAAAGAGGACCTCTATGAATTTAACGATTTTAGTCCGAAACTAAAACATCCTGTTAAATGTATGAAAGTTGGAAGGAAATCTTCAATACTTTTTGACAAGGACATGCATAGTATTTTACAGAAAATTGAAGCACAGGAGTTGAAAATTCAAAAGAAAGCCTTGAAGAAGAAATGTCAAATTCGCCCGAAAAAATATGAGAGTAAAATGAATGGCATTATGGAGAGTCTTAGGCAGAAAATTAAAAATAAAAATAAAACTCCTGATAAAAACGAGAATAATATTAATAATATTGATCCAGTAAGTAACATTCCAACAGAAAAATGTAATGGAGTTATTAATAATAATAAGATTATTCGTATCAATAATTTTGATGACGATATCAATGTTATAGTGCATTGTAGTTCAACTGAGGTAACAAAAGAAACTGCATTAAGTAATCCTCCTAGTTCTGAGAACATTACTATGCGAAATAAGCCACCCTTACCTCACTCAAAGCCAGTAAATTTTGATGAAATATCTGTCTGTGATAACTCTAATAATTTTGACCAGTATCCTTTACATGTTACCCATGATGACCATGAAAAAGTTGAATCTTGTTCTGTATTTGAGGAACCCCCTGTAGAATCTCACTTTAACCAGTATTCTTTACCTGTTACCCGCGCCAACCATGAAGAAATTGACTCTTGCTTTGGTTTTAATGAGCCCCCAAATGTTGAAATACCCAAGAAAATTAAAATTATCAATAATGTGGTATTGCAAAAGGAAAAAACAGTTGATTCGCCTCAAAAATTTGATTCTAGAAGACCCAATGCCAATAGTACAATGAGGAGTCCTTGGAGAGTGAATGGTATATCGACAAACCCCCACTTTTTGAGTGTGAAGAACAATGCTTTACCTAGAATAGACCAAGAAATGGTTTTGGATCATACTTTGGCAGAAAAATTTCAAGAACCGTATTCAAGTACACCGGTAAAAAATAATACAAAACCTCCAAGAAAAGAGCCAGTACAACAAAGCATTTTGGACTTTATAGAGAGTAACATAGAAAAAGAAAACAGAGTTTTTGAGAGGAGTTTGTTTGACTGCGAGGAATTTAACAGTCCTGTTAAAAAAAATCGTAGGGCAGCTAGGTTGGAAGCTATTAAATTGTGTCTTACTTTGGATGAAGTGGATATTGTATCTAGCACTCCAGTAAAGAGGAAAGTTTTGGGTGACATCACAAACTCTTCCGAGGAAAGAATTGAGATGGTCACTTTAAGTGACACTTATTTTGGGTTTGACGATTCTTCAAATGTGATTTCTCCAAGAAAAAATGGTTTAAATAACAAAAATAATCTGGTATCCAAGCCCACGCGTTTCGATCAGAGCCTTTTGAAAACCTACACGTCAAAAAGTAAGAAAAATAAGGTTATGTCTGCGCAAGATACCGAGGTAATTGAACCGGAACAAAGTATTTCGATATTTGAGGACTCAGAGGACCAAAATATGGAGGAAATACATATTTTTGAGGAGCCTGAGGATGTCCTAGATCAGCCGGTATGATTGTAGAAACTTAACATTGTGATATTTTATTAAATATTTTATGTTTGTTTCGTTTTAGAGTCCGATTCTGCTTAAAGAACGCAAACGAAGAAGAAAGAGATTGGATTCCACAGGTTCTGAGGCTAGTGATGACGAAAAAAGACGAAAGAAACATAAAAAAACAAAATTGGAGGTGAGTTATGCAGTTTATTACTGAGAAAGTTATAAAAATGTTGTATTTTGTTTATTATATTTATTTTTTACATATCTTTTACACCTAGTTTTTTAGCATATTATTTTTAAGGTTTTACGTGTAAAAAACATATTTTTAACGTGTAAAAGACACGTTTTTTGTCTAAAATATAAAATTCTCCGAGTAATAAAACAAATTTTAGTATAGACACAGTTTAAAATAGAAGGTTTTGCCTGTAAAAACAGTTTTTACGTTTAAAAAAGAGTTTATTACGTTTAAAAAGTAGTTTTTTACTTGTAAAAGACATGTTTTTTATATGTTAAAAATTAAAATTTATGTGTAAGAAAACAAATTTTAACATAAAAACATTTTTTACGTAATTAAAGAAGTTTTCGGGTGTAAAAACAGTTTTTTATTTATAAAAAGGAGTTTATTACGTTAAAAAAGTACTTTTTACGTGTAAAAGACATGCTACGCGTAAGAAAACAAATTTTAATGTAAGAACAGTTTTTACGTACAAAAACAGTTTTTTTATATAATTCTCAATATATTATTATAACCCAGATTTGATTTCTTTTTTATTGTGTGGATGTTATTAAAGATTTTTTTGTATTTATATTTCAGATTGAACAAGAGAAATGGATAGCAGAGTTCAACAAAGAATGCGATGAAATTGATCATCACGAACTTACTTTGGAATAGTTTTTTATATAATATATTTATATGCCATAAAAGTTTTTTCAGGTATTTTATGTTTATTCATTTTTTGTATTTTACTTATATGTGATTCCGAGAGCTATTTTTTTATTTTGAAAGTACAATTCCAGTGCCTTGAGTATTTTTGATGGCCATATTTTTTATGTACAGACCTAATGTTTATAAAAATATATTTATTCTTATTTTTGCCAATATTTGTTTTATTCATATCCTACATAAATGTAAAATAAGTCCATCTAAATGTGTTCTAGCGGTCTGAAAAAATAATATACAGGGTGTTTCATTTAAAAAAACGAAGAAAAATTATTTTATATTTTAGAAAGGTTGGAGTCGAATTTTGAACATCCTGTATGATTTAAGATTACGATATTTATAGCAAAGTAAGTAGAGATCATCTAAAGTAAATTACTAATATAGTTTTGATTTCAGGACAGTTCCTGTATTTTTAATAATTTTTTGAAAGAAAGGCTGAAAAATATATGTATATTTTTTATTTATTTATTAATATCTCTTTATCGAAATATATATTACTCATATCTTAGGATTATGTAAAGCAATCTAAAAGGAAGCCAAAAATGCAATAATATACAGGGTGTTCTATTTAAAATAAACATCCCGATCCACTCACACTTTTTTGAGCCACCCTATAGAAGTTAAAATATTTTCTCGAACTATATTAAGTATAAGAACTTCTCGCGTCACTGGCTAGAATAAAACCGCGCCGTTTTGTTGGTTGCATGTCCATACACTATCGGGTCGAAACGTACGGTTAAAATATGTGTTAAGTGTGTGGGGGCCTTTATCCTTAATGAAATAAAAAACGAATATCATTATAAAACTTTTATTTTCCTATTATAAAATATTTTTTTTTAAAACTTAAATAACAACAAATAGATATAAAATAGAAGGGTTAAATGCTATAAAAATACTTTTTTTCTAAGCGATCATTTCACGACATATAAAAGAAAATATTTAATAAAGTCTGAAGTATTTTTATACAACCCTATACAAAATTAATTATGATTATGTAATCTTTATAAAAAAAATTAGTCCTTAAAAATAACAGTTCTTAGCGCGTCTTCTGGCTTGATCTCGAGCAGTGCAGTGGCGCCGTCATTAAATGGAAAACTTATACCGCCGTCCATGACCAGGGCTGCGTCATAGCAATTCGATCTCAGTTCTAGCTTATAAGCGAAGCCTCTGTTTTTTATGCCCTTGGGATCGGGCCACACAGCCGCTGATATCAGTTCTCTTATGGTGTAAGCCATTTTTTTATCATCTACAATAATAAAATCATAGACATAAACGGCCTACACACGTAACGATTTATCGTGCTGCATGCTGTACGATATCCATCAAAACTGCCGCATTAACGATAAATCGTAGCGTGTGTAGGGAAATTGGATGGTTTGCAGTATGCAGTCGTCAAATCGTTTGCAGTACGGAGCTTCCGTAAAATATCGTATCAACGGGTCGTGTCTGGGGTGGGGTTTGAACGCAAGTGGAGTGTATTCCCTGCCGCAGCGCGCAGTTACGATATAATTTTTATTTATTTTTGGTTTAATCAACATTATGGATTTAAAAAATAAGACGTTCTGGGGAGACTTTATTGATTTACATAGAGAAAATAGATGCCAATGGGATGTGAAATCAAAGGATTATGAAAAGAAATTCGAAAATTGAAGAAAAAATATTTCTTTCTCCAGCAACCACTTTTTACACCATTTTCGCTTTTTGATTTCTTTTTTTTCATCATCTTCATTTATCAGCAATACCGCAGCTACAAGCACGGCAGCTTTCTTCTTTGAAATTCTTGACATAACGGTAGCCCTTCTCGACGAAAAGTGAATAATCTGAACTGTGACAGTACAATGTGTTGCATCGTGTGTCCAAAAAATGGCTGTACTGCAAGCCGTACGATTTTCTTTACGATCTGCAGTTCAACGCGCAGTACGATAAATCGTTACGTGTGTAGGCCGTTATAGGGAAGTTTTTTAATAATTTGAATGTCTGTTGGTATACAAAAATATTTTTTGACTTTTTTTATTACCTTTATAGAATCGTTTCCCCTTCAAAATTTCAACGCACGCTACTGATCGATACGATTTTTTACTTTAAAACACGGATGGAAAAGTAAAAAAAACGCAACGTAAAAAACGATTTTTAAAATAAAAAAAGTATATTTGGTATCAATTAAACTTTTAGCCTTTTAGTTACGTAATCGAGGGCGCGATTTTTAAATTCATTGTTGCCAACCATGGAAATATTTGGCGCCGGGCTGACTAACTGGAATTTAAATTTCCCGCTGGGGTTTCAGGTGGTAGCTGTAAAAAATGTCAAGTTGCCACATTATTTTATTTATTTCCTGACATTAGAGAACAACGGCATACGGTCGAGTCGGCCTACAAACACGTAAACGTTTACGTACGCATGCGCATTTCTTATATTTTCTATTTTTTATACACGTAAAAGATAAAAAATATAAGAAATGCGCATGCGTACGTAAACGTTTACGTGTTTGTAGGCCGACTCGACCGTATGCCGTTGTTCTCTATTGTCATTCGTTTTGACACTTAAGTTTTGTATTACGACTTTTTGGTTTAAATAAATACGTGCAACAAGATAGCTTTAAAGCCGTAAAAAATCGCAACTTTATTAGAATACTTTGAACGGGAAAGCGGTAGTAATGACCCTTTATGTCCCTTAAGTGCTGTTATGAAGGTGAGTTTTGCTGATGTAAATAATAACTGTTTATATATATTTATAATTAATTTATTTTTGTTTCCTAAAATATTTTTATTAAAAGAAAATATGTAAAAGTGGGCAAAGCTGTGCTGGTCAAGCTTAATCACTTGACTAAAAATTTATTTGTACTTGTTATTAGTTTATTACTACATTTTTCTGTAAAAAATAATATGTAGGCGCATAAAATATTCTAGTTGGCGAAAAAAAAAAGGTAACTTTAAGTTCACAAACTCCAGAGATTTATAGAGGTCTGACAAGTCAACGACACGGAAGTTAGTCACATATCGATAAATAAATTTCAGTACAACTGAACTACTAAGTAGGGATGGCAAAATTTTAAAGAGTGTTTTCAAATATTACTTACCTGGTGGAAAAATCAAGTTTTTATTATAGATATCTGCCAGTACCGTAGCCAAACTATCTTTTCCCTCTGTAGGATCGATATCTACCAGTCTTAACAGCTCGGCAACATTCTGAACAGGTTGCCTGTTGATACTCAGATGCCAGGATGTGGATCCTGTGCCTGTAGAAACACAAATACCCGAACATTTTAGATTTGTGTTCTCTGTCGATCCATTTAGACGCATACGGAGATGGGAAACACGTGCTGATAGAGTTTCTCCAATAAAAACCTACAGATATTAATAACATTTTAGTTAAAAAAAACACACAAAAATGGGACACCCTGTACAAACCTCGTTTAAAGCTAGAAACGGCAGCCTTTTATCACCCTCAGAGAGCTTCACAGTGTTCAGTCCTAGCTCACTGTCATGTAGAAAAGTAGGGTTCAAACATTCGTCACTTGTTAGCATGGTGGTTCTAATTCGGTTCCGTAAAAGCCACGTAAAGCTACCCTAAAAATAACAATTTAATAACAATCTTCCTGCCTTGTTCTAACTTACAGCTTGTAATTTGTCTACTGCAGCGTGAATATTGGTAGAATATTTTTTTGGTAGACATAAATATCCTTCTGATCTGTTTGGGTCTGAATTGAACCCTATCACTGGCTTTTGGTTATTATTTACTAAGCTGGCTGCTAACAGGAATGTACCGTCACCTCCAATTGGTATTATTACATCACAATTGTTCACATCTTCTTCAGTATAATTGTATCTAAAAAAATCTCATTATATTTTTGATTCTTTTGTGTTAATTCGAAAGAAATGTTACCGATCAACAACTTTAACATCTAACCCTCTCGATTTCAAAGTTTTCACTATACGCTCTTCGTATTTCTTGTGTAGATCGTAGTGGTAGACTAATTTCTCAATATCAGCGCCCCTGCGTTTCAGGTCGTCCAAAAATTTCGTAACATTTTCGTCTTTGTATTTTCTCTTTTCGTATTCGTATCGGGACAGTTTGGACACGACCAAAACCTTGTCGATCTTGAGGGATTTCGTGGAAATATGTCTGGTAAAGACATTGTTGATACCTAGGATTGTTTTAACGAAATTAAAACTAAGTTTTTTCATAAATAACAAATAAGTACGACATAAATGTAAGGTTAAAAACACGTCACTTAAAAACAATACTGAAGTTAGCCGCATATTGACATTTAAATTTTGTACTAATGAACTACTAACTAGGGATGGGAAATTAAAACAAATAATATAGAGTATCGATGTAATTTTAAAATAAAAATTAAATTAAAAACAAACTTAATTAAGAGAAATTAAATTTAAAATGTAAAAAACGTCGATATAGATTAAAGACAAACGTACACATTGGAAGTTTTACCTGCAATTCTTCAATATTTCCATTGTGTTTAGCGAAGTTGAAAAGAAAAATATAGAATTTTATTACAAATTTGAAATTATATAAATATAGTTTCATTCACAAATAACTAAAATTATTTTTTTTATTATAAAGCTAATACTTGTTAAATAAATAGTATCGTTAGGTAATAATCATCAAATATCTCTAAAAATTTTGTATAATTCCATTATTTTCTAAAACTATATGCAACAATATTAGATTCGATAATCTTAGATATTGACATGAATATTACGTATATTAAAAGCATATTAATAATATTGATATATCAAAACAAAAATATTATTTAAATAAAACTAAATAGATAAAGCAAACATATTATGCTTGTAACTTTGTCAAAATAAGTGAGATTACAAAACCGTTCATTCATTATTTTAATATTATTTTTTATTTGTTGATGTATTGAAAAGATATCGACATATTTATTTTATCGATACATCATCTCCATCCCCAGCTCACATGATCTACTGGCGCTGTCAAAAGTCATAACAAATAATGGAATATACGCTTCCCAGATAAGTACTATTTTAAAAATTGTTTTTTTAATTGTAGAACTGTTTTTTCTTACCTAGAATAATATCCTTATACATACATATATACAGCCGTTACTCGCTGACGAGTATTCGACACACATAAAGAAAATGGTCACTCAAGGCGTTTTCTTTCATGAGCTTTTCTGTGACTGAAAAGCCCGATACGTGATGTTATCTGCCTAGCGCACTCCGGACATTCAAAAATCTCATTGCTTTGTTGCCTCTCTACTTTTTGGTTGCCGCTGTTAACTGAGTTTACAACCCTTCTCCATTGAGTTCTATTGTGAGCTGCTTTTTCCCACTCATTCTGCATGTTAATTCCCTTTAAATTTTCGTGGAAAATGTCCTTGTATCTTTTCAGTTGTCCACCCGGCCTCCTCTTACCGTCCACAAGCTCACCGTAAAGCAGAGATTTTGGTATGCGGTTTTCTTGCATTCTGCATACGTGACCAGCCCATCTTAAGCGGGATTTTGTGACCATGACTTCAATACTCTCGCAGTTAGATTTTTCAAGGACCGATACGTTTGAGACATGATGGAACCACCGGACTCTTAAGAGTTGTCTAAGGTGTCTCTGTTGCAACTTGTTCAATGCGTTCATGTGTCGGCGGTAAGGCACCCAGGTTTCGCTCCCATATATCATGGTGGGGATTATAATTGCTCGGTATACTGCAAGTTTTGTTTTTGTACTCAAGTCATGATTGTAGAAAACCCTGTCTTTTAATTTCCAGAATGCTCTTGAGGCGCTACTAATCCTGTGCTGAATTTCAGAGTCAATATTGGCCTTTTCCGAAATCAAACTGCCAAGGTAATTGAATTCCGCCACATATTCGAATAGTTCTTCTCCGATTTTTATAGCATTGTTGTGATCTTCCGGGGGAGTGCACATGATTTTAGTTTTGCCGATGTTCAGCTTAAGGCCCAAAGCCTCGTATGCCCAGGTATATGTGTTCAACATTTCTTGTAATTGTTGTACCGTGTTTGCAACTAGAGCGCAGTCGTCAGCGTATTGAAGTTCTGTGATAAATTTTGTACGTGTTTTTGCCCTGAGTCTTTTTATGTTGAACAGACCGCCGTCATATCTGTATCTAATACCCAATCCTCTCTCCTGCAGTTTGCTGTCCACTATAATGGAGAGCGCTGCCATGAATATGTTGAATAGGAGAGGCGCTAAGACACATCCCTGCCTAACTCCTGTATTTGTTAGGAATGGGTCGCTCAGTGATCCATGATGTGACACTCTTGACTTGTTGTTGTTATGGAGGCTTTTACACACTGTAAGAAATTTGTTGGGTACTCCGAACTTTTCCATAATTGCCCAAAGCGCATCTCTGTTCACAGAGTCGAAGGCGAATGTGTTAGATCGATGAATGCAACATAAAGTTTAGACTGCTGCTCTTTTTTACTTTTTCCTGTAGTTGACGGATGGAAAATATGGAATCGACGGTGCCGCGGTTGGTACGAAAACCCGTTTGCGATTCTGGAAGAATTTTTTCTATATGTGGGTGCAGGCGGTTTGACATTATTTTTGCAAGAATTTTTCCGCCGATAGCCAATAGCGAAATTCCCCGGTAATTTCCGCAGTCTGATGCACTTCCTTTGTTCTTAAATATATTCACTATATTCGCATTGCGAAAATCCTGAGGTACCTCTCCGCTTTCCCATACGACATCAAAGAGAGCCTTAAGATGACCAATAAGTTCTTTACTTGCACACTTATAGATTTCCGCCGGAATATCGTCACAGCCAGCTGATTTGTTGTTTTTAAGCTGTTTTATGGAGGTCTTTATTTCTTGTTCTGTTATTGGGATGTCTAATACATCGAGGCTGTTATACTGAGGTATTGTGTTTAATGCTTCCATATTGGGGTTTGTTTTCTTGGTTAAGGATATGGCTGTAATGTTCTTTCCAGCGATTTCTAATTTGTTCTTCCTCTTTTAGAAGTTCGCCATTTTGAGCCATGATTGGGCAGCTTACCTTCTTAGTTGGGCCGTATACTTCTTTTTACAGCCTCGAAGAATTTACGATAATCGTGATGCGTGGCGTACTCTTGAATCTGATTCGCTTTTTGTGACCACCAGTTATCCTTTACTTGGCGCAGTTCTCTTCGAAGCGTGTTGTTGGCTGCTTTAAAGTTGTCTACCAGTCTTGGATTATGTGGATTTGCAGTGACGGCTTGATATGCTCTATGCTTTTGTTCCAACAAAGCCTGTATATGCGGTTGATTTTCGTCAAACCAGTCTGGTTGTTTCTTTTTGTTCGACTTTCCCAGTACTGCTTCGCTGGTTTTATGAATCGCATCCCTTAATTGTGTCCAGCCTTGTTCAGCTTCCAATACTGAGATTGAAGTTATCGGTGGAAGTGATTCTTTGATGGCTTCCCGGAGGGCGTCGGCGGTATTGTTGTTTTCTAGACCCCGTACGTTCAATCTGGTCATGTTGTTTTGCTTTTTACAGCGTGGATGTTTGGGTTTTAACTGGATTTTCATTTTTGAAATTAAAAGTCGGTGGTCAGTGCCGCATTCGGCATCTACTCTAGCTTTTGTGAGCCTAACATCTTTTAGATGCGTCCTTCGAACGATTATGTGGTCCAATTGATGCCAGTGGCCTGATCTAGGATGTTTCCAGGAAAGATTGGATGTATTGAAAAGATATCGACATATTTATTTTATCGATACATCATCTCCATCCCCAGCTCACATGATCTACTGGCGCTGTCAAAAGTCATAACAAATAATGGAATATACGCTTCCCAGATAAGTACTATTTTAAAAATTGTTTTTTTAATTGTAGAACTGTTTTTTCTTACCTAGAATAATATCCTTAAGTGATAACTTGTGACCGAACATCAGGATAGACCGCTTTTTCACAGTATTGTTCACATTTATACCGGTTTTTTCTCGATTTCAACGATAACTCGCGCTGAGGTTAGGACGCAATATACTCTTTGACCTCTTTCTTTATCGGAAATTATTTTGTAAAAAAACCAAATGGAGCACAAGCGATTGAAGTTGTTTGCTTGAAGAGCCCGTGGTATGTTGAAATATTTGATTTTTTGCTGTTCCCGCGTCATTCGCCCGCAGTGTTTTTATTAATAACTGCGTTTGAGGTTTGCAACAAGTTGGTTAGATAAAGAAAGTAAATATAAATATTATTTCAACAGTATAAGTGTTTGACTAGTTTAAAATCGGGTTTACAATTATTCAACAGGACGTATCGGTATAACAATATGTTTATTTTTAATGTACAATAAATTTCTTTTTTGGTTTTACATTTAAAATGTTATAGTAGGGGGGCTGAAGATTTAAATGGGGATTTAAAAAGAAAAAAAAAAGTTATATGATGTAGGTATGCTCCTATACTGGTGGAGGAAATTTTTCAAAAAAGTAAAAAATATCAAAAAGAAATACTTTGGAGCTTCTACCTATAGTATAATATGGTTGATGCAGTGTTGCCAGAAGTTTTCGAGCGAATGACTGCTTGAACAGAGAATAATTAATCGTACAAGACGTCATGATCAGCTGACTGATGAGATATGTTTTCCATTTACCTATTTATTTCTTTTCAACATCAAGAACTTTGGTGTGCGTGTAATAAGACGCGTTGAAAGATAAAAATGTATCTATTAATTTTTTGTTAAATGTTTGGTTTGGTTTGGTTTGGTAATACTTTTTAACAGCAACATTGCTTTAAATTGAGGCATCCTTAATTAAACACCGTTAAAGTGAAAAAATAAATACTTCTACTACATATTTTAATAATTTTGATTCTGCAAAACTGCCAGAAACCTTCATATTGTCTTCTTTTTGGATAAAAATCCTTCACCCCTTCAATCAACGAAATTTGACTGTAAAATCCTTTATATTAGGGAAATTCTTTAATTCTGGCAACACTGAGTTCATGAATGGATGGGGGTACTTCACAGGGTGCAAAAAGTTCCCGCTTGAGCTGCCCTACTATAACCTGTAGGAGCCATTTATAAATCTTATAATTTTAACATTTATTAACATTTAATAAAATTCTTATTATCTACGCACTTATTTGATGAAATATCACTGGTCCGGCTTTTGTCTTCACAGAATTTTTTTTTTCTGTCAAAATAAAAGCCAAAATTCAGCAAAATTTCATCGGTACACATAATGTAAATAACATGGATAGGCCAATTGCTTTTGTGAGGGGACTAAAAAGGATTTTACGGCTTAAAAAGAACAATATAATTCATTTTTAAGCGGTATTATCGTGTTTTTTGTTGAAAAATGTGTGTTGGAAGTATAATTTCACTTTTTCAGATACCTAAAAGCATGACATGCTTTCACGATTCACCAGAAACTAAAATCAAAATCCAAACCAAAACGAATTTTGTTAAAGAATAATTTTGTTGAAGTCAAATAAAAGAAAATTTCTCTAATTTGGTGCTCAATATAATATACTTTTCTAGAATAAAAAGTGTCCTAAAGAGGGATAATTTTTGCATACAGCATGTCCCCGGATTGTCTTTACAAGGGGAACAACTTTTTTATTATTGACGTTTTGAGAAAAATTCATTTTCATAATAAAAAATGTCTTGTTCTAAAATGGTTAATCCCGTTTATACTTTTCTATGTTTTTAAATTTAAAAAAACGAGAACATACGGTTCATATCAAATAACTTTTGGACTTTTAGAGCTACAATTTAAAAATATTTTGACAAGATACAGAGTGTCCCAAATAAATAAAAAATATCAAAGTTGTATTTTTTTAAATGGAACACCCTGTATATTATTACATTTTTAGTTTCTACGATTAAAATAAAGGTAAATTTGATTAAGGTTTATTACACTTAAACCTTACCGTTTTTGAAATATTTTCAATTTTGTGAAATTGCAGTAAAAATTTTAAGGCTTCATTTCTCCAAGGGTATCAAAGTTTTTAATACTAAATATTTACTGAAGTTTATTTATTGATCAGTTATTGTGTTGCAAGTTGCAATAATAAAAATAATACTACCTTATACAGAGTGTAATAAAATTTATTTTAAATAATTATTAGCTTTAAACGGCAATAACTTGTTTAATTTAAATGGAACACCCTGTATATTTTATGAGAATCAGATGCACAATTTAAGTGTCTATCAAATTGTATTATGCTATTTTTTACCTATCTCTTTAAGTTTCCGTAGAAAATGCATTTTCTTGTAATTTAAAACTTCTTTATCAATATACCTATGGAATACTGACATTTTAGATTATTTTTAAAGATGTACGAAATTTTTAAAGAGTACAGATACTAATATTGTCGATATAATACGTTTATTTCATTAAAAAATAAAAAAAAACTGTTTAAATATTTGTTAAAGAGGACCAATTAATATGATTCCAGTATTCAAACTACATTAACTGCCTGTTTGCGTTGATTAATAATAATTGCCCCAATTACTAAAAAATTGAGTTTTGTATGTTTATTAGACAGTGTGGTAAAAAGTAACACTTTAAAAATTATATTTTATTTTTTAATAAATGCTTATTTATAACAACATAGACGTTCATTTTCATAACTTATTATTATATTGATTTCTGATTCAAATCCATATTTATTTAGAATAATTTATTAACGAACACAATTAAGTATGTAATTAATTAGTATTTGGGCAGAAATAATGGTGTTATATTTAATTAATGGTATACTCTTATAAATATTTAAATAGTTTTCTTTTTGCTTACAAATGGGCTAGTAATATTACCGTTTTGCTAAAAACGATAATATTACTAGCCCGTACATTTTGTACATTTGTTGCTTTTGAAAACAATCTAAAATGTCAATATTCCATGGGTATATTGATAAATGAGGTCTAAATTATAAGAAAATGCATTTTCTACGAAAACTTGCAGGAATAGGTAAAAAATGGTGTAATACAATTTGATAGACAATTAAATTGTGCATCTGATTCTCCTAAAAGATACAGGGCGTTCCATTTAAATTTTAAATTAAAGAAGTTATTGGCGTTTCGAGCTAGAAATTATTTAAAATAATTTTTTAGACACTCTGTATGAGGTAGTGTTATTTTTATTATTGCAACACAATAACTGATCAATAAATAAACTTCAGTAAATATTTAGTATTAAAAACTTTGATACCCTTGGAGAAATGAAGCCTTAAAAATTTTTAATGCAATTTCACAAAATTGAAAGTATTTCAAAAACGATAAGGTTGAAGGGTGATAAACCTTAATCAAATTTACCTTTATTTTAATCATAAAAACTAAAAATGTAATAATATACAGGGTGTTCCATTTAAAAAAATACAACTTTGATATTTTTATTTATTTGGGACACTCTGTATCTTGTAAAAATATTTTTAAATTGTAGCTCTAATAGTTCTTCAACGAACCCAAAACTTATAATTTGTGAAAATCTAATCGTTTAGCTACAATTCTCCGTGTCGTATGTGGTGAACAACCCTGTATATTTATAACTAATTTATTTTTGTTTTATTATTTTATTATATTACCGTAGTTAACTGAATTTTCATTTTTGGAACTTGGAAGAAACCATATCTTAAAGTTTCTTTTTATTTTCTCTAAAACGGTATGGAAATTTGGAAAACGATAAACAGGATTAACCATTTTAGAACAAGCAAAAATGTTTCCAAAAATGTCAACAATAAAAAAGTTTTTCCTCTTGTAAAGACAATCCGGGTACACACTGTAGAACCTAAAAAAGGGTAAAATTTGTCAAAAATCTAGGTGCAAATCGTGCAAAATCATGCTCTAATAATTTTTGTCTCCTATTTTTTCAGTTTGATGATGATTGCTGTTTTTTTAATGAGAAATGATGATGAAGGGTTAAAATACATTTTTTTGGTTAAAGTTCACTTAATTCTTTAGGATCAACTTTTTGGGGTGATTTATGTTGTTAAAATTGAGTTGATTTTAAAATTAAAATCCACACAATATTTCGTGTGTTGAAATCTCCGCATAGGTACGAAGATATGAATAGATTTTTTGTCTGTTTTTATGTAAAATATTAGGACATACGTCTGATAAACCCATATAAGTCTAATATTGTTTTTTTTTCTTACTGGCAATACTTATTTTCCATACATTTACTCAAATTTTTTGAATATGTGATTCTATTTTTCAACTCAATACCTCCACGCGTTCCCTTGACAGACAGGAACAGACAACAAACTGACACAACTGAACCGGTAAGATTGACATGTATAACGTCATGTGTAGAGTGCGCTTTATTTTTTTATTCAAAACTTCAAAAATGCTTCTTGGGTATTTTTCTATTAAATTGACAAGTTTAAACTATAGAAATTTATGACATTGCCAATTACAAAAAAAAAACAATATAGTCTATGAACAGCAGAGACATACAGTTTGAGCAAAGTATTCGGAATTGAACTCGGTGTGAGAATGATATGATACTATAAAACTACGTTATTATTTTCTTGTATGATATGCTATGTGTTATTATTAAATTATTACTTGCCCAGAAATACTGTCATATTTCTTTTTATCATTTTCTTTTAAAAAGTTTAAAATTATGTTACATCGTTTTTTTTTGCGATAATTACATGTGTGGCACTTTCCTTAAATGTTTCTAATGCAATCTTAATTGGCACATGTTGGCATTGTATTTGTGCCTAAATCACGTGCAAGTTGTATAAAGGTGAGCCCCCACTAGAATTTTTTACGTTAATGTTTCGTTTATACATACACACAAAGAAATTATTATAATGTTCAGTTCATCAAATTATCTATTTTTTAGTGAAGCAACAATACTGTAGAAATTGAAGACTAGAGTTGAATGTCTTTATATTATTTTACGTTAAACAGTCTAGTGGAGACATACCTTAAGTCCTTTAGCGAAAATTCTACATCTACTGGGCGTTTTTCTGGTCAGTTTCGATACCTTTTCGTCGCCCAAAACATGCTTTATTTCTTTACATCACTCTCTTTCTGTTAGTATAGTTGATATTTTTCGAAAATTTCAACTATATATAGAATGTATAATAATACTGCCCTGAAATGACGTCATTTGGTGATTTATGTTGACTACAGAGTTCCCACTATAGTCCGGGTCTATGTAATGATCAATAGTCTACGAGGCCTTCTTTTTTTAAAGTTATGAAGAGAGCGCGTAGAAAAAGAAAACACTTCAGCGTGTTACCTCATTCGAAAAATAAAAAACTAAAAAAAGGATAAAGGTAGATACACTTGTATAAAACAATGGTCTCTCTTTCCTGCAGATGATATCTACCTGTATCCCAAAAACTTATTAAACCCTTAGACTGGACGTACACAGAAAGAACAAAATGAACAAAATTGTTTTAGTCTTTCTTTTTTTAATAATGTATTATTATATTGTGTAAAAAACATATTTTTGTATTTGTAGTTATTCTGAAAATTAACCGTTTTATTTTGGTCATTTTGACTTAACTCGCAGATCATCATGAGGTAAATAAAAAATACAGGGTCCGGCAATAGTGCGTCGGGCTGTAGCTTCTAGAATAAAAAACTTGACAATTTTATTTATGTACAAACGTAAAGGATGTACTAGGATGTATTTCAGGAAGATATTTTAACTTCTACAGGGTGGCTCAAAAAAGAGAGACTGGATCGGGATTCGGGATGATAATGGAACACTCTGTATATTATTGCAAATTTGGCTTCCGTTTAGATCACTTTACATAATCCTAAGATATGAGTAAGTATATTTCGATAATTTCAGAGATATTAATAAATAAATAAAATATATATATATATCGAAGTTTCATAGTGTATTTCGTCTTTTCATGAAGATCCTATGTCACTTCATGAAGTGTCGGTTAGGTTAGGAGTTTAGTTAGGTTATTAGGTTAGTTTTTTTCATTAAGTGACTAGGATCTTCATGAAAAGACGGAATACACTATGAGACTTTCTTAAAAAAATTATTAAAAATACTAGAACTGTCTTGGAATCAAAACTATATTAGGTATTTGACCTTTTTTAAAGTCTTTAGGTATTTACTTTAGATGGTCTATACTTATTTTGCTATAAATTTCGTAATTTTAAATCATACAGGGTTTGCAAAATTCTACGCCAAACTTTATAAAATATAAAATAATTTTCCTTGTTTTTTTTTAAATGGAACACTCTTATTTTTTATTAGATGGAGAATTAAAAAATGAATATTTTTTGTGTTTAAAGTATATGAAATTTTTTAATGGTTTGACACAATACACGCAGTATTATTTTATATGGCTCTTTCAACGGTAAAATATGAGAGAAAAATCATTAGGTGGCCATATGAGATATAAAACCGTGAATATCTGCGAAACCGTTAAAAATTATGAAATACTCTAATTACAAAAAATGTTCACTTTTTAATTCTTCATCTATTGAAAAAATAATATACAGGGTGTTCCATTTAAAAAATGAGGAAAAATTATTTTATATTTTAGAAAGTTTGGCGTAGAATTTTGAACACCCTGTATGATTTACGGTTACCATATTTGTAGCAAAATAAGTACAGACCATCTAAAGTAAATACCTGATATAGTTTTGATTTCAGGACAGTTCTTGTATTTTTAATAACTTTTTTAAGAAAGGCTGAAAAATTTATATTATTTATTTATTTATTAATATCTCTGAAAGGTATAGAAATATATTCAATCATATTTTAAGACTGTGGAAAGTGATCTGAAAGGAATCCAAAAATGCAATAATATACAGGGTGTTCCATTTAAAAAAAACATACCGATCCGTTCACACTTTTTTGAGCTACCCTATAGAAGTTAAAATATTTTCCGGAAATACCTCCTAGTAGATACACACTTTATGTTTGCACTTAAACAAAATTCTAAAGTTTTTTTTTTCTACGAGCTACAGATGCCCGACGCACTATTGTCGGACCCTGTATAGACTTAAGTCATAAAAACGTCTTAAACTACATTATATTGATTTAAGTTGACTGAAATCTTGACTTGACTGAAAGAAAACGATTTAAGTCAAATACTTAAGATATACATTTTGATTTTAGAAATGACTAAGGGCTTAAGATTTAAGTCTTTTTGAAAATTACTTGTTGCAGCTTTGGGCATTACATGAAAACAGTTTTAGTAAAAAACGTTTTTGACTAAAATTGTCTTATTCTTTCTGTGTGCATCTAGCCTAAGATTAAATATCTTACTAAATCAATCGAGGAAAAAAGAAAGAACGAAAAACCAAAAGAGTCTCTCTAACTAATCATGCAGAGCAGGCGCAGAACTACGGCTGTCACTACAGTGGCGATGGCGTGGGGCAGTGTGGAGGAGGGATGTCGCATCAGTGGCGTGCCGCCGTTACACATGTCCTCCTCGCAAAAGCACATGTGCCCCGTCCCGCTACTTTCCATCATGCACACGTGGTCCACCATGAACAGGTTGATCTGCAGCTGCGAGGTACACGTGCGACGAACTACTTCGTAGGCTGCAAAGGGAAAACACAGAAAAATTAAGATTTTATTAGAGTAAGAGGATTTAAAACGTTACACAAATTTTTGGCGCCCAACGTGAGGCGGATTTGTTACGAAAATCCAATTAAATTTTTACTTACGTGATTTGGCATTCCTGACCATTTTGACACAGCATCCATTGCACGTCATCAGAGGGGGTTGGTCTTTGGGCAAAGCCGTGTAATTAAACGGGTCCTTACAGCGCATGTCCGACCAGCTGTCGCACTCGTAGCAGTAGATCTGCCGAGCTAAAAGTAGGCCCGCCGTACCAAATAGTTGTGTTCAAATAGTAGTTCGAATGAACAACACGAATGGACACTCATGGATGTTATATTTTTTATTTTATATTTTCGATTTTTTATTCATGCTCTGTCGCAAAGTAATTGCCAGAATAAATAACCAGTATCCATTTGTGTTATATAGTGAATGTTAAAAAGTTTGCATCAAAAATCGAATGTGATTTTTTATTATTGAATTATCAAAGAAAAAAAAAGAAAAAATACATTTAAATACAAAAAAAAATGTTTTTTGATTCTGCATCTAAAAGAAAATCTATGTTTTTAAAAAACTGAGATATAGCATTATAAATATTGCAATGTTGGCCATGCCATAAAAATACTCCGTATAAGATAATGTGAGTTTTCTTTCACTGGTTTATTCTGTTATCCCTGGTATTTAGAAAAACAACCCTGGAAAGTGTTAATAAAGTTAAATTCTCTCCAGGGTTTTACCACTTTTCTGATATACTGTTTTTAGTAAATAAGAAATAGCATGGCAACACCGCATATCAAATAAAAATAGTGTACTATATGCAGAATTTTATGCTAAATACAATTCTATATAGAAAAATGGGGATTGCAATTTAAAAAAATACAAATGATAAATAATTTTTGTTGGGACACCCTGTATGCAACAAAATATTTTTAGGTTATGTACCTTTATAAACAACGACGATAAATACTTATTATATAATTATTTTTTTCGATAACTCAATAATATTAAATTTTCTGATTTTTGCGAGAGAACTTTTTTACACTCACTGTATCTTCAAAAATGTACATTTTAATACACATATTATTCATCATTAAACCAACGTATCTTTTATAGTTTTTTTGGTTTAATCATGACTATCACAACAAATATAACAAAACAAAAAGAAAAAATTCATGCGTTTCCACAATACAAATTTCCATAACAGAACAATGTACGAGAGCTCGCTCTTTTTCAGAGTAGTCGATCTGACAACGTTGCACCATTGCCACGTTGCCGGATCGAGGCGTATATGAACCAATGCACGCACTCTCCCACGCTCGAGAGTGAAATATGTGTGAGTGAGAAAGAGAGAGAGAGCGTGAGACGACGAGTGAAATAAAGAGAGACAGGAAATGCAAAATAACAGCAAACTTACTCTGACATTCCGCTTTACATACGGTAGTTATAGCTAGCAATATTATCACTGAAAAACAAAGCAAAAAAGAAAATTAATGAAGAAGTTTCGGCGAATGTGAATCGGGGTCCTCTGGTCAGAAATCTCCATTTTTTTATGTATACATTTTGAGTTTTATTTTGGTTGGCGAGACAACACTCGGTATAGGGTGCTCCTGAAAGTTCTGCATAGAATTCTAATATACATTTATTCTCGATGACTAAATATAGTCATTTTGCCTACTAACTACAATTGTGTTTTTCTTGTGCATGATGCCAGGCACTCAAGACTCTGTGTTTTCAGAATTAGTAAGTATATTTAGTTCAGTCTTTTGAAAATATTGATAAATCTACGACTGCTTTTACCGAAAAAAGACAGGATGTAACTAAGAACGTTTCACATTTATGTTTGGCGCCCAACGTGGGGCATATTTCTATAAAGTAGCTTATTTCATTAAAGTAGACCATTACGTCTAAATACCGGTTCCTGATAAATCACTGAAATTAAGCGACGTTAGACGATCCAAGAGTATGGACGGGTGATCGTCTGGAACCTTTGTCATGCTGTTGTTCCTTAGCAATATTGTAAAATCTATTGACACACACTGCTCGTTCAGGCTGATTCGAGGCCGGATGTGATCGGATTTGTCGTAAGAGTCGATTTAGACACTCGCCAAGCCGGTAGACACTTGATGTGGCCGAAGATTGCTGTTCGGATTCCGCCTAAACAGAGTAGATCTCGTTCAGATTCGCCTCAGCGGCAAAAAGGGGACGTCAAGTCATTATTTACTTTTGGAGTTACACTTATCTTTGGCGCCCAACGTGGGGCTTATTTTTTTAAAGTGGCATATTGGCATATTTTATTAAAGTAGTATTATTTCTTTTAGCCATCATTTATTTATAATAGTGTAGTTCTACGGGTAGTGCTACAGAGATGTCAAATTTATCAATTTAACTTTTTACGAGAATTTATAGTTGTACTAGAATTCTTCGCAGACTTTTTGGGTTATCCTTTGTTATGCCATATTCTTTGATGAAATCTAAAAGCGTTAGATGTGAATATGTACAGCCAAGGTTATTTAGAACAACGGAGATTTCTGATAGGATGTTTTTTTTTCAGAAACGTTAAAGATATGGAGAATGAACTTTGCTTAATATTTACTCGTTAGTATACTCGTAAGTACAAGTAGAATTAACATTAATCATTTACATTATGATTTTTTTTCACAATTTAGGGGTTTATGATTCACCAGATTTTTTTTTAACATTTTGTTTCAATAATTTTAAAAAAATTAATAAGATTAACTAATTTTATACTTATGCTAGATGGAAGGGATGTCATAAAAGTCGTTGTGGAACGTGTATTTTGTTCGTTGTGATTATTTTAAATTGTTTGTTGATTACTTTATAACAATTAGTTTTATGCATAGCGTATAAATCTGAATTGATATTGTGTCTGGGCGTGAATTACAGTGAAATTCTTGTGAATCTGAGAAAGAAACTTAAATTAGTTAGATAATTGTGCAGTACTCTATAATATATTTTTGACTTTTAAGAGTTGACTTTTTGTTTGTCTTTAGATGTTCATTCTCCTATCTCTAACAAATCTCGAATATTTAGCGCAATGAAAGGTGTAATATACAGGGTGTTCTTACGTACTGTTACAGCGATTTAAAACACGAATTTACAATAAAAAATAATTCAAACACCCTGTATAGTTCCCATTATTCTAACAACAATAAAAATACCGTGTTTGTGTTTTTCGTCTATTACTTGAACCTCCAAATAAGAGTTCATAAAGTTATGGATCAAGAATATATGACTTGGTTGGAAATTTACCAAAAAAAAATGGTAGTAAAATCACCCTGTATGAAGCAAACAAAAAATAAGGAATAAAGATGTGATTTGAAGCGTCTAAAGTCTATATAAAAATATATATCGGTGAAATGATGTATACAAAACTTTTTTAATTTTACCAGAGAAAAAAACTTGATTTTTTATAGTCTGTTTCGAGAAAACCAAAAATTTTCAAAACAAGGAAAACAAAACAAGGATCCTTTAATGTAAAAAATAATTTACTGGATTTTATAACTTGATTTTATTTTTTTATATTAGATATTATTTTATTTAGTATATTTAAATGTTGTAATTGTTTATTATTTTTTTTTGAACTTAAATTTTGATAAAATGTATTATTGTTTAATGCATATACAGGGTGATTCACTGCGATGGTAAGTTAGGTGTTTTTGGAGAACCAGAATAGAATTTTTTGGAAAAATTTGTATTTTTACATAATTAACTCCTAAAATACCATCGCGGCGAATCACCCTGTATAATAGTGACATCACAACAACTGGATTTATTAGATCTAATTTATAAGTTTTCTCGTAGAAGTAAAAATTCATAATTTGCTATAATATATACAGGGTGTGTATTAAAACTACAAAAATTGGCATGCACTAAAATAAAGTTCTTTTTGTTGTTTTGTCAAAACTTTTTGTAAACTCGGTTTTGTTTGACTTTCCTTGTCGTAGATCTTGACAATTTAATTGGTTTTCACGAACACACTACGCACTACATCTATGTAAATTTTTCTAATTTATCTACAGGGCGTTCAAAAAAACCATACGAATTTTGTGAAATGAAAAGAAAAAACATTAACAAGGTATTCTTATTTTTTCGATGTTATTTCTATATTATATTTAATAATAATAAAAGTATAATTACTATTTTTTCTTAATAATATGATTTAAAAAAGTTTTGTTTTTGATTTTTTGCTAATATAGTTCTCTAAGTTCGATTGCTAAGGGTATTTTTTTAAATTAGGGTTTTTAAGTTGTATGAAAGTGAATCAAAATACATTCCTCTAAGAGACTCACTCAGGTTATATTTGTCGGTATTTAATTTTATACAGGGTGACGCACCTTATTCGCCTCGTTGATTATACGAAAACGGAAAGATGTAGAAAGAACATATTTTGTGAGTATATGTGGGAAGGTAATGTGCTTAATTTAATTTTTTTTACAAATATACAGGGTATGTCAGAATTAAGATCCACACCAAAGTTATATTTTTTTATGGAACACCCGGTATTTTATTTCATATTTGGATCCTTGAACACCAAAAAAGCCAGAGAAATAAACTTTACTAACAAATTTGATTGCTTCGTTTAATGTATACAGGGGTATCAAAAATTGCTGGTCTATTTTAAATATTTATTTTACATAAAAACTTTGTAATTTTAAACTCAACACCTTGTATTTTTAAAATAAATGAAAGCAAATTAAAATGCTGTTTCAAATTATATTAGGGCTTCCTATACCTATCTAGCTCAGATTTTGAATAAAGAGCAATTTTTCAATAAAATAGCAACCAAGATGGCTAGTGTCGTCGTGGCAAGTTTCTAGTGACCGTTAGCAGTTATTTTCAAAATTGAAATTAGTTTATGGACTTTATTTAAATTTATAGCAGTTTACTTTTATTTAATTTACCTACAATAGTTTAATAAATATGTATTTATTATTCTGTAAAGAAAAACAAAGTAATTCTTTGATTTAATTTACGATGACTTGTAAATATATGGTTTTTGTATAAAGAGCCAATTACAGCAAATTAATTTTCTTCACTTCCAACGACAGGTTAATGTTTAATAGGTTTTTTATAAACCACACTACCGCTCTGCGAAATGGGACAAGTAGTTTTTCACAGGCACACTTATCAGGAAGATTCCTATTTGGATATCTTTGGGCATTGAGACCAAAAAGCAATTTTCCTCCCAAAATAAAATCACCAGTAACATATTACTTCGTCTTCGTTCCGCCAGCAGATACTGCTTTATTTTTCTTGATAAAATAATGAATACTTACTTATTAAACTATTGTGGGTAAATTTAAGTAAACTGTTATAGATCTAAATAATAATGTCCATAAACTAAAGTCGATTTCGAAATTTCCACGGCGACACCAGCCATTTGATTGTCATTTTATTGAAAAATCATTTTTTTTCAAAATCTGAGCTAGATCAGTATAGGAAATCCTAATATAGTTAGAAAGAGCATTTAAATCTGCTTCGATTTATTTAAAAAAATACTTAATAATTTAATTATAAAAATAACAAAGTTTTTATGTAAGATATATATTTAAAATAGATGGGCAATTTTTAGTACCCCTGTATAAACTTAAAGAAGCAATAAAATTTTTGAGTAAAGTTTATTTCTTTACCTTATTTTAACTCAGCACAAGAATTAATTCTGAAAAGTAATGTACAGGGTGTTTATAATCTATTTTATTGTAGCACGCTTATTTAAATATCTTTTAAAAAATCTCAAAAACCAAAGATTTTAAACATACTTAACCCTTATAATAAACCCCTTTTTTTGGGCCCAAAAATCCAAAAATGAAATAAAATACCGGGTGTTTCATAAGAAAAAATATAACTTTGGTGTGGATTTTAGTTCTGAAACACCCTGTATATTTTAAAATAATTTTAAATTGTGCACATTGCCTTCCCACATATAGCCATAAAATATTTTGTTTCTACATCTTTCCGTTTTCGTATAATCAACCGAGGCGAATGAGGTGCGTCACCCTGTATACAGGATAATCTCTTGTTATAATAATTCCAATTTTGTATATTAATTTTTATTGATAAAGTATAAAATACCGACAAATCTTAAGTCCCGACTATGCATAACATTTTACCTTCCGTTTTGGCTGTCAGTTAAAACGTTATGTCTAGTCGGAGCTTTAAACCCTGGTCTCAAAAGTTGTATAATTTAAACGTGATGATTAAATAATGAGTTATGATTTTGTAATCTTTAAATCAAAAACAGTCTAATCTATTTTTATAAGTAAAAACCACTACTGAAAAGTCCTTTCAAAAAGGCGGATGTTCAAATCCTCTAGCACGATACATTTGTAATTAACCAAATAAAAATAATTATAAACAAAAATAACAAATGAAATAATCAAAATTCAACTCAATAGAAGAAATTTTACTCACGGGCACATTCCCATTGGGATTTTCCAAAATGTACAAAATAAACTGTAAGAAAACAGGGTTGTTGTTTTTTCAAAAATATCACAATTTTGATTAGTATTACAATTCAATTTTAAATGATAAAAATAAAAAAACGTTTCAATGTTTTTTTGATTTTTAAAAATACTATACTACTTTTTGAGCTCTAGTGTGTTTATATATACGGTGTTAAAAAAATAGTTGTGTAATTACTGTAGTTTTATTTTTAATTATTTTGGACATACTATATTTTGATGTTTTATTTTTTAATATAAATAGGAAATATCGCAACATTTTTATTAATGTATCTAAAAAAATATAGTGTTTAGTGTTCTTTTTTTTGAAGCTAAGTGCTTGACTTATTGTACTACTATTATTATTTTTGTCAAGAAGTTTATTTCAAAAAACACATAATTTATTTTAAGAGATTTAAAAAAGGTTGAATTACACTTTACAATATTTTTCTGTGTAGTTTTTATTAGAAAATTGTATTGTAACAATAACAATATAATTGTAGATTTTGTGTATACACGGTATTTTTTTACTTTATTCGATAGAAAATTACACTCTGACTAGAATTACATATCATATACAGGGTGTCTCACTTAAGATGGATACAAGCCAATATCTTGATTGTTTATTGAGCGATCTTTTTCATTTTTGACAGGAGGCTGTATGGTTATAAGACCTACATTTTGCCCAGGATAAGAAATGCGATACCTCATAGACGTACGTTTTAATGGGGTTTGATATTTTTCGAGATTCAAGAGTAAACTACCCTTAGGACAGTATTTATTTCAAATCTGATAAATTATATTGAATCCTCCTTACCTAAGATAGTTAAGTTCTAATTTTTATTAATATTGATACAGGGTGTGTCATTAAAATAAGATATTTTAATTTTTATTATTATTTTTTTAAGTACTTACAACGCCTTTTTTTCCAAGGCTCCTTGATTAAAAATTAGTGTTTTTAGCACAGAGCATTAGATCGAAATTTAAAATATGATTTTTTTAAGCGAAAATGTCAACAGTTGACATAAGATATGTTATTCTATTCAGAGTGTCATTTGTTGTCAAGTTGTAGTTATTTCCGGTGAAACAGGAAGTGACCAAAACAACTGAATACGTCAATCAATCCTAATTTATGTCATACACTAACATACAAAATCTCATTTTTTTTATCTGAAAAATTAAAAACTGAGCAACATTTGAGACGTACCCGGTATACCAAGCCATAAAGGGTGTTAGGATATATTCAATTTAGTCTAAAAATGGTTATAAAAAATTCGTTGAAGAATTTAAAGTTAAAATTTCGAATAGGAAAAAATTAACAGAGTTTTTTGGAACAACAGAGCTGACCCTGTATAAATCTAGTTTCTTTAGTAGTTGTTATCGTAAAAGAAAATTTAATGTAATTGAAAAATTGCAAAGTGCAAGACTTAAGTTTTACAAGAAAGAAACATCAGAAAGATTTCAGACAAATTATAATACATTATGTGTTTCTTGGAACACTCTGTATGCACAGTGTATGCTGAGCGATAATATAATATAGGTATCTATTTTTGACGTATTATATTTTATTGTTCTGTCTTTGGTGTCTTTCAGCTTTAATTAATATTTTTTCATATTATATTATCTCTCTTCATATAACAACAAATTAACACAAAATGAATTATTAATAATGCAATTTTTAAATATTTAAAAAAATAGTTAAAATAAACCTTCAAAGGTGTGTTAGGTCAAAAAGTAAAACTAACTCTAAATGTAATTTTTGAATATCTAAGACACCTTACCTAGAATAGCTATTAATTCTTTATACATGTTGTCTTCTTAATAAATTCATATCACAAAGGTACCGGCAATATTTCCCGCACTGTATTTTTATCAATTATTTATATTTTTCATCGTTTTTGTGGGGAAAATCTTAGGGAAAATTTACTCATTTTCATTTAGAGCCAGAGTTATAAAGCAGTTTGCGTATTGATTTTCTTGCTTGCTGGTCAGGAGCACTGCAGTAAGTTATAGGGGAGTATCGCAATATAGAGCCGTAACGCTATTTATAGAGTACAGAGCAGAGTTTGATCCTTGTATATGAATTTTTAAAGTAGCTCAACCTAAGACGTTTATGGATGTAAAGCACCAGATGGCGGGGCGTATTTCACAGTCTTTTACTAGAGAAAAATATTTTTTGTTACTCTGAATTTTGAAGCGGCCAATAAAAACAGAGAAAATAAAAATCAATAATTTTCGGACTGTGCCAATTGGTTACTAATCGACCAGATACTTTTTGTCTATTAGATATGCTATAAAAGCTGGTAATTATACAATTTGAACATTGTAAATACCCGACAAATTCCGCAGGGCCGACGAGGTCGATGTTTTTCTTGTTTGTAGTTGTAATGTAAAATTAGATTAATTTATTAAGTTTGATTATAATGTTTAGTGTAGACTACCAGAAGTAATTTAGTAGTGTTTTTATATTTTATTTTCAAGTTAAGTAGTAGGTGAAGGGGTAATTTAGTTATTTTTTCTTTATGTTTGATTAATTAATAAGTTTCATAATTTGTTTTAGTGTAGAATACAAGAAGTAGTTTGTGTAGTGTTCTTGTAAGAGATTATATTCATTTATTTTGTAGTTGAGTAGAAGGTGATGAAGTTATTTGGGTATTTTTTTCTTTTTGTTTTTCTTCTAATAATTATTGTAGTAGTTCTTTTAAATATTGTGATAGATACATTATAATCTTCCTTCTACTTTTCTGGTAGTTGAATATACGAAAAAAAAATCGGATCAAATTTATTTTAAATGAAATTAATCTAGTCTTATTAATTAATCAAATTAAACTAGTCAAATAATATTAATTGCAATCAATTATTAAAAAATATTAATTATTTTGGAAAATAACTTTTGAAATGTAGTATTATTGATAAAATTTAGCCAATTTTTTTTACCCAGTAGCGTATTTCAATATGATCTTATCATTTATCACTGTATAATAACTTTGTTGTGGCAGAAAAATATACCAGTTAGTTTCAAAAATTTTTTTTTTCAAACATCACAAAAGTATTAGTTTTTGCGACGTGATTGACAATATAAAAAAGTCATTTTAACGCCTAGGCATCAAAGTAAAGCACTTTTACGCCTAAGCATAAAAGTATGAAAATATATTATTAAAATGACATAAGTCTCAAATTCAACGAGCCGTAACCATATTTTCTCGATATATAATTACTCATGGTACAAAGAAAACTTGAAAACAAGGTATGGTCGATAGCGTCTCCAATTTCGTTCAGTTTGCGCATATCGCCTGTGACGTCATATGCCATACAACAAAATATCCATATTGTTCAATTGCCACTAATAAAAAAAGACCTAAAATAGGGAAGAATTAAATAACCCCTAAAGTTATGTAAAATCATCGAGCTTGACATTTGAAAAGTTATGACACATTATACACATTTATTATGTGTCATCTGGTTTGAAAATTTGAAATTGGCGCGTGGAGCTTGCCGACTAATAGTGCCGTTTATCACCTGTGACGTGGTGACCAACCTGCGCAATATCATACCTTGTTTCCTTTGTATCATGATAATTACTTACAAGGTATGAGTTTTAAATTTTTTATATTATTTGGAACGTTTGAAATTGTTTAAAAAATTATTTGTGGCGTTTGAAATAGCATGCTTTATTCGGAGTAAAAATGACTTTTTGTGCTTCGGCTGTATGTCAAACGTACAGTCTCGCCATGAAAAGTGTAATTTTTACTCCTAATAAAAACAATATACTAGAACGGCGTCAGCGATGGCTATGAAATGAAGATCGCTGTCATTTTATATGTAAATTTATATGGGAAATGTCGTCAATCGTCATTTCTCAGCCAACTGGACGCCGTTTTTTTTTCATATGGTACAAAGTTAAAGCAAACTTGACTCTGATCATTTTTTACGATTTTACGCTAAGAAAGATTTATTTCGTGTAATACAGATTTAAATGGTGTATTAAGTACATAATATTTATTTAAATGTCAAATAATATTATTCAAGCAGGTGCCAAGATTTTCTTAAAGTTAAGAAAAAATTTAATCAAGTATAAAATTTGAGAAAGAGAGCAAAATTAAAGAGAATATAATTTCCTATAAAAAGGTTATATGAAAATTTTCGCTAAAGTCAACCGTTTATGCACAAAATCAATGGAAATTTTACAATTTTGCGTAAAGTATGATATACATACTATAGTCGATTCAGTTCGAAATCAAATGTCGATTAGTGTTCACTAAATCTAGTTTTAGTTTAGTTTCTTCAATTTTGTCATGAAACAGTGGCGTATCATTAATTCGCTCATTAATTTATGAATAATTAATTGTCGTACTGGACAGCATTCATTGCGAACTTACCACCAGGTTCAGCATTGGTCTGGTTGTACCAAAGATGCCGAAGAATGGGGTTGGAAGAAAACAAAAACAGACATTACTCCAGTCACTGTCATCTGTATCTAATCGATAGATAAAAACATGTAGTCCAATAATGTCGATGGTGACACTTTCACAGATGGCGACGGCCATCTATGATGACGTCATCCAAGATGGCCGTCGCGCCATTATGAACCAAGTGGCATATCTCGGTCCCTGCTGAACCGATTTCAATTTATCTTATTTTGATCGAAAGGTATGTGTACTACCTAAAAAAATATTCCTAACATGCATTGCGAAAAAATGATAGATTCGATGATATTCCATCTTAAGCTAAAAACAGATGATTGTGACACGTTGATCCAGCTCCAAAATCCCTAGTGGCATTTTTATCCTGTAAATGCAAAACCAACAACTGTGGTAAAGCCACAAATGCCTGCGGATGCAGAAAAGCAGGATTAAAATGTTCAATGATTTGTGCATACTGCAATGGGAAATCCTGTGACAACGTCACTGAAGTGGCACTCGACGAATCCGATGAAGAGGGGTTGGACTTGCCTGTAGATATCCCTCTGGCGGCTGAAGATGAAGAGTTGGACGTATTGAGAGACCACCCTGATGAGCCCAGCACAGCAGACATGATCGACTTTGACATCAATGAGCCAGATCCGTCGGGCTTGTGCAGATAAGTTAAAGTTTTTAATTTACCTAGTGGAGTAGGCCTCCGGGGAGACCACGTTAAAATAAACGCGCCATATACTTGGGTGGTGTGGAAACAAGTACACATTTTCAATAATTAAAATTAATTATTCATAAATTAATGAGCGAATTAATGATACGCCACTGTTTCATGACAAAATTGAAGAAACCTTAATCGACATTTGACTTCGGAAAATCGACTATTCATAATATATCATATTTTACGCAAAATTGTAAAATTTCAAGGGATTTTGTGCCTAAACGGTTGAGTTTAGCGAGAATTTTCATAAAACCTTTTTTATAGGAAATTTTATTCTCTTTAATTTCGCTCTCCTCAAATTTTCGCGAAAAACACATAGTTTTCGAGATATTCACAAAATACAGATTTTGTGCGCCATCTTGGCAAGATGGCGGCGCCGGCGGCAAGTCTGGAAATGTGCATTTAATGGATTTTAGTTAGGGACCCCAAAACCTATAAACCTGCAAAGTTGCAAAACTTCCGGACTTTTTTCCAAGCAAAAATCCCCAATGACTGAACTACAAGTGAAAATTCTTTTTTAAACTTGCTAACTATGAATTGTGTCAATAGCGTCAATGATATAAACAGCTTGGACACTGAATTATCGACACATTTTGGGGACATTGCTTTTGAATAACGGACACTCCGTCATAATGACGTACGTCTGGTCAGTTCAGAAATAAAAATACTATATTGCTTTTTATATATTATGGTTTATTTTCAAGAGGTATGATTTAATGGTAACAACAAAGTAAAATTATTAAAAATACGAAACAAAATTATTCGAGAACAACATAATAATATTAATATAAAGCCCTTTTTATTATCAGCAATAATATAACTTCTACACTATTTTACTATATTTTTTTAAGTATCAAGCAATGATATTGTTTTTTGGTATCTTAATATTACTGATAGAATTTTGGATGAATATAGTATATTCACAATAAGGAAAATAAGTATTTCTGTATAATAAATTTTAGTAGTATACATGGATAGTTTTGATATTTGTTAGTTATTTTATTTACCAACTAAAAATCTACATAGCTTTAATAATTTTCATTTTCAGTACATAGGAAAATAAGTCCTTTACGATAATAAATTTCCCTTTAGTAAGAGTCAAAATCTCAAAGAAATAAGTGGCCCTAGAGGAGTCCCACAAATGTACAAATTGTTTAATAGTTATTGATAGTCTTGTAGTATTGTGCTTCCTGAAAGTATTTATCTTCCATACTTACATGTCTGATATTACTACAAACCAACGTTATTTATGTGTCGGTACACATCTACGATTACTTATTTCTCTGATCTCAAGACTCTTCAAAGAGTTTTAAGCAACAAAATATATATACTGTGCTATGTATCGACTCAGGACATACATATGTTCTGAGCCGCTGTATAACCAGGTAGTAGGGAAAGTACATAATATCACATGAAATGCTTTCAAAATAAATTATAATTAAAGAACACATTCGTTAAAAAAATAACAGAAAAAATATTTTGATAAGAACAAAGGTAGGATATATTCTATAGAATACTGTAGTATAAATGGTTGCTTTTTTCATTTGATCTAACAAACTATATTATTTTGGATATTTTTTTCTTAATTTACATTAAATTTTGTTTTTTTTCTTAAACCTTCATGGACGAAACATGTAAAGCTATCAGGACATAAGGCTGCAGCCTTGAAACTTATTGTTTATGCTTTAATATTATTTTTTCATCATACTGTATAATGACAATTATTTTTAGTTTTCTTCTGCCAGTTGCACTATACTATTTTTCTCTGTTGTTGATTTTAAAAAAATATTTTTTCTAGAGAATATAATATTCTAAACG